AGCCTGCATAGTAAGATGGCGATGCGATCATGCGCACCCTCTCGATATTAGCCGCAATGTCGCCCTCGATGCCCCGAATCGCTGAATGGACGGACAGTATACAAGGGCAACAGTATACAAGGGCGAGACGTCAGACAGGTAGTGCAAGCAAGCTATTGATCCCGTCCCTTTGGGAGCCCATCACTAGTTCGATTCCCAGGACCAGCTGGGCTCCTGGGGCAGGCTAAAGGGCCCATCTACCGCAAGGTACCGGCTCCGCCAGGGCAGAAAGCCCCGAGGGATCGAGGCTGGCGAGGACGAGAAGAGCAAAAAGAGGGCCTGGCGGGCCAGCCCAGGGGCCAAACGGTCGCCGTAGGGCAAACTAAAGTCACTAAATGGACCCGTCAGGTCGTTGGGATGTTTTGGGTTTGTGGGCTGGTCTGTCGCCTTTTTCCCGTTTTGATGTGGACTGTACGTATAAGTGAAAGGAGAAGAAACAAATCCCCACCGGCAGTCTCAAAGTCCTGCCGTAGGTTGCATGGCCTCCGAGGTATTGCATGGCATGGCATGGCATATGGCATGGGCGATTTTCATTTGTTTGGCGCACATGCTTTTTCTCTGTAAGATAGGTACCAGGGAGGTAGAGAGATGGGAGGTACGTATTAGATTTGCTGCCGGTGGTGGTGGTGTTGGTGTTGGTGTTGGTGGTGGTGGGACGGTGAGGCGAGTGTTGATTGGCAAGATTGGTGGTACTATGTCAACCTGGGGCCTGGGTAACCTGCCGTCCCAGAGCTCCCAGTCGCAAGTTGGCAGATCCCTTCCGCCTTGTGAGATTTGTTGTTATTACTGACCTGCTGCCCTCCTCCTCAATGCCTGTTCTATATATCCTCCTCTATTAAGCCTCTTTTGTGTACGGTAGCTTCCTCTCGGTTTTTGTCCTCTTTTCGGCCCAGATCAGGTAGCCGTCGTGCCCCCAGACAGCGACCGTGCAGTAGAACGCCAATTTCTTCGTCATTCTTTACTTAGGTAGTTCCTTCCCTAGCCAACGTTCGTTCCCTCGGTTGCATCCGACTAACAACGCGGACGCGCTCCTCCGGCATCTCATCTCCTATTATCCTCGTCGTTGCCACTACCACCACCTTACCACTTTCACATCTACCACCACCAGAAACCACCACTGTACCCCCCCGGTGGCTTGACTTGAGACCGAACCTCATTTATCCTGTACAACGCCCTCCGCGTCACTTTCAGCCCACTTGTCTTGTTTCTTGTCCTGCTCAGATGCCCGGGGCGATCCTTCCCCGGCATGTCTCTCCAACAATATATCGATCCTAAATCAGCTACTTCTCACACCCCAAACCCACCCGCTCCACATCGCGAAGTCCACTTTTGAACTGCCCGGCCGTTTCGTCACACCCGCCGCGCCAGAAACAATGGCCGGCCAGGACCCGCAATCAAATCCCACAAATACTCTCGAAACGCTCCAAAGCCAGACCTTCCACCACAGGAGAATGCGCCCGCCTGACATCGACGTGACCATGGGGAACGAGAACAGAGTGCCGTTGCGCGCGGACAAGTTAGGGAGGAGGGAGTCGAAGTTGGGGTTGAGAAGTATCTTTGGGCGTCACAAACCGGCAAGCGACCTGGACCCAACAATCGAAAATCAAGAACCGCAGCCTAAGTCAGGAGGAATTCGGCTGTCTTTGGCAGAGATTAGCAATTGGCCGTACGGATTTCACTCTGCGCGCTCCGAGTCACTTCTACCCAGAGTTCAGGACATCTCCAGGCCGCTCTCCACCGCAATCAAGTCACCAACCACAAGAGCGCCAACACCGATTGATCAGGCCAAACACAAGAAGAATACTAGTACTGCTAGTAAGCGAGGGTCACTGGCCACTTGGGACCCTCCTCCGCTATTCCAAGCATATCCCCAGGCTATTAAACATGCTCACTTGCCAGCATGCACCCAATCCGCAGAGAGTCTTGTTCGCATCCACGGGAAGAAGGAGAGCATTTCAGTCAGGGACGGGCTCACTCAGACAGCGTTGAGCTCGGATCAGAGCGAAGACTCGGGAGAGAAGACTGAGAAGGCGAAGAAGAGGCATCGCCGAAACACGTCTGCATCATCTATAAAGCTCGACTGGACGACGAAGATATATGTGCTTGTAACCTCCGGCTATGTGCTGCAGTATGCCGGAGAGGGGTCGTTCGATCGACTGCCAGAGAAAATGCTCCATCTTGGGAAGGACTCGGCAGCCTTTGCGAGCGATCTGATACCTGGGAGACATTGGGTCCTGCAGGTATCGTCTGCATTCGACTCTGAGGCTGCCTTGTCGCAAGACTCTAGATCATTATTCGGGCGATTCCCTTTCCGAGGCCCGGAAAAAAGACATGCTTCGAATTTCCTAATGGTCTTCGAAAATGCGGAGGAAATGGATAGCTGGATTGCGACGCTCCGCAGAGAAATCGAAGCACTTGGGGGGAAGAAGAACTTGAGCGAGACCGGGAAGCCTAAAGCAGATGATAACATCCTGCAATTACGAGCTCAACCCAGTCAAAGAACCTTGGTGGTGAGGGATCCTGAAAGATTCTCACGAGTATTCAGCGGACAAGACATGCCTTGGGACCAAGAAGCCTCGCCCGACAGCGGTCCAGATATCCATCTTGATGCTGCAGAGTCGGATACTGTCCGTGAGCATTCCTTCGACGACCTATCCACCACGAATAGTGTTGTGTCGCATGATGCCCGACAGTTGGAAGGCCTGAGGGATAGCGCCAATCGATTGTCGTTTATCTCGAGTGGACAGAGAACGATTCTGACCTCGGACTCCTCGCCATCTTGCTCCCCTATCCGGGACAGCTTCGCTAGCCAGTTAGATGATGTCCCGCCGCTGGAGCCGTCGCAACAAGAGGTTCGGTTGCGCCCTAATGCTGCTGCCATTCTTGACCGTAGACAGTCCATGCAGACAATGAACAACTTGCTCGATTTCCGCCACGGGGCCCCTGGGTTTGTCAGGTCACAGTCCACCTGTTTGACATCAGCTCAAGACCACACTGTCTCGCAAGAAACCTTGCCCAAGGCTACTCCCAACTTCAGTCTCCCCCACTCCGCAAACAAGCGTCAGTCGTTGGTTAGCCCCACCACGGAAACAATTCGTGTGGTCTCTCCTGCAAACACGAGGATACCTCCAGCCAGAGGAGTTCGACGACCACCACCCCCCTCTTTAGGATTTTCACGACCGTTGTCAATAGTGGCAGATCAGCCCTCCCCTAGTGCTGGATCGCAATCGCCAACCAAAGATCCTTTCAAGCAGCTGCAGGATGACGCCATCAGCATCCCTTCAGAAGCACCAGACACGCCGTCGATGTTTTCGGGTTGGACGCAGCATGGTATAGATAACGCTTCTACACCAGACATCGAAGAGCCTCCGAGGGCATCGAATCGGATTGCCAAGAAGGCTCCGGTTCAGGTTACCGTGCATACCAGTCCTCGGAAATTTACCAGCATGATCTCTCTTCGCCCGTCAGAGCCTGTTGTGGAGACACGCTTCGACATTCAGAATTTTGCTCTTCCCCAAATACCAGGGGTAGCTTCACCCATCATGCCAGAGGGCCCCGACGGAATGGTTAGGAGCAAATCGTCAATGGGCATCTATCCGCACCGGAGCCGATCGCCGCCGCCCTCAGCGTCACATGCCATGTATAAGAGATCCAGCATGTTTGCGGACTCCTCGAACACCAGAACGCATCATCATCATGCCGTTAGTGTTGACAATTTCGTGACTCGCATTGAGAAAGAGAACTTCGGGGTGGAGCACCAAAGCCAGCGAGCGAGGTCTCCAGCTCCACGAACATCCATGTCGAACAACCATCTGCGAGTAGACTCGGGTTCGAAAGACCTCTTGAATCGACGGAGCATGCCTCATCTGGCTGGCCCTCCTCTAGCACCTCCACCGACTTGTGCGTTGCCACCGATACCTCAGAAACTGTCGGCACCGCCTCCTCACTCGAAGAGTATCAGAGCCTAGCTCAAAATATAAAATAAGAGGGCCATACTCACACTGTATCATTAGAACACACCACTAGGAGTTTCCTCCCCACATTTCCTTGCCTGTCTGTTGGAATAAGGAAGCCGGAATGGATGCATTGTGAATATCGAGGGATGGCGTTCTTGAGTAGAAAAGACCATCGCTACATTGCGCAGATAAGGGAACAGAGGCGGCGGTCCTGGTTGTATGGACCTGGTTATATGAGAGGATTATGGAACGACGGTAACGACTTTTGCTTTTGGCGGCTGTAACAATATCTATAACTGGGGTGGGCGATGGAAGGGACAGAGGCTCCGTAACTTAGCTGCACATATTTCCATCGAATATGAAGAGCTGCTACATGATATCTGTGAAGTGGCACTTATCTGTTTGAGTAAATGATGAAGAGAAGTGATGAATGGCTAAGAGACAGAAGACGAGATGACAAGAGTTCTGACAACAAAATATTCTTGGAGGCTGTAACACCTCATCTCGTGAAGAGAAGGCATTGTGTGTGAAGTTGACTGTCACCTACATGCACAGTTGGGTATGTTGAGTCATGTTATGATGAGGCTTGTCTGAACGTTGGTCATCGATGGAGATGAGAATAGAATGCTGTAGTTGACACCGGAACCTCATGTTGCGGCGAAAGGTACAAATGGCATGTCACTTTTTGCCCCACACTTTGCGTGTGGGAAAAATCCAAGCTGGTGCCTCGAAAATTCACCCCTCCAAAAAGGTGAGGACCACCAACCACACGTACACTCCCTAACCCCCGAACATCCAACTTCTTCTCCGAAAAGAGAGTCCATATCACGGGACATCCTCTATAAAATCTCCCAGCTCGCTTGCGAAGAGTAGAGTTTGTGGCCTCGAACAAACTCGCTCGTAGAACCGAAAAACCCCCCAGACCCACATCCCACAAACTCGAAAAGAAAGAACCACGTTGTGATCCCCACCGCGTCGAGAAACCAAATCAATCATCTACAGAAAATGTCGGCTGCCGTAGCCAACAGGGCCCGGGACTGGGCCGACGACGACGATGTCGATGAGACAATCGCCGCCGAGCTGCCTCCCCCGCAGACCATCCAGAACAAGGATGGCACCAAGACCATCATCAGCTTCCGATACAACGACCAGGGCCAGAAGGTAAAGACGACCCGACGGATCCGCCTCACCACCCATCGTGAGGTCGTCAACCCGCGTGTCGCCGAGCGCAAGACGTGGGCCAAGTTCGGCCAGAGCGCCAAGGATCCCGCAGGCCCGGCGCCCGACACGACCTCGGTGGGCGAGAACATCATCTTCAGGCCGTCGGCGAACTGGAAGAAGGACCAGAAAGACGAGGCCAAGGACCCCAACGCCAACGCCCTCAAGGACAAGCTCAAGGACAAGAAGGTCAAGTGCCGTATTTGCAACGGCGAGCATTTCACTGCCAGATGTCCCTACAAGGACACCATGGCCCCGATGGGCGAGGCCGGCGCTGCGGACGTTGCTGCTGGCATGGGCGACGACCCGTCTTCAGGTGGAGCGAGCGCCGCTGGCGGTGCTGGCGCGAAGAAGGGATCCTATGTTCCTCCGGCGCTCAGGAAGGGTGCTGGCGGCGGTGGCGAGGGCGAGAGGATGGGCGGCAGCAAGTACGGCGAGAGGGACGACTTTGCCACTCTTCGCGTTACAAACGTAAGAATACTAATCCCCTCATCATTCAAGTCAGCCTACCAGATGCTAACTACATGTCACAGGTGTCAGAGATGGCCGAGGAGCAGGAGCTGCGAGATATGTTCGAGCGGTTCGGCCGCGTCACTCGAGTCTTCCTGGCCAAGGATCGTGATACTGGCTTGGCCAAGGGCTTTGCCTTCATCAGCTTTGCGGACAGGAACGATGCCGTCAAGGCGTGCAACAAGATGGACGGCTGGGGCTTCAAGCATCTCATTCTCAGAGTGGAATTCGCCAAGAAGGCTGCTTAGACTGACTAGGATGGGTAAACGGTGTTTGAATGTAAATGGCGTATGCATGATCAGATCTCTTGGTAGCAGTCAGCTACCTTAGCATAAGAGTGTCGGCACGGTCATAGTCTGCAGATAGAAATTTCATGGCTCTATCACTCTTATATGCAAGCCATTTCACACTGTGTTGTTGATATGATAAGAAATTGGTATCTTATTAGACAAGCTTCTTGTGATAATGCCTCGTCATATGGCTTTGTCCAGTTCTACATCAGGCTTTGAGAGCCTAGCAAGCCTAGCAACACGCTTCCTTCTCGGTTAAATCGCCTCTTTCTCAATGTTCCTCCTCAAGCACATTCTATCCAGAAATAAAGCCAAAATCCAATAGTCAACGACGAGCCAGTACACTTGACCAATTATCCGATGCAGTATGCATAAACTCCATCTAACAATGCGATCAAGTCATGAACATGGTCTCGTCAGGTAAGGAAACGCTAAGCCAAGCCCGAAAATAATGCAAAAGAGTGTGGTGTCTCTAGGGAATGAGACGGCAAGACATAGGAAAATGATAACGTAAGTAGAGTAAGTGAGTGTCAGTCTTGTGTGTGAATTTGCGGCATCGACAGCCTCCGGGCGCAAATGAAACGCTACTAGTTGGCTGCCTCACCATCCTCGGATTTCTTGCGCTCTTCGCCCTCAGCATCGGCAGCCTCCTTTGCCAGGGCCTCCTCCCACTTCTTCTTCTTCTCCATCGCCCGCTTTCGTTTCTTCTCGTCGGCGATGCGTTTCCTCTCCGCGCTCTTCTCGGAGAACATGTACGGGACACATTTGACCACGGAGAGGGTCATGCTCATGCCGGCCTTGAAGTGGCGCGCCGACTCTTTGAAGTGCGTCTTGGCCTCGACATAGTTGGCTCGTGCCGCAGCAGAGCGCTTCTTCGCCTTGTAGGTTCGCTCGGCGCGTTGCGCCTGCTGGTACTTCTCCGAGGCCCGGCGCCGGTTGGTCACCAGAAGAGCCTCCGTGCCGGAGGTACCGGGTCGGTTGTTGGGCTCGGGAAGAGGCTTCTCGTTGCTGTCATCGAGTGCCGCCTTGGGAGTTTCTCTGGCCATTTTCCAGAAAGACATATGAGAGATAGAAGGATATTCAGATCAGGCTAGACTTGCCCTTTGAAGATAACTTGTGTTATTGTGATGGGCGAGAGGAACAGAAACCGCATAAGGAAAGAAAAGAGATCCGATTTTAGGCGCATCAGCACATTGCGTTGCTCATATAGACCTCTTACCTCCTTCGAGAAGATTGCCAAACGCGCGCCAGAAGACAGCCCTCCTATGACCTTTCTCGTAGTTAATTGCCAAATTCATGCGGGAAACAAGCTGATCCTTGGAGGGAAAACCCTGAGACAAGGGATGTCATCGTTGTTCAAGGTCTTGGAGCTCTAACATTGGACGGGGATCGTAAGAAACACAGGGAACTGGTGGGTAGTAAGAGGTGCCACGCATGAATTTCCAATCAAACGCGTCCAGGTCAAATATTCCGACACGTTTCCCTCAACCTTGCTCTATAATTGTCGGTGCTAATATAGCAGGGGCGTCTCCATTTCAGAATCAAAATGTTTCGTTGCAGGGTCTTTGTTTCTTCACGTGCCAACAGCTAATTCGACTGAGCTAGGAGCATCTCACCTCTCCGAGACTTCTTGTCAGGCTTCCAAGTCCGCACTATCGCCGCCTTCCTTGTTAGTCGAAGTCCCCTAATGTTGGGAAGTTGAGCCCGCCAAGCATAATGCGCTGCGGGGCGAGCCCTAAAGAAAGCATCGTTGCGCCAATCATCGGCATAGCATTCAACGGACGGCCACTATAAAGACCCATAGGGTGGGTGTAACGAGACTGTCCTGCCGATCACGCAGACCTAGAGCCAAGCCTAGCGGGGTGTGGATGAGGGGCAGACCGCCGAGGGGTGTGCATATTATGCAAGCCCGAGTCCTCCAGACTCCATCGTCAATTTCTCTCGTCAGTCTTGTGCAATAAGGACCCATCAGGGCATGTGACACAAAAGCGGCAGTGGACGGGAAGCAAGACAGTGAAACACAGACCCAGCTTTGCTCAATCAACCCCAACCCACGACGAGGCGAGAACTGCTGTGACGTCTTGCATCTAGAGCTCCCGTGGGCCAGAGCCTCAACCCTTTTGACAGCTGTGCACGGTGCAACTTCTCTTACGTATAGTGCTATCCAGCGCCCCGCGTAGTTGCTCGGCGCCGGCCTTTCTTTCTCCAATTTTCTACCGTGCTGATGGCTCGGTCCTGAGTCGTACACTCCCTCGTTAACTGCGACACGCGACACGTCGCCTTGCCTGGGGCCAGAGAGAGTTCCTAGAATGAGCTCCTCTGCTGAAGTGACGGCGGGCGAGGCTCGCCAGCGCCATGGCGTAGCCCAGCCTGTGTCGTCTACGGATGATGCTTCTCGCGGGGTAGAAGATGTAGAGCTTCCTGTCCACGGACAGGACACCAAGCCAATGAAGACGTATGGCAAGACACCGGATGGAACAGGTAAGGAGCTACACCTGCTGCATTTCGCCCCGAGTAGGACTAATTCAATTGGCATGTAGTCTTCATCGTTCCAACTACTCATGATATGGTGTCTCAACTACTTGATCCACGACAGCCTAAGAACCTCTCGGATGCCCTGGTACTCGCTATTCTGGCATTGCATATCCTGGCTGCCTACCTGCTCCCCGATGGTCTCAAGAAGCCCGTGTTCGCCGCCATCTTCCTTTGGTGGAGAGCTTCCTACAATATTGGCATTGGAGTACTATTGCGCGTCCAATCGAATCACAAGCTACTTGTGAAATGGGCCAAGAAGTGGAGGCTATTCGAGAACCCAGCTTCTGGTAACCAGCCACGGCCATGGCTCTACAAGCTCTTGAAGAACGAACTCGAAGCCAAGATTCCCGAGGACTACGAGTTTGAGCAAGCGCCTATTGAATACAATACCTGGCTTGTCTTCCGCAGAGTTGTTGACTTGATTTTGATGTGTGACTTTGTGTCGTACTGTCTGTTCGCCATTGTCTGCGCTCACCAGCCTGAAAGCGAAGGCCTCTCCCTATTCCTTGGGCGTTGGGTTGTCGGAATCGCATTGTTCGGCTTCAACTTGTGGGTGAAACTTGACGCCCACAGAGTCGTGAAGGACTATGCTTGGTACTGGGGTGATTTCTTCTACCTCATTGAGCAGGAATTGACCTTTGATGGGGTCTTCGAGATGGCTCCTCACCCTATGTACTCCATCGGTTATGCCGGGTATTACGGCATCTCTGCGATGGCTGCAAGCTACGAGGTTCTCTTCATCTCTATTGCTGCTCATCTTGCGCAAATGATCTTCCTTGTCGTGGTTGAGAATCCCCATATCGAGAAGACCTACAACCCGCCTCCTCCACGAGTACGGTCTGACGGTGGTCGCGAATCTTTTGGGTCACAGGAAAGTGAAACCAAGCCACCGAACCAGGAGGTCCCATCGCAGATTCACAACTTGCTTGGCTTCAAGAATTTGGACCTTTTCCGGACCACTGACTATGCAGTCATCCTTCTAGTCTTCTATACTGTCTGCATGACCGTCTTCACTCCCACGACCCCGATCTACCAGGCGCTTTTCGTTCTACATGCGTTATTTTGGCGTCTGTGGTATTCAGTCGGGTTGGGAATTATGCTAAACCTGCAGTCGAAGGAGAAGATGTTCACTCGTCACTTTGTCAAATATGGCGAGAGTGCCGGCGAAGCTTGGCGCCAGTGGAAAGGCATGTACCACTTGAGTCTTACCATGTGCCACGCTTCATTCATTGCTGCATGCTGGAAGATGTACTCGCTGCCGGATGACTGGAGCTATGGCTGGGTCATGTTGAAGCATGTCGTGGGCTTCGGTTTGATTGCCTTGCAGATCTGGACTGCCGTGAGCATCTACGATGAGCTGGGAGAGTTTGGCTGGTTCTTTGGAGATTTCTTCTTTGACCACAAAGTGAAACTTACCTATAAGTCTATCTACCGTTTCCTGAACAACCCGGAACGTGTAATGGGTTTGGCAGGCTTGTGGGGCGCTGCCTTGATTACCTGGAGCCGCGCCATCTTCCTCCTTGCCATTGTTAGTCAGATTCTGACCCTGGGATTCATTGAGCTGGTCGAAAAGCCGCACATGCAGAAGGTGTACGGCAGGAGAAACATCCGAGACGAAGCGGGTCTTACCAAATTCATCAAGAAGTCTCTCCCAGCTCCCGTCAAGGGTTGGCAATCGAGTGTCGACAAGGTCTTGGACGAGACAAAGCACTTTGTTGACGATGTGGTCGAAGCGGCACGGCCGCTGTTTGCAGCTGGTGTGTCGACTATTGTGCGAGACACCACTCAGCTCTTCAACAAATATCCGGCACGACTCACCATCACTCGACTGTCTCCAGACTTGGCAGGCTACGACCCCAAGCATTACTCACTGTCAGTAGAGGGCACACCTTCACTATCGGGCATCAATGAGCGTGCTACTGGAAAGGAGAGCTTAACTGCTAGAGTTCCTAAGGATGTTAAGACAGCAGTCTTCGAGTACGGTGCACCGATCAGGGTCAAGTGGACCGCCCCTGCGAACCACAGCAAAAAGGATTGGATTGGTCTGTACATGGTCACCGACAATAGGTCTCGAGACGTTACGGAGGTCTCGTCTCTTGGGCGTTGGGCTCCGACTGTCCCTGGTGGCTATGATATGGCGAGCGACAAAGGAGTGCTTGTGTCTGAAAAGCCAGTACCTCAGTCAGGAGATTCCGATGTCAAGCTTGTACAAGGCGAGATGATATTTGAAGGCGATAGGCTCTGGTGGACTCAGGGTGTCTTTGAGTTCCGACTCCACCACGATGGTCATCATAACGTAATGTCCATCTCGGAGCCGTTTGAGATTAAGATTAGCAAATTCGACGAGGAGGATGTACAGGCTGATTCTGGAGGCCTTTACCAACAAGCGGTGGAGTCGGCACTGCTTCCAATTGTACAGAACTGTCTGGACCGCGATCCTGATATTGCCCCCAACACGGTCGATGAGCCTTATGGAAGCCACGTCGAAAGGGACAGCAAATATGCGAAGAGAGTCGTCTATGCTATCCACCACATGTTTGGTATCGAGTTCGCGCCAGCGGTAGTACCGGCTGATGGCAACGTCAGGAAGCTGGCGTGGAGGATATGTAATGCAAAACAGGTTCTTGTGAGTTTTAGATCATCCCGATCCGAATATCTCTTTTGAGACTAATAAATGTACAGGCTCCGTACAGCATGTCTCCATCGCTGGGTACTTCAACTCCAACAATGGAAAAATTTCCGGACAGACTATAAGGACCGAGGCTGAATGAAATTGAGAGCCGTCATTTCGAGGTTCAATTATATGACATTCAGGAGCATGAGCATAAGATTGGACATTTCTATACATAACTTGAGATACCAAAAAGAAAGGAGAAATGCATAGAACGCGGTGAAAAGAGATCGAACTTCTCGGCAACAACTGTTCGACGATAGAAAGGAGTTAGCATAGCTGGTCAGTCAATATAAATCATGTGAAAGACCATGGACATCGTCTTAGTGTCTCGGTCTCCGAAGCGCCAAGGTCGAAATCCGGGGTGGATTGGGCGTGGCTTGCATCGGGTGCCGTGTGTTAGCTTGGTGGTTCCCAGCGAAGGTTATCAGGCACTGATACGCCACATCTGCCCCGCCGTCACTGCTGAAAATCGAAATTTCAAGTCTGCCTGCCCCTCCAAAAAGTTGGTGACAGCGTCTCTGGTGATCATCGCATCGACTTACACCAGTGAGATTCTCGCGACAATCAAAATAACATGGCACCTTCTGCAGATGTGGTAGATGCCTCGTCGGCAGTAGATCCGACTATTCTGAGCCTACGCAAGAGTCTCTGCTCAGAAGACTCGCCGCTCCCCGTCCGCTTCAGAGCCTTATTTTCGCTGAAGCACCTCGCGACCAACTCCACCGGCCAGGATGCGCTCGCCGCCATCGACGCCATCGCTGCGGCGTTCAGCTCTCCGTCTGCGCTTCTGAAGCACGAGTTGGCGTACTGCCTTGGGCAGACGGGCAACATGGCATCAACGCCGTACTTGCGGCAGGTGCTGGAGGATTTGGAGGAGGATACCATGTGCAGGCACGAGGCCGCCGAGGCTTTGGGCGCCCTGGGCGATGCGCAGAACCTGGATATCCTAAAGCAGTACAGGGATCGCGAAGGAGAGGACGTGGCGGTCAAGGAGACGTGCGAGATTGCAATTGACAGGCTGGAATGGGAGAATTCAGAGCAAAGAAAGCAGGAGAAGCTGCGACAGAGGTATGTTAACATTTATGGACGGACATATGGCCAAGCCCTGTGTTAACTTTTATTTGCGCTACAGTGATTTCGCATCTGTCGACCCTGCTCCCCCAATGCCTGAATCTAAAAGGACCGTGGACGACCTGGGCAAAGCTTTGATGGACACTACGCTCCCTCTCTTCCTCCGGTATCGAGCCATGTTTGCTCTTCGAGATCTCGCCTCCCCACCCGACCTGCCTACGGCTGTTCCAGCTGTTCTCGCCCTTGCCAAAGGCTTCGCCGATGCCTCCGCCCTCTTCCGCCACGAAATCGCCTTTGTTTTCGGCCAGCTGTCACATCCGGCTTCCATTCCTGCTCTAACAGCTGCCCTCAGCAATCTTGAGGAGGCCAGCATGGTCAGACATGAGGCTGCTGAGGCGCTCGGGAGTCTGGGTGAGGAAGATGGCGTCGAGGATGTCCTTAAGCGGTTCTTGCATGACAAGGAGCGTGTTGTCCGGGAGAGCGTCATCGTTGCCCTCGACATTGCCGAGTATGAAAAGGGCGGCGAGGCCGAGTATGCGTTGATACCAGAAACTGGAAGCACTGTGGCTTAGACAATGGCTTGCTATGATTTATGACTTTGGCGCGTTGAGGGTTTAGAAAATTCTATATGGGTATCATTTCGAATCGTGAGATTTTCTAGGTGTAGACTAAAGGCGTGGGAAAAGCAGCTTCAGGCATGTTGTTGGCTATCAATAAAAGGTCGTAATTCTCTCAATTGTTCTCGTTCCACTTGAATCCGCAGTCGCAGGTGTAGAAAATCGTGCTGCCTTCATCGGCACTGCGAAGCTGCACGGCAGAGAATCTAACCTCTGTCCTGCCACATTTCGGGCATGTCTGATTTGTGGTTGCTTCAGTGTTGACCTCGTGACGGACAACAGTCTGGACTGAGGACAGCTTCTGTCGAAGAAATGATGGGAAATCGGACGGCTTCGATTCTGTTACTATTGTCTTGGACGCCGTATCTACGGAGAGAGATCGTCAGTGATACAAATATTACGACAACACTACAGCAACTCTGTGCATGCCCCCCATGCCCCCCATGTCCAAGATTTTAAGATCAATACACACCTTGATTCTCGGCCCCGCAGCATTCGCAATGGAGGATATTCTTTACGCTGCCCTTTGAGGCAGGCAGTAGATTGCCGCACACGGTGCAGAACACCAATGAGCCAATGGTAGCCATATTGGTTGTCTGCTCTGATCTACCGCAACACAGAAGTCTGGTCTCTTCCAGATCCGGCAGAAAAAGTCGACAGCGATGAACCAGTCTCAATATTTTTTTTTTGCCGGGCGGCAGTGACGCACGGACCAGTTTGCACCAATTGATAATCGAGATGGGGAGGCAGGAACGATGCCAAAAACGGGACCCCTCGAGTCAGAGGAAGGTACGAAGTGACAGGGGTCCCACCTTCCGTGGTTACTAGGCTCTGAGATGAGCCTGGCTTGCCTGTTGGCATGGGTTTGCTAGCGCAAGGCTGTCGCAACCTTGGAGCACTCCCCCAAGTTCCTTCCTCAAACGTTCAATCTATGAACAGCAAGAGCTCGTGGACTCCAGTCCATCCCCCAACCTGAGACGATTTCCTGCTTCGACCACAATAATCAGGATCGCATGGCCACGCTCTTCTCGGCGCTGCACTTTTCACCTGACTCCGTTGTCCTAGGCTCCGACGTTTAGGCAATCTCAAACCCTCAGGTCTCCGTTAATCATACTACAGCCATGCTCCGTGGATGGTCGTAAATATGGCAAACCCGAGGCCAGGAAACCAGAATGGCGTCCCTCCTAATGGGCCAAGTCCTGGGCCCTCCCGGCAACAGCCAGGCTTCTCTCGACCCTTCACTCTCTACGAGGCGCTTCCTTACTCACCGTTCACCTCGATCGTCCCCTTCGATGCTGGTCAGTCCATCTCATCCTGTCACCTTGCGTCAAACCTAATCTGAAGCAGACATCATTCCGACGCCGACCCTCGGCTCAGCTTCCACGACCTCCAGCCTGTCAGGCGTTGCCCCTCGGCAAGACTTCGATACACTCAATAACGATGCCTCAAACCCTGCGCATCTCTCGAGACGAGTTGAACAGAGCTTAGATCAGGTTCAACATCTTCTGAGCCCAAACAGAATAACGAAATAGTGAGCAAAATACGAAGCAAAAATCTCAAACGTGAACAGTCTCTAATAGGCACCAGCAACTTTAGGAAGGGTCCAAAGACCAAGGCTGTTACGCCCAGCCGCCCGTCGCCAAACCTTGCCGCAAATCTATCGTCGTTCACCAAGATGGTTTATGATAAGACATCGGTTGCTTATAGTTATCCTTCTCCAGATTCTCCTGGCACAACGTCGCCGAACGGACAGGCTGCCTCGCCGTCTCTCGCTAAGCTGAAATCGCCGAAGTCGCGCAAGACGAATTCACCTAAAGTGGCGGCGAATATTGCCGCAAATCCACAGGCTCATGGACATAATGCCGCTAAGTTCGAGATAATTCTACCTACTAAGCGACAACTCGAGGCAGCCACTGCAGTTCCGCCCCAGCCTCAAGTGGCCGCAGCCGCTGAGCCCATCCAGGCTGTACAGCAAGAGGCCTTTGATGTTCCAATGACAATAGCTCCGTCACAGCTCCAGATCGACCCTGCGCAAAGAGCTCCGGCTCCGGCTCCGGCAGCATTCACAATTGACATCTCTCAATCAGCGACCTTCAATAAAGATGAGTATATGGTTGTCCCGGACGTGGTTGATGAACCGCTGAATCTATCCACTCGCAAGAGGAAGAGAGATGGCTCTGACGATAGTCAAGATGTGTATGGAACTGCGCTTGATCAGAGACAGAGGGCTGACGCGGCATTCGAAGACGTGCGCCGATGTTTCCAGGAAATCTTTCAAGCAGAAGATTATCTCCAGAATACCGGGCCAAATCAACTCGTAGCTCTGACTAATAATCAAGAGCCGACATTGACTGGCACATCACATTCGAAAGTCCAGACTCTACTGCAAAAAGCAATCTCCTTGGGTTGTTTCAAGCAAATTCCCCTTGATGATTTGCTTCGGATCCAGAGACTCGGCGAAGGTGCTTTGAAACAGGCGGATACGGGCGATCTCAAGTTGGATGAGTCTGCGAGCGAATCTGATATTCAGATCTGGCTACAACAACTTCCTGATGTGGAGACTGGCCTCAAAGCTGCTCGAACTTCTTTGACTTTGATGTCTGGTGGACGAGAAGACAGGCAGCTTTATTCGGAGGATACAACACGGAGTTGCTTGGATTTGTTCCGGAATGTTATGGACAGTCTCATTGTGCCAATTGCCGAACTCCGGAATTCAGGTTCGACTCAGAATCTATTCAGACTACTCCAGCCGCATAAGAAACCCCTGGCCATGATATTTACCTATGGCCTCCGACTGTTTTCCACTTTGGCCTCACTTGTAGCTACTATTGATCTACAGGAGACAGTTGTCAATACGCTCGAATTTGCGGCTTCGAAACTCATTTTTGTTGACAGTGGCCATACAGATCGCGATTCTGTTGTCGGAGTACAAAAATTTGATGGGATTCGATTGGTTGCTATGGACATGCTCTCGCAAATCTTCCTACGAAATCCCGCCCAGAGGCGGGATATTTTCAATGACATTCTTACCTCGTTGGAGAAGCTACCGGTAGGAAAGCAGAGTGCTCGGCAATTCAAGCTATTGGATGGGAGGAGCATTCAACCTGTCTCAGCTTTGATCATGAGATTGGTGCAGTCCAGTGCTGGGAAAGTTGATGAGAGAACCAACAGCCAGAGCAGACTCATCCAGTCCATGGAAGAGGATGACGATGCAGATGGTGACGATATCATCACTTCAACAGCTGCAGGGGCCTTAAGGTCCACGTTCTCCGTCAATAGCGAAGAGTGGGCATCAACCCAACATGGTACAGCTATCCAGGAGCTTCAAGATCTCTCATCACCCCTGACGGAAACGTCCAAAAGCAACGCTTCCTACGTCATCAACTTCATTGTAAATCGAGCCTTGAAGTCAACGAAGTCTGGGGATACCCCATATCGAAACCTTCTCGATCTTTTCGTGGAAGATTTCACAGCATGCCTTGACTCTCCCGATTGGCCATCTGCGGAATTGTTGCTGCGATTACTCATGTATATGATGATCAAGCTTTTCGAGGGCGATAAAACTTCTGCCCCTGCCAAGAACATGGCACTCGAGCTTCTTGGTGTCATGGGGGCCGCAATCTCGAGACTGAGATCTCAAATCAGGAAGAGTGCCAATGCTCTTGATGCAATAGAGCCCAGCGAGCTTGGAAATTTGCTTTCAGATCTGGCATCGGCTGCGCTTGAACTGAGATCACGACCGGAGCATATGTTATCGTGGTCCGGACCTTACAGGGCTACCTTAGAGCATCTACAGGAGAGGTGCACTGATGATCCTCACTTGAGCAGTGCTATATCGTTTTTGATCTCGGAATGGGCGAATAAAGTCACGACGGCCTATGATGCGTACGAGGACGAGGACGATGAACGAGATCAGGAGTTTGGCAGACTTGCATATCGCTTGCGGAAGATGATTGAGGATAGCCGATGGCTCTCTACGGAGTATAGCTTCATCGCAGTGTCTGCCAACCAAGCAAAGCTAGCTTACGCGATCACAATCGCGCGTTCTGCGTTCTGCGAGTCCTACGCCAAGATTTTAAACCTTTTGCTCAGATCAATGACTATAGATCAAGCAACGGTTCGCAGCAAGAGTCTTAAGAGTATCAATCAAGTTCTGGAGACGGATCCTTCTATTCTTGACGGAGATTCAACTGTCATCCAATTGATCTTACAGTGCTCTAATGACTCCTCACCTCAAGTACGCGATTCCGCCTTGGGTCTGATTGGCAAATGCATTGGTATGCGACCATCGCTGGAAGAGATGATGATTCCGACAGTCATACAGAGGTTCATCGACTCCGGCGTTGGCGTGCGAAAACGTGCTATGAAGTTGGCCAAGGATATCTATCTTCGCAACCCTAGCAAGAAGGACAGAAGCACGATTGCTAATGGCCTGCTTCACCGAGTGCAAGATCCAGATGAAGGAGTTCGTGAGATCGCACGCCAGCTGATTGCAGACATCTGGATTGCTCCATTTGCAAATGTCGAGGACACAGCGGCGTTCCAGACATCTCTCAGGGACCATGTTGCTTTGATTGTACAAACCGTCAAGTCCGGAAACGTCACCCCAGTGCTCGATAAAGTCTTCCAGAATATCTTAGGCACGGAAGCCAAGGCGACAGATTCCACTTTCAAAGTTTGCCAGATGTTGGTGGCTAACATGTTCGATCTGATCGACAACCCTGATTCCGATGACTCCTCGGTACCATCTGGCAAGGATGCATTGCAGGTACTCATGGTATTCGCAAAAGCCGATCCAAGACTTTTCACATTCGAGCAAATCCGACTTCTGAAGCCCCAGATAGCGAATGTCGGCAGTAGCGAAGATCTCGCAATGTCGAGAGCTGTCGTTGAAATTTACCGTCGAGTATTGCCCCAGTTATCCAGCGTTCACAAGGATTTCCTTGCGGATGTGCGAAAGGACCTCATGCCTACCGTATCCAAGGTCACTCGAGCACTTCTGGATGATGTGATTGCATGTCTCTGGATCATCAGTGGCTTGCTTGAGACTTCTGAGCATCTTGCTCGATTGGTATTATCAAGCTTGACAGGCGTACAAAAAATTCGAGCTATGAGTCAACGAGAGCCTCTTGATGACCGCAAAATTCGGCAATTCGACCGCTACTCCTTAATTGTTGGCATGGCAGGCAAGCACTGCGACCTGGACAGCCATGAAAGCTTATACAAGACAGGATTCCCTAAATGGCAGGGCGGCTCTGTTTCAAAGCTTATGGTTGACGTCTTGATGCCTTTCACGTCGCCATCTCAGCCTTTGGACGTGAGGAAGGCGGCTCTCGATGCTGTTGGCCTGATTTGTCAGTCATGGCCTCGGAACTTCCGCGCCGCGAACGTGTATACGGCATTTCAACAAGTCTTCGAGGAGCAGAATCCTGCACTTGAAGGAATGATTCTTAGATCGTTCAAAGAGTTCCTCCTGAGCGAAGAGAGACGCTCAGAACAAGCCGCGGCCGCGGCTGCAGGTACTGACACTGGGGAGAGCAAGCAAAAATTGACAGTCATGGGTGGAACCACTTTTGATGATGTTGCATCTGCCACTACTCAACGATTTATGAAAGACATCACAAGGATTGCTCTGGCCACCCAGGATGAACATGCTTTCCTGGCTGTGGAGGTCCTTGCCAGTATCAACAGGCAAGGTCTTGTTCATCCCAAAGAGACTGGAGTCACGTTGATTACATTGGAGACCTCCTCAATCCACAAGATTTCAGAGCTGGCATACCATGAACATCGTTCCTTGCATGACAAGCACGAGACTGTTGTGGAACGAGAATATGTCAGAGCCATCCAGTCTGCCTTTGCATACCAGCGGGACATCGCTCATGATCCGCATGGCGCAACGACTGATCCGTTCACATCGAAGCTGAATCTCTTGATGGAAGTTCTCAAGATGAGTAAATCGAAGAACCGGAGTAAATTCCTTGAGAAATTCGTTCTTCAGGTCGATTTTGAGCCTGCCAAACTGGACGCTTCTGAGGCAATGCCTTCCCATGTCCAGTATTCTCGCTTCATCATTGAAAACCTGGCATTCTTCGAGTATATGACAATTGGAGAGCTTCAAAACACTGTGGCTACTATGGAGAAGCTCGTCAGCAGCACTGGCTCCAGCGTCGCACAAGCTATTGAGTCAGAGCTATTTCAAGTTCGCATGGATGTGGACGCGGAGTTGCAACAGAGCATAGACGGCCAGGAAGGACCCGTCCCGCCAGTTCAGCCTGTGGTAGACATGACACGTCTTCGGCAGCTCACTGCAGGATCAATGGTCTTACAGTCGCTGTGGGAAGCTCGCAGCTATTTACGGCGCCTCTACGGTCTCGGCACCAGTAGACGAGAAGGAAAGGCCAAAGGTCCTGCAAAGGACCTCTCGAAAGCTCCAGTCAAAGTCCAAGGGGTCACTGGCGATAAATTTTGGGAGGAGGTTGGCACAATTATGTCTGCCCTGTCCTCTCAGGGCCAAATGATAACCCAATGCAAGTCATTTGTTGAGCTCCTCAACGTAGACAAGGAGTTCAAAGTTGCAGACGAGGACGACGACATGGATGGCGAGGACCCAGCAACACCAAGCAATGACGAGGATGATGCTGGCGAACGCGGGAGAAAGAGGAAGGCGAGCAATACTCCGGGAGGCAGGAAGAAGCGTGCTCGCTCGACATCACAACCTCGCAAGCGCGGTCGACCAAAGAAAAATGCTATGCTTGATGTTGACGCTGAAGGCGAATCTGATGATGGGGATTGGTTCTGATTTTAAGGGACATGTGTGTGCTTATACAATATAGGCATCAGAGAGGCATAACGGCTGGCATGCTAGAATCCGACTTCGCACATGGGAAATGGCGTTTTGGGATTTATTTTGCTGAATGATACCTACGTAGCTAGGCTTTGGCTCTTTGAAAGCTTTAGCAGGTCCCAGGAAGTGGCTCACTAGCTCGAATTGCTTTTATAAAACCAGACAAATTTGCATTATATTCGAAGCGATACAGTAGTCGCAATTTCTCACGACATACGATCGTACGCATGCATGGTTCATGATGCGGATTACTCCGTATTCATATCCGTGACCAACCTGATGCTAGCCTGACATTAATAACCTGAACACCGTACCACCATTAACCCAGAACCCTCTCCTGTGAAACTCGAATGCTGATGTAATGCCATAACCATGCAATGCCAAAACGAAAACGTGTACAACTGCCATCGAAGCATGGGTATCGTGATATGATATCTCCCTTCGCCTGAAAATGTCTCGATCATTGAAAATTAGCCATAGCGCGTGTGCCTGTCTTCAGCAGCATTTCCTTCTTCTCGCCTCGGGGTTGTCTGGCGTCTGCTCGGGCCCGCCTGTCGCCCTCTGGTCTACCGTGACAGCGGGTGAGAAGCCCGGCGAAAACAGCCAGCTCCGCCTGTCCCTCCCGACACGGAAGCTGCCCCTGGCGTTGACGCCGTCAAAGTAGCCAGCGGCAGCAGAGCCGTCGCCGAGGCCGCCGCTGCCGTCCATGCTGGGCGTGGCGCCGCCGGGGGTCGAGGTGGCGGCCAGCAGGGCCTGCTGTATCTTGCGGTTCTGCTCGACCAGCTTCCTGGTGACGACGCGGAAGACCTCCTCGACGCCCTCGCCGCTCTCGGCGCTGATCTCGTGGCATGCGTCCCACCCGACCTCCTGGCCCCAGAACCCACTGCTCCTCTTGCTACTAGGGCTGCGCGGCTCGGCGCTCACGGGCCCGCTCAGGGGCGGCGCCCCTCCGGCGCTGGCGAAACCCGGCAAGACGGTCGCGCCGCCGGGGGTGGCGGTGGGCGGCGGGGTGCTACCCAGGCCGGGGGCGAGGTTCTCGGCGACGTAGGCGATGCAGCGCTCGAAGGGGACCTCGCGGCGGGAGGGGTCGCGGGCGACGATGTCGGCCTTGGTGCCGACGACGTGCAGCACAATGTCCGGGGGCAGGTTGCGGCGCAGCTCGGTCAGCCAGATGCCCATCTCGGCGAAGGACTGGGCGTCGGTGATGCTGTAGCACAGGATGCAGGCATTGGCGCCGCGGTAGTAGAGGCGCGAGATGGAGCGGAAGCGTTCCTGGCCGGCTGGATTGTCAAGAGCTTCGGGTTAGCATGGTGTGTCCTGTCTCTAGGCATGTCTTGGAGACTGGAATGGCGGGGGTTCATGACAAGAGATAAGGACCGCAGCTGGTTGCGTGATGTGTGTGTGCCTGCCCGATCGAGTGAGTGGAAGTGCGAGACTTACCGGTGTCCCATATCTGCAGGCGCACCACCGTGTCAGTGTCGCTGTCGACGACGCGCTTGGTCATGAAGCTCGCGCCAACGGTGGAGGTGACCTGCGAGGGGTTCCAGGCGCCTTTGCAGTAGCGCATCACCAGCGAGGTCTTGCCCACGCCCTGGGCGCCGAGGACCACGATCTTGGCCTCGAGCGAGGACATGGTCGGGGCGGTATGTTAAAGGAGGAGGAGGAGGATGATAGTATGTTGCGTAGACGGGAGGAGGAGAGCGAGGGTGAGAGAGGGTGTTTGTTTCTTCTCGCGAAGGAAGTTGATCGCCGCGGGCTACCAAAGCAACGGCATCCTGGTAATCGCAATCAATAAGAGACCCAAGCTCGCGACCAGGAAATGCCCCCAGACAGCAGCGGATGCAGTAGGAATAAAAGAAAAAACTCCTGAGATAATAAGAGAAAAGGCTACTGAAATGCCGGAGAAATCAAAAAGAGACGAGAGCAAACATGCATGCGTCGAACGTGACGCGAGGCAGCGGGGGGATGAGGTACAGAAGTTGGTGGTGGTGGTGGTGGTGGTGGTGGTGAGTAATATAGGAGGGAGTCTTGTTGATTTGTTTGGTGCACACACACCTTTTCTGCCTTTCTCTCTCTGCCTTAATACCCAGCCTTATGCCTCTGGCAGCCGAGATTACCTACAATATGGCATAGGTACTGTAGCTACTGTACTCGTCTTATCGGCGAGGCAGAGGGGCAGCCATCAGTCACTGAGGTCAGTAATTCAGGTAGTCTATCACGGGATGAATACGGGGAATGATCAATCCTAGGTAGATCATCCTCCTCAGTCACCACGTGCGCGCGGACAGGTAGGCAGGCCAAACAGTCGGTCAGCGACTCAGCAATGCACCCTCCGGCAGACCGGCATTCCATGTCAACTGCGTCATACAGACATAGACACACTCCTTACCATGTCCTAACCAGAGAGAGTGGGGGAGAAAATCCAGTGCTGTAGCTATGTTCAGCAACGGACATGAACGATCTGCGCGAGGGCTATATGGAGAACAACCATTATATTTGTAACTTTGATGAGGGTGGGTGTAGGACGGATATGCAATTGATCAGTCTATCAATCAATCAACTAACTTACAAGCAAGAAGCGGCATACGTGATCAACTTTCACATGGCTGCAAGAGAGGGAAAAGAGCTGTCAATGCCCGGTCTTCTTATATCATACATCATGCACAGGCAGGCGTAGCGCAGCAGATCCGCTGCCGAACTGCATGTACTATGTAAGTCGTCCGCCCATTGGCGCCACTTGCCGACTTCCCGTTGGAGAATCTTTGGAGATGATCGTGAAAATATTCCCTGCGTCTGTCACGTTCCTCTTGTTTGAATCACGACACTTCAGTCTCCGATCAGGACCTGCGGAACCTTGCATTAAGCCCCTGACTATTCAAGCTCCGTCCTTCGGGTCCGGCGCACTAAAGAGACCTTTGTGGATTGCTCTGTAGTCGCCCCATTGGGGCCCGAAATCTCGGTGCAATGTGTTTACCGAGGACAACGAGGTCATCGCCAGAAGCGACTCACAGATTTTGAAACTACCTGAGCTATTATGTACTACCGCCATGCATTCCAAAGCAAACTAGATAGGTATCCTGTTAAGCACTTGCTGTATCGCTCATACACATACAGCCGTGTCTGTCTTGATCCTCCGTGCTATGTATTTCCCTGTATGCTATGCCTACACAAACTCGTCGTCTACCTCTTACAGCTTCGACAGCGGTCTCTGCGGAGGGTTCGCCAGTGGGTCATAGATCGAGTGCGCAAGGTTGTCCGCGGGCGTGCCGTTGCTATGGTTGAACAGGCTCTTGGTGTCCACCAGTGACGAGTTCAGCTGGTCGACGCTGTTGCAGCCAATCAGGCGCATGTTCATCTCCATCTCGTCCTTTAGCAGTTGCATGGCGCGGTCCACGCCGTCGAAGCCGTACGCCGACATGGCGTACAGGAAGGGCCGGCCGATACCCACGCCCTTCGCGCCCAGGCACAGCGCCTTGATGATGTCGGTCGCACGCCGCACGCCGCCGTCGACAAAGATCTCGATGCGCTCTTGCAAGCCCAGCTCGCGCAGCACCGGCATCGTCTCGGCGAGCACCTCGATGCCCGACCGCGCAAAGTCCAGCTGTCGTCCACCGTGGTTCGACAGCACCACGCCCTGCACGCCCGCCTCGATCGCCTTGAGCACATCCTCCACCCGCTGCACACCCTTGAGAATGATGGGCATCTTGGTGATGCTTTGGAACCAGGGAATATCCTTCCACGACAGGCCCGGGTCAATGAAGCTCGAGATGGCCCGCGCCGCGCCCTGCGAGTTGTCCGTCGTCTGCCCGCTCTGCACGTTGGTCCCGGGGTCTGTAAACTTGCTGCGCATGTCCTTTTCTCTGCGGCCCAGCTGTGGCGCATCGACTGTGATGAACAGGCCCTTGCAGCCTCGCTTCTCGGCGTGCTCCACGATCCTCCGGGTGATCTCGCGGTCCTTGTTGACGTAGAGCTGCAGCCACTGGACCTGGTCGCCCTCTGCCGCATCCATGATCTCGTCGAAGGCGCAAGATGCCAGGGTGGGGATCATCTGGACGACGTTGTGCTTCTTGGCCGCCCGTGTGAGGAGAACCTCGCCCTCCACATGTCCGAGCTTTCCTAGTGCTGTTGCCGTCACGTAGAAGGGAATGTCGCATTTAGTACCCAGCATGGTCGTGGTGAAGTCAACTTTCTCGACGTCGACGAGAATCTGTGGCCGGAACCATATCCTGTGGAAAGCCGAGTGGTTCTCGCGTAGTGTCTGCAGATTCATGTCAGCGTATCCTTCCGTAAACCTCCCACGCCCAGGAGCCTGGGGGGTGTTCTTACGATCTCATCATCCGCCGCGCTGGAATAGTAACCCCAGGCCGTTCTCTTCATGACTCTCCGCGCCACCGCCTCAAAGTCCATGAGGTTGTAACATTGCTCCAGCAGCGGCATCTGCTTGATGCGTTCTTGCCTTGCAGCCTCCTCGGGGTCCTCTTCAGCCTTCTCAGTCTGTACAGTGCTCATGTCCACCGGCCCTAGGTGCTTTGACTTGTCCAGATACTTGTCTAGAGTATCTGGGGGGTGGATCGGGTCGAACTCTTCAGTTGCGTCTTTGCCCTGCGTAACACATCATCAGCGATCAGATAGCGGGTTGAAAGTGAAGAGCCGCTGTCAACTCACCGCATACTTGAGGATGATTTTCATACCACCAGGGTGTTCTGTTATAAGAGGATCAGCCTTGTGAGTCCTGCCGACAATCTCCACTACGTAGAGATACGCAATCAAATGTGGCATACCTGGGAGGAACTCGGTGATGTCGTATGCGCGGCCCTGTGTGATGCAGTCAGCGATGGTCTCTCCACAACCGACTGAGTAACCCAATTGACAACCTACATGGATAATGACCCAGCAATCATCCTTGGTCGTGTGCTTTGCGACCTCGACTCCCGTCAACGGTGTCTCGGGCGCCATCTTGAGAAGCAGCTCTTCTCGTCCAATGAGACAATCCGGATATCGTTTTACGGACCTCAGTGACGACACAAGAGCAAGTCAGTGCTAACAAATCAAATCAAATGCGCTGCTGATGCACGACAGTGATTACAAGCCAGGGCAGCTCGATTCAAGAGTCTACTTTCAACGATGACAACACCGCAAAAATGTCCACCGTCCGTTCCCCCCCAAAACTAGGTAGCGTCTTGGGGCCCCAGAGCCTTTTAAAGAATCGCTGGCGATCTCCTATGCCGGCAAGCAGACTGGCTGGGGGGAGGCAAGTCTCGGGCGTCGGGAAAGAAGGGTGCGGGGTTATATGGAGCACTAGGGAGCGCCACTGGCAACCGGCCACAAACCCGGCTGTGTGTCCAGGTGTCCGGGTGCAGTGGCATTCCAAATGCTACAGCGCTCACTGGCTTTGGTCTTTCGGCGTTCATAAGGATGTGGGCCTGCCTCTAGGTGGAGGTCCCTAGGTCGCATAGAAACCTCGCCTGCATCCGGGGATTTGCTCCTATAACCCGATTTACCTGGCCGACCACACTGTGACCTGTGGCAGGACAGAGGCTACCTACTGATGTGGGTACTGACTTTCATGGTTATGCAGCGCCAGTAGGTGGTATTTCAGATAGCCAATGCCGACAGCAGTGAGGCAGGCCATCTGCTGCAATGACGTTTAGATACTCCCTGTAGCTAGGTAGGTAGGTGCTGTTTGAGAGCAATGGCCGGAGGATGGCTACTTCCCGTTGAATTGCATTTGTTTCTACAAGGAATTTAAAATCACTTGGTACTGGGTGAGTAAGGCACGTTTTCTCCATGGGAAGAGAACGTATCAGAGTGAGGTTTCATACATGCCCATGTTCCCACAGTCAATCACAGAGCTCTTCTGTCGCGCCATTGCATTGAATTCCTCACTACTTATCAAAACGTAGAGCATAGATTATACACTTGAACACATACAATATATAGGGTTCTAACTGATTTTATGCTTTCTTATAGTTAGCTTTGTAAGATAGTGGTAGGGAAGTGCTTTGGAGACAAGCTGTAAGGCGTCAAGGGTGAAGTGTCGGAAGTGCCCGCTAATCTGAAGTATCGTTCATAATCTAAGTTAGCCAGCCCAAGCTTCAACCAGAGCAAGCAAAGCCCCAGTGGCCCAAGCTTGCTTTCAAACCCCTTGTGGTGTAGTTGGCTATCACGTTCGGCTGTAACTGAAAAATTTCAAACCGAAAGGTCACCGGCTCGATTCCGGTCGAGGGGATCTACTTTTTTGCATTTTTTCTATTAACACTATCCTAGTTTAAATTATCTTAATAAGATAAGAGTTTTATTCTCTTTATCTTATTTTTCAAGTTTATATAAAGGTGTTTTTTTAACTCTTGGTGTTACTTTATAATTTTATTCTCATCATCATAGGTGAGAGAGCGCACTCCTTCAACATCAAGATCATTGTCTTTCTTGCTCATATTTCTCCATTCTATTCCATATAATTCATTCGTGATAATAATGAAACACTCAGATACATCTGTCCTGCCCAGATAATACATGATAAACTTGGTACACTGTAGGATCATAGCATGTTGTGTTCAGAGGGGCCACGGCGGCTTGTGCTATTCCGTTGTAAGACAGCGTTTAGCTGTTGTCGAAGCTGTCGAGCCAAGAAGGTTTTCGAACTGTCTATATCTCCAATCCAGCAGACGGCAGTGGATGAGACATGTCAGATTGAGGACGATTCTCGAAGATACTTCACAATGAACACTATCACTGAAAAGATTATGAAGAGGCATTAAGTCCTGTGGTGTATACTAATGCAGTTCTCTAGAGACTCAAATCACAGTGGTACCTGGACGTTCTGCTCAAGATTGCAGGGATAGAAATCGTGAAAGGGTTGACATGCGCATACTGCAGAATAGAGATAGATATACGTGGGATCGTAACTCGACACGCTTTCGCCAGGCTACATAGTCGCTGGCATATCAGATTGTGTATTTCTTTTGGAGACACATAATGCGATTCGGCCTCCATGCTGTGTATGCGAAACGGAGTTAGCCCATATTCTGAGTCTGAATCCGGGGAGCTGGCAGGTATTCATTTGCATGTGCATGTGCATCAGCACCCTCTGAAATAGTGCGCAGCGCCGCCATGGGTGAGCTATCTAATAAGCTACCTTGCCACCCACCCATGTACTGCGTACAGGTAGGTATGTATGTATGCACTCGTTGGCGTGTTGATGCGCGCATGTGTGTGGTATCGCCGATACAGAACCCCGCCTGACGTTATCGCGCTGGAGGCGACGACGGACTTACGGTGAAGTACCGTCCATGAGGCACACAACTGCCCCTCCATCCGGCACTCCGGCTCCATTCGAACCGCTCTAAGTCCGATGTCGTCTTTTGTCTCACTCACTCACTCACTCACACCGTCCGCTCCGTCATCACAACGAATGCTACTAAAGACTCCGGCTGTGCTGTCATATTGACCTTCTGATTCTGCTGGGAAAAGCGGACGGCATGGCGGCCGTGGTAGCGTGAAAGCGCCAATTGCTCGATACGATACGATACGATACGATACAATACGGCCAGTCCGCTCGCCGGGCGCTGGCCCCCCTGTTTATCTCGGCCAACATGGTACAATTGACACAGCTACCCCCAGAGATTCTGCACCACATTATCAGCTTTGTGGATCCCGAGGACCTTGCCACGATATCCTGTGCATGCCGGTATTTTTTCCACTATGTGACGGGCAACAGCGCTCTATGTCAGGCGATATATTTGCATCAGTTGGTGAGTTTGTCTTCGTTGCCCCCCACGTAACTCATCGGATGAACATCTGCTCAAGATCATGACAGGATGCTCCACCAACCAGGGATCTTGACTGGATCCAGGAGCTGCACGATCTCGTAAGGCTGAAGCGCATATGCGCCAGCAAGGACCCTGACAAGGTGAGTCCGTCAACTTATTCATCCGTTTGCTAGCCGTGGGCCTGAACCACACCTTTGGCTGGTGTCTAACTCGGCTGTGGCATATACACAGGCTTCTGAACTCCCTTTCGTCTTCAAGACCTTCACCAGGCTGTTGAGTCATTCTACCGATCATGGGTCACGCGTATCACCATCGGTGACCTACCCAGACTCCCGAAATGCAGAGATCCTCCGGGAGCTTTTCAGTGACATTAGAAATCGCGAGATCTTCTTCTGCCGCTCATTCCTCTTCGATAGAGCAAGAGGGCCGCCACGTCCAGGCGAGCTGGAACGGCGCAGATCCCCAGACGCCGTCGAAAGGTACCAGCAGAGCTCCAAATTGCACTGCCTGTATGGCGTCCCAATCCTGAATCACGGGAGGACACGGTCCTCGCGGATGTACCCCTTCGCTTGTTCCAAGGTTTATGATATTCGGGAGTATACTGACAATACCAAATGGGGGCCCTTTATGGATGACGACACCGATAGGGTCGACTGGGAGAAGGTCGAGGCCATTATGATTGTTCTGAGGGCGAATATCCAGAATAAGGGGCTGGATAACTTCCCTATCTTCACCAACTTTTGGAACACGCCATTCCCGGGCACGTGGCCAAATAGCTATATTCCCATGCCCCTAAACCGGGAGATCACCCCCTTGGAGACCGGTGACCCATACGACGTATCAGGGACTTGGCTCAGAGTGTGTTCTACCGATAGGCATCACCCGGCTCAATGACGTATCTAATAACATTTCTAGGTTGTGTGCTTCCTCGATTACAACGACTTCTTCAATTACAACTTCCCAGGCTCCGACCACCTCCCGTCGAGCGTTCCGCGCCACGCCCTAGATGTTGGGGAGGCCACTCGCCTCATCTTGATGAAGATCCATGTAACCAAGATCGAGGCACCTGGCCCGGAGGATGGGCAGGAGCTACCTGTTGTGCACTTTGAGGGCTTCTCGCGGTCGCTAGACGGCTCTTGGGACGAGAATGCCAATTCCGATCTAAGAGGTGAAGTGAACATCTACGGTGATTTTGCGAGCGCCGAGATAGAGGCGGGTGCTAACAGTCGTCACAGGGAGCTGCCGGCTCACTAGAGAAGGCGAAGTAAGATGGACGACATGGTCCATCTTCAGCGGCCAAGAGCGCTGGCGCAGCGAAAGCGTACAGCTTGGAGGGCTTCGGTCTTCCAAGGTTGTAGGCAACTGGTTCGACAAGTACGGGGCGCTTTGCCGTTGCATCCTTGACCTGATAGATATGCTAATGCACATTTCAGAGACTACGATCCAAGCGGACCTTGCGGTCCAACGGCGTTCTGGAAAATCAGTGACCGGGAGCCAAAGAGCGATGATCAGCAGGTACTGTTAAATGACTTTCTGCCAATTGTAGATGGTTACGAGGAAGACTTTGATGGGGAAGAGGAGGACGAGGACGAGTATCTTCCTCAGTACCTCGATCTAGACTGGTTCATGGTGGGTGACGATATCTGAGCGAGTTTGCACGCCGCGCGGGATCACATGCGAAAATATTTATCAAAAGTCCAGTAAGAACACGTTCTAACAGTTTCTTCTTCTATATAGGTAGTTGAGGATGATCACGAGATCTTCGAGGGAGACGAAGACGCGGAAGATACCCAATAAAATGAAACGGGAATTCCCACTCAGAACTTGCTGGCAGGAGGGTCAGTGTTGAATTTCCCATGTTCGCATGTCGCCATGATTGCGCCGTCTTTTTTCCTCTTCATGACGCCCTTGAGACTCGACAATCGCTTCCCCACCTGCAGGATCTCGCACTCGATGAGCACCGTCTCATTCGCTGGAATCGGCCGCAGATATGTCACATTCAATGTCCTTGAGACCCCAAGCAGGAACCAGAACCCGGGCTTGTTGATGAGCGCCAGCACGAGCGTGGTGCAATAGTCAAAAAGCGTGGCGGCACACCCGCCGTGCAGGTTGCCCAGCTTGTTGCAGTGCTGCCACTGGACCTCGTACTCGAAGCTCGCACTCGGATGCGGCGCCGAGGCGTTAGTCGAGACGAGCTTGAGATGCGGGAGTAAGCTGCTTATATAGTCCTTGAAGCGCGGGCGTCAGCACTTTAATTTGAGCTGAGAGTTTTATACTACAGTGCCTTCTGCTTTCTTTGTAGTGTTACTTACATGAAATTCCGGGCTCTTGTCCTGGATAGATGCGTTCTTCAGCCATTCTTTTAAACGCTCCTCTCCCGTAACTTGTTGAAGTCTCTTGAGTACGGCGGCTGGGGTATTTAGTTCTTCGGCACCTATGGCCCCCTCTTTGTCCGTACTTGGCATGCCTATCGCCTTGAAAGAATACGGCCAGAAAGGCTCTTCAGATTGATGCTATGATAGCGGGCGTAGCCACGATCACATGGAGATGTGACCCTTGAAAGCGGCCTTCTTAACCCGGCGCAGAATTGCCCCAAGTCGCCCCGCTTTGATAGTATCACAATTAGGAATGGTTTTACTTTCAAATCATAATGAAAATACGAGTTTGAAAGTATTCAAAGTGGACTACTTGGATGCTACAGAGAATGAACTCCAGCTGTTGAAGATAGCTCTCCGCATTGTGGTGTGGGGGTGGGTGCTGGAGACAAGCCTGTGACGCAGGGTCGCCGCCCAGGCCGGTACCCCAATTGCGAGAACCTCGGCAATTCTCCCTCGTGCATTGCGGCTCATCATCCATCACACGAGGACTACCGACAAACACCACACATGTAAATGCACTTCGTTCATCAGCCGCAACGAGCAGCGCGATCTACGATTGCCAATCCGGGCCAAATGAGACACCAATGCAAGTGAGCCATGGAGTTCGTTACTGCTCTTCGGGGCTCCTTCGATGACCAGAAACCCTCGCTCTTTGAGCTGCTCTCAGAGCAGCAGCTCAATTCTCTACTCCCGCCGACGTTACGCTATCTCCTTACCGTTGCGACTCAGCGCCATCCTCGATACCTACTCAGGATACTCAACTCCTTCGATGAGCTCTACGCACTATGCTTTCTCATCGTAGAGCGACACTACCTGCGAACGCGAGGAGGCTCCTTTACTGAGCACTTCTATGGCCTCAAGCGCGAGAAGGCGCTCGCCTCCGAGATCCCGCGCGCCTCACACTCGGCACCAGCGATCGTCCGAGATACCCTCAAGTTGAGAAGCGCAGACATATGGAAGAACCTAGCCGTCATGGTCGGCATACCCTACCTGAAGCGCAAGCTCGATGAGGCATATGAGGTCAACGCCCCACGCGAGCTGCTAGGCGCGGCATACACACGGCTGCCGCCGAACCCGTCCATCAAGGACCGTTTGCTGCACTACTACCGGTGGTTTCTGCGGAACATATACCCAAGCGTCAACGCCGCGTACTACTTCTCGCTGCTTGCGTTTAACCTGGCCTATCTGTTCGACAACAGCAAGTACCACGACCCATTTATGTGGCTGATAGGAACGCGGGTCCGGCGGATGAATGCGGCAGACTACGCCGCGATCGAGGCCTTGGGCAAGGCATCAACAAAAGGCGCCCCGCCCGGTGCGACATCATTGTTCTCCCCGAGGAACATTGGGTCCAGAGCGCTGTCGAGCCTGTCAGTCCTGCTGCCGACGAGCATCTTCGCGCTAAAGTTCCTGGAATGGTGGTACGCCTCGGACTTTGCGAAGCAGCTCTCCAGGCGAGCGGCCGAGAGCTTGGACCTGCCCCCACCGGTGGTCTCCGGCATGAATGAGCCCAAGCATCGCAAGGCTAGTGCGAAAGCGGCGGCTGAGAAGGCGAGCCAAGGGCAGGAGGACGATGGCCAGACGGCGGAGGAGACGTTGGCAGAGTCCGCTCCCGTGGCAACCCCGTCGCTGCTCCCCATCTACACCGTCCCCGCGCCAGCAGACTCGGAGCTCTGCCCCATCTGCGAGGACGAAATCACTACTGCGACGGCGTGTCAGACCGGCGTCGTCTACTGTTATACCTGTATCCATAGATGGATCAGCGGCGCGCATCCCAAGCAGGAGGCCTTCATGGCCGACAAGACGGGCAAATGGGAGAGTGGCGCCGGTCGGTGCGCTGTTACGGGAAGGCGCGTGCTGGGCGGGACGGAAGGACTGAGACGGATCATTGTGTGACAAAGGATATAAGGAAGCATGGATGGCAAAAAGACATGGCGGAGCGTTTGGGTCTCGGCTTGGCTTCTCACAATGGAACCCGCATTGCGTCTGGAGTTTAGGGCCACAACTTGAACAAAATTTCTGTAACCAAATGCATCATTATTGAATTATCATTGCACGTTTTCATCCAGATTTTCTAGTTGGGGTAATTCTGTTGGATTCCAGTGGGCGCGGTGCCTCGGCGCTCGACAGCCATTCGGCTTGGTCGCTAGTGATTGTCTGTTGTCTAAGTGGTATGAAAGTCCACCCAGATCGCGCGCATCGCAACCCGCAAGCAGTAGACCACGCATGTTTCTGGGCTAGACCACCGAGCACACTGGGCTCTTAGCCTTGTTCAAGCCCGGTCTATGCCCGGTTTTGTCAAGTGTCTGTCTGAATGGCAAGGCTATGAAGAATGCTGTCGTGTCGCGCCGTCCCACTTAGCGAGGTATCGACATTCCAGACAAAGGGGCATGACGAACTCGTCCAAACATGCCATGTATAATAGACACGGCCGGTGCTGCTGCTCGGATGTTCCAGAAGGCCGCTGAGTTATCGACAGCTGTTTTGTTTTTGGGTGTTCGACACCATACTCTCTCACCTTAGTCACTCATTATCAAGTAGATAGTCACTCGTTTCGACATCATGTCGCTCTCCTACTCCCTCACCTACTCCTATGCAGGAGACGCCTTGATCAATGGGTTCAACTTCTTCAACGAGACCGACCCCAGCTCGGGTTTCGTGGCGTAAGTCTACCCGCCGACCTTTTATATAACAAAAATGATGAACTGACACTCCATCAAGATACCAAAGCAGGGAGGCTGCTTATGAGCAGGGGTTGTACTCCGTTGACCCCGTCAGCGATGTTGTCACCCTGAGGGTGGACACCACCAACACTTATGCTACCGATGGTAGCGACGGCTACAGGCCGTCTATTCGCATCGAGAGCAAGGAGGCTTTCAACCACGGTCTGATCATTGGTGACTTTGCCCACATGCCTGGATCCGTCTGCGGCTCATGGCCCGCATGTAAGTCAGCATGAAGCCACTACCTAGTTCAAGATAAACTAATTTTGTTGAAGTCTGGATGTACGGCCCCGACTGGCCAGAATCGGGTGAGATTGACATCATCGAGGGTGCCAACACCGCTGTAGAGAACCTCATGTCTGGCCACACCGCGTCGGGTTGCACACTGCCCAGCACTGGAGGCTACACTGGCACCCAAGGAAACACAGACTGCACCAGTCCTGGCGTAAGTAATGATGTCCAGACTTTGATTGCAGCAGAAATCTAAAACTTGGAGCAGGATAATGGCAACATCGGGTGCAACTACACCCCGCCCGACTCCGATACCTCGACTTATGGTGATACTTTCAACGCCGTCGGCGGTGGCATCTATGCCGTCGAGTGGACCTCAGACGCGATCAAGATCTGGCACTTCCCCAGAACTGCCATTCCCACTGATATCACTTCCAAGACTCCTGACCCGACCGCCTGGGGTGAGCCGCAGTCTATCTTCGGTGGCTCAAGCTGCGATGTCGACACTTTCTTCAACGACATGAGCATTGTCATCAACATGGACCTCTGCGGTGCGTATGCTGCCAACGTCTGGGGTGTCACCGATACTTGCGACTCGAACGCTGCTACCTGCAATGAATGGGTTGCTCAGAACCCTTCTGCCTTGGAGAACGTGTACTGGGAGATCAACTCCATCGATGTCTACCAGAAGCCCGAGATCGTGTCTAGCAGCTCGAGCGCCGCCTCGCTTGGATTCCCCTCAAGAACCGTCACACTCTCTGGCATCTTTGGCAACTCTTCCACTGTCGCGCCCGCCAGCACTGGCCTCCCGACCGCTGCTACCACGGCCGATGCTACCACGACCCCGGCTGGTGTATCTGTCTCGTCCACCAACACCGCTGTCATTCCCTCGTCTACTGCTGGCCTTAATGATCCTGCTGCTATTGGCGACTTCACCTTCTTGGGATGCTTCGGTTCCAACTCCAGCTATCCGACCTTCAACATTGCCGGCAGTGATGCTGCCATGACTCCCGAGGTCTGCGTCGGTCTCTGCGCCTCGAACAAGTACGCTGGTGTCTACGACACATCCTGCTACTGCGCCGACGACCTTGATGCCCTGACCCAAGCCATCCCTGACACGGACCAGTGCGACGTCCCTTGCCCGGGTGATGCTTCCGAGTCCTGCGGTGGTCTTGCTCCTTGGGCAGTGAACGGCACCAGCCTTGCCAGCAGATCTCTCAGCTCTTTCTCGCGTCTGCACCGTCGTGCTGCCCCTGCCCAGATCCTGCTCACCATGTATGCCAATCTTGCCGTCATCCCGGACCCGCCGGCGGCTCCTGGCATGGGTGGCGGCGCTGACGCTGTTGTCACCGCTCACGTCACCAGCACTGTCGTCTCTACCATCACCTCCACGGTCACCTACGTGTCCGTGTGCTCCACCAACCCGGCCATCCTGGTCACCCTGGAGTACTGCACCACGTGGACCGTGACTGGCTGCGGCTGCGCCCACGACACGACGCCTGCCGTTGCCATGAGCACGATGGTTGCCGCCTGCGACGCTTGCGGTGCTTCTGGCGAGTCCAGCGTCACATTGACCGTCCCTGCCGCTGTGTGCACCACCGCTGCTGTCACGACTGCCGCTGTCACAATCCCCGTCGTACCGGCCTCGCCGACCGGCGGTAACACCACCGTACCAGTCCCGACCGCAACCGGTCTCGTCGTCGTCGCGGCGGCTGGACCCGGCGTCATCGGCATGGCCAAGGAGTTCGTCAGCGTCGCCGCCATTGGCTCGCTGACACTGGCTTTGGCTCTGGTCCTGTAAGGATGAGCTTGGTGAGAATAAACTTGATGTTGATGTCCTGCATAGTACGGAGTGGGTGGCATAATAATTTGGAGTGGCGCAGCCCTTGGATCTATTTGGCTTTTTAAGTAGCACGTCTGCTTCTGCCTGTATTACCCTATCATATCATCTCCTGAGCGCAATGAATGATATGGATTACGTATGCAGCTCTCTCCTGTGACATGCTTGAGTGATAATGTGTCTGTTGCGCTGTAGGATTCATGATTAGAGGTCTACGACTTCCACGCCCTCTTTGCGCATCTTGCCAGTGTTTCCGTACATGCATCCTGCGTTGATCATCAGGGCGGCATTGTTTGATCCGGGCCCGCCCATCACCCATTTCCACAGGATGCTGTGTGCGCCGTACCAGAGAACTCGCAGGGCGTCGGTCCACCTTGCGCTGGGGAGTATCTCGTGGAGAGGACCTCTCTTGGGTTGGGACATGACTGACTCGTAGGCTCTCTGGCAGTCATCAAAGTAGACTGCCTCTCGACCGCGGCCCCAGTGGACATGGCCAAAGACATGTAGCTTTGGCTTGACTCTCCAGACCTCTTCTAGTAGACCTGGGCAGCCGATCCCCAAGTCTCTGTGGTGGCGCTGATTTGCACGTTAGAAGAAAGTAGAAAAGGCCTAAGCGCGGATAGTCTTACTGGTGGTGCGTGTGTCACAAGGACATCTGTCTCTGTGGGAATGATACCCTTCCATGGCGGAAGGTGGGCGGGATATTGAAACCTAAGGAGTAATCAATTAATTAGGTTGCGAAATCATACTTGGAAGTCTACTGACGCGAAATCAGAGCCGCCGCATTTTGGAATGTCCGGTGCTCCCCAAATATTCAGCCGCCTGGCTCCTTTGAACTCAAGAGTCACAGACTGGCGCTCGAGGTAATGAATGCCCTTGAGCTCGACCTTCCGTCCCGAGGCTTTGTCCTCGGGCCTCCGAGCCAGCTCATCGAACCAACTGTCGTGGTTCCCGCAGACGAGCACCTTGTGCCTGTGCGGCAGCGAAGCCAGCCAGTCGACCTGCTTCTGGATATCATCGACGGTGCCGGCGTTGGTGAGGTCGCCGGCGTGGATGAGCAGGTCGCCATCCGGCACGGGCACGATGTGGTCGTGCGTGTCAGAGATGCAGACGACACGAATGGCGGGCCTGTCACGCGGGGGCCGAAAGGGCCGGCCACGCAGGAAGAGAATGATGTGGAAGATGCGCAGGACGAGTGCCTGGAGTGGCGAAGCGAGGAACTCGTCCAGCAGCGTGGGCTTCTCCCAATCGTTGCTGCGCCGGAGCTTGAGGACTTGGAGGAGGCCCATCTTGAAGGTTTCGGGCTATCTCTCTGTTTTCTAGAAAGACAGGGTATGTTCCAAGGATAAATACGTGCAGAGTCTCTATTGAATTAACATGCTAAAGTGAAGGTTACTGCTGGCCAATGTAGGTGCTCTAATCCATGGATGTCCCGATGACATCAATTTACTACCTATAGGAGGAGGTAGAGTCCGACCTAGGTAGCTCCTTACTTTTGTTAGGCCATCGTAAGTATGCCGTAACTAGGATTTCTGATTGGAGGGAGCTATAAGCCTCAGTGGACTCGGGGTTGGAGGCGGCATGGTGCTGATAACTAGCCTTCTATTGGCTAGGAATATTAGGGTCGCCGTTGTTGCCCAAATACTCCACTACACACCACTCTTCTGTAAATTCTCTATCAGGTAGCTTTGGAAGGCCCCTTATTCTCTCTGCTCTGGAATAGCTCTGTCCATGATCTAATTTTGGCTCGAAATGAACTCAACCCCTTGTGGTGTAGATGGCTATCACAGTGGACTGTAAGCGACGCATTGTAATCCATTGGTCCGCGGTTCGAGTCCGCGCGAGGGGATGGTCCTTTTTTTTACCATTTTTTTTTTCTTCCAAATTATCCCTTATATTTTTCTTCGTAGTCGGAAGACGAAGGTGCCAAGGCAAGTAAAGGATTGAAGATAGATAGCTGACAACATGCGTGCTCAAGAGGAAGCGCTTTGGGGTACTGACACAGAGTAGCTTGGTTGATCAAACTTCAGAACTCCTTATCGTCCCGAGACCACTTATATTGGTATATAAAAAGATAGCGATGCCTGCCAAACCACCCAAGTCACTTGAACCGCTTTGTTATTATGATATTATATCCAAAAATCTTGTAAATCGTCCCGAGTCCTTCCTCCCGGGAATCGTGCAAGTTGTGCACAGCTATGAAGACCGCCTCGGTTTTAGAAGATCACTGTCATGGAAGACGGGGTGACTGTCTTGGTCTTGTCAGTAGAGCCGCCTGTGCTGCGATGCCGAAGAGGCGGCATCCTCAAGCTGCGCTTTCGTTCGCTGCTGGTAACGCTGGCGCCATCTGACACTTGTACTTCCGTGAGGCTGTTGGGCTCGATATGGGACTGTGGAAATATGCCCCATTTGCCTTTCGAGTTGGTCCCTGACCAACACCAGTGTCCCGAATATGCCCCTTTGCATACAGTTAGTCGATTACCGAGTAAACGCACTTTTAGAAGGGAACTGCACTTACAATTTATATTCGTGATCATATCGCCCTTGTCCAATTTCAGCCAGTCTCCACGGTCCTTGTTCTTAACAGACCACTTCCAACGAACGGCAGCCTTCATATTGCTCGTTCCCAGCTTACGGATGTCTTTCTCCTGAGGAGGGTCGAGTCTGACCACATCAGCAGGGAAAGCTGCCCAGTCATGGTCCGCCCAGCCAACACACCACTGGCCCTGATATTTGGCAGGGAACTCCACTCCGACGATCTTCGCCCCAGTAGCGAATTGCAAGACTTTCATGCCATCGGGAGGACGCCTTATCGATTTTGAAGGTGTTGATCTGTACATTTCGATCGCTGTTGCCGATGGAAGCAGGCTGAGCTCTCGAGCAAGCGCTGGCATTTGTGAAGCTTGGGGCGGGTTCTCGAAGCATAGGTCGTAGTCGTTCCTGAAATTTGTGGGGATCTCCTTGCTCTCGATCACGGTCAATCCAGGCACCTCGGGCAATGGTCGAGGATGCCTAGCCAAATGGGAGAACAGCTGTTTTTGGCTGAAGAATACTGTAGAATCGCTTTCGTCCAATGTCTCGCCAACTTGTATGCAGAATAGACACGCGTAAAGTTGGTCTTCGACGTGCTTTGCTGGGAGATGGCTTTTTTGGAGGAATCGGAGACGAAAGCCAATACCACTCGATCTATAGTTGCCAGAATCTGGTAAAGTGTTAGTATACACATGTCATGATGTGAGATGGCTCGATCATAGCTGGTATACCTTCTTTGTTTATGTCTCTTTCGAGTTGTTTGAAGTCTAACTCATACGGGCAAAACTTGCACTTAGCAATTTCCACGCCGCCAGTGGACAGGCCCTGTTCAATGATTAATACGGGACAATATGAGAAGAGGTTGGGAACGAACCTGTTTCTTGATTCTCTTCACACCGAGGCCACCTCGCATGACTTCCTTCGCACCTTCGCAAAACCCTTTCAACTGATGGAAAGAGCTTGTCTCCGTAATTCTGAGATCCGCTCTGCGAACAGGTACTTCAGGTTCTGCCTGCGGTTGCGGTGTTTCCTCGGCCACTGGAATCAAACCGTCCGGAATATCATTATCTTGATGAAGTGCCTGAAGGCCAGACTCATCTCTGAATGTCTCTCGCGACATGGGCTTGATACCTTGACTGACTGGCGATGTCGGATTCACTTTCTGGCCATGATTCGGCACAAACGAAGCAGAGACATTGGCTACCGGGCTATTTAAACCGCCTGAGATTGTGGATGTCCTGTTCGCCGTCGAAGCTGGGCTTGCCATCTCATAATACGAGTCTATCCGTGTGTTGTCGAAGACAGAACTTTGAGCTGATGCATTCGTAGAACTGGCTTGAGAATCTCTTTGGTTCCAAGATGGAAAGACGGCGGAACCTCCTGAATGGATTTGATCACTAGCCGAAACAATACCTGAGTTTGCATTCAGACCATAAGGAGTCGTTTCAGAAGGAATCGGAGGCGATCTACTGTGTAGCTGACCCAAGGACGCATCTCGCATTGGATATGTTGGATTCGATGACCCATTCAACTCGGCACGGGAAGAAAGAATTCCCGTCCAGTTTTGAGCTTTAGCTTTCTCCTGACCTATCTCAGGAACTGCGACCTTGTCGTCTAGTGTCGCATGTCGGTACGGGGTAGGCGCCCCTTGAACTACGCTGAACGGTGATGTAGGGTCAATAGGGGACTCGGGAATGGACATCGACTCCCGACGTTCCCTATCAGCACTTTTCAAGTCTTCCTCGGCCGCGTCTGTAGTAGCCGGGCTGACTGTCCGATCCCATGGATCTGGTGGTGGTTGTGCAGGAGGGGGAGGTAACGGGGGTAGCTGTAAAAGAGGTGCTGGAGGTCTTATTGAGAGCGGCGGAGGTACCGCTGAAGGACTTCTTTTCAGGGGTCGTGAAGAGTCGTTGAGTCCAACGTCAGGGCCCGACTTAAAACTCATCAGAGCTTCAGTTGGGTCCTTAGGCTTTTCGCCTGCGCCCACGTATGATACATGAACTGGAGTAGAATGTTCTGGTGTCTGAGTTACTTGACTTTGGGACAAGGGTCGTTCCAGCGACTGTCCATCCAGAGGCAGCTGGCCACGGATTCGACCTTCAATGGTATCACTAGCGACACTTCCTTGTGCCACGGAGCCCGGTCGGGAGTAGCCCATGAGATCGAAATCTGGTCTCGCGGGCGGTTCGAGCTTCATTCGGGTAATTACATGGACTATGCGCGGCGCAGCTTTCCTAGAGAGCGCCTGGAGCTCCGCGAACTTCTCAGCCTCGAAGCTGTCTGCGTCGACGTAATCTTCAAAATCGTAGAGTAGGCTGCCAAGCTCCTCGCTAAATTGGGATATCTCCTCTGCTCTTGTTAGCCGGCATGACGATGATTTTCAATTCAGACTTAAGATAGACCGCACCATTGTCTTTCAGAGCATTGACGAAGTTGGCGGCGAACTCGTCAAAGGTTTTCCTGCAGAGTGGCTCAATTTTCTTGAGTGCCCGCTCGCCTTCCTTGACCAAAGCCTGAGCGGCCTTGAGCATCTGCTCGTTTCCAGCCTCGCGGGCATTTTCGATGGCGGTGTTTCCCTGGGTGACAATCTCTCTAAAGGGACCCAATACCAGATCTCCAATAGCTTCATCCATTGTGAAGAGAAGTGGCGCTGCCGGCTTTGCGCCGGGCAGTTCGCGAAAGGGACAAGCAAGCCTCCAGTGAGAAAAGCTATTTGAGTAGATGTAGAGAAGATAGACGGATCGCGTAGTATACCCGGGCCTTCTCTATGAATAGATGGAGAAAATGCAGGACAAAACGCGAGGTATGAGAGCAGGTGAATCACACGCCCGATCGAGGACCGAGAGGATTAGCCAAGCACGAGACAGCTTCGCCTCGAGTGAGCGCAAGACGAAAGACACGCGGGAACCAGACTGATTGATTGACTGACGACAGAGATGAAATGAATTCGCGGCAGCAAGTGACTAACTGACTTAACGCCATCCATCATACTTGGGTCTTCTCAAGAAGAAATGCGCCTACCGCGAGCTGTTTTACCCTGCAGCGAGGTAGCTAAAGGTTCCTACCTCCGTAGGAGATATGCACTACCCTTCCTAGGTACCTAGGTACTTAGATAGGTGCCATGTATGCTAGAGGAAAGACAGACGGGACTTTGTGTGAATGGTAAACGGAAGGGGAAAGGGGGGCCAAATGGGAAGTCGCGATCCCCCCGTCTCAGTCCAGTCCGCAGAGGGAAGCTGCCCACGTGGGGGCTGATCGACGGTTTGAAAGGCGGCTTGCGGCCTGCCTAGCTTAGCTACAACCGCCTGCACTAGCAACGCCACGGGGCAAATAGCTGTTGCGCCTTGGGCTATGCCAGGTATGACTTTCTGGGATATGGCAGGCTGGATTCACAGACTCTCTTGACGAGTTGAGGGCATTCGCTCGTCCGGCCTCTCGTTAGCGAAAGAGGAGAAACTCGCTTCAGTCCGTCTGCTACATCGTGTGGTCGATTCGTGTCTCAGCTGCCCCGCTCCACTGTACACCCACCCCTGGACATTCGTGATAGATGGGCATACAGATAACTGCAAATTGTCCAATGGCGCCCGGTGACGTGAAGGGAATAGGACGTCTCAACCTTGTCGGCCTCGGTGCCCCTAAACTGTTGACCGGCAGCGGGACGGATGGCGCTGGGCTATTGGCTCGAATAATCAACAATGACATGCAGGGTAGCTTAGCCCCTGTAAAGCTAGAAGTCTTCGAGAATGTCGCACTGATAGGTAGGGTGGTATGGCAACAGGGGCCATGATCTTCGTCCAGCACGCCCAATCGCACGCTGCATGGGCTAGTCATACAAGCACTGATGCGCCTGATGGCGCGGCACTTCCTACCCATTGCAATGCTGTGCATCTGACACCGGTAATAAAAAAAGCTTGTGATAATTAGACTAATAACCCATAAATCGTTTTGCGTAATCCCCTGACTGTATACCGTGTTCCTAAAAAGCATCATGGACTCATCACTTTCCCCGTAGACGCAAGCCTCACCAGTCCATACTTAACTCCAGAGTTTCTTACTGTCTCTTCAAGCCTTGGCTGACTTCGTCTGGTTCGTTGTCACCTAAAATAGGTTAGCATGTGATGTCTCAATAAGATGATGAGCGTGGCCGACTAACTTCTGTAATCAAACGACGGCCGACTTGGATCGTCTCGGAAGCACCGCGCTGTCGCTGCCAGAACCTAAAGCTAGCATTAGCTTGCTGCACTCCATATCAGAAGGAGGATAGCCTCACGCTTCCTCGGGTGTACCCTGGCCCTTGATAGATGCCTCTCGAGCTTCCTCCTCCAGGGCTTCGCGGGTGATTTTCTCGCCCCCGCTGAAGCCCGGTCCGGCGGCACTCTCCGCAAGATCCGTCCCAAGTGTCTCCTCGAGCAAGTGCTTCCGCATAGCGAACCGCTGCGCTCGCTCCTTTTGAAGACCGGGGCTGTCAACTTTGCTTAGGACATAGCGAACGACAATCTGTACCACTAGGTAGAGGTGTTCGGCTAGAAGGATGCTAAGCAGAAGACCCCAGGCCTTGATGTTAGATGGATGGCCGTCTGGTCCATGTATGTCGCTCCTGAACAAGAAGACGATGGCGGCACTTGTGAGGCTACCTAGCCAGGATAGAAATCCGAGAGATGTCAACCATGGCCCGATAGAATCGGCTCGCCAGGGAATCGGTCGCTGACTCCCAATCGCAATCTTCATCGCGTCAGACCTTGCCTCAATCCAATTGTTGACCAGGAACGAGCATGCGGTGAGAGGCCAAATGACTGAAAACAGCGCGAGGTAGCCAAACTGAATGACCATCTCTCGGTAATCCACAGTCACGTCATACTCGTCTAGCTCGGCTTCATTGCGGACACGGGCAAGGAAAGCCGCTTCCTCTTCGACATCCTTAGGATGGAAGCCGCCCTTCTGAAGCTCAGATTGGACTTCTTCGACTGCTTTGAATGCCTTGCGTTTCACGTATGGTACTATGACCTCAAGGAGAAAATTGACAACCTGTGCTGTGACGGTGAAGTAGATGACCTGCTTCTTCAATCGATCCTGGTTGATCTCAAAGCTCTTAGTTTGGACCTTTCCATCCTTTGTGAATTTTTGCGCAGTTATTTGGAAGATATCGAGGTACGGAACCAAGACTCGGCCGAAGGGGACATAGACAAACGCGGTCAGAAATATAGGCAGATACGACGTAATGAAGTTGAGCACGAAAATCTTCTGCACGAATGCGGCTTGGTGAGCTTCAGGAATAGTTAGCACCAATTCAGAAGCCGCGAGTCTTGAGAACTTACAGTCTTGCGTTTCATAATTCTCCACAGCAGTCAGTTGCTCTGCTAAGCCGGTCAAGATCGTTTGTAGGGTTGGCATGACGACAGTGAGAATGACTGTAGGCAAGAAGACCTAAGAGCATCAGTATGATAGTTAAGTACCACTAATCGAGACCTCTTACCAGATACTGCTTGAAAGGTCCATCATAGACTTCGGAGATGAAGATCTCGATGGAAAAGCAGGTGAGAATCAGGCTCCCAAGAACCAGGACACAAGCCAATGCAAAAGGCACTTGAAGCAGTTGACGCTGAAGACGCTTGTACGGCGAGTACACCTTGACAATCTCTCCAGTCACAGGATCGTGGGCCTCTCTCTCAAACTCGAATTGCGGTCGAGGGTGTTGAATCTTTGAGACACCTCGGACGCCCCACTGAACCGCCAAGTCTACCTCCTTCTTCTTCCAATACTCGAAGAACACGACGGACCAGAGGCAGTTTACAATAGCGTACAGACTTGAGTACTGCCCCAGGATGAGCCATGCGCCGAATCCAAAGGCAGCGGGGAACAACAGGAAGGTAAAGTATGACTGTAGGAAGGCAAAATAGAAAGCAACCTTTTCTCCAAACTTGTCGCGGATGTCACCTAGGTCGGATTCGTCAAGGAAATACTTTGTGCTCCATTGTTTGATCCAGGCCCTGTTGAAGGCATGGTTGTGCAGCGGAAATATGGATAGGACGTATTTCCACTGGCCCGTCTTTGGTGTGACACCAGCACCGCCTTCGTTCTTCGGCTTCGTGATGAGCAGATAGACAAGCCTCAATCGCTCAGCATCAGTGATGGGTTCATCTCGAAAGTATTGAGATAGGTCTTTGTTTGGGGAGGAGGTTCGGACGCCGTATAGCCAATCTTGGACACGGTATTTGTAGATCTGTTTCTTGAGGAGGTCTTCGGAGGCGATTTTGACAAAGACGAGGAGGGAGGTCTTATGGCCTCTGCGGACTTCGGTTGCGAATCCGGTGTTTGCGAGGGCTTCGATGAGCTGCACGAAAGCTGCTTCGGCTTCGGATCCGTCTGGAAATTGCTCTTAGTCTTAGGTGTGCGGGATCGCAGAGTACCAGGTAGCTCACCTTTTGGTGGGATCTCGTAGTGTATGACATAATCGACGCTGAAAGAGACTTGAGTCCTCATGATTGTTCCAGCTTTGTGGAGCTGCTCGATACAACATACTTGAAGTTGGTGTTTAGCTCGGGCCGTTCCCCGGCGCCGTACAAACCGCGCAGGCTCGCCATGGTCGTACGCTCGACAGCGAGGGAGGGATTGCCAGTAGGTCCAGTGAAGCTCGAAACGTAGAATGCAAACCTGCTACAGATCGACTGTAGTGGAAGGGAAATAGAAGATGAGGAAATGAGGAAAATTAGAGGGTGATCAGAGACTAGGATGAAGTAAAGGTTATGCAGCTACAGCAGCAAGCAATGACGGGGGGCTTTCAATGACGATCAAGATCCAAGATCAAGGTCATCGGGCGGGACAACGTCACCACGCAGCTGGGTCCGACAGCTTTCAGCTGCCGACGACGCCCGTGCATCATATGCCCACCTACCTAGGGACTTAGCAAGATATGCCCGCTGTAACGCCAGGGAAAGCTTGTGTGGGGTGCCCTACTGCCGGCCCGGTTAGCGGGGTTCCCTGCCAAAATGCCAAGTAATTCTGTCATTCGTTCCCTCTTTTATCATAGCATTGTTTGGGTTCTGAGGGCTCAATAGTTTTCATAGAAGATAAAACATATGAATATATCTATGAGATATACTGTAGTGGTAATTTTCAAAGAAAGCCCATTTCTTAACTAGATGTATTTGCCTGTTAGCATATTTTGTCTGCTTGCGCGATTGTGGGGACCAGGCTGCCAGTTGACAGCTGAAAAGTCCTTGAAAATGCACTGCCTCTCCTGCCTTCACTTTCCTCAAGAAGTCTTCATGACAAAAGAATACTTACCCAGGTGAAACTCCATATCGAAGCGGTAAGTGTTCACCAAGTCACCACTCCATGAAACCGTCCAAGGACCTATTCGGCCATGTTCAGAGCACCGCCCGCCATGATATCTGCAAAAAATATCGCCACAGCAGCAGCACTAGAGCTCTCCTGCAAGAACCTCCGACTCTTCCAACACGCAGTCCGGTGAACAAGTGATTTCCCTTGGGATACCCTGGGCTTCTGTCAGTTGAAAAACCTCCCGAGCATGTGGGCTTCGCCAGTCACCAGCACTTACCGGCCGAGGTGGAGGATCGTCAAACCCGCAGCAGCACATCGGTCGAGGGTCATATTCTAAACACTTCTCGAGATAGTCTACCTTGCCGGGACCTGCGCGCACCGTAAATCTTAGCTAGGCATGCTTCACTGCCCCGTTGAGACAGAGCGACTCACCGATGCATTCCACTTGGAAACCCGAGTAGTCCAGATTATAGCAGCAATATGGGACGAGCCTTGGCGGACACGTATGGTTTTCTCCAGAGACTGGTACAGAAGTCGCTATTGCCGCAGTTATTTCTGCCATCACGGCCATTGTAGCTCCATAAGCGAGCAAGTTCGATATGAGAAGGCGCATCACGATATATTTGCGGAGGTATGGCCGCTAGAGACTGCGCAGCGTGTGTGATAAAGTCTGTCTGAGCCTGGTCTGCCGAATCGCAGTCTCCGATGATCTCGCCTAAGAATACAAGGTGAAGAGCCGCAAGCAGCAGCTGACAAGGTGTTCCCGTTGTTTATGGCTGCGCGCATCGACTCCAGCCAGGGTATAGAATAGGGAAGGTCGTAAGCAGAAATCGGCTCCTTCGTCCTATACAGTCTCGGTGATAAGATGCGAGGAGAGGTGAGCACCACTGTGGCATAGGCCATACAAGCCTCTCTTTAGTCTTGCTGCCACCATCCTCTCCTCGATCCTGCCCCTGACCTCGCACCCTGGTATTTCTCTATCTTCCCCACTGTTTTAAAGACCTTCGGGGATCCCAACAACATCCCTTTTTTTCTTTCCTTGTTAAAGATCCGGAAGTGTGTTCACTTTTTCAATTCTTCCAGTCTACCTCATTGACGGCTTTATCTGTTGAGGATCACTTCGTTCCCACTGCCAGTCATCTTATGGTTCGCCACCATCGTCAGGCTTAAGGTACCGCCAACTAGTGTCGAAGCGGAGGCAATGATCACTCGAGTTGTCCTCGAATAATTCGCTTAGAACGCAGTGAGGATGGATCGTGCCGGGGGATGAGATAGCCGCTCGAACCGCAGCCTCTGGCTTCGACGAGGAAGTGGTAACGTCTGGAGTTCGCGTTCCGCGTGTGAGCATGCCTCAATTTGTCAACATCGTGCGCAAAGGATCCCGAAGTTCAATTCTTTCGCACAATACTGTGTCCCGTTCGGAGTTCTTCCCTTTCGAAATTGCAACAGCTTCCGGAAGATCCTGCTGGTCCTTGCCGTGGTCGAGGGTGCCATCGTTGGCTGGAAATGCTTCGCCGTCCAACTCGAAATGGCCGTACTCTTTCTCATCAACTTCTATCATATCAAGGAGAAGTCTATCGAGTGGGGAATTTGCAACTGCCTTCTAAGTGATCAGTGGGAATATCCTTAATATCGAAAATATTCTCTATCTCCAGTGCTTTAGACGTAGCAACTTTATTGTCTCTTCGGATCTTTCAGAAGACAGCGACGTCTTTAACACTTTGTTCGTAGAGTCTGTAGAATAAGTCATAGACTTTTTGTGAGCGTCATAGTCGTCTTGCCCCTGTACCCTCAATGGTTGCCGCCTTCTCCATGCCCATCTCTCGACTAGTTCGCAAGTATCATCATCGATAGCTGTACCTCATCGTCAATGTTCCTGCATTTATCTCTAAATCTCGGAGTCTTAAGCCTTGCTGAAACTACGGTATGCCAGCCAGTCCAGATGTATCTTGTTGAGAGAGTCTATCGTGAGCAGTTTAGGGCTTTTTCGCTCTCTCTGCTATGGGAAAAGAGGCAGCTGTAAGGATCAATATTGTCTCAAACATTGGATTTTGGAACGATCTTAGCAAATATGCTAGCCACTGCGAAGGGATCTGGAAGTTGTCGAATATGCTCAGAACTCACATCAATTGTCTCCCACAATAAGCCACTGAAAACTGTCGTTAAACCCATGTTCAGAACCATAGGTGGTCGCCTAACAGCTTTGTAGTGTTTATCTTGAATGCCAATTATAGATGAATGATATGTCTTGATTGTTGCCTGTCTTGCTGCCTGAGTTAGAATAGAAGATGGCGATGAGCGGTCAGCCGTAGTCTAATCTTGCGGCTTAAAATCTTCCATGGGTCGGACTGAGGTAGCCTGCTCTCAGCAACAAGCCCGGCCGCGTTCGTGCCTAGGATATGGTCCACGAGTTTTACCACACTGATAGTAATACCTTGTGAGGCTAAACAGACCCTCCTTATGAAAAAGGGGAGACAAATTCGCCTCATTCAATGTAAGACATATAGTTGTATATGGTATTGCAATACGTAATTGATGTCACGGTACTTCCTTGTTCTCATTGATGCATTTCGATACTATTATACGACTCTGTTCGCGTGCAAGGCTCAAGAACGCAGGAAGACGAGGATTAACCAACATGACGGAATCCAAATTGTTTGGCCTAGCCAAAGTGGGTGACAAAAAGGCGAGACTGCAGACTCGCCAACTCTAACTTTGCCTCATATCCAAGATCTCAGATTCCAGAGTCAGAGGTCTCAAAACTGGTATTGATAGAATGTAACATTTACTCCTCCGCGAGGGTAATAAGTGTGATTTCCACAAAGGGAGCATTACCTCTTGTGCGGGGGACTATTATCTCTAAAAAGTTGATAGACCCGTGGTAGTAAACAGAAGCTTTGAGATCTTGATGAGTATTATGACACTCGATATTGAGTATCTTCTTCCTTCAGTAATAATGTTTATTACCCTGGTGGAGGAGTAGATGGTTGTAGAGAATTCTGTTGGAAAATCTGTGCTCATTTATGATAACATATCGAGGGTTGAAATTTGGAAGCTTTTAGCAGTCTTGCTTTTTTCGGTTGGCCAGCTCAACAGGTGTAAGCTCTCCCGTGCACTGGGACGGGGGGATTGTGGAGATCCCCGCCAAAGCAGGGGTTCTCCAAAATGTTCGACGCCATCTCAGCCAGAGACCAATAGTAATAAGTCAAAACCGGTTGCAGTCAGCCAATCAGTGTAACCCAAAGCCGGCGGAGGGGGTGCGAAATTTGGAAGTTGGATCATGGACAGATCTAGGAATGCCAGTACCATTCTACATGAGTGCTAAGTCGGCGAAAGAATTTTCAAATCAAGCATTCATCCCGGGGCTAGGAGAGCGATATCTGAGCAAATACAAGGGCAGCTTGAATTGAACACTCCTTGCCGGGGAAGACTTAGCCCGAAAGCGCTGACTTCGCCGTACACCCCCGTATGTCTAGAAATGTTGTGGTCCCCTCACCCTGGTGAATCTCCAGCTACACTTAGAATCATACAGCTCATGAAAGATGCCGTGACTGAAGTCTTCTAACATTTTATTATTGGATTGATCTAAGGGGTGATTTCTATCCAATACTTGCCCTGTGCCAACTCGAAAACCTTCCCAGTAAACACTCGGATCTCCTCGTTTGCCTCTCGGTGTACTTCAGCGACGCTTGTCTCTTTTGGTAGGACTAGTTCGCATGTAGTTCCCGTCGGGACAGAGACATTTACCATAGCTTTTTCATCTTGGAGGTCTCTGCGATCGAAGTCCACTGAGATCAAGCCATACGGGGACTCGATCTCGCCCCAGACGTGGTCAAACTCGCCTTTGAAGCACGGCCTCAATCTCCAACGGCGGTATGCATCTGATAGAGACTGAACACCCAGCACATAGCTGTAGAACCACTCGTAGATGGTGCCCAGCATATCGTGGCATTTCGAACGGCAATTATCCTGCCAGAATTCCGAGAGTGTGGTCTCCCCGCGGCGTAGGAATCGCATGTATGAGGGGTGCTCCTCTTGTCGCACCATGTCCAGTACAATGTCTGGTCGGTCTACATCGGGATCGGCTAATGTGTCCCAGAGATACTTGAGACCAATCTCGCCAGCCCTCATGACATGCCCCGATGCCTCGGCGTCTGCGACAAAGGCGGTGATAACATCGGCGCGATGTTCTGCTGGAACAAGCCCAAACTGCAAGGCTATGGACTGCGCGACCATTGTGCGATCTTTTGTTCCTGGGGTATCGAGGGAAGTGTAAAATGAATACGGATAGGTCTTCCTGTCTGTGACAAGCAGGTGCTTATTGTATACATCGTATATTCGGTCGGCCCAGGAGCAGAATCTAGCTTCGTCGTCAACACGCCCTAGCTCCTTAGCCATCATAGTCATGTTACGAAGGCACTTGTAGTACACGGCAGTTTCGATATTTGCTTGATGGTTTCCATATGCAATATCGCGGCCCCAATCGCCAAGACCATGCTCTATAAGGCCGCCGTGACGCTCTTTCCCTTTGATATATTCCATGTAACGTATACATGGCTGATATGCTTTGGCAAAAACACCAGTGCTACCGTAATATTTCTTGATGAGCTCTGGTAGCAGGCAAAGAGCTCCACCCCAAGTGATCGTATCGTGCATCGGACCACACCTGAAGTCGTCGTTAGTTGATGCGAAAAGAAGACCCCCGGAAAGTTAACTCACATATACCGGACCAGGGGCGCCATTGTTGGCACCAGTCCTGATGGCTCTTGGGCATCTATAATGTCGTCTATGATCTTCTGATACACAGCTTCGGTTTCGAACACGTACTGTGTGGCAGGAAAAAGTAATGATGTTACCTCCAACCACCCGAACTTTTCTATTTGGGGACAATCAGTATGATAACTGAAGATGTTGGAGCTGAAGGTCCAGCGACAGGCATTTATCAAGGCATTAACATCTTCTTTGTCCGTCTTGACGAAGCCCAGCCGCTTCGCTGCAGACGAAATGTGTCTAGCTATCACGGAGTGAATGATAGGGAGTCCATCTTTCCCATCCAGGGAAGCTCCCTCAATCTGGATATATCGAGCGCTGGTAAAACTAAAATCAGGCGTCCAAACCTCTCTTGTGCCTTGTCCGAGGAGCGTGACTTTGGAGTATACATGGGTCGCGAATTCGTCGAACAGAGGGTCAGGCATGAGTGCTGATCCATCCTCGCCAATTGTCTCGGAGTACTTGACACGGTATTCTGCGCCACTTGGTCCACTGGCCTCAATCTGAACCATGATTGAAGAATTTTGGCCGAGATCATACACGATCGTTCCCGGTTTGACCTGATTGTAGCTTATTGGCGTGAATGTGTCGTGAAGCACCACCGGCGGCTGGCTCTGATAGTGCAGCTTTCCGCGGGGACCTGTTACAGGTTTGGCTGGTGCCCACTTAGAATCGTCAAAACTTGGCGCGTCCCATCCAACCGGGTAGATTCGTCTGTCGTGATCTTCTGACGCATAGATATTTGCCAAGGTTGTTGCGCTCTTCCTAGCCTTCCATGTGCGATCTGAGGCAATGCATGAGTGGCTACCGTCGTCGTAGTGGATATGTACCTCTGCAAAGAAGCAAAGTTCGTTTCCATAGCGTACGTATGTGTTGTCCTCGTACATTGGCCAGAAGAACCGGTCGCCTTGGTCCCCAGCGTAAAACCCGTTGCCGACGTGGGCACCGATAACATTCTCGCCATTCAGAACCTTGTCCGTCACATCGTATCCCACAAACTGGACTGTTCTGTGATAGTTGGTCCATCCGGGGTCTAGGACGTGGAGGGACGCCGGTTTACCATTGATGCTCAAGTTAAAATGTCCTAAACCCGAGGCAAATATGATAACCCGAGCTGGATTGCGGTCGATGTTAAAACATTTGCGAAGGTAAATGGGCTTGTCGCCACCATCGCCTATCCAAACGGCCTTCCAGCGGTTTGCTTCATCTTCGAACCAAGTACGAAATATGAGACTACTGTGTGGCATCTGGGAAAGAGGATTTGGTTAGTGAATAGTCATTTCGTAGAGGAACACTCAGGTCATACGTAGGTTTGGTTCATGCTGTACGGTGGCAGGAGCCTCGAAGATGAAGGGTATGAGGTGTAGAACTCGTTGAGCGGACTTTTCACCTGGTTCTCATTCTGGTCCCAAATCCGTACGATCCAGTAGTAAAATGTTGTCGAATGAAAACCGCTCTCCGGCTTGCAAGAAATGTTGCGTTGCGCATCACTTTCGCAACGCCCAGTATCGTAGATAATAGCGTCTTGCTCAAGTGTCCTCTCAGTCGAGAGCACGATCTGATATGCCACTTGTCTTGTATCTTCGCTGACGGACTTGAACTTCCAATATACGCGAATCTCGTTAACATCTATTCCCACTGCTTCACCGAAGCCATGTATACCACATCTCACGACTTCCATCTTCAAGCACTCTATTAGTCTTAGATGATCCTGAACGGACTAGAATGGACGAACCTTGACGAAGTCAACTACCACATCAGAGAAGAGAAACAGAAAAAAGACGTCCACTTCTTGGCTCGGGTGATTGGCTCCCTTCGCGTCAGCGACTACCGGTACTCAAGTCCGAAGAGCCCGCAACCTCGTGGGTTTCTAGAGTAGAAATGGGGATGTGATACGGCCACGCCCCTTCAACGAAGTGGCGGCATTGGAGAAGTGGAGCCTGGACTAGGATAGGTGACCAGCTGGGGTTGGCTGTACTCCGCACATGCTGAGAACGCCATTACTACCTTGGCTACTTGTAAAATGATACGAAACAATCTTGAGGACTACAGAATGCACTTCATTTCAACTCTTTACCAAATCATTCATGGCGCCCCTCTCTTTGACCTGTGATCTATCGGGTGAAAGTCCACCGAATTCGAGCGAGAACAAGACATGGAGTTGTTGAAGCCACCTCGGTTATACACTCTCACCAGCCCCTTTCTTTGCCGGAGTCAGACATCGAGCCAACAAGGACACCCTCCATGTCCCCTGCATTGCGGCGGCCTAATTGCACCGGTGAATGGCACCACGCGCACAGATATATAGAGGCTGCTGGAACTCCACCACCCTCTTGAACTCCAGTCTTTCTGGGTACTCCTTACTCAATGTTGATCTAGAGAACTTCAATTGAACCATAAGCGTGAATTAACGACAATGCTAAACGGCAATACCCTTACCGTCATATCAGCGGCCTTCTTGGCCGTCGGTGGATTCCTTTTTGGCTACGATTCTGGAATCATAAGCTCGACGATCGCCCTCGCCACCTTCAAGGATTACTTTGGCAACCCTAGCGATGATATCACGGGCGGCATCGTGAGCTCCTTCCAGGGCGGTGCTGTGCTTGGGACTATCATCAACATGGTCAGTTCAACATGATCTTTCCGCTTATATGATCCAAACTCTTTGCTTACCGGCTGGCAACAGATATTCGCCGACATGCTTGGTCGTAAGAAAACCATCTTCTCTGGAGCCGTCGTCTCGGCCTTGGGTTCTGCCTTGCAGTCTGGTGCTACATCTATGGCAATGCTTATAGTTGGCCGCTTCATTGGCGGCGTAGCAGTCGGTATGCTGACAAGTACCATTCCCATGTACGCGTCTGAGCTGTCCATGCCGAAGTGGCGAGGTGCTCTCTCCGGTTTACTGCAATGGTTTCTCAGTTGGGGATTTTTAGTTGCACAGTGGGTTGGCTATGGCTGCTCCTTCTCCGGCACATCTTTCTCTTGTAAGTCTTTACGCGTCTCCAAGACTGCTTCTCCTATACACATCTGACTTTACCTGTTTCCCAGGGCGGTTTCCTCTCGCTGTTCAATGCATCCCTGCTCTTATACTCATCGGAGGTATTTGGTTCCTTCAAGAGTCACCACGATGGCTCATGGAGAAGGACAAGCACCAGGAAGCCCGTGCCGTTCTCGAGAAGCTCAGGAATGGACAGAACACGTCCCGCATCAATCTCGAGTTCATTGAGATTCGAGACGTCATCGCCGCAGATCGAGAAATTGCCCAGGTATCCGCATGGTCTATCCTTACGAGACCGACATTGAGGAAGCGGTTGTTGCTTGGATGTGGGGTGCAAGCATTTGGTCCCCTATCTGGCATCAATGTCATCAACTAGTGAGCCGACCCTTTGATGTGGACGTTGAATACCTGGTTAAATTGTGCTAACACCGCTTTACAGCTACGGACCACGCATCTACAGCATCCTAGGCATCAGCACACAGACATCTTTGATGATCATCGGCATCAGTGGTGCTCTTTCTATTGTGTACTGCAGCATTGGTCTCTGGGTGCTTGACAAGGTCGGCCGTGTCAAGCCCCTGATGGTCTCGGCAGCCGGTCTCGCCGCTGCTCTGTTGGTTAATGCTGTTCAGGCACAGTACCTCAACCCGAACAATCCTGATCAGCTCCGCTCCATGGTCGCCATGAACTTCGTCTTCAGCTTGTTCTACACACCCCTCGGTATCATCTCATGGGTGTACCCAGCCGAGATCTTCCCCGTGGAGGTCCGCGCTCTAGGAAACGCTATCACCACCTTCACGAACTGGGTAGTGAACCTCGTGTTTGCTCAGTTCTCCCCCGCAGCTTTGACCAAGATCGGCTTTGCTTACTTCTATGTATTCTTCGCTTTCAACATCATCGCTTTCCTCTGTTACTGGTTCTTCTTCCCCGAGACTAAGGGTCGCACATTGGAACAGATGGATGTGCTCTTCGGAGATCAGCTAGTCGCTCACGCACTTGAGGATCCCGAGGGAGCGATGGCATCACATAAACAAGCAGAGACGGCAGCACACGTTGAGGAGCAACACAAAGACGGCGAGAAAATCGTTTGAAGTTGCCTAGATGGTGATCATGGCCGGTAGCTTACTGCAGAACACAATCCAGGATCTTGTGGGCCTCATGTTCGATAGTAATTTTCATTGGAAATTTGTTCAATGAAGGTGGTAAATAGTTTATCTCAATATAACGCTTATCCGTGACCGAGACCCCGTAGATGTCGATGCTATTCGCATTGAGGCTCAATTCGTGGTGTTTAGGAGTGTGAATTATGTCCTGGATGAGAGTATGTAACTTTTAAGACGTGAATCATGATTCATTCAACTCAACAGCCTGGTAATCCTCGTTAGCAAGGGAACCATGTCTTTGCCAGACCTTTTCTGTAGCTCATAAAACAAACAATCTTCCATCGGTTCGTACTATTTGAGCATCTCGACTCTACCAAGTCTGGTCAAAAGTTTGCAAATTAGTTATGATGCTTTGTGTAAACCTGCCTCTTTCGAGACGAGTACTGTCATGCACGCTGTTCAGAGTGCTCTCAAGCCACGGGTCTGGTAACTCCTCCACCTTTTCTTCCAAGGTTGTAGCATGTTCAAAGAGAAACTTCACCATCCACCGATCGAAACGATGAGTGTTTGATGTCAGAGAACGCAGACAGTTGTTCTGAAATGTCACCAAGCGATTTATCTATTACTCCATCAGCGAAAGTCCGTTGCACAGAAGTCTTCAGATGTCTTTAGACGGGTGAGATTCCCTACCATCAACTCCATGCCAGGCCAGTATCGGCGTAGCAGGACCAGGGACTCCAGATTTGATTTCAGGCGGCGGCTCGTGTCGGGAAGCTCTCCTGCGTCTCCGAAGAGATATGTGTGAAGCAAAACTGAGGAGGACACCACTGTAACATGGCCGACGATATGATATAAAGCTTCGGCGTCCGTGTGTTCTCTTGATGCCTTCAGAATATCACATATAATCGTGCTATGATGCTTGCAGCGGGCAGCATATGCCCTGCCGCTTCTTGTCGGTAATCGGCGTTGATCAAGGTGCTGATAGAACAACAGGGTGTAATAATGATGGAAGCCTATGTGAAAGGCAACGAAAACGCGCCCAAGACCCTTTGTGATTTGCAGGGCGAGGTTGTCCAAGGACCACTGCATTTCCGGAGGAAGACTGCGCTCAAAGGCGTCGAGCTCGACATCGAGACGATGCACTTCCTTCTCGATGGCCCCATCATCCCACTCAGTGGTTTCGGCCAGATAGTGGAGGAGATATTGTATCTGCCTGTAAATGTTGACCAGTCTGACCATGTGGCCCCAGATACCCGGTCTCCAGTCTGCAGCGGAGACATCAGGGTCCCCAATTCGCAGCTCATAGAACACCGACTCATCCATTGGTACTCGTGGCTGCCTCTCCGGGACTTTGAATTGACGGGCGACGCTTGAGCCGCCGCTACTCCAGGTGTCTATAATGAAACAAGACCACCATACTCGTAATTTGGTTTCTCGGGTCACTGCATCATCCGTTTCGTTCATTGAATCGAGTCTCAGGACCTGCGCCATTCTGCTGGCAATAGCTATATTCATGAACATTAACTGCTGTGATGCCGTCTGCGCGAAGCACAGAACAGTACCTACCAAAATAGATAAGCTCAGCTTGAGGTAATGAGTCGCCGAGACAAATATTCCCTATCAAGATGCATGCCTGTATATTTTCAATGCAGGCATGCTCAAGATCATCCTTGAGGGCTTGTTTGGCTTGAGCCGCTTTCACCATCCCACTGGACCGGACCTCGGGATCTTCAGCATAGCTAGTGGTCTGTTAAAAACTCATCTCGTGGCATTGACCGATTCAAATGCAATGGCGCACCGTGCAGACAAGCCAACCATGCTCAGCAAGACGGTCGGTGAGACCGTCGCATCGGCGACGCTTGCTTTGAAAGTTGCCTCATGAAAGAGACTATGAGGTTTGTCGTGAATGTATCGAAAGTACAGATCTACCAGATACATGGTCTCTTCATCAGGTGATCTAGGCCGGAACAGAGACGTCTGAGTTGATGGGGGACGTTGAGGCAGAAGTGCCAAACCTGAACATTTCAGATTTCGCTCGATGCATTGGATGCAAGCCGACGAAGTCCCTGAGGGGTCACATTTCCGCTTGCCTCGTCTACATTGAGAGCAAGCCTTCGCAGGCCTCATGGTGCGGTGTTGTCAGGAGTATAAGAGAATCCCACGCGATTTGGCCATGGGACGTTAGGGTTCCATGTCTTTTAGTAGTGGTGTGGGGAAGGGAAATGCTATTTACACCGCGTCACTTGGCTATTCACGCCGTGTGTGTGTAGAAGATGCTGGTATGACCAAAATACCAATCGACCGTTTCGGTATCAGCATAGAAAGATCATCTTCATGAATTCTTCACTTTAACCCTCGAAGAAAGAAAACTTAGATGCGATTAGTTCTTTGAAATGAGTGTTGGTGTCCAGAAGTGCATACCTCCGAGACTTACGACATTATTTAAGGGTGAGACAAGAGCACTTATTTCGATGACAGTATTCAGGACATGGTTCCATGTCACACATTCACAAGCCATCACGGAGAGATCATTGTTTCTCTAATTGTTCGAGTTCCATCAGAATTGAGTCTCATTTAAACAAAAGAAGGATCCTACTGCACCGAATCCAGGGGTATAGCTACAATCGCTCTGTGCAGAATCACAATCGTCGTCCAACCTGCCGTGATAAGATAATATAGCCAAGGGAATTTTTTTCCGTCCAGCTAAGGCAAATACAGAAGCTGCAAAATTCCTCCTTTTGATATATGCCGTCCTCCAGTATACAACAAGTAGTCATCTCTTCATCATCTCGTTTCCCTCTCAAACACTCAAACGTGAATCACTTAAATAGTAGATCCTGAGTTCAGGGAGATGCAATTGGTGAGGAGCGTGGCGCCTTCGTGAAGAAGCTCCCATCTAGTTGTCTCGAATGTATCCTTCAGAACCAAGAGCATAGCGCTATTGTTATTGACCCCTTTCTTGATCTTCAGTTCCTCAGGAGATGCAACATTTCCATAGACCATGAGGTATTCTCGCATCTGAAGGACTTGCTCATGTCGCGAGGATGGTACGGTGACGTTGGGGCATGGGCCCTCTAAGGCATACCCGTAGCACCACACAACAAGTGCAGCAAAGTAGAGAACCCACGGCCGGTTCAGAAGGACGTCATCTCGTGCTGAATATGGCTCGTCTGTCTGGCTATAGCCACTTGAATGCGGCGAGCCGGAGTGGTTAGTCATAAGCACCGAGTTCAAGAACTTGAGAGCATAGAATGTGGCATCCCGTGCTTTTGCCGACGGCGCCCAGATGTCTTTCATCCTTCTCTGGGCGCTGCTGAGATCCTGCGTGCCAATCGCTCGCCCAAGCAACCTCTTGGCCCGCGCAAAGATTTGACAATCGACAATATCCACATGCATCGCCATATGTGCGAGATGATGGAGAACGACTCGGCTTTCAAATACAATATTCGCCTCGCCCCGGTTAGATGTATCAATGGCATAAGGGTCAGAAGAGATATCGCCCCGATCAAGGGACTTGTCAAAGTCGCTCTTCCACGAGTCAAAAGCCCTGGTAAGTGTGCTTCGCCATTTATCACGACCACCCAAAGCTTGAGAAACTCCTCCGCCGAGGGAGTTCACCTGCAGATCTCGCTGGTTCATGTGCCAGCTTACGCTAAGGAGACCAGCCATCAGAATCATTCGGCCGAACGAGTTGGTCTGGACTGGCTGGTTACTCAAAGTCCGCTTGAGCCCCTCTAGGAAAGATATTGGCTTGATGCCGTTCGACATCAGATTAGCCTCAATCCTTCCCACCTCTGCACCGCTCTGGGCTTTCCACAGCGAGTCATCACAGGGCAACGGCAGACGCATTTCATGGGCCACCATCACGGTCGAGTGACCGAACATGGTAGCATGAATTGAATCGATAACGAATGCAGCGAATGCAGCACGCCGAGTCGTCTCATTTGTGATCCAATGATTCCACCATTCATCAGCGGTGTGAGCCACGCCCGAGGTGGATGAATGTCTCGAACCGTTCTGCTTGTCTTCCCTTGGGTTTGGCGGGGAATCTAGAGCTGACTTGCCGATAAGAGACCGACCACGGCGCATCAAGGTGATTGTTGTCGCATGGTGAATATGGGCCCGTTCATGCAGTTCTCGTGTAGAATACATCTTCTCATACAGTTCAAGGAGCAAAAGGGTCTGGAAGACCCACAGCTTCGCAGGTGGCTTGAAATTAGCATCCATGAACGTCTCCCATCTGAGATGCCATGCGAGAAAGTTGGAGAGCTGAGCGCCAGCTTTTGTAACCTTATGCCCATGTGCTTTGTCCAAGCAAGCAGCTCCAATAGCCATCATAGCGATCAACAGAAGTGGGGGAGTCCGATCGGGCGAAAAAGTAGGTTTGTGGAGGATGGGGACTTGGTCGCTGAAATGAAGCCAGTACGAGCCAATGTAAGCTTGAATCATCTTGCGTCCAAGCATATGCTCGTCATTCCTCTCGCCTTCAATGATGTTTTCCCTCTGTCGCTCCACCGGCGTATGGCCATTCTCATGGAATCTTTCCTTGATAAACTCAAAAATCTCATTGGCCTTTTCGTCTGAAATAAGCGACTCGGGGAGGTTCTGATCGAGTAAATTATTGACGGCCATAACCTGTTGAGGCGCCGCCGCCGGGAAGTAACCGAGCTGGGCCGGTTCGGTACCATAGTATGGGACGCTATACTGCTGCGCCCCGAACTCCCCATAGCTGCAAGTTATTAGCAGATCAAAGCGGTAAAGTGGTCAGGGGTCACCTACTTGGTTGCATATTGCTGGGGAGTCATCTGCCCCATTGTAGAGCCGTCTGCGCTTTGTGAACCTGTGTTGAACAGGTATGCCATGAAGTCCTCGGGCATGCCAACGTATGGAGACTTGTTGAGGCCACCTTCTGTACCGAATACGGGAATCGTCTGATTTGACATGTTATCGAGCAGCATCATTTCTCCCGCTGACTGTTGGGGACCGTGCTGGGTATAGTCCATTGCTTGGGACGCATATGCCTGGCCTGTTTCTCGTGAAACTGGCGCAGAAGTTGTTTGTGAGAAGTCTGAAGGAGGAAGGCTGAAAGCGGGAAAGTTCTGCTGGCCCATGTACACGGTTGCAGACTGAGGGGTATTGTTGGGTTGACTGTGATAGCCATGCTGTGTCGACACTGGGGACAGGACTCCGTATGGTCCGACACTGGCCTGAACTGGGCCTCTTTGTGGACCGGGTGGGGAGTGATGTTGTGACCGTTGACCCTGTATACGCCCATAGGAGTCATGAGGCATGTAGTCGACACCATTTGTGTGGGCGCCGTTGGGATAGCCGGTGGGTGGAGTATTGATAATAGGAGTGTAAGGGCTATTCGTGACGTCTTGCGAAGAATAAGGCATATGGTTGGGATGGCCCTTGTACCCTGTACCAGGTCTGTTGACTTCAGGTGACAGAGAACCTGAAGGGGCAAAGGGAGGACGCCCCTCGCCAATCGGTGAGACTTGATCTAGCATGGAATCTTTGCGGTTGAGAGCGGAGCCTTTGGCCGTATGGCGGTCCTTGTGCCGGTTACACAAGTCGAGTCGGACAAACTGCCGAGTGCAACCCGGGAAGTCGCATCTATAAATCTGCTTTGGGGTGTGATTTAGCTGGTGACGGTAACTGTCAACATCGATTAGTTTCACAATATCGAGAAGATGCCGATGTGGGAACAGTAAGTCTTACAGATGCTCTGCTCTCGAATAGCTCTTCCCGCAGCCCTCGTGAGGACATTCGAACTTTTTGTCCAAGCCCTTGCGGCTACGTCTCCGCTTCCGTACAGGGCCGTCCGAGTTTGAAGAATTCGCATGGTTGCCGTCGCCATCTTCACCTTGGTCGTCGTCCATGTCATTTCCATCAATATCATCCTTGTCGTGGGAGCGACTACGCCGGCGACCCCTCTCCAGATCGTCCTCCTGCTTGATGTTATGCGGTGGCGTTGGTTCCTGTGCTGGAGGCATGATAGGTTTAGATCGCGACACGGCTAGTGACGACTTAAGATCAGTTATTTGTGCTGTAAGAACAGATGTCATGTTCCGTCTAACTAGACTCGACGGCGATACGCTGATGTGTTGCAGTTGTGTGGTACTGAGGAGACAAAAGTATTGGAAACACTCGTCTGGCCCAGACGGATTGGCGCAACTCGTGCGCCGTAAAAAGAGGACCGTGTGATGGCGAACAAAGTAGGTTCTATTGTTGTGGCGAACAGGTCGCACGATGGTTATGTTAGAGGTTCTGCCGTGACGCTCACGGCGGTCAGTGTGTGTAGTTTACAGCCAGCTAGCACTACCGTGCTTCTTTGGCGACGATGTCGCGGCCGAGGCAGGAAGCTTTCTCTCTCTCGACCTCTCCCAAGCCAATTGGAAGAGAGAGTTCACGATAACATGACTGGTGGTGAAGAGTCTTCGCCGGCGAGAACAGAAGGATCGAGCTTGTAAGAATTCCTTGGACCAGCTATGCGAACGGCAACTCCAGACTTCTCTCAAGACTTTCTGAGTTTCCCTACGAATGAACGATAGCCGGAGCCAAAAGAGTATACTGCAGAAGAGATCAGCATGGGAAGACTGGCAGCCAGGTGCTGTAAAACGAGGGTTGAAAGCATCTAAAGGTGGGAGGGCAAGCCTGCACTCTGCGCGCATTAAGGCAAGTGACGGGAACTCGACTGGGAGGGGGTGCAAGGGTACCTAGGCTCTAGATAGGTGACAAGGCGATGGACGAGCGACTGTATCGAGCCTACCGCATGTACCTATAGGCAAGGTACGCCCAATATGGGGGCGCACGGTACTGCAGCTAGCGGGACGAGGTTCGCAAGGTATCTTAGTGTACGCAGAGGAGGAGGAGCAGCTGGTAGGGGTAGGGGGGGGGGTGCGGACCAAGCGTACTTGGGGGCAAGGTAGGCAGATAGGTGCTGCTGCTTAGCAGGGTCTTTGGCGTGACTCTGTGAGGCAAGTAAGAGTGGTGGTGGTGGAGGAGTGGAGCGATGCACCCAAAAGACGACTCTGCAATGCGAGGGAATTAAAAAAACTCGTCTCTCTGGACGAGCCCCAGCAGGAGAGTACCGAGAAACCGGTGCGGACGAGCCCGGCGGCAAATCGAAGTCCGTTCTGGTCGGTTCCCCAGAAGAAGTCATGACATGGCAGACGTCTTGGACTACCTCGACACAAGCCAGCTGCAAGTACCCGGCTGCTTCTGGAGGACAAGACAAGACAGACGGGCTGTGAATAGTGCGACGGGGCCCGTGTAGTGTAGACTACCGTTGGACTTTTTGCGGGGAGGGACAGACAAGCGTTGACGAACACCCACGCCGCGCGCGCAGAGCACAACGAGCACTAAGGTAGGATAGGTAGGCAGATACAGGGCGAGAAATCCCACTAACCTCGCTTCTTGAAGACAAGCCCACGTTGGCAGTGATCCTCCCGCGGCAAGGGCATGCAATGATTGTTCTTGTCGATGTGAAGAGTCTGTCTGCCTCAATTGCTCTGGGAGTGCAGTATCGCAGCATGAGGCAGGGTGCTGCACCTTGCCAAGACAGGGCTTGCGGAACAATAGAACACTCGCTTTTCCCCAGATGTCGAATCAAGGCTCTGTTGTCCGACCGTGTGAGATCCCACGAGGTCGAGGTGATGCGTTTTCTGGGGAAGTGGGAGAATGAGAGAATCTGAGCGGCGGGCGTGTGGGGGTCTTTGAACTTATGGCCAGGACTGGCCGCCGGCCCTGGCCTCGCCGCCGCTCATATGTAATGTATGTATGTATTGACCTGACCTACCTTACCTGAGGTAGGTCATGCCTGGGAGGAGGCTAACTTGTCCCTTTTGAAAAGAGTGTGACCACCTTGCCCAGACTGAGGTACCCTCCCAGGAAGCCTGTCACGCCCTGCCACCCGCTTGCTTGCTGGCTCACTCCTTCACTGCCTGGAGCCTGCTACATTCAGCATGAGAATGTGAGATGGTGGTGGTGAGCCGGGGTCCGTCTCCTCGTACTGCGTAGATGGTCACCGAGTCCCCATCTCATCTGAAGCTAGCGCAGCGGGCTGCCCACCACGGTACGGGGCGGAATTAGCTAACGTTAGCACTCTCGTCTCGCACCATTTAATATCCACACGGCTTGACGGCGTTAGGGTGGACAGAAGGACCTCCCCACTGATAGGTACATGTACGTGTAGACTTTGGAGGATAAGCAAGCCGTACAATCCATGCAGTACTTCTGCTCTAGCGCTTGCTATACCCTACAATACCACCAGCCGTCCGGCTTGCGTGGAATCATGTCTTCCTTGAAGCTATGAGCTCCCGTGAGGTACACCCGTCCCGATGCTTGTCTTCGTCAGCTTCCAAGAGGCTGGTGGGGAAGCGGAAGTCATATGCCCGCACAGAAGATGGAGAACACGGCCGGCTCGCTAAGTAGGTGTCACTGCAGGACTACAATGCTTGGGAAGCCCGCGAGAACGGAATTGCAAGGGGTATATTTCGCGGATTTTCTACAGGACGCGCCTGCTCGGTCACTCGCTCCCTCGTGCCCCTTGGTTTGGAGCAGAGTACATACAGCATGTGCATACTGCCATCCTAACCAGACTGGCCAGAGTGCTTCGCCAACAGGTGTTGTTCCATTCGTCGACCCAACTTAGCCGGCCTAGCCTGGCTGGGGGTAATTGGTCTTATTTTATTAATAAAGAGGCGTCCCAGCTACAGTCACTAGACTAGCTTGAGCTTTAGGGTGGTCCCCTTAGCACGCCTGGCTTAGCAGCAGGCATGGCCGTGTGGAACGGATGGATTACCAGGTAGGCAATGATACTCGTGCGTTCAGCCGTATCCGACGACCCCTTACGGTCGCGGTTTGCTGGTTTCATGATGGACATCTATCCTGGCTCCCTGGTTGAGCTTTCGAACCGCATAATGGGGAACGTGGCGAACACTAGGGGAAATAACTCTCTGGCGATTCGAAAAAAGCAACTTTGTGTCACTTCAGACTGCAGATGCACCACCAGGGAGTAGTCAAGCAGTCAAGTGGTCTCGCTCGGCTGCGGGGCACTCCGACGAGATCCCAAGACGTCGGATGGCTGCGAACAGCCTCCATCGTACATCCTGCGTGTACCCGCTCTGCCGTTGTTCTGTCCCGCCGAGGATTCGCAGTGAGAGGTGGCTATTTATTTGTGAAGGAAGCTCAAGTTATGATCATAGAAGATGTAATTGATCATCTTAGTGTGGACTCCTGCATACGGATGACGGCCATCAAGCTCTAGGTATGCGCGCGGCGCGCAAGCAAGATGCACGGCCGAGCGATCTGGGTCCCGTCATTCTGGTGGAGTAGGGAGCCACAGCGCAAACAAGGGGCTCGCTGTATCCCGCCCTGGCAGGGTCCTGGCCTGTTCCGAGGCGCCATGAGCTGTCGTGCTGAAGAAGGGATTGTGGAGACATGCAAGACAGTATCCGTACGGCGTACGGCATGGGCAGATCAGAAGAGACTGAGAAGAGTGGGTTGAGGATATGCAGACTGAGGGAGATAAGGCACACTTGGCGTGCCAATCTGAAGCCGTCCTTTCCAGTGAACCTGCCGACTTGCCAGCCTGCCAGCGCCGGAAGCCTGAGCCTGGATTGAGGCGAGGCAGGATGGAGTTTTCGTAAATTTGACCTTGGCCTTGGCCCTGGCCGATCAGAGCTTGGACTTCCGAGCCACTTGCTAAGCCGCGTCTGTTTGGATGACTGTCGATTCTCGTAGTCATTCTTTTCGAGTAATATGCGATGACCTGAGAGCTGTCGATGAAACTCACCATGTTCTTCACCGGTTTATGACAGGCGTGACGTTCTCAAACCCATCACTTCGCCTCGCGTGCTGTGAAAATCAATTTCGATCTTCAGCCATTCTGTTGATTCTTTCTCGAAATGGCGAGTCGGTCTCGTAGAGAGGGCAGGAGCATCGACTGCCCTATGTACCAAAAAAAGCAATTACGACCTACAGTATTTCACTCACTTGAGTCACTTTCCGTTCCCCCCAAATTTGAAAACCTTCTAGAAGCATAAAAAATCTGGGGAAGAAGCTCAAGTGGCGTGGCATCGACGTCGTAATGCGTTTTCTTTTGTGAGACCATGTTGATATCATCATCACCAAACAATTTTGAACCCACTTGGGGCCGGCATGGCCGGTTCATCAGATGCCTATCTGGTCCTAGAAAGAACGAGACAAATGAGACACTGAGACACGAGCTGCAAAACGCTCTACGCCGCTTCTCCTTCCGGGATGGTATCCTCGTCAGCTAGTCTCGAATTGTCAAGCTGAAAAGTTGCACTGTGAGGTTAATAACTCGTCACGCATTGGCCACGAGAGCAACTGTCGCTCTAAAGTAGACCTTGACCTAGGCGAAAGAAAGAGGGAACTAGTTCCAAAAGCGTGGCACGCGACCCCCATTGCCGCCATTGATGGTTGCGTCTATCCCAGTAGCTTACGAGCTTACTACATAACGCATTCTGTCCTGGCCAGCTTAAGTGAAAGAAGCTCTCGCGCTGGCTACTAGAATTGGAAAACACGGCATCCCTCTTGAGCTCGCAGAGGTTCACAATTTGGCGTGGAGAGCGTACCCGCCATAGGTGCATCAAGATCTTACTGTGGTATATCATCAAGTCGCTTCAAAAGGCCAGGGTATCATGCAGCTTGAATTTGGGGGGCAGCTCGTAGTGGATCGCCATCCATATACACTGGGCACTGGAAAGACACCTCCCATCAATTGGTCTTAGTGCGCAAACCCCCCGGTCCCCTAACTGCACGACGACTTGTACCTGAGAGCATAGAATCGAAGTAGGTCCAAAACCACTCATACCAGACTGTCCGATCTCGCGAGCATCTCGTCATCAACTTTGCAGGAAGACGAGATAGGACAGCTCACGCGCATGGTGTCACGGCCGGAGCTCTCGGGCAGAACTGCCAAGCCCTGCCACTGGTAGGACGAGCAGGAGGAGATGGGAGGAGGCATGCAAAGGAATTCTCATCCATCGCCGCCCCTGGTTGCTTCCCACCTGACCACATTGGCGCGTGCTGATTTGTCCCACGCAGCCTTGAGACCAGGAGACCAAAAAGCAACGGAACACGCCACTGGCGTCTTAGTTGCAGCCTCCTGATGCACGTCGATGAAAACGTTAGGGACTCGGGCTGAGGCGTTGGTGGGGGACACGGCTCGCTGGCCTCGCTATATGCACGGTAGAATATCGATCAGCAACATGTCGGACACTTCTTGCGACTTTGCAGAATCCAGATGGTGGCCCAGTGCTCTGCTGCAGCACAGATTCGGTGACCAGGCTGTTACTGAGGTGTTCCTGCTTGACAACAAATACAGAGTAAGAGAGACCAGGTACACTGCGCGATCCGACATTGGAGGCTCCTCTGTTATAGGTGCTCTGTCGGGTATTATATGAATCCAGCCAACCAGATATCTTGGAGACATCTCCACAATCAACCCGCAGTTCGTGGGCTTCCGCGGACAAGACCATCGTCTTCTTGACTGCGTCGTCATATGGGAATAGCTACTCGATTCAGGCACGTTCTCAAACAAGCCGGAGAGCTTTATTAGATTGTAGAGGGGAGAAAGTGCCGAGATCGACAATAAGCGATGTCCATGGCCCCCCACGGCCGTTGAAGGATCGAGACGCCTTGTATGGTCTATTTAGTACCATTCTAACCGGATGCTCTCAACAACAGTATTTCAACCTGTTAGTCACAAATACAAGGCCAGGTATAGAAGCGTACCTACCCAGAACTTTTGCTGACCAGGTCCCCAGGACGCCATCTTGAAGGCGAAGACACTGACGACATCCTACTTGCTGCTTAACTAACCTATTGCCTAGCCACATGACAGAATAACTCATGCAGCTCAGGGAAAGAAACGCGAAATCCAACCAGATGGTTTCGTTGAATTAAAACACAAAGCTGTCCCTGCCTCTCATAGCAATGAATTCACCAAAGTCCTCGCCAGCGTGCGTCATGTCAGCTGGTTGGGCTTTCCACTACTGCGCATGGTAGAACTGTGATTTGGCAGGTCTTCATTTGAAATCATCCACAGGGGGGAATTGGCTGGATTTGCTCTTGCTAGATCATTGATGCGAGGGTGACGAGCCATGGCAGGCGTAACTGAATTCTACAATGTACAGAGGCGCTACGAAAGCCTCCAAAGGTCTAAGAACCCCGCTATAGTAACCCCGTGTACCGACTATACCACACGCCGGCTGTCGGGTGGGTAGTCACCTTAGGCAACCGCTCAAGGAGGTAGGTACAGAGGCTCAGTGGCTGTCCTAGGTATTGAAAAAAGTGGACTAAGTGTCGTCAGACCCCACGATGCGCCTCTCAATGCGCAAAATCAATTTAGCACATCTGCCAGTGGTCGGTTCTCTCCGCCTGCCTTTTTCCCCCATTCTGCGACGTGCCGAAGAGGACACAACGATCAGCCAAATCGAGACATCGCGACACTTGCTCTCCGAACACGGCATACGACAGGTCATGAGATGTAATTCGCTCTCATTACCAAGGCATCTCAACTTCTAGCCGGCCGCAGCTCCTCGCTGCCCATTCCAAGTCTTACCTATGCCTCCGAAGGGCTCACGAGCCGCCGCCGCCGGCAACCACGAGGACTCGAAGTCCGAGACGCCGACGCACAAAGAGAAGAACGGGCACAGTACAGGCTCACATCAATCGGGCACAAAGCTCCGCCGCGTCGCCAGCTCTGCCGGATCTACACTGAAAGACGTGACGACTGCTGCGGCTTTGCTGTCAGCGAGCCAGGCCCAGCCCCCTCCGGCTCCAGAGCCATTCAATCCAAGTGTGAGTTCTGTTAACAACTCCGACTCTTCAGGTTGCCAGACTGACTGGGTCTCCTTTTCTGTAGCTTCAATGGTCGACGTTTGATCGAGATTTCCTCCACAAGTACCGTCGAGCGTACAGCCTGACAACGCCGACCTCCTATTCGAGCGATTACCACTCCTGGGTCCTGAATCAGCCGGGGAGCGTGGGCTTGCACTCTCCTACCGTCAAGAGGAGGAAAGAATGGAAGCGGCAAAGCAAAGGGTCGCTGACGAACACGGTGCGAAAACACTTCAATAGCCTCGGCGTCCAGGAGAACGACGCAATTGTCGACTTTCTTCACAAAGTAAGGACTGAAGGGTCATCTAGCTCGCCTCGAGTGAAAAAACAAGACCTGCCTGTCCATGAAGTGGATAGATAATGTTCTTTGCTGCATCTTGCGGTTCAATCACGTTACGAGTTACGGGTTCGGCGGCGTTGGTCCTTTGATTTGCATGACTACTTCTTGGGTTTGAGTCTGGGCGGTATGACCAACTTTTCAGTCCTCCTCGGTAGCTATTCAGTATTGGTGTTCTACGGCGTTGTAGACTCCGGAAGTCCCCCGATGGTATAATTGGCAATTGCATATATAGTTTCTAGATATTCCGGTAAATTTCATGCTCATCAGACACTGTCGATCCCAACATTCCAAGCCTTGAGTTGCTGCATCTTTTAAAAGAGAGACAATTCACAATGGGGGACTTTGAGGCGAGCCGATACCTATGGGAGTGAATCGCGTCTTATCGCGAAGTGGACCGCGCCCCGTTATCGCAGCCTCTTAAGCCGACCTTAGATGCCTAAGGCACCATCAAGCGTTACCCGGCACGGTATTCCTCGGGCCAAAAAAAAGTTGATAGCGATTGGCGATGTCATCCAAATGTTTCTAGAATCTCTCCCCTATATACCCACTGTCTCTTCTTTCCCTCATTCGTGCTCTTCCACTTGGCGATTCTTTCTTCAGCTCAGATGCATACTTCACATTCATCATCATGAACTCCAGCCTAGTAATACGGGCCGGTGCGCCTGTACGGCAATTCTCTGCCGCGCAAATATGTCGACGGAGCTTCAACACCTACTGCTCCCATAGCACCCAACCTAGCAATCATGCGTCAACTGCACGGGCGCCCAAACGGCCTGCAGCGAGCGCACGTCGACAAAGATTCCCTTGTCAACGTGTAAGTCGTGATACCTTCTTCTGCCGGGATTACAAATAGCTGACATCTCATTCGCGCACAGGCTTTCCATGCTACCCCAAGTTCTCTCGCGTCAGTCAAAGATCCATACAAGGTCCTAGGTGTGGGCAAGTCTGCTTCCGCCTCCGAGATTAAGAAAGCCTACTACGGCCTGGCAAAGAAGTACCACCCTGACACGAACAAGGACCCGACCGCGAAGGACCAATTTGCTGAGATCCAGACGGCCTACGAGCTCCTATCGGACCCCAAGAAGAAGGAGCAATATGACCAATTCGGTGCTGCTGGCTTCGACCCAAATGCAGGACCAGGACCCGGCGGCGACCCATTTGGTGGAGCAGGCAATCCTTTTGCTGGCTTTGGAGGGCAAGGTGGCTTCGGAGCCAACTTCAACTTTGAAGATCTCTTCTCGGCTTTCGCTGGCGGCCAAGGAGGCAATCCATTCGGCGGCGGCGGCCGTAGAGGCGCTCGGAATCCGTTCCAGCAAGAGATTTTGGTTGGCGACAATATTGAAGTTCAGACAAACATCTCCTTTATGGAAGCGGCCAAGGGCACCAGCAAGACGATCACTATCACCCCTCTTGTGACGTGTAAGACTTGTACCGGTAGCGGACTGAAGGCGGGCACGCAACGGTCACAGTGCAAGACATGTGGTGGCACGGGAACACGAGTCCATTTCCTCTCTGGTGGCTTCCAGATGGCTTCAACATGTAACACTTGTGGAGGTACTGGAGCCTCGATACCTAAAGGGTCGGAGTGCAAGTCATGTCACGGTGATGGTGTGACAAGGGAGCGCAAGACTCTGACGATAGACATCCCTGGCGGTATCGAAGATGGCATGCGATTACGAGTGGACGGCGAGGGAGACGCGCCGGTGACTGGCAAAGCGGCAGACCCTAATATCCGAGGAACTCGTGGAGACCTGTTTGTCTTTGTCCGGGTCGCATCAGACCCGAAATTCAGTCGCTCCGGCTCCGATATTCTCTATACGGCCTCGATTCCGTTAACAACGGCTTTGCTAGGTGGTGAGGTCAGCGTGCCGACTCTAGATGGCCAGGTGAACGTGAAAGTTGCAACGGGCACTGGCACTGGCGAGAAGATGACGCTCGCTGGCAAGGGAATGAAGAAGCTCAGTGGCCGTAGAGGTGGATCGGGAGACCTCAGGGTTGAGTTCCGTGTTCAGATGCCCAAGTATCTCACGGCCAACCAAAGGATGATTGCGGAGATGCTTGCCGACGAACTTGGAGACAAGACGGCAAAGCGAATCATGAATATCCGGACACCAGAGTAGGAACTATCTCCCTGGCTTTTATCGCAAGATGTACTGACGATTACTTTCAGGTCTGATGCGCAATCAACCGGAGACTCGCATAAGAACGAGGGCTTCTTGAAGTCTATGTGGCATAATCTAACGAACCATCCCGCTCACCAAAAGAAACCAACATCCGATTCACCAGAATCAGAACCGAAGATGGACACTCCAGACGAAAAGACAGATGAAAAGAAGGATGAGCCCAAGAAGGCTTCAGATTCTGGATGAGGTAATTCCCCGCAGCATGTACAATACGTATCTTGGAGATTACCCAATCTCCAATTGGACATATTCATTAAATAGATTGGATTGCATGGGCGGTGTTGAGGTCATTCTTGCTTTGGCGTCCGCGCGGTAGGGCTAGAACGACATGAACATATGTTGAAGCAGCAGCTTGCCGCCAAGGCACCTGATTCGTTGTATATTAGGTAGGCAGGGGGTGCTTGATGTAAGGTAGAACTACATACAGAACAAGACCACTCTTAATGACAGAGGCCCAGCCTCATCATCATCAATTTCAGAAGCAACAGCAAACTCTCCGCCGAGATCATGCAGAGTCGGAGTTATTGTGTCACGCTACAGATCCTAAGTCCACTGGCCGTTGCTCGATAGAGGATCGTGTAATGGTCTCGGAAAATCTACTTCGGTCAATTGCTCGGGCGCACTCCTCTTGGACCACAAGTCTGGCCGACGGGGAGCGAAAGTTGGACAACCTAGCAACCGAGGGTTCCTGGATTGTTGTGTCAGCGTCGCAGCATTGAACAGTTCACAGCACTGGCACTCTGCGAAGAATAGTAACAATGGCAATCGCCCTCGAGCGTCAAGTCATCAATACCATTCTAGCAACGATGAACACGAGCGACATGGCAATTGTGTGCTTGGGACTTTCTCTTGGGGTAGCATATGGTTGACGCCCCGCAAGACCAGGGGTCACGATGGGCGATGGCATGGGCATAGCACTGGGGGAGAAAGACAGGCGCCCGCTCTCTCCGCAACTCGATCTTCCCCACATCCCCACCTCGAATCGGACCGCAAGACAAGTATCGTCCTGGACTTATTTTCGATAGCCTCGTGAGGAGAAGCTCCCGTTGTGGCCAAAGCTCCCCTCGGACCTTAAGATGAACGCCTTCCTAAGCTCGTGCAACGGTCCCTACTCGGCGAGAACTATAATAGCGTGGACCTCTTATTACAGCACACGATGCACAGCATATAGGGCTGTATAAAGTCATCATGATTTCTCTTCTATCAGAGAATTCTGGAGCCTGTCGAGTAGCCCTAGTGACAGCAATTATTCCCGCGCTACGATGTTGTTCTCTAGTTCGAGGCTCGTTCTTGCCAGCATCCTAGCTCATAGCACTGGCATAGTCTCGGCTGCTTGGCCCCAGGATGTCAGTGTGGATTCTTTCGTCTCAACAGAGAGAGGGATTGCTTTTCAAGGCGCACTGAATAACATTGGACCAAATGGCTCAATGGTTCCAGGTGCAGCGGCGGGCTACGTCGTCGCCAGCCCTTCCAAGGCCAACCCGAACTGTAAGTCGTCGGCAACATCAGCAGTCGCAGTTGTCATACACTAACAAATCCAAAAGACTTCTATACATGGTCAAGAGACTCGGCTTTAACATTGAAGATGATTGTTGACGAATTCCTTTTCGGCGATACCTCTGTCCAACAATACATTGAGGATTATATTCATGCACAGGCTGTCCTCCAGACGGTATCCAATCCGTCAGGAACCTTGCTGCCAGCAGGGACTGGTCTTGGGGAGCCAAAGTTCAACGTCGACGGCACTCGTTTCAACGGCAACTGGGGTCGCCCCCAGCGAGATGGACCGGCACTCCGAGCCATTGCTATCATCACATACTCGAACTGGCTCATCGAGCAAGGAGAGACAGACAGAGTGAAGACCGTTATCTGGCCTATCATCTCCAATGATTTGTCTTATGTCGGACAATATTGGTAGGGTCTCTTGACCTTCTCCATTGAAACATGCACTTATAGAATTAGGAACTCTACCGGCTTCGATCTTTGGGAAGAGGTATCAGGCTCAAGCTTCTTCACAACCCAGAACCAGTACCGCTCATTGATCGAAGGCGCAGTTCTAGCGGAGAAACTTGGTGTCACTTGCACTGGGTGCGATGAGGCACCTCAAGTCCTATGTTTCCTACAGACATATTGGAATGGGGAATACTTTATTGCCAACATCAACACCAATACTCAAAGGTCTGGCATTGATGCGAACACAGTCCTTGGCGCTATCTCTGTCTTCGACGTAGATGCTGCCTGTGACAACCCGTCTATCCAGCCTTGCCACAGCCGTGCCTTATCAAACTTCAAGGCATTCGTCGACACCTTCCGCAATAGTAGTCTATACCCCATCAACGCCGGCATCAACTCAACCAGCGGTGTTGCTCTTGGACGATATGCCGAGGATGTCTACTACAATGGCAACCCCTGGTATCTCATCACTCTTTGTGCAGCTGAGTTTCTGTATGACGCCGTTGCGCAGTGGGATAAGCAGCGCTTCATCACCGTGGACTCCACCTCTCTTGCTTTTTTCCAAGACCTGTATCCGGAAGCCAAGGCCCAGACATATAAGCGGTGCCACAAGACCGACCCATACCGACAGATCCTCAACGCTGCTACCGCTTACGCCGACTCCTTCGTGGCAGTGGCCCAGCGCTACACGCCAGCCAACGGCTCTCTGTCAGAGCAGTTCAACAAGAACCCTCCAGGGGAACCCCTCTCCGCGTACGACTTGACATGGTCCTACGCTGCATTCGTAACCATGGCAGAGCGCCGCGCGGGCCAATATCCACCGGGCTGGACCGCGAGCGTCGTTGAGCCACCTACGAAGTGCGAGGCTTCGTCCACACGGGGCACGTACTCCCCGGCTGTGGCAGCGGGCGCGCCTAACGTCACATCGACGTGCACGAGCAACGTACTCTTCATCGTTAACGCGACGACGTACTACGGCGAGAACATCTATGTCACCGGCAACACTACTGACCTGGGCTCGTGGAACCTCGACAACTCCCAGCCGCTGCTGGCAAGCAACTACACGTCTGAGAGACCGGAGTGGTACGTCCAGCTGGCCATGACGGCGGGCGAGACGGTCACGTACTCGTATGTGCGCCAGGAGGACTGCGGACAGCCGTACATCTGGGAGACGGTGAACCGAACTCTCACGGTACCTGAATGTACGGATGAAAGCGGCACCGACACGACACCGCAGCTAACGACGGACGATGCATGGACAGGACCGTTGGGATCAAGCGGTGGATGTTAATGGGATTTTGTATGGTATGAAAAGCGGTCTTTTGTTCTGCGGATTGAGTAGACAGGCGCCTTGTATCCTTGCGGATATACTGTACATGAATGATATGCCTTGATAAACATGATCACCATTGGTCATTAGGGACCTTTCTGCTTGCTCCGTACTCCTGTGACCATTCAGACAACCATACTATTGCCCTCCCGGACCCTGGTGTGGCCCAGGCATCCCTCCCTGTGGAACGGGCATGCCTCCTTGTGGGAACCCCCCAAAGTCGACCCCAACTCCCCCAAACCCAGTAAAACCTTGCATGATGGTGCTCCAATCCATCTGTCCAAACTCAATATCCGGCATGCCAGAGCCAAACATCTGGCTCATCGGATCGAAACCCGAGAACATGGTATCGGGTGTGCCCATGCTGTTGATCGATGGCGCTGCCGGGCTCGAATCCATCGGCGGCCGGCTCCCGCCAAATCCAGTCGCCGGCACCGGCACTGCCTCGTTGACTACCACGTTTCCAGAGGACGACTGCTTCTTATTGTGCTGCTTCGCCGCGAGCTGCTGCAGCACGGTAATCAATTTGGGCACAGGGGGCGCAGGCCGACCCTGCTGGATCTCGGCTGCCGAGTGGGCGTCCCACGCCTTGAGAAACAGCCTGCCGAGCGCGATGTGCATGGGGCTGCGCAGGTTGCGCGCCAATGCGCGCTTGTCATGGTTCTCTGCGATGGCGGCCCAGGCGCGGTCGCACAGCTCACCCGTGGTGAGGGTGCGGAGCTCGCTGACAAGGAAGATGTACGCCGGGAAGGGGAAGTGGAAGAACGTGTACCACAGGAAGCCCCTGAGACTCTCGGTGGACTGGATGACGTTGTCGTACTCGATCATGCGGATCGCCTCCATGAACAGCATGTCCCTGATCCCGGAATCCATTGCTCGGGGGTCACCCATGTTTACCTTGCAGAGATAGGCAATCACGCGGAGCTTGCAGAGAGCTTGACGGGTCATCATCAACGTGAAGAGATGGAGCGGAATCTTCGGGTCGCAATGCTTCAAATAAGCATTCTCAATGTAGTTGCAGTATCCGTCGAGGTCGGCCATCGGTAGGTTTTGGTTGGCAACATGCGTGACAATATCAGGGGATGATGGCGAGGGATTGTATTGAAACTTTGGTTTGGCTGCATTCAGTAGATGCGGCACAGGCCCTGAGGCCTCGGGATTGGCAGCGGCAGTCATCTCGATCCGGGTGAGGCAGAATATCATCTCTGTTGCGCCAACGTACGGCGTGGGAGGATCTTTCGAATGAACATAGAGATCGGTATCGTTGACGTTGAGGGGCCATTTGCAGTCCCCTCGACTAGAAGACAAAGCCGTAATGGTCGATCCTGTAATCTCTGCGATGCGCTTATCGAAAGATACTAACTGCCACCAGAGTCGTCTTCGCTGCTCGACTTCAAAGGGTGGTAACCCAAATTGAGCACTATCTCGCTGAAGACCCAGGCGTTGGGCCACCCGCACAGCAATGCCAATGAGACAGTACAACGAACGTGGGTCTACGAATTGCCGGATACAAAGCTGGAGGGTGATCAGTTCCAGTCCGATAAGATTTGAAGTACGTTTGACTCACTAGAAATATGACGTAAGCTTGAAGTGTGATTAAGTCCGGACTTCGCATGAAGCCCGCGTTGATCAGGGCCTGCTGACAACCGTGGTGATACTTTGAGAGAAGAATAGACTTTTCCTCTCCGAAGGTCTTCTGCACATCCTCATCCTGCATAGAAATGATGGCAATGAAGTAGATGCTAAACATGAGTGCCTCGAGAGGTTTGGGTATCTTGGCAGGATTTGCACCGGCCTCAATGATCTGACTCTGGAGCGTTGGCGTGTGAGTAAGCTTTAGCAATGGGTTCACATTGTCGAGGTATATCTGCCACAGCTGGAGTATCTGGATGCCGGAGGGATGATACTCTGTGACGAGATCATATGAGCCGCCGATGACGAAAGGAAAGCCATCCTGGTTATCAAACATGGTATCAAATGCATGATGAATAGTTGGGCCGCCGTCTTCATCATCATCTGAAGAATCACGGAGGATGTCCTCATGTGCTTTGTACTGTTGAAGGGGTTAGCCAAGGATGGAATAAGCAATCAATGTGGGATTGACCAACCTCTTTATAGTAAGGAAACCACTTGGACGGTCTGACGAGCATCAGCCTCTTGTTACTAGTTCATCAGTGTGGTTGCACGGCACTTACTTATCGTAGTGGGAGGCTTGATTCGACGACGCGAACTCGGGGGCACTGGATGATGGAGATGTCTTCAGCCCACCAATACCATGCTCAATCTCATCGACCTCATCTCCGCCCGCGGCGTCTGATGCCCTGAGCTCATGGCCGATGGGCTCAAAGTTGACACCGTGCTGAGCGAGCAGCGATTCGTATTTCTTTAGTCTATCGATGAGCTCTCGCTCGTGGGGCTTCTTCTTCCTCCGCCTGGGAGGCTGCGGTGGGACTACTCTGCACTCCACCTGGGCCTTGACGCAGTTGGCGCAGGGCTTGTTCTTGTCACAGCGGACTTTGCGCTGCTGGCACAAGACACATGAGTGACCCCTTGTCAGTTTCATAACCGAGGGATCCGGGGCGACAGCATGGCTAGCGAGTCCCCGAGGAGGAGAGGAGTCTTGCTCGGGAATGGCAGCCATGGTACGGTATAATAACGTCTGATAGAGCTCTTTAGTCGCATGAGGCTCCGGATGGGAGAGGCCGTGTCTCGGATCCGAGGAGGCAGGCCAGCGATAACACGCGGCGGCGTCTCACACTACGTGTCACTGATAGTCCCAGCAGATAGATGGACGGGCCGGGGACTGACGTCGAGAAGCCAAGCGAGAGATGGCCGAACTGCAGGGCACATTCAGCCCGAGTCTGCGGGCCACACTCCAATGTACCGAAGGTACCGTACGTGCTGCAACCGCTTCCGAGGATCTGCTCGTTTAGGTGTTACTATCAATCAACGACAGCGGCGGCGCTTGCTGGCTCGCCTGTTGCTGTTGCACGACACACTCGGGCGGTTTTATCACACCCGGTCTGAGACAGTTCTAGGCCGGACAAAAGAGTAATAGGGATGAAAGAGCGATCTCAGCAAGGCACAGGCAGAAGTCTGAATCATCATCCTAATATTAGTCGCTACTCTAGGGGCAGGTCGTACCAACAGACATTGTTTGCGCAGGATTCATAGTGGAGGCGGGCAAGCGGGCAGGTTGTCTCTCTCGGGACCGAAGATATCAGCTTCGAACCCGGGCGGTCTTGGCAACTCATTCGACGCTAGGCCCGGAGAGGCATGGCGTGGATCACCGGCTGCCAGGGGGTCGACGCCGGATCCGATGGGGAAAGTCAACCTTCAAAAGCCAGAAGGCTGCTCCATACACAGCTGCCCTTCATAGCTGTTCACGCCCGAAAAGCGTCATCAATATGGATTTCGCTGGAGAGTCCGATGCACCTCATTAAACTCGGCCCGGCGGTCTCGAATGCGCAATGTAGGTATATAACTTTTTCCTGTCTCTTTCTGTCAGGAGAGCCTAGGCGCTCCCTCTCTCTTGGTTCTCGCTTCGTTGTATTAGATCAAAGCTAGGATAGAGACCGTATACGACGATTCAATTCGACGCACTAGTGTGCTCTGCTTTGAGCATTATCTCTCATCATATTCTATCTCTATATACTATTGAAAGGGCAGACGGAAACAGCATTTATACTACACTATGTCTCGCTCGACCACATCTCTGGCCAGCGGCGAAAGCAGCGCGCCAGAGAGGCTGGCTGAGAAAAAGGAGGTTTCTGATGGTGAAGAGCTCACTCCTAGTCCGCCTGCAGAGGCCAAGCCGCGAGGACCTACCTCGATCCCCGATCTATACAAGCCAAAGACATTGAAGTTCTGGCTGATTCTGCTCTCTAATTTCCTGGCCCTTTTTCTGGTCGCACTCGATCGAACTATCATTTCAACGGCTGTTCCGCGGATCACAGATGATTTCAAGAGCTTGGGAGATATTGGTTGGTACGGTTCGGCGTACATGTTGACCACGTCGGCCTCCCAGCTTATCTACGGCAGAGTGTATAAGTTCTACGACATGAAATGGTATGTTTTCAGTATCCGGTGAGATGCAACCAACTAACATGTGAGCACAGGACTTTTATGACTTCTATAATAATTTTTGAGGTTGGCTCCGCTATCTGTGGAGCAGCGCCAAACTCTCCAGTCTTCATTGTTGGGAGATCCATCGCAGGTCTAGGTTCTGCAGGCATATTTGCTGGAGGCATGATGATAATGATCCCCATGATCCCTCTTCATAAACGACCAATGTTCCAGGGAATGTTTGGTATGGTATTTGGACTTGCTTCTGTTCTAGGTCCGGTAGTCGGTGGAGCGTTCACTAGCCATGTGTCTTGGAGGTAAGGCAATATATTCTATCCAGGTCCTCATCAATGCGAGGCTGTGGATGCTGACGTTATGTGAAGATGGTGCTTCTATATAAACCTCCCGGTGGGTGCGGTCACGATGGTCTTCCTAGTCTTCTTTTGGAATCCGCCACCGCAGAAGCATGAGCCAACATCAACCATAAACCACATCAAGCGCCTTGACCCCCTGGGCACCTTCTTCTTTCTACCGGCCATCGTGAGCTTGTTGCTTGCACTACAATGGGGCGGCTCGAAATACACCTGGGGCAATGGACGCATTATTGCGCTCTTCATTTTATTTGGAGTTCTGATCCTCGCCTTTGCGGCTGTTCAGATACTGAGACCGCAGACTGCTACAGTCCCACCGAGGGTTATCACGCAGCGAAGTATCTTCTGCGGCGCCACATTTACCTTCTTTCTCGCCGGCGCTATGTTAATGACAGTGTACTTCTTGCCGATTTGGTGTAAGTTTATGTGTATTCTGCCATGACTCTATGTCAGCTGTTGACAGCTCTTTAGTCCAAACCGTCAAGGGTGTGGATCCTCTTAAGTCAGGAACATATACGCTTCCTCTCGTCCTCAGTCTCGTGGCCTCAAGTATATTGTCGGGGTTGTGCACTCAGAAGATCGGCTACTATGTCCCCTCCATGATTCTCGCTCCATGCCTCATGGCCACAGGCGAGGGCCTGATGAGCACGTTCAACCCACGCACCGGCACATCACGCTGGGTGGGCTACCAGTTCCTCACCGGCTTCGGTCTTGGTCTCGGCATGCAGACCAGCGGGCTCGCAGCGCAGGCCGTGCTGCCGCCGGAGGACATCTCGACGGGCATCTCCATCATGTTCTTCGTCCAGCAGCTCGGCGGCGCGGTCTTCACGACCGTCGGGCAGTCCATCCTCAGCAACCTGCTCGTTGCCAGGCTCTCGAGCGTGCCGGGCCTCGACGCCAACGCCATCGTGACGAACGGCGCGACGGGGCTGCTGGACTACGTCCCGTCGCAGTACCTCGACTTTGTCATCCACGCGTACAACTACGCGTGCACGAGGATCTTCCTCGCGGGCATGGGGCTCTCGCTCGGCTCGCTCGTGGCCGCGACGGGGATGGAGTGGAAGAACATCAAGAAGGGCAGGCAAGGTGCAGGAGGAGGCCCTCCCGGCGGACCCAAAGATGCCGAAGCCGGAGGAGAGGCCGGCCCCGCCGCTGATCCGCCGAGCCAGCCCATCACCGCGCAGGAGAAGGAGACCGGTGTCCTCGGCAAGGAGAAGCATGAAGCTGACCTGGCGAAGAAGACGGACGCTAACGAGTGAAGAGCACACGAGCCATGAATACGCATTGGGATCCTTTATTACTATGCAAATAGCCCGGCGTTAGGGATATAGGACTATGTCAAGAGGGCATTGGAGGGCAAGGTTCACACTCTACACAATCACACGGATCACGGGCGGGTTTTTCGACGGGGTTCTGGTGCAAGAATAATTAGACAATCCCATATCGCTGTTACTCCTCGTTTCACCATGTCCCTGGACTGCATATCGCACGACTCCTGCTCGTGACTGATGAGTCTGAGCAAAGGGTGACCAGAATAGAAACCATTGAAGCCCCCAAGTGGGGTAATTGTAATAATTGAAATTGTAATAGTAATAGTACAGGTAGAGCAGCACAGCACAGCACAGCATAGCACCGTAGTAGGATTGCTTATAGAAGAAGCTGGTATTAATCGATCGCATCGGGGCCCGTCATTTCTTCAGGGCTTGGCCGTTGATAAAGCGGGCTTTCTGATAGGCCAGGTTTATACAACGTGGCCCGCGGGTGGCATGGCCCAATACATTCGACAACGGACATGAGGTTCCGCGATCGTGCCAGCAGGCTGCGTGCCTCCTACTACATTGATTGCATCATGAGGGGTGAGGTGACTTGAGAGCCAGAGCCAGACCAAGGTACCATAACATACCACACCACACCACACACGAGTCGGCAGGCGTGGAGGGAGTGCCAATTGCTACCCTTCTGGGCCACACGTACGTCTGGTCAAGCAACCCAAGAAAGTCTGGAGGTGGCAACTCGGGCTCGGGCGGGTGCTGGGTAAGGACTGCACAGTAGTACCTTGCTGTAGGACAACCGGAATCATGACATCTACGGTAATCCTCCGTGCTTTCGCCCGCCCACCGCATGCGCCGCCGTGCTGTGCTCGGTATGCTTTGCTTTGCGTGCTTGCGTGATGCAATCCTGCGAGAGTGTTCATCCTCCCACGAAGTGGGCTTAGCCCAAGGAGCTAGCGCCTGCCAGACAGGCTACTACTGTAAACCATCCCAAGACATGCCAGACATGGCACTTGCCTGCTAGCCATCCTTAGAGCCGGCATGCTGAAGAAGGCGTAGAAGATGAAGAAAGAAGCAATTAAAAAAAGTCTCCGTTATGGGGCCCTCCCGGAGTGGGCTTGTTTCAGTGGGCTAAGCCGTTTCACGACAGACCGTTGAGCGCCTGATCGTGAACTACTGCAGCTGTGCCAGCTTTCCAGGGCCTCCTAGTGCCTGTGCGTAGTCCGTATTATGATAGTACGGTGGGCTTCACATGTACGCAGTATGGCTTATCGTGAGATGATTGACATGGATCATGGAGATCTCCGTCTTGTTACGTACTCCCTACCTACCTGACTACCTATAGGTACCTATGTATGAGACGAGCAACAAGGCAGTTAACGTTAGCAGATGGGTAGGCAGTAAGATACTTGAACTGGTAGGCAATAGCGGCACAAACTGGCTGGCTGGCCACCACCTCCATCTAAATACGGGTGGTGGCCTCCGTAGTCGAGCCGATACGTAATCTCCCCCTGAGGAGATGGAGCAGCTCGTTATTTCAGCTTTCCTCTTGCATGGAGTTCCTGGTCCTGGTCCTGTTCCTGTTCCGTTGTGTCCATCTTGCTGGATGGATCTGATCTTACATCACTTTACGGAGTACAGTACCTTGGCACCTCGGCCTTGAACGGAGGCTGAAGAGCGGGCAGACCATCCCAAATCTGTCCTCTTGACGGTATTGCCTTGCCCTGCTCGCAATTGAGGGGTCAGTCCGACCATATATATACCATATACCATATCTACCTAGGTATAGCTGGCTGGCATCGTGAGTGGCCTTTCTGGCCTATTACATGCTTCTGCATAGCTGACAGCAACCTTGGAAGTCTTCTTTGAAGTTGGTCAGGACCTGCCATCCGCTTGCCTTGCTTATGCAGTAACTCAAGTAGGGACCTAAGCCTGCTGTACGCTGTAGATCCTGAGCTGCAGTGTGCGTCCGTCCGCCCGCACTACAGGACACTACCTAGTTGCTAGTACACACCACGCCACACACCGGACCAACTTCCCTGCTCACCGCGGCCACCATACACCCAGCTGCAGGTGTTGATTTGATGTGCTGCTGTTGCTGTTCGTGACCCCCAGTCCAGCCGTCTCCATCTTCCGTCTCCAATCCCTAACAATCCCTTCTCACCTTCCCTGTCGCTGTCCTTGTTCTGTTTGGAGACCGCCCTCACCACAGTAGCGAGATAGGGCACAGATCCCGCTCTAGCCTACTGTGGTAGCGTGCCTCTTGGCGGCTCTCATGGAAGGCCCGCTGTGCCTTCTTGTGATCGACTCCATCGCTGTCACTTTGACAGACCACCCACTGGATACTAACGTCAAGGGCCACCAAGCATTGTCCCCCCCGGTCGTCCCCGGCTCGTTACCAGCTGTGATTCCAAGCAATCTCGGCCAAGCCCCGATCATTAAAAGCCCGCGCTCCTCCCATCTTCCAATCATCCGTGTCTTCTGTACGAGGGACATCTCCCAAGACCACAGAGCCGCCTGTCACTCGCTGCCCGTCTCCAGACTCTTGTCGCCCGCCGCGTCCGGATACTACGCACCCGCTGCCCCGAACGCACCTGACGTACCCCGGTGCCGACGCCAGCGCCAGCGCCGTTACTCTGGCTTACTGACAGGAATCGGTACGCTACCCTGCCCCGTTCGAGACGCCCTGTCGGCATGGGGTCGGCCGTGAAGGACCCAGACGACGCCGCCGCGCACCTCGACTTGTCGGTTGCGCGGCGGCGAACGCGTGCCAGCAAGCCCAAAGTCAGGACGGGCTGCTTAACCTGGTATGATGACCTGCCTTCACTTCCCTTATCGCTGCTTTAAAGCAGTCTCTTCACATGCACTGGTCCTCCTGTCTAACACTGAGTCACAGCAAGTGAGTGGTTTTGATCCTTCGTAGTCTTAATGCAAACCCTAGACGCCAAATCTAAACCTCGGTGTCTCATACAGAATACGGCGTGTCAAGTGCGGCGAAGAGAAACCCGCATGTCTGAGATGCACATCCACAGGTCGCACATGCGACGGCTACGACAAGGGTGCGCCGAGCCGCCACCGTACTCAGGAGACCCTCCGCAGTCTTGAGATTGCCAAGAGGGAGTTCCTCAAGACCTACCAATGGAACGACGCCTTCCGTTCCATGCGCCCATTGATTGCCGATATCGACGGCACTGAGACCGAGAGGCGCTTCTTTCACAAGTTCAGGACCGTCTCCTCGGGCGGTCTCGCAAATCATGTACTTAACTTTACAGACTTCTTTGCGCGGATATGTCCGCAGATGAGCCACCAGGACGAAGCAGTGAAGCACGCCATGGTTGCCCTCGGCGCCGCGTACCACCAGTTCCAGATCCCAGAGGGTGCCTCACCAACCGACTGTGACGAGGTCGAGGTGTTCACCATCGAGCAGTACACCAAGTCACTGTCTAAACTACAGAAACATGTCGCCTCACCCTCAGACGACAGCACACGCCTCTTCCTCGTGTGCTGTCTCGCTTTCATCTGTCTCGAGTCTCTACGCTCTAACCATACCGCAGCGTTGACTCATCTAAGAAACGGGCTGAACATCATCGGCTCATTACCGGACTGCTACTTTGAATTCCTAGCCGACGACAACAAGGCGTCACGGGGCGTATATTCCGGCGACCTAGACATGCAGGACATCATCATGATATTTGCTCGACTCGAGATATCAGCATCATTTTTCGCCGACCAGGTCAAGCCGGTCATCGCCATCAAGTCATACAACCTGCGTAAGATGTACGACGGCTCAGAGATGCAGGACTTCAAGGACTTATGGGACGTCCACAAGCAGGAGCTTGCCTATTTTAGGGACATCCATGGGCGGATGTACGAGACGGACGGTCGCTCGGGTGACCTCGAATTCTGGTCACGACCGGAGGAGAGCGCGCAGCAGTTTCGGCTGGCAGCCCGGACGAGAAAGCTTGAGTTGCTCTTCAAGAGGTTCATGTCGTCACCGAAAGCCCCGCGACCCGGCACGTCTGAGTACTTCTCACTGCATGTTGACTGGCTGCACTTTCGTTGTGCCAGCCTCTTCCTGAACGGCATGACTGGCCTGGACCCGGAGACGCTGCAAGCCAAGTGCCCCGAGCCTGCCAAGTCGGACCAGGCCATCATCAAGGAGATGTTCGTCACAGGGAACATGCTGTACCAGAACTACCACAAGCGGTCGCGCACGCAAAAGGCGCGGGGATACACCTACGACGCGGGCATAGTGGGGCCGCTGTATTATGTGTCGATATCGTCCGAGGACGCCACGATCCGCAACAAGTCGCTGAAGCTGCTGCGGGAGATCCACGTGCGCGAGGGCTTCTGGGACGGGCCGGAGATGCAGAACCTGGTGAAGCAGGTGGGCCAGGCCATCGAGGGGGAGAAGTGGCCGTTCGAGGAGGTCCCGCGGACCCTGACGGGCCTCGGGTCGGTGCCTGGCATCTACGACACGCTGGCGAGGTTGGACCTGTCGTCTGACAGCGAGTCGCCGGACAGCAGGATAAGTGCTTAAGGGGGGCACGGGGAGAGCTGGCAGCTTTCTAGTTGTATGATGTGCAAATAAGCCTCGGCGTCGTCAATAAGCCAGGTTTGGCTTGTGTCTATAGCATCAAAAATGGCTGGCAATGTGTATATGACAAGATGTGGCGCTGATGCAGGGTTTTCTGCAGACAATTTCTCATGACACCACATTATAGCATCAGCGTTCAATGTTTCTCCTGACTAACATCATGGATGAGCAACAGAAGGACTATCTGATCCAATGATAGCATACCCAAGCCTGCGCCCAGATCCTAGCGGCGCAAGGAGAACACCCTGTGCTGGGCTGTGTTGGTGGATTGGCCGCAAGGCTGTGTCCTACTAGCTGCCCATCCTTCAGGTTCTCAGGGCTAGACCCAATCACGAAGGGCGCTAGGACGGCAGTGCTGTGCCGTGGCCCAGCAGCTAAAAAGACGTTTGACACGCCTTGAGCTCCTCATCTGTCATCCAAGCCCATCAAGCATCCCCTGTCCTGTCCTGTGTTTCCTGTCCTGTTACTCACATTCTCTTGCTGTATCTACTTTATCTTCTCGTTCCCTTTCGACCTTTCACTTGCACCACCTGCTTTCGATATTGGCATCTGATTCGCCCGATTGGAGACTGGCGGCTGCAACCTGCCCGACATTGAGTGACTCTGCTTTCTCCATTTATTTATCTGACCTGATCTGCTTTTTTGATCTGATCTCGACTCGACCCCGCCGCCGCTCGCTTCAGCTGCCTGCCTGTCTGCCTGCCTGCCTGGCCTGTTAGTTTGGTCTCATCCCACTTCAACGACACTTCACCTCACTTCACTTCACCTTTATACAGTCAGTCACTTGAGCAGAACAGACCAAGAACAGATCCGGCGAACCTGATGCGGTAGCCAAAGCCAAGCCTGTGCCGGAGACCCGACCTGCCACCACCCAAGGGTGGTTGATCTCGGAGTCACTGCCTGGCGATTTGTGGGGTTCAGACGGGTTCAAGAAGCGCATTGTTTCAACCCCATCCTTCAACGACCCGGATCTCCAGCCGCAACCCAACCCGGTTCGCCACCACTTTGGATCGCCGTCCCTTCGTTTATAATTCAGCGCCTTTGGCATTATAGGTGCGAATTTCCGTCATAGCATCCATCATAACCATGGCAGACACGGAGGAGCCTCACTTTACGACCCTAGCTGAGCGTATCGCCGCCCTCAACCAACAGAAGAATTTCAAGTCGCCCAGTCCCGTGAATAAGAGGCCCCCGCCCCCTCCCCCTACGGGCCGGCCCTCGCCAGCTCCTCCTCCGCCAGTCGGCCCTGCTGCCGTCGCAGGCCAGAGCAACGGCAACCCTTCAATACCGCCACGGCCTACCAGCAAAGTCGCGGCGGCCCCTGCTCTGCCTCGGAGAACGAGCACGGCTCCCGCAAATGGGCATGCGATAGAGAGTGCCCCAGCACTACCCGGTCGAGGAGGCCTAGCACCACCACCCCTACCATCTAGGAGATCCACAGAGCAGGCCACATCGCCGGCGCTGCCACCGCGGCGGCCGTCGACACAGTCGCTGTCTGTCAGACGGAACTCGAATTCGTCTGAAGTATCAAACTTTTCGAATCTCTCCCTACATCAGACCTCCTCACATACGAGTGTGGGGTCTGTCGATGGACAGCCTCTCCGCAAGCTCCCTCCCACTCTAGATCAGGCCAAGTTACCGCCATTACCCCCTACCCGGCGCGAGTTGGAGGCGCGAGCAAAAGATGCTGCCGAGAAAGAAGCAGCAGCCGCGGCGGCTGCGGCTCCTCCGAGGACTATCCCCGTCAAGGCACCACTCCTACCGTCAAAATCAGCACCCACCATCCCCCGTGTAAGTGAACCTGGGCGACCCTCCTTGCCGCCTCGCCTACCAACCCGGCCACAACCGAATCGATCGCCACGAATCCAAGAGGCGGACGAGGAGCCCCCTGCGCCGACCCTACCACGCCGTCTTCCCCCGCCGCCATCAAGCCATGTCCCCTCCCCTATTCCTCAAGTGAGGGGGGAGAAGATCAAGGGCACGCCAGATGACAGTGCGCCTCCGCCCGTACCGGTCTCATCCCGGCCGAGCGCGGCGCAGATCGAGGCGGCTCATCAACCAAGCGAGGCCGGATGTCTGATATGTAGGGACTTCTCGCGCCCAGATGCCGTGGCTGCGCAGTTCCCAAGCAATAGTCTCCCACGGCAAGACCCCGTGGGCTATCTGGCGCAGGTCCTGTGCGGATCATTTCCGTCTCCTACGGACAAGGCTCGTGCTATTTTCACGTGGTGTCATCACAATATCGCGTATGATGTCGAGGGGTTCTTTGGCGGGTGCATCGCCAGAGGGTCGCCGAGCGAGACAATCTTCTCGGGGAAGGCCGTGTGCGAGGGGTATGCTCGTGTGTACGAGTCGATTGCCAAGCGGGCGGGTCTGGAGTGTATTGTCGTTGGCGGGCATGGAAAGGGATATGGCTACACGCCCCTGGCGAAGGATGCCCCTGTTCCTCCGCGCGATGCGACTGGCCAGTAAGTAATTTTCTTTCTCGATCCCTGCGTGGCTTGAGCCACGTCGTCTACAATGAACAAAACACTGACTGCATGCTGTATAGTGCCTGGAACGCCGTAAAGATCGACAACGGCGAGTGGAAGCTGCTCGACGCCTGTTGGGGCGCCGGCTCCGTGGGCAACCAGCAGTACCAGAAGCACTTCAAGCCCGAGATGTTCACGCGGCCCAACGACCTCTTCGGGCTGAAGCACTTCCCCGAGGACGAGCGGCACCAGTTCCGCAGCGACGGCCGCGCCATGAGCTGGGCCGAGTACATCGTGGGGCCGGTGCGCGGCGAGCCCGCGCAGTGGTACGGCGCCGCGACCGAGGAGGGCCTGTCCGAGTTCACCTTCTCGCCGCGCGAGCGCCACGTCCCCGTGCACAGCGGCGAGGTCGTGCGCTTCCAGTTCTCCAAGATCTGCGAGCACTGGACGCCCGAGAAGAACGGCAGGGGCAAGCCCATGCTGCTCATGGTCAAGATCCACGGCCCCGACGGCCGCAAGGACGACCTCGTCCCCCTCGACTCGGACGGCTTCTGGTGGTGGGCCGACATCCCCGCGCGCGACCTGGGCGCGCCCGGCCAGACGATCTCGCTGTACGGCCTGGACACGCTGAACGGGCAGAGCGCGCGGGGCGTCTCGAAGGCCGAGTTCCTGTCGAAGAAGGGCCGGTGCGGCATGAGCTGGGTGGGCATCGCGGCCTGGGATCTTGTCTGAGGTGGCAAGGCGGGAGAATGGAGGCTACTAATGATGATACCTATACCCCCTTTTGGGATACTATGGCTCCTACGAAGATGTTATGACTACGGAACATGATGACAGTACACATAGATGGGAATAGAGGATATGACTGTAGTAATATATAATATGGCCAATGCCTTGTCGCCGTTGTCTAGAGATTGGATAGTGCCGCCTTGTGATGGTCCCCATAAGCCCATATCATCGGATGTGCACAACTTCTGCTAATTTGTTCATCAGATGTCAATAACTATAACTTAGAACAAGCTCTAAGCCACAATTACCTAATTGTAGCTTTGCTCTGAGCTGGGATGACAACAGCACCATACGTAATGTAATGGCTCACTTATCCTGCCCCGGCCGGCAGCACTTAATAAGGGATTAACTAAGTCGATCTGAAGCCAGCAATCACACATATTAGATGACCACAGCACGACTTTTACCATTACGCTACATATGTGTGTCTAGAGTATCTGTAGATTGCCTTCTCACCGGCCGAACAGCGAATGTCGGATCTCGCAGCCAACGCCAACCACGCCAAATAGCATAGAAGATAGATAAAGCAAGAGAATATGAAGGGGGGGTATTCCCGAGTACCGATACAGTACAGACAGATGGGCAGGCCGAGGAAAAGAGCAGTGCGTTTGTACTCCTCCGAAGATAAGATGGGTAAGCCAAAAAATGGGTCCTTCGTACTCGTATCACAGGCGTCCTGAGACGATCTCCTTCTTGAAGATGCGAACGCCCCAGACGTCGTAGAAGTGGATGTCCTCAATCGTGTCCAGTTTCAAAGAGCCGGGGCCGTCCTCGTCATCCTCATCGCTGGAGCTGGCGCCGTCCCAAGTGTCAAGTGGCAACACGGGGAAAGGTCCGCTCGTGGAAGGCATCGGGGCCTTCTCCTTGCCCTTGTTCTTGGACTTCTTCGTCTCGCTCTGCGGCAGGTCTGTATATCGCACGATGCGGTCTGCCCTGTCGCCGTTGTTGATGGAGACCCACTCCAACTTGAGCTTGGGATAGTGCGACAGATTGTCAACCAAAAACCGCCGAGTCTCGCGCATGACCCAAACGCAGGTATCGTCGTTCCTCAGCTGTATGATATGCAGCGCGCGGAGGTTCTCGAGGTCCGATATGTTTTGCAAGATCGTATGCTGTCAATAAGGTTAGTATTAAAACGGCAGCATATCAAAGAGGTTCACTTACAATTGCTCGAATACCGGTGCTAACGGCAAGCTCCTCGAGGACTCTTCCACGCTTACAGATCAGGGACATGGTCTTTTGGTCCACATCCCAGGTCTCATCGGCTTGGTTCTTGATCATCAGGCGCTTCAGCGTGGGCAGGTGCTTCTTAAGTACGAGACGGCGGATTTGATCGATGGTGGTAGTAGTCCTGGGAGCAAAGCTCTCAGGGGTATATTTCGACTCTCGCTCGAGGATGAAGAATTCGTGTAGCTCCTCAAGTTGAGACACGAGGTTCAGGAAGGCGGTAGAGACATTGTCAGTAAAGATCTTGCGCAATGCCAATGGCTGAGCCTTGTTCTCCTTTGCCAGCAGGTTCCATATAGGCACTTGTGATCCGACGTTAAGCAGAGTTATTCGTTGCAGAGCGCGCAAGTCAAGAGCGTGAGAAAGCACGTTGTACTTTACTGGGATGAGATAAATGCTGAGGGATTGAAGGGCAATGCCTCTAGTAGAGCGCACGTACTCGCTGATACGGCGGTTTTGTGCCTCTGTGTCATCAGCGGTCGACAAGAAAGGGATTTGCTTCTCCGCATCATCAATCTCGCGCTCCACAGAATTCATTTCCTTCTGGATATCCTCGATGCTCTTGCTGAATGTACGCATTTGTTGTTCCGCAGCCGCAAGGAGGTCAATATTGACGCTGCCATCATCTAGGCGAAGTCGTTGTATTTCTTGGCCCATCCTATTGGCCTGTGCTTCGAAAGATTCGAGCCTCTCAGACAATATCTTGAAATTCTCTTTTTGGGCAATGAGGCTAGCAGCCGCTTTACCCACGTTCGACAGCGAATTCAGATTCGGTAACGGAGCAGGCACTGTGGCAGCAGTGCTAGCTACGTTCTCAGGGGAGCTTTCTTGATTAGAGGCAGGCTCCGAGGGAACATCTTTGCTCGAACCTTCTTGGCCGTCGATTACGAGTTGTTCCTCCGGCTCCTCGATGTTGATATCTTCTGGGGATGTGTCCTTCGCGTCATCCTTGGTTTTTGTCACCTTTGGCTCAAAGAGGCTTGTCGTGGCTTCAGGCGCTTTCTCGTCGGGTTTTTGTTCAGGAGTCAGACTCTGTTCAGCACTTGAACTCGATTCACCGTTCGAATCCGACTTCGGAGTCTCTTTGCTCTTTGCCTCCTCAGAAGTGACGTATTTCCTTGCGGCTGTCTCGATGGTATCGAGTATTTCCTGTTGCGTTGCTGAGAAGTTGCCTGAGCCATTCAAGTCCTTCATTAGCTTGTTTGAAACAGCTCTGATTGCATTTATGAAATCCGACCCCGTGGTGCCAGTCTGTTCCTCAGTAGTTACTTTATCGGCATCACTCTCCTTCGGCCGCTTCGCAGACTTCTTTACGAAGTACGGCTCCACATCAAAAATTCGGCCAAGGACTTGTTCCTGGCTTTTCTTTTCCTCCTGAGCTCGGAAAGCCTTCGCCGGCCCGCTTACATCATCACCATACGGATTGCTTCCCGGCAGTGGGGGTATCACTTGGAAGTCATCATCTGGGTCAGAATCGTCTGGATCATCGTCCGGCGGCGGCTTCCGAGCTTGGAGGCCAAGCGAATCTGAGAAAGAAAGCTTTAATTTGGTAAGGGTTCCTGAAGAGTTCCTCACGCAAGATTTGATCTCCGTAATGCTGTCCAGGGAATCGATGTCCAGGACGGACAGGCACTTGAGCTTCTTGAAACCCGATAGAGTGGGTGGCTCTTTTGACAGCGGCGTTCTCCTGGAAGACCTCATTCTCGACGGAGGTTTGGGGAGAGGTGGCGCCGGCGTTGATGTAGGAGGCGGGGCGTAGAAAATAGAAGGTGCAACCGGCGTAGCGAAGGAGAGGGATGGCGGTGGTGGCGGCATCGCGATCACGTCTGTGAAGTGATTTGACAACGTAGGAGGAGCTGTGATGGGCGACGTGTATGGAAGAGGCGGCGGGGTCTCGTATAATGACGGACCGGCTTGCAGGCGAATGTGGACATGGCTGAGGGTGTCGATCTGATGAAGCGCTCGGTAGACTTGTCGACTTAGTTCGACACGGATGTTCCACCTGTTCAGAGAAGCATGTTAAGCATAAGAGGCTTGTCAAGAGACCTTTTCTATCCGCGCAACGAACCTGAATGTTTCCAGAGACTTTGCCTTGCGCAATGTCAATAGCAGCAGAGTGTTCATAAACTTGCCGCAGCTGACATCGTACAGATATGCTTTGTAGGCATTCTCAGCCTTCTTCCCGGCGCTCAGTGTATCAAGAGATAGGTCCCTCAGGTGTTTCGCATAGTCATATTCGCTTGTGACAAAAGTGTCTAGCCCGCCAGCCAAACCGTCTATGGACGAATCGAAAGACTTATCGTCTTCGTCGGGGAAGACAATGTGAAAATTCCGATACAAATGCGAGGCTGCGAGATCTCTAAAGTGCTTCGAGACAAGGGACAGACAGATAAGGTCGCCTTGCGAGCACTGTGGGAATGCGGTTAGCAAAGAGATTGAAAGATTCTACGTATTGAGGCATGATGGTGGAGCGCATACATGGCTGAAGATCTCCTTCTGTGTCTCGCGAGGTAGGTCCAGGAAGGTCAGATGCCTGTTCGTGGCGGTTGGAGCCGAGGCAGCGTCATCCCCAGACGACTCGGTGACGGACTCCATGGGAGACATCTGCCAATATTGGCAAAAAGACGCAGATTCGCGCGATCAAGATTGATACGCAAAGTCTTCTGTATTCTCTGCAGTGGACAGTCGAGTGAGGTCTCAACAAGGACGACGGTCTGGGTGCCGTGGGAGGCGCCGATCAGCGAAGAGCGCGCAGTTGCAAAGACGCCGGCGAGACAATGAAGGCTTCGTCGTAACTGTCTGGAATCGCAATATGAAGGGGAAGATGAGGGATTGGGAAGAGCTGGATGCTGGACGATGACAGGTGTCGCGGATCGGCGAATGCGGTTGCGCTTTTGTTGGCTGGTGTTGCAGCAGATGCAGCACAAGCAGCGGCGGGGATGCCGGTGGTGGTGGAGAGTGGAGTGGTGGGGGACGCACGCAGTCAGTGGAGAGACAGTCAGCCAATTCCTCCACTGCTAGCTCACTTAGCTAGCTCTAACGTTATGTGGCCAGGGACCTAAAAGCTACCTAGGTACCGCGGCCTCCGGATTGCAGCGCTAAAATGGAGGCTGAACGCCGAAAACGTGGGGTACCCAGCTAAGGTGGTGTAATTATATCTGTCTACCTACCCAATCCTGGCGGCATGGATCTTACGTCCAATAAACTTAAGATAACAGAGATCCAGCAGTGAGATAGTAAGGGTAAATTGACTGGTTTGCAGAAATTCTAAATCAACTCTTGTTTTTTTGAAGCTTCTACAATACAGCATGGCAGAAATCAGCTGTGGATACAAGTCAACGTGGCAGCTTGTCTATGTCTTGGAATGTTGTCACCGCTCAGAGAGGATCTGAGACAACGATTGCTTAAAACATTTTCTAACAGGTATATTTCCTCTCGAAGGTGTGGAGCTTCAAAGCTTTTGGTCTTAATTCCACCAAAAGCTGACGCTGAAGCTAACGCTTAGCCCACGAACATAATGCCACCATCCTAGAGGTATATACAGAGTGTCCCCCGGCTCCAGGATGCAATCCACAAACGGTAGTTCACGGAACATACCTTGCCGTCCTGCTAAAGAGTCTTCGCGGCCCTCTGCTGTTTCTTCAGCCTCAACACTATTCCCGTCTTCAGGGTCTACGTCCCAGCCTTCTATGACGCCCACATCCACAGCGCTCGTATTGCCCATCTCCACTCCAGCTTCTTTCCCGCGGGCTCTCATCCTCTCAGTCTGTAGAGGCGAATATAACCGGACATACTTGCGCCCTACAATTTGCACCAGTAGATTATGGTACGGATCAGTGTGTAGTGGCGTGATTGTGCCGGGTGGTCCGAACCAGGCATTCAGCATAGGGGACTCAAGCTCTGGCTGATCCTGAGAAGGGTCTGTTGGATGCGATGGCGGTGCTGTATAGCAATAGTCCGGGATGAGAATGTCGTTCCGCAATTGAGGTAACTGCGTAAAGAGCTGATGCTGGGCGAGGTAGGCGACTGTCCGGGGCTTAAGCGGCTCAATACGAGGCGAGGCATCAAAGGTAGACGAGTCGATATAATCGCGTAGAAAATCACGAAAAGGAACAATCTTCTGACCCCAGCCCTCATCAACATAGCTGCGTCCTATCTCCACAGGCACCAAACGGCGACCATTGAAAGTCTGCGAAAGCAAGTAGGCGGGAGTATCCCATGGATTAGTTGTGCGGGCTGGCCACCCTTCTGTGATGTGGCTAAAGATCAATGGCTCTGGGCCAGCCCTAACCTTTGCTGATTTGTCCAGGTAACTCTGAAATTCATCCAGAGACATCGGTTTGAATCGCTTGATAGCATTCTTCACAGGCAGCGTAAACGGTTCTCTTGTTGAAAATTGAGGCTCGGCGTTTACACCCAAGCTCTGAGACGAGGCCAGCTTAGCCCTCTTCCTCGGGTGATCTCCAACATCGTCTTCGGCGCAAAACCTTGTATCTCCTTCCGCACATACTTCTTGTAGAAGGGCCAATGCTTTGTCAATCCATCGTCGACCTCGTTGATATCCACCTGCGCCAGCAAGGATAAGGGCTAGATCCAGGGCCTTGATCATGCCATCCAGCAGGTCGCCTTCCGATGTCCACTCTTGAGTGTCTTCGCCATTTTGGAATTCGGCTCGCGCAAGGAAAAGAAGGCTGAACTTGAGAATACTTGCATCCGTGTAAAGTTGTCTCCAGGAGAGAGGCAAATCTTTATATAAATAGGCGTAGAACTTCCCGTAGGCGATAGATATGATATCATCAATTCTCTTCATAAGAAGCTTCTTGTCTCTCCGGCCGTCATCTGAGAGCTCCCTGTTCCTTTTCGCTGCAGTGGGACTAGCCACCGATACGTCATGATCGTAAAGATCCAAAAGCCTGGACGCTTGTCGTTTCAACAGCTGTACGAGAGGTTCACCACAACTAGCCAAGGTCTTCGTATTGCGATCGTCCTTGTCATCAGCTACAAAAGCTGTCGACGCACCTAGAATGGCACTGCACTCCACTCGGATCTGTCGGGCGGCAGACATACAGTGAGCCCGCAAACTGTTTGCCATTCCGCCTACTCTTGATTCATTTCGTATTGTCAAATCCTGTCACCCCATCTTCGTGCTTCGTGGCGCGGCGGAAGCTGCAGAAACCAAACAGGTTGCTCGACCCAAAATGACAGCTGAATGTTGAAGAAACAGCGGGTCACCATGGTGGAAAAAATTGTGGGGACCCTAAAAAGTGCTGTAGCGATCGGTTAACACAAGCTAGCTGCTACCTGGGTAGGTACCGGGCTTGTATTAATAGCAACCTAAGACGTTTCTTAACCGTCAATCACAGTCTTTCTTAAGTTTTCTCTAGTTATGCTTCTTTTGACTGCCTGTGTTACCAGGTCAGTTTTCGAATCTATCGGTATTAAATACAAATCAGATCCCCATCCATAGTTTTACACATTACCTCCCAGTGTTCTGCAAATAATGAAGTGAAGTCCGAATATTCTGCGAGATCATACCTCTTCCACACCTCCTGAACCGCACTAAAAGCCCGGCTGATATTTGGCATCCCGCGACAAATCTCCAGCTTTTTGAAGATAGTTGTCGACAGAGCACGAGTTTCTGGGATGATAGCCTGACAGGAAGCAATGAAAAGTGGCCAAAGAAGACCATGTAAGAACCCAGAATGGTTTACCGCAGCCAGGCAGCAATTAAGAGCTATAGTGGCTCTTCGGGGGATTTGTAAGAGCCGTGGTGGTTGAAAGACGCCACCATACAGACAAATAAGAGCACTTTCGCGATATGCCATCGCCATAGGAATAGTGGAATCCGTGTATGTCAGCGTTGCAAGCCATTCTTGGAATTGTTCTGTTGCGAAGATAGAAGGAGCTGGCGTGTCGTAAATTGCTGTGTGTGTATCATCAAAAACTGGGGGGACCCAAATCTCGAGTTTATGCTCAAGAGACATAACGAAGGATGCCTCCCTCTTAAGAGATTCGGTATATAAGATATCGACTAAAGTGTCCAGCAATGGCAGTAACGTTTCCATAGCGCAAGTTGCTGGTTTGATAGGCATCTCTGGGTGCTCAGTGAGTAGTCTTTGCATGGGGTGCTTTTGATAGAGGGAGTTCATAAGTGGCGATGAAGTTGACAATGCTGCAATAATAACATTAAAATGAAAAGTCTGTAACAACCTATAAGCTTGTGTCCTCTTTGTGTGGAAAAAACGAAGATGATCTCTTCATACCCTTAAGAGAAAATCGGAGGCTGGTCCTTCTAATGGCACCCTGAATTGCCCGACATGCCACCATTTGTTGAGCTGTTCTGCAGCTGAAGTTCTTTGGCCAACAAGCTGTTTTGGGTTAATAACTAATCGAATATTACATTAATCGCTCCTGACTTACAGCATTATCATACAGCACTAGCATGTCCATTGCCAATTTTGACTTTTGATCAGTGATGTCGTCTAAGCCTAGATTGAAAAGCGTTCTTTCAAGTGTCTCTATTGGCTCCTTGAAACTCATAGAGTAGTCTCGGTGTGTATTGCAGCGCTTTCTCCACGACTGGCAGACCTGGAACATACTGCGTATAAGGGTCCGGTGACTATCTGTGAAGCTGCTTCTAGAATATCTCGGCAAATGCTTCAATGCCTCAAGACGTCTAATTAGGCTCTCAACACGAAATTTGAGCCACAAACTTGAGGCTGGCAGAATTCCCCTATTTTTTAAATGAGCTCTCGTGATCTTTAAGATTCCATGAAGTATGAATGGGTTTGCGGTTGCCTGAGGCAGAATGAACAGTTGGAGAGGGTTGGTCCCTTCTCCCCATGATACAATCATAGGGGACAAAATGTTACAGAAATGCGAGATCATCTCCCTTTCATGGTGGTCTGCCGAAAATTCATGGAAGGCTGGAAATATGAATTCGGCCAAAGGCGACTGGCAATCAGTACAACCCCTAGATGGTGGCCGAAAATTCCAAGGCAAGGGAAATTCCTCGTTTAAGAGACGCGGTGTGCTCATATTCGCCATCTCAAGTGTGTAATCCTCGAAAGCGCCATCCGATATAGCCACAAAATGTTTATTAAAAATCTGTTCTAAAGCCTGATACGCGGGACTGTTTACAGTCGCAAAATCGTGTTGCAGGTCTGGGGGCGTGTGGAAGACAAGATTCTCAGGGGTCTGACCTACACAAATATCAATACCATATCATGTGTTTCAGACAAGCAACTCACTAGAAGTTACCGGACTTGCATCACATAAGATCGAATCGTGCGTCTTGAGAAAACGCTCGATCTTACTTTCTGCAACAGACCGACCTCTAAGGGTAAACTGGGTCCTTTTCCCTTCAAGGTCACACCTACTCTTTCGCTTCTGAATGATCGATAACATGTCTTTCGTTCCGATATTCTTTCGAAGGTTCCATTTATTGAAATGCCTTCTGTACTGTTTACGTCTTGAGGAACTATTAGCGATATTCTAGACACAGGTACACTGTTACGTGCGTTGCTGAGAAGCTGTGTTGGCTCTTCATAATCTCCATGACCTCTGGTAAGCCATGGTTCTCGTCCCAGTAGAGTCGCTCGATAATATGTCGTCGAATATCCCAATCATGCTCGCTGGATGGTCGACATGGTTTGTTTGCATAATGATCATTCGGGATGGTCTCCATTGCGAATAATCTGACAATTTTGACAGAGTATGATTAGCAAGGCTTGGAAAAAGGCCGATGATGCTCAACAAGAAAAGCGGCTTATATAGCAAAGCCCAAAGGCTGCTCAGCACTTCACCGAAGCAGAGGGGAGGCATGTACCCAATCACAGGCTTGAACAAAGTGGCCTTGCATGAGAGAAAACAAGAGAGCCAATCAATTATTCCGGCTCAATGACTACCTGAATGCCTGGTGTACTGCGGAACGAGCCACACATACTTCAGAAGCCTTGGAGTATTCTCACCTCCAAATAAGGCTGCCTGAACAGACTGGGGTCCCAACCTAGGGTTATCACATTGTTAAGAGGAAGCTACTCTTGAGAGAAGGAGAAGTATATACCACAAACTTTGTTTTGTGATTTTGCTGAAATGATGCCAATCAACCGAGAGCACTGGGAAAATGTCTAGGAATTCCCCACCCCTTCGTATTTGCAAAGCATTGAGGCTCTGGCCACACTGGACATCGACAAGATGGTGTCATAATCCGGATACTATACTCATGGGAATACGAAGATTAGACACAGCCGATCACCGCACATATTTCAAGAACACGCTTGATCAGGTCGATCAATCTGGCGACTTTCATTATCTTGAATTGGCAGCTCTCTATGACAGAGACCATCTCGAATAACTTATGTTGTCTATGACACCGAAAGCTATGATCATCCAAATCACATAAGCAATGTATCGTCATACTTCAAAAGAAAAGTGCCTCCAACTAATGATTGTCAAATCCGAGGCTCATCTGGTAAATTAAGCCCATCTCTTACTTCCATCGGAGGCCTAAGAGGCATTCATACCTTATTGGCTGTCTGACAAAGCCTTATTCAACACGCGTGATGGTTACCCACTCATTTGACTGAATGAAAATACCTGCCGAAATGGAATGCCACGGATTTCCCGGGTTGACTACTTGGAAGTCGTACCGCCGCAAGAGCTACCACATATATGAGAATCAGGGATCAGTGGGCTTGGAGTTTGCTTACCTCGACAAAGATCTTGTTTAGCTCAAGCAGTGCGACTGATCTCCCTAAACACTGCCATTTCCCATACTTGAAAATAAGCTCCCAGGTACTCGTCATCGTCTTGAGTTGGGCCTCCGAGGCGTCCAACCACCGTTCGGGTCGGAACATGATCGCGTCACTTCCATATATAGCCTTGTTGTGCTGTACGCCGAACGCCGCCCAACCAACATCCGTCCCTTCAGGCACAGGGACGCCGAGGATGACATCGCCGCCTTTAGGGACAGTTGTGCCCATATGCCCGACGACAGGCGGATGCACCCGCAGCCCCTCCCGGATGACTGCCTGCAAGTACGGCAGCGTGCGCGCTTCGGCGTCGGTGATTGGGTTAGAGAGCCGGCCTTCCGATGCCGCCGTCCGGATTTCCTGCGTCAGCTTCCCGTAGGCCAAGGGCGATGCAATGAGGTACAGCAGTGTCGTGCGGATGGCTGTGGCGGTCGTGTCGGAACCTGCGATGATCTGCACCAGAGTCTCGCCCTCTGCTTCTTCCCGTGTCAGGCCATGTGCTAGGAAGGACCCCAGCATGTCTTTCCTTGCAATCCCCGAGTCGATACGTTCTGCTACTACTTGCTTTGCTACGCTTGAACACGTGGACAACTCTTGTCAGCACAAGAATCTTGCCTGTGTTCGCTAGGTGAGCAAGGGGACTCACGCAATGAATTTCCCAAATCCCACGACATCATGCTCTGAAGGCATGAGCCGACGCAAAAGTCTCGTCTGTAACAATCTCGCAAGTGCCGGAATGACCGAGAGGACCATCATCACTGGCATACTATCTTCCGTCATTTTTATATACGAGTGCACGTCTGCGTCCTGGTCTAGATACCCAAACTTCTGGCCAAAAGCTAGCGAGGTGATGACATCTAGGGTAAAGTATTGCGCCTTCTTTGAGAGGTCCATTGGCCGATACTGACCCTCCTCCGATACATATTTACGCTCAATGAGGTCGAGGAACGACAGGACCTCTCTGTCGATGGTGCTTTCCAGGGCCTCGTTTTCTTTGCCCGCATACTAGAAGTAGACCAGGCGATCAGCAACTGCTTCACCAGGAGGGCCATGAACGCTCACGCCAGCTGCCATCTTTGCCCTAAGTTCATTGTGCCGGTCATCATCTCTCATGGATATGAGATTGTCTCGGGTCGGGTCGAAGCGAACTGCATCGTAGAATTCTCCCTTTTTGTATGGCGAACGGACAGCCCACATGCGCTTTATTACTTCAGGGTCGTTGGTGACCAACTCATTAGGACCGATGCGCGTAAGAGGCCCTGCAGTGGCACATTCTGATATTAGCCGTTTGGTCCGACTCTAGACCCGTTTACGCCGCGTACGTTGCAGTGAGACATGCATGTTCCGTCTTGCGTTAAGGGAAGGCGTCCGGAAACAGGAGGCGAGGGTCCTCTTACCAAAGTCATCACAGGCCTGCTTGAGCGCCAAATGCATGTTGCCACTTAATGTGTTACGCAACATCCACCATTTGCTGAACGCAGCGCCTGGTGGGCCGGGGATATGCTTGAGCCGTCGCCATGACAGGTACGTGGAGACGGAGGTATAGATCAACAAAACGGCACCGAGAAGCAACGCCACATTACCGTACGAGGCAATTTTGAACAGTCCAGAGGTAAGTGGGTGTATAGGTGGTAGCACTTTCATTTTCATGCATCCGAGTTTGTCTCTCTCTGACCGAATGAAAACGTGGAGCTGGATTTGAGCCAAATAGACAGCCGTCTGTTCAAATGTTGTGGACTGTGGAAAGTCCCGACAGTCTGGAGACGAGGGAGGTGTGAAGATGGTTTCCTCGAGCAACCACCGCTACTTAAAGGCAATCTGAGATACGTCCCGTCTGGACAAACCATTCCCGGGTTGACAGTTGCGTGAATCACAACGGCAGGTGGCTTTGTGCAGTATTGCATGCACATGGCAGCGCTTCCGTGCCGTTTGGCCACCCGCACATACCGTGTATAGAAAGGGAGGGTGCGCCATTGAAGTCACTCGACAAATGGGATGGGAGTTGCGGGCTTACCAGGTCGAGTCCGAGAAATGATACTATTACACAAATATGAACTGGCTGAAAATCAGTAGCTCACTTGCTATACCTCCTTCACGATTCGTGCTGGACCACGACAGATCGCAGGGGTGGCCACCCTCTAAGAAGGAAAAAGCACATCCTTAGATGGGCAGTAGACCATGTCAGGTAAGGCCGTCATGCAGGGCGCAACGGACCGTCGACCGCCTCGTTGTTGTATTGCAACTCGAGGTGATAAATGGCCGGAAGGCTCATCATAGGGTAGCTCCGATAATGCCTCGAAGCCATGATTCAACACGACCTGGACATACTGGACAAGCGATGCATCCAATCAGCAATTGCGCCGCCCAATTCAACGGACACAACAGATATTCACGAATTCGACAGACGAAACTCAGTTGCGCAGTATATCAGTATATAGCTGTGCTCTTGTCCGAGTCGAGGTTGCACGCCGACAAACACGAGTCGCCAAGGAAGGGCCGAGTCGTTCTGTATGGGACGAACGCTGAACGATGTGTCGAGTTGTGCATGAAATATTCCAACACGTACATCAAGTGTGCGGGATGTGCAGCTGAGAGCTGTGTGTCTAGCCAATGCTTTCGTAAGAGCCAAATGTGTGGCTTACCGACGGCATCCTCTTTGGCGACCTAGAAGTTAACAGATCAGCCTTCCGAGTGGAAACTGAAGTGTCCAGCCAGACAGCATCCACGAATTGCTTTCTCCAACGGGTCAATGGCTTGCCCATCCACGGGACAGCCCATTTGGTAAATGGAGTTTCTGCATTTGAGGCATGCAACCATTTTGGCGCTGATAACTCTCGTTCTGGTTACGGATATCCCTTCCCCTGCGGATAAGGGGAAAGGCAGAGACAAGAACGAGACAGCTCGCACCGTAGCCGACAAGGCTAGAACTCCCATTTGCCATTTGCTCAGGGTCAAGATGCGGCTAGCCTAGACGCGACAGGCATTCTGCTTGCTGATGAACGTGTGAGGCAGCGGACTGCCGTTGCTTTTGCGGGTCGGGGCTGTTGACCTGTCGTTTCGACCATCTCTTTAGCTGATCCTTCCGATCAGGCGGTGTTTCGTTAGGGTCATTGGCGGGTAGCCCAGCCCAGCCCTACCTACCCAGGTACCATGAGTTCCCAGGCTCGCCAGGCTCCTCCTCCTCGCCCTCTCTTCAACGTCTTTTGGTCCCCGCTCTTGACATGGGTCTGGCCAAATACAGCATCTGGCGTTGCTGATTCCGGTAGGTGTTTGCTACACCAAAACGCCGCTGGCTCCCCTGTCACAACCCGAGGAAGGGCTGTGGCGTTGCAGCCGACATGTGTCAGGCGAGCATGAGGCATCTTTAATTGGTGTTGCCTTTGCGCTCTGGACTTTGGCAGCTTATTGCGGGTGAGTCCTGGAAGTGCCAAGACAAACAGTGCACGGTAGATCCCCGCTGCCCATCGGACCTTCCCACGCTACCTGATACTCCACTCACTTACTCTCACTACACTAGAGACTACTCACATTGCGGGAACAGGGTCGTGGCTTCCTTCCACAGAAGCTACCTAAACTTAGCTTCTCCTAGCCTACAACTGCGACCTTACCTCACCAGTACCCGGTCGTTCTTTACTCCACAGCACAGGGAAAGAGCGCGCGCCATGCTGCGCCGTACTTCAAAATTGCCTTAGTCTTGTGCAACCTTGCGCCAATGTCGACCTGTGCTACAAGTCTAGGCCGTCCTGGGCTTCCAGTCCCCCCAACCGCAACACACCATCCGCCCACCACGTATCACCGCCAGCGGCACCTCGACTTGCTTTTGAGCTCCAGGATCCTGGGCGCTGTCACTCTGCCACGCTGCTGCCGTTCTTCGGACAAGTCAATTGGCTCGTTGCAGAGTGCGAAGTCTGCGCTGAGTGGCCCCCCGTTGGCGTCTAGGTCTGGTCTCTTCACCGTTCCCGCGGAGGCTCTTCCTCGCATCTCGATACGGCGGCCAACCCTGACCAGGGCCTGTTCTGACCTGACTTGTCCAGTCCGTGCCTTATATCAAAGGACCCCAGGATATCAGACTTGTCCGGCGGCCGGCTCTCTTCCTTACTTGACCCGGGCATCCGCTTCTACTTCCATCTCCACCGCGGCAGACGGCCCTCTCCCGTCTCCCTTTGTCTGGAAGCCGTGTCGCTCCTCGTTGGTTTCCTGTCGAGGCCGGTTCTCGTTCCCATTCGCAACTCCGCCTCAAGCTGTCACTTTCGCTTAAGCAGCCAAACCCAGTGGTCAACATCCTGATACGCTCGTCTATTCAAAGTCGCCTGTGATACTCGAGTCAGCCTATCGCTTTGGCGCTCTTCCGGACACTATCCGGCATGCTGCCTCTGCTGCTGCTTCTCCTCCCTCCTCTCGCTCTCACTTCCCCGTCTTGATAGACGACTGTGTTCACCTCGTCTGTCGCTTGTCACACACTGCCTCCCGTTTGGCCCCCGACGTGAGCAACAGCCTAGAGCCCGCCATCGCCGACTCTTGCTTTCTTTTTCTCCCCATCAGAGGTCCAATCTGTCACATCCACCCCGCTGCATCTTTGACAGGCTAGACGCAATTGGCCGTCCGCAGCATCCTTGTTTTCTTGTCATCGAGACCAGCTCTTCTTCTTTCCCCCTCCATTAGGTCCCCTCCGAACAGGGAAGACCGTTGAAGTGATGCTGCGGGCAGAAGTGTTGTTCATGTTGCACCTGCGGAATATTTTAGTCGTCGTTCCTCCCGGCACACGTGAGTCTAAAGCAAACATCATCCGTGTGTAGATAAAACACAGACGAACGGCCGGGCAACTCAGATCCCTCCTAGAGAGCCACCACCAATTCCTCGCAAACAGAGAGGGGCAAAGCGAGAACGGCCGCTGTTGTTCATCATTTGCGTTATTGCTAAAGTCATGGCTGATAACCAGAACATCGATGGGTCCGACACCTTCATCCTAGAACCAGACACCGAGCCATCTACCGATGATGTAAGAAACGTCCATACAGATGATAGTAGGCAAACATTGCCTACCTAATCTCGTGACTAACCCTTCAACCACAGACCGATGTGGACTCCGCGTTCTTCTCAGAGAGTGACTCCGCTCTCGGATCTGTAAAGCCTTCCTACCCTTTGAAAGTCCGATAAACTTGTTAATCCGTGATTTGGTGGCCAGGACATGTCCTTTCTATCGTCAACCGCCTCACTGAGGTCGTCCATCATGAAACATCTAGAGGAGAACGGCCGAATTTACCACGGGTACAAGGATGGTAAATACGTGCTGCCTACCGACGAGGTAAGCCAGCCCATACCAGATCCGCTCCAAGCAGTCTGACACAGTCTAACCTGACCCGGGATCTCGTAGCCAGAGCTTCAAAGACAAGGTTGGTACCAGAATGTTTCGCATTGCAAGGTGCCCCGACTGGAGAAGCTGACTTCAATGACAGAATTTCAATATCAACTCTGTCTTTTGACTTTTGATGCGAATTTATCATTCGCTCCACTACAACGGTTAAATAGAGTTCTAGATGTTGGGTGCGGCCTTGGTAAGAGCCCTGATACACACGCCGGACAATTGCAGACGACTGACATGAAATACAGGTTTCTGGGTCATTGACTTTGGTAAGCCCTTTGCGAAAAATGACGGCGCATGCTGATGATATTGCTTGTCTTAAGCGGAGCAGCATCCCGAGGCAGAGGTATTTCTTGCCATATTCTTGAATCGGTAGAGGCGGATCAGGCTAATATACTGTGCAGGTGCTCGGAGTTGACCTGTCGCCTATTCAGCCGGCATAGTAAGCTTAAGATTCCGCACTGCGAAACAAATCCCTGTCCCTCTTTGCTAACATGCAGCCAGTGTTGTAAGCTTCGAATCGTGGTCTTTCAATATTTAGCCTCTGATGTACTTCTAGCCCCCCAATGTGCAATTTGAGATTGATGATCTTGAAGAGCCATGGAGCTTTAACTTTCCGTTTGACTATATTCATAGCCTGATGATGACAGGGGCGTTCAGGGATTGGCCGAGATTCTATCGTCAGGCCTTTGAGTGAGCTTCCTCTTGTTCGCATTCCGCGACAACTTGAGACCCAAACTAACACGGACTTTCAGCAACTTAAGCTCGGGTGGCTGGCTCGAGATTCAAGATATTGAGTTCCCACTTCGGTGTGACGACGGATCGATGCCTGAAAACGGGCCTCTGAAGAGATGGAGCGACCTCATGGTGGAGGCCGGTGAGAAATCCGGCTTCAGTCTGACTACTTGCGGTCAGGCGGCCGACATGATGCAGAATGCCGGATTTGTGGACATTGGCCGAATCCCCTTCAAGTGGCCGATCAACCAATGGCCGCGCGAGCCCAAGTGGAAAGAGGTCGGACAGTGCACGGAGCATAACTTCCATCACGGAGTGGAGACGATGATGTTAGCGTTGTTCACACGCTTCATGGGCTGGACGCGCGAAGAGGTTGTCGAGTTCAGCAATGCTGTGAAGCAAGAGTTTCATGACGTCCGAAAGCATGCGTACTTCGACCTGTATGTCACGTATGGACGCAAGCCATGAAAGAGTATGTTATTAGAACGGGGCAAAAACGGCGTTAAGACTGAACAGACTTGATTCAGTGAAAGGTCATATATAGTAGGTTTTTAATGTGTGCAATCTAAAATCCTAATGAGAGCATGACAGTCTTCAGACTGGAAAAGACGGCATGTCTGTCTTTGCGAGGACAATGAAATAAAGAAATACAACAAATCTCTGATATTCCTGAGTATTTCAATTGCATACAACTCTCTTGCAATTGCAGGCCGTAGCTAAACCTGACGATCAATGCCTTCAGCTTTGGCGACAATGCCAAGCGGAAGTTGCAAGCCATGCCACATGGCCGAACGGGACAGGAGAGGCAAGAGGGTAGCCCAAAGCCCCCCTGGCGATACAACACGGCTTAGCCAGTCAAAATCTTTGTGATTCTTGAGGGAACGGGACATTCGCTGGTGCGGGTTCGACCCAAGCAGAAGGGGGTCCTACCGGTCGTATTACATGCTCTTTGCATAGCATCTTCTGCAGGCAAGTCGCCGGAAACGGCGCTTTGCATGGTTGCACGCTGAGATGCGCATACCATTATTCGATGCGGTATATAATTGCCAGTACTACGCTACGGGAGAAGAGGTCTAAGCGCAACTCTGGTAGCAGGCTTTGAGGCTCTGGCTTGTTTTCATCTCGGCTTTGGTCCAACTCAGCATGAAAAGGGGGAGGTCTCCTACGGTTGGCATCGTGTGACTCAGCATGGGCAGCGGTTTCACCAGAACAACAATACATGCACAGGGACAGCATATCAGGGGGGCACTGCGGGACGCTTTTTGGAGCCATCATATGATTGGTTTTTGGCCATATACGAAGTAGAACTGCAGCCGCGCATGGATGCGGCGGTCCATGAAGGCGGCCCTGATGTCGGCGAACAGCCGCTCGGCCTCCTCGTGGGGCACGCCGGCCTCGCGGAAGGGCTTGGCGCCCATGGCGGGCAGCAGCTGGACGAGGCACTCGCGCAGGTACATGCCGACGAGGCGCAGGCGCTTGTCGCGCGGCCAGGCGCCCAGGGGCACGTGGAAGACGCGCTGGTGGACGTTGACGTAGCCCATGGCCTCCATCTCGGCCTTGAGCCGCTCGGGCACGAACATGTCGAAGCCGTAGCCGTCCCAGATGCCCTTGAGGATCTCGTAGAACTTGTTCAGCGGGTAGTCGTCCGACACGGTGCCGTCGTCGCACACCACGCGCGGGTTGATCTCTTGCCACTCGAGCCAGCCGCCTGGCTTGAGATTTCTGTATCGAAGGTTAGGGGGCTGGTCATTTGCCTTTCGAGTCTTCTGTCACTGGGTCGTGCTGGAGGGGCCCTCGTACCTGAGCATTGTGCGAGCTACGCCGAAGGCATCTTTCAACATGGGCGCTGTGAAGCGAATGTGGGCGTAGTCTATATCCCTCCCATAAGCCCATTCTTCCCCTTCTATGTCGTCGACGATGAACCGACAATTCGGGGGGACAAATTGCGGTTGTACGGGGGACAGATCGAGACCAACCACCTCTGCACTAGGGTATAAATCCGCCACTGGAGGTGCTGAGTTAGCATACTTAAGATCCGGATCCCATATAGAATAATATTATCATACCTTCGATAGCCCATTCGCCAAAACCAGTACCGAGATCAAAAATCTTCTGTGGATCATCGGTGATAGGGGCCAGTATTAGTTTGCCTTTCAGTAATTCCTTCAGCATAACATGCTTGAGTCCTTCCCTGTCACCTTCATTTTCGTCGTTTGGTATAGGGTATGTACCGTATCGATACATGTGATATCGTCTGTTTCCCACAAGAGATAAGTGTTGGTGCCCAAGAGATTAACATGGGGTTGAAGCATACCTGCCATGTTCGTAGGAATGTCTGTAGATGGACGTTGATATGGACATCATTGACTCCGCATCGATGGTCGGGTCATAGTCTGATGTTGCTCCGAAGCCATCCTCCTCTTCATCGTCAAGTGAGCCTTCTGATGCGGGCTCTATAAAGCTGGTGCCATCTTCTGATGCCATATCTGGGTGCTGGGAATCAAAAGTGAAGTAGGTACTTTTCGTCCAGGAGAGCAAAAATGGTCACTGTATCCTACGACTCCTCCCAGGTAGGTATATAATTAAAGATACGGCGGCTTTGAATACTGTGTTGTATCGTGGAGGTTACGAGGTGGAGTGAACAGCCTCCCTGACTCGTACGTTGGTACTTCACCCACCGGAAGGACCCTGACGGCGGAGATAGGCAGATGTATTGATGCAGGAGCGTGTCGGTGGCGTCTGCTAGGTTTCTGGAATTATTCGATAATACAAATAAAATAGATAGACAGGTGGGAGGTCTGTGGTGGCAGCGACTGCAGAGAAACACGGATAAATTGAGGTGCAGCAAGCAGCAGTCTAAGTCTTTATATGCGTCCTTGAAGGAGTTGACTTATAAGCGATGAACAGAGGCTACAATGGTGGACTGATGATATGAGGTCTCCGTCTCGGCCGCAGGAGCAAGAAGATTGGATTGACAGAAAAAAGAAGGGCAGAGGGACGCGAGATGGAGGGACTTCGGTGAGAAGGCTGAGGTGTCTTGGGTCCTTTCAAGATCTCTGGGCACGACTAAGGGCCGAAGCAGGGACATGGGAGCTTGGCAAATGTTCCAGTTGACGGGATGACTTAGATGGCGGGCTTGACAGACGGCTTGAGACAGGGAAAGCACACGAGGAGAAGAAGACTCGGACAACAATGAGACCGGCACGAGAGGAGCAAGTGGGAGAGAAAAGATGTGGTGGTTCCTTTTTTCGATTTTAGTGCTGAGATGCAGAGGTACTCGATGGTGAGAAGGCAGGGTGGTGTACAGGAGGTACACACGTACAGTACCTACCATAGACAGCTCTCAACACTCTGCATTGGGTAGCAGGCGACGCACATCAATGGCGGCAGGTGTGGAGGGGTCGTGGAAGCTCCAGTGGATTTCCAGGCTTCTGGCAGCCAATGGGAGCCCCCAAAAGCTCGCCGGATTGCCTGCCAGCACCAATCGAGCTGCATATCTGGTGCGCCACGGCGGCGGCACCTTGCAAACTTTACCCAGCCAGACGGTGTGTGACCGTATCCCATTCAGTGCTGGCTCTGGCTGCGGTCGAGCTGTTGGCGAGCTGGGTTGGTTCTAGAGGGAAAGAGATTCACCAAACCAGAATGACAGACGGGGTACAGTACAGGAGAGCACAGCACGATACAGGTAGGTCGGTACCGGTAGTCTACGATGGTGGTGTCAGATGGCTGGGATCCCCTCCGATCCACACACCCAGTCTGCCGGTGCAGGTCCCGCAGTAAATTGGCTTGTCCCCCCAGTGTGCTGGGATCCTCGACATCCCGCCATGATGGTGATGGCTTGCTGAGTTGTCCACCGGGTAAAGACCAAGTACCACTCGACACAAGCCAATCACCGCCTCACCACCAGCCTCACAAACACCCGGTCCAGCGTCATTTCCCTCTCCTGACCCAGCTTATCGTCCGAGATACCCAGCTAGTTGCTGTCCTCATCATGCACATCATCTCTTTGGCGACTGGACTGCAGGAAGCAATCGTGGCCCTCGGCCCTCACATGGAAGTCCAGTAACGAGTGATAGATACCCTAGGTTCTCTGTCAGTCCTTGACTTATCGTGTGGTGCCCCCGTGTCGGATCAGGGACCATCTCAAATCGGAAGAGCTCGCGGATAGTCCGGAGCGCGAGGTGCAGCCGTGGTGGTCGGAGTCCTACTTTTCGCATGTGTAAGAATGGACGGGTATATGTATGTATGACTCTGTTCACGAGCGGCCATCAAACCATTTGGTCAGCCCGCCTCACCGCCAGACACTGATCCCAGACAGTGAAGGCACCAGGGACGATAGGATGAGCTGGGCGTCCCTGCAGCGCAATATACTTCAGCAGGGTCGAGCTTGGCGGTGCTGGGTTCTTGCAGGGACGACGATACATGAATTTGCATGTATTACATCCGTTGACCCTTGGCAGTTTTGTCTACAGGGCTTCATTCGTGGCCTGACGAGTGTACACATGTTTGTGCAAAGAGCGCATGTGAATGAGTCTTGCGATGAGGGGTACGCATGTTGAGGATGTATACCATCAGTACGTAATATCACTCAGACACTAGGACATGCGCCAGCAATTGCTTTGTTCGTTATGTCCGTCCCTACGGCCTTAAGACTGGTGAGAATATCCCGGTGCTGCTCTTCGGCCTGTTCGAGCCCTAATGGATGCCCCCAGATGGCGCGGCGCCGTGATAGCTCGTCAAGCTGGTCTATGACGTGCACATATTCTTCTCCGTTTCACTGTGATCGTCAGGACAAGGGTGAAGATAAAAGACCACTACCCGAATGCGACCATTGTGAACAGAGAATAAAAAGAAAAGAAAGATTGGTATGGAATGGCACGATAATTGCAGCCCCCATTGAGAGGCCGTCCCGACAGACTGGGTTGTGGTTTGATAGGGAATGGCAGTTCGGACCCAGGGCAATGGTTCGGGTCGTCTCTTTACCTGCCACCCGGGACAAGCAAGAACATAGTCCATTCGCAGCTGCCCCGCAGAGGCCCGAGAAGACGGGACGGCACAGGACGGGGCGGGAAAGAGCAGTCGGCGCTTTGTTGCACCGTACAGTGCTGCTTTGCTGAGGGACGGTACATGGCATCACTGTACGGTGCGACTTGGCCGGTGGGGTCGACTAAAGAGGAAAGCGCAAGAGGCCCTGGTCCACTAAGACTCGACAAGGTACTTGCTCTCAGGTACCTGACCGTGGGAAGGCGCGTCTTGCACCAAAAACCGCGTCTACCCATAAACACCTTTTATCACCAGCGACTTGCACCACACAAGACTTCGAGACTGTCTTGATGCTGCACTTGGCCGCTGACCATACCTGTTATTCCACATCTTCTCGTCGTGTTTAGATACCGTCCGCAATATTCTCTTGCATTTCAGAGCATCAATTGCATGCATTATATCTCTCGGAAGGACCCATCGCGTCGCCCAGCACTTACACGCACGCGATCCCCGGGTTCTGCTGATCATCACGAACAGGAACAAGAACAGAACCACCACTCCGGATTATGGTTATAGCCTGTCCTTGCCCAACATCCCGATTCCATGCCTCTTCAAAGGACCTCTAGACACGCGTATAGTTTCTGTTAGCCATGTATCTCCCGCGGTCTTTAATATCCAAGCTCTATTCGCACCTCCAGAACACGCGACATCCGCTCTCTCCACCAGTCTTGCTACTCGTGGCCCTCGAACCCGACGCCCTCTGTGCATGCCGGATTCTTACACGCCTGCTAAAGCATGATTATATTCCGCACAAGATCCAGCCTGTCGCCGGCTATGGAGATCTTGAACGCGTGGGCCGGGACCTCGTGAGCCCCATGATGGAGACTCAAGGCGGTGCTGGCGGCGTTGTGGTATGCCTTGGAGTTGGTGGCATGGTGGATCTGGGCACCGTGCTCGGCCTTGAACCTGAAGGCGAGGAGTCCACCTTTGGGGGAGTCGAGGTTTGGGTCATTGACTCTCACCGACCGTGGAACCTGGGTAACGTGTTCGGTGGCTTCCCCTTGGAGCCAGAGACCGAAGATGCAAAGACCTACCAGGCTCGTACTCCTGCAGGCGTCAGTGCCGGTCGAATTGATCGCGCATATAAGCCAGGGAAAGGAGGCATCATCGTCTTTGACGACGGTGATATCGAGGACGACCTGGGACCTCAGAAGGATGCATATATGGCCTTAGTCGAGATGCCCGACATAGAAGACGATGGCCAAGACCTAGACGATAGCGACTCGGAAAGCGAGAGTGAAGACGAAGACGTACGAGGTTCTGCGCCACGTGCCGGTCAGAAAAGAAAGTCCTGGTCTGGTCAAGATGACGACGAGAGTGAAGACGAGGATGAAGATCGGCCGAGGCAACGAAGAAGGAGCAATTCGGTGCGTATTTTCGATAAGCTAGCGATTTCAAAATTCCACACGTGCTAACAGATCCTGCAGTCGAGCTCAATTCCCTCGTCTCCAAGACGTCCTGCACAGCGAGGACTTCTATCTTTACAAGACCAGGTCATAACCTCCTCGGATGGACTAGAAGATCCTCCAACTGCAGCTCAGCCGCCGAAAGGCCCGTCCGCACGCACCTTACGCAGACGGTTGCTGCGTCTGAGGCGGGAAAATGAAGGGATTCTGCGACAATACTACCGGATCGGCTCAGCATACTCAGAGCCCATCTCCTCGATCGTTTACTCCATGGCGTCAGAGCTCGGACGCGAAGACAATGATCTCCTGTGGTTAACGATTGTCGGAGTAACGTCAATGGAGCTGTACGGGCGGTCCTCTGCTGGTGTCGCTGTGCCAGTACGCTCTTCGGAGAGCACACGCTCCTCTGGCTGGATGGGTATGCGCGGCGCCCGAATACGGCAACTCTTGCGTGATGAAGTTCGCCGTCTTAATCCACCTGAGCTAGGGCATGTTAATGGCAAAGTCGCCCTCGAGACTAATGGCATTATACCCACGACAGCACGCAGCCCCGAAGATACAAGTATACGCCTATCACCAGAACCAAAATTCCTCCTAATCAGGCATTGGAGTCTGTATGACAGCATGCTCCATTCACCATATCTCTTCTCTCGTCTCAAGACGTACAGCGAAAATGGCCTCAAGCGACTGCACAAATTACTGGCCAAGATGGGCGTGAGCCTGGTCCAGTGCAAGCAGAGCTATGCACATATGGATATGATGCTCAAACGTGAGCTGCGCACAAAGCTGTTGAAGTATGCATCTCTATATAATCTAGACGACATGGTGCCGACCGTCGAAACCGATGGTAAAGATCGTGCTGGGGCGAAGGACGGCTGGGGATTCGTACGCAGCTGGGGTTGGCGTGCAACTTTGAGTGCCCAAGATGTTGGCGTGGTTGTTGGTGCACTTCTCGAAGTTGGAAAGCATTCTACCGTATCCGAGAGTACTGCGAGAGAAGGCGCTTCACAGGAAATCGAAATCGATTTGGAAGAACACCTTGCAATACAGGGCGAAGAGTGGATTCCTAGGTTCTGGGATGCGTACGATGCCCTTGAAGAGTAAGTTTCAGCAGCTCTGCCGAGGGATTGATGGGCTGTTCTCGACTACGGTGTGCTAACACGTTCCTAGTATCGAGTCCCTCAAAGCCGGCCTGCCCACAGCGCAGCTTCTGCACAGAGCCATCTTTAACACAGGCACTACGCTGATGAAGAAAAAGCAAATCACCCATTTGAGGGCATTCCGGATGTGTATAGTCAAGGACAGCCCTGAGTCTGCAATCTTTAACCACCCGGGAGCCTTGACAAAGCTGGCACTCTGGATCGGCGAAGCTTTAGGCGAGCAAGAAAAGGACACTACAGGAAAGCTGGCGTATGGCGGTCGTGGTACGCCGCTTGTCGTAGCCAGCCTTAACGAGAAACGGGGAGTATACATTGTTGTAGGAACTGGAGGAGGTGGTGGTCCTGACACGGCCTTCTTAGACAAGGAGGCTGCCAAGAAGAAGAAGCAGGAGAAGGATGACAAGGCGAAGCTCAAGGAAGAGCGTCGCAGGCAAAAGGAGAGAATCCGAGAAGAGAAGCGAGCTGCTAGGGAAGCTGCCGGTCAAGATGATGAAGATTTCGATGATGAAACGGAGTCAGAAGGCTCCGATGCCTCCGACTCGGACTCAGACGACGATGAAGATGGTCCGAGAGATAAGAGCTATGGCCTGAACCGATTTGGCACCGCTTTCCAGGACGTCATTTCTGAAACGAGTGCCAGAGTGAGGGTTGACAGCTTTGAGCATTGCGTGGTGGAAGTCAAGAAGGAGGATCTAGGGGGCTTTCTCGAAAGTTTGAGCATGAAGTCGGTTGTCGGGTAATGGGCATGATGTTGGCGACAAGAGGTTGGCACTGAAGGGTATGATGATATTGGAGACCGGAGCATGGCGTCTCTCTTTGCGAACCTATCCGCAGACACTCTCGAGTACCCGCCGCGTCACTGAAGCACATGATGGAATGAGGCATTGTTGGAGGCGTTATAGGTCGTGATCATAGTGTCATGTTGGCATTCTTGCTTTAGAATATTAGCATTGTTTATCAATCATCTTCCACATATTCTCGATTGCATCTGCTCGCAATTTCAGCTGGCAGGACTAGGTAAGCTGGTTGCTGAACAGAAAGGCTATCCATCTTACAAACATACAACGTAAGGCCGCTCACCATCAAAAAGTGCTACGGGGATTGACCAGTCTTCCGTACAGCACCATGGCTGGATTGACACATCACCATTCACGGATCCGGCAGTATGAGCCGACAATGTGCAATTTCATTATCAGGTAAGTCCTGGAGCTGAAGGAAGCTCGCCAATCAGTGCCGACGTAATACCAACGGTTTCCACAGTGGCCGTTCCTTCGTCAGGGGTCGGGCCTTGGGCTGACCACCAAGCGGCGGACTCCCGCTCAGCAGCCTATCTCGGCTTCGCTCCTGGATCTTGGCTCGGATCACCGTTCGCTGCTGGCGCGCCCCGATCAGGTAACCGGTCCAGTAACGCCCCGGAAATAGCAGCACTGCCCAAGTTAGTCAGCCATTGCTAACTCAAACACCAAGCAACAGCCTCATTAAAGATGCTGCGCGTGCAATGGCACCCATAACAATTGCTCAACATCGAACCGACCCGCGCACAGCCCTACTAACGCTTTGCGGGTCTGAGATAAGCACTATGATAATGGCCCTGTAAGGCCTTAACACAAGGACCCGTCGACTGGGGCCCTGGGACCTGGACGACCCATGCGAGCTTAGACACCTAATGTAATGCCGTTCGACCAGCTCCCCGTTTTCCCCCATGCCAACGCGCTTGGCTGCTGACGCTCTGGGATCAGAGCTAGGGTATTACATCTGCCCCTTGAGCCTCTCACGAGCCGGGAATTGCAAATGTGAATATATAAGACGAAGGAACGGCCCCAAAGGGTAGTCGATGGTATTTGTCCTTGCTATGCTGTGACTCGTGTAGTGATATTGCTCTCAACCCGCTCTAGCCCACGATCAGCCCTATAGGTATAGCTTCGCCCTTCGTTGCCTCGCATAGTCCCCTGCCGGCTTCAGCAGACACCGAATACCATGACTACTACGAAGAAGTGGGCGGATGGGCCCTTTGAGCTCATCTCGAGCTCTCGTCTGGGATACAAGGTCTGTCATTCGCCAATTATATGCCAAGAACACTCGGACTGACATCATATAGCCCGGCGAGAAGGTCAAGCCAGTCCACACGATAGCTGAGGAGATGATCATCGTGCACAACCTGCTGCTGCGCGGCATCAACTCGATCTACCTGCAGTGCATCAACGTGGAGAGGGATCCCGCCGTCGTGCCGGACTTTGTGAGCTACGCCGAGACCTGGGGCAAGACGGTCCACGAACACCACGACGCGGAGGAGACGCTGGTCTTTCCGGAGATGGAGGAGCTGGCCGGCGAGCCGGGCCTGATGGAGGCCAACGTCGCGCAGCACAAGGCCTTCCACGACGGCGTCGGCACGTATCAGGCGTATCTCGCGGACGTGGGCGCGGGCAAGGAGAAGTACGACGGGCAGAGGCTGAAGGCGATCATCGATTCGTTCATGCCGGTCCTGCGGCAGCATCTGAGCGACGAGATTGACTCCCTCATGGCCCTGGAGAAGTACGAGGAGAAGACGCAGTGGGACAAGTGGTTCAAGGGCGTCATGGACAAGGTCCTGAAGAAGGCTGACGGCGCTGAGATGAAGGTATGTCTGTACTCGTCCTAATGGGCGACTCTACGATATCTATGATTGTGGTTGGAAACTGACGTCTTTCTTCCCATTTATAGTTCACCAGTGGCCCTTTCGCCTTCCAGTGCCATGACAAGTCGTTCGAGGATGGGCGATTCGCATACTGGCCCCCTCTGCCGTGGTTTGTGATGCTCCTGCTCCGGTGGTTTGCTGTGCCCAAGCATAAGACCTGGTGGCAGTTCTCTCCCTGCGACACGTACGGCAAACGGCGCGAGCTGCCTTACGCTGACGAGAAGAACTAAGGAGACACCCGACTTGACTGTGTGGGGAAATGTGTATCATATATATAGTGACGACTTTTGGTAGCGACAGCTTTCGTGATTGTTCATCAGGCTTGCTCATTGTAACGATAGCATCAAACGAAATTAGAGAAGCGTTATATTGGTGCTCTTGTTTATTCAAGGACATCTAAAGCCGTTCAGTGAGCCATAGAGTGCTCATCCTGCATTGATGTGACCAGAACTCCAGCTAAGACGTGTGGACGGGCACCCGCTCATGAGACGAGTAACGAACGAACGAACTTCAACGTCTATCCTGGAATCGTGGCCTAGCTGGTTAAGGCGCAGGTGTATGTGAACCCCCCACGAGAGTGTCATAATACTAACGAGATACAGCTCATACAACATATGACCTTATTAAAAACAAGGATATCCTGAAATCGTGGGATCGAAGCCCACCGATTCCATACAATTTTTTTTTAATTTTCTCGATTTTATCATTTATCTCTTGTTTCATGAACACCTTTTGCACTCTCCTCCTGATCCGCAAGTACGGAGACCTGGTCCCTTCTTTGAGCCATGTTCTCGCTGATGGGCCCAAGATTCCCACTGACAAAAGATGAGGATAAAGTCCAGCTTGTCCTGCTTGTCGATCTCAACGACTTTGTTGCATTGTCGAGATGGCTTCCTGGACCAAGAAGACGGGTAGAACGGCGTTGTCCACGGCATTTTCAGCATCGGAGTTGTATGGACTACCTGTGGTCTGCCACACGTCCACAGCCAGGTCATCTTTTAGAGTCCCTGTGTTGTCGATCGTCTTACTAACCGTGTCCTTGGGGTTGACAACGTTCGAGTAGGTGAAGCCATCCAGTACGGCATAGTCACTCCACCAGTCCAGCCAGGCACAGTGCTTACCAGGCCGATAGTCTAGCGAGCATGGCCGATCTGGATTGAAGGAGCCATACGGGATGCGTGTATCCTTGAAGGCGGGGGTTTCTGAGCTGGGCCAGTGATAGCAAGTGCTTCCGCTTGGAACTGGTCATGTTTGTTGCCTCGCGACTTCCAGTGAACACTTGTTTCCTGTGCTGTCTGGTCGAGGATGGTAGTGTAGACGCCTCACTTCGAATGATCCTGTGAGTAGGGCTCCGGCATGTTGATGTGTATTGACAGTCCACCGTACACATTCTTTTTCGAAATGCACTGGCTGTTGTCGCAATACTCACAGCCCTGGCCCGGACATGCGGTAGAGCAACTGCGGCAGCAGACCTCCGTCTGATACAAAGGTAATCACCCAATGGCCTGGGCTCATAGACAAGCCTGGCCGAGTACGCGCGCGTCAGGTGCTGTCAGAGCCGGCGACGGTCCTGCTGCGCCCCGGCCCGCCGTTAGTTGGCATGATGAGGCGTGACCGGGAGGAGCCGTATGACCGGTTCAAGGCGGATGTCAGTGCTATGGAATTGCGGGCATACACTCTCGGGCAGCTCCTGGCCGACGGGGGAGCATCAATTTGTCGACCTGGCGAAGCTCTACTAAGAGAAGGGGATAGGTGCCACGAATAGCATGGGACCAGTCAACAGCGTACGTTCTTCAACCGAACTACCGACGAAACTTCCCCAACGGTGACACTAGATTATCAGGATTGGAGCTATATTTCCGGAGCATGAAACCCCTGGAACTCTAGAGTAACAGAGTAGTTCACTTGATACTCTATACGATAGGGACAAGCCACTCTTCAAGCTGTTCGGATTTTCAACATATGAGATGATTGCGATATGGAGGCATGTGTATGTGTATCTTCTGTTTGTACGGTCACTCGACTGCATACTCACTTTCGACTGCATACTCTCTCACACTTCAACTAAAGTAAAGTGTAACATTGAGGTGACAACAATGACATGAGGATGAAGCGTCAACACTCCGAAGTCTGGACGTCATTCGTCCACTGCTCACCGACCCATTACGAGCAGAGAGCCAGTGAAACTCCGTCAGGTCTGGTACACTTGTGCCATCGACAGTGTTCTCCGGGAAGGCTGCCGTCCCGTATCTCGATTACTGCTGCAATGCAATGCCAATACGATGTGCCTCGTGAGCGCAACAAAGTCATTCGTTCATGACTGATTGATCAATGAGCTAGGATTTACAATCAAAGAAACCCCTCCATCGCCGTAGCACCACGACGACATCCGTCCCTGGACGCTTGGCGCCTCGCCTGCATGCCCTGATGTGCACAGCCTCAATCGCCCACGGGAAAGCAGCCATTCAGGAGGCGCGGGCAGGTGAACAGGGCAGAGGCCGCCCCCGCTGTCCCGCCAATCGATCGGGTTTGTTTCTGGGCGGCTCCTCGCTGGATGATGGGTGCTGGGTCGCCTGGCTCGCCAATCTTTTTGAGGAGAGGGGGGGAGGGGAGAAGAGGCCCCTTCCTGCTGCTGCAAGCAATTCCGTAGGGCGGAAGGGGTGTTGTGGAGATGTAAGGCAAGTAAGTGTAAGAAAACAAGTCCGCTTCTGAAGCGTCCGCTGTCCGAGTCCGAGGGACCGCGATGACATAATGTATGTTAGGAAGATTCTTTCAAATATGAGCATTTTCACTCAAGGCAATACAATACAATACAATACAATACGTATGAGGAGAAAACGGTATACGGTCAAGGAAGCGTTGATATCGAGCTCGCACCGTACCTATGACGAATGGTGAGCAGCCTGGCGAGCGATCTCACCCTAGCCAAAGCTTGTCATTTTTGAGCCCCTTGTTGATGTGTGTACTATGGTATGGCTCTCGACTACCTACCCACGGCATTGTCTCAGTTATTAGGGGCGACTCCAAGTGGCGGCAGTCGCCGACCCGCCGCCACACACACGCGGACGGTACGGTACCTGGCAATCTGTAGCAGTTTTCGATGACCAAAGTATATATATATGATTATATTAGTTGGATCTGAAGAGTGGCCGCCCATGATGGATGGGCTGTCTCTCTTCACCTATGGAGCCACAGTGTTTCGCAGTCGCATAACCAACGCCGGTCGACTCTTGGAACGCGGCAGGCATGCCGTATTCTGTATTCTGGGCAATGGGTTGAGACATTTACTAACGGACCAGTAGATGGAGCCATAGACAAAAGACATAGATATAGACATAGGCGTAGAGGTTGGTGGGACAGCCTAGGCAAGGCCGGAGAAGACGACGACGACGACGGACACGGACTTACGTATGTGACGCACTCCAGGCACCGTTCCGTTCCAGACTCTACGGTGAGGGTGGGTAGGTCGACCTAATAATACCTAGGTAGCCTCAGGGAGAGAATGAGTGACGACTGAATTTTGCATTTGCAATCCATAAGTAAGCTAAGGCAAAGACTGTCCGTCCAATTGCCGCCGCCTCGCCGGGGGAAAGCGACTCCCCTTCTAGCCCCGGCGGCATCTCTGGGACTTGCGCTGGGAACGCCTGGCTGCACTGGAGACTGCATGTCTGGAGCGGCTGGAACGGAGGAATCCACATAACGGTGACACGATTACCTGACTGACGTAAGGCCATATTCTACCGTACTTGGACTGAGGAGATGTTAGGATACCTACCTTGGGTATATCTAGATGCTCTAGACCAACTAGGTAGCCTATGATCAGGTCAGGTACCTACCTACCTACACAAGTCGAGAGGAGGCCTGCTGCCCCCAGAAATCAATCAAGTAAGTCAGTGCACTACCTAGGTACATTGTACATGCAAAGCAGGATCCTCTGCGGCGCAACGGAGGCTCGTCACATTGTCTCACTCAAATCTGTCCTGTCTAGGCCCTCAAGGCCCTGAGGCCCTGTATGCTGCACAGTACCTAGGTAGGTACCGGTAGTTCTGGCCTGCAGCACCCTTCCCACTGGGAACCAAGTAAACCAAGTATCTGACTCCACCAGCCGCCCCGAGACCCCAACAATACCCCCCCATTATTACCACCACAAATCACTTACATAGTCGCATCCCTACCGTGCTTTACTGAACTGAACTTGACTCCATACATACATACATACATACTGCCTGCTAGCCAGCCTTCCTACTCCTGCGCTTGGTAAACGGGCCGTTTCTCTTACGACCTCCCTCAACTTCACCTTACATTGCCTTATACTCGAGACAATCTTGCCGCTCCTCTTCCACCACCACCCCCGCGCCTGCTCAAGTGTCTCTCCTACTCCTGCGTCACTGCAAGGCTCTCTAAGCCTCCTCCCATCGAATCCTTGAGCGCGCGAGGTGCCCACTACGGTCCAAGCGTTCTCTCCTAGAGCCAGAGCCTGTGGTCGTGGCTGTGGTTGTGGTTGTGGTCCCATCGTCGACCAGGCCCTGTGCTGCGCGCGGCGAAACCCCTCTCTCCGCCACACTCCGAGACAGCCTCAGCCGGGCGCTTCGCAGAGAAAATAGCAACTCACAAACTGGCTGCTACCGACTGACATGGGCAAATCGTGAGTGAGACTTCTCTATCTTCCCGACTCCGAACGAGAGACAAAAGCCGCCGTCCCTGGACAAGGCAATGTTTCATTCGAATGCGTGCATGCGCCGAGGCACATTGGCGACAGAATCCCTCAATGTGGCCCCCTCCTCCCTGTGCGGATGGCGGGGGATCGTTGAGTGCCTCTGTTGACGGCCATTCCATCGCGACGCTCCCCGGGAGAGACCCTCGACTGACAATGAGCTTTTGCCTTGCAGACAGTCCAAGCTCTCGCAAGAGCAGCTGGCCGAACTCCAGAAGTCCACCCACTTTGACAAGAAGGAGCTGCAGCAATGGTATAAGGGTAAGCTAAGCTGAAACTCGCTCGTCATCGCATCGACCGCGCAGTGTCGCATGTCCACCACACCCGGACAGCACAACTGCTTCTCCCTTGCTTGCGCACTCGCGCCGCGATGCGTCAGAAAATCACACAGAAAGACACACAAAGGCTAACCTCTTGCTCTTCGCTCCCCCCGCCAAACAGGCTTCCTCAAGGACTGCCCCTCGGGCATGCTCACCAAGGAGGAGTTCCAGAAGATCTACCGGCAGTTCTTCCCCTTTGGCGACCCCTCGTCGTTCGCCGACTACGTCTTCAACGTCTTCGACAGCGATAAGTCCGGCAGCATCGACTTCAAGGAGTTCATCTGCGCCCTGAGCGTCACCTCGCGCGGCAAGATGGAGGACAAGCTCGACTGGGCCTTCCAGCTCTACGACATTGACGGCGACGGCAAGATAAGCTACGACGAGATGCTCAAGATCGTGGAGGCGATCTACAAGATGGTGCGTTGTTTCCAGATTTTTCTCTCTACTCCTGCTATTTTTAATGACACACGCCATGTTCCGTCTCGTGTGTGTGTCTTTACTGGCTCCTTTCAGCGCTGAGAGAGAGACTATCCGGGTCCGGGGAATTGCGGGAAAGAGTCCTTGGCTAACGGACCTCTTAATCATCAATAGGTCGGCTCAATGGTGAAGCTGCCAGAAGACGAAGATACCCCCGAGAAGCGCGTCAAGAAGATTTTCCGCATGATGGACAAGGACGAGAACGGCAGCCTGGACATGGAGGAGTTCAAGGAGGGCAGCAAGCGGGACGAGACCATCGTGTCCGCCCTGTCTCTGTACGACGGGCTGGTGTGATCCCCCCCCCCCTCCAATCGCCGCACTTTCCTCCGACAGGAAAAAGGAGTCAGGACGGGACACGGGCAAGATGGAAAGGGGGATGGGTCAGGATAGATATGTTGGTGGTGGAGGGGGAGGAGGGCACTACGGGCACCGATAGCAATAGCGGCGGCGCGATATTCTTTGGGTTCGACATCGACGACAAGCTGAGGGTGTGGGAACGTAACGTACGAGAGAATTCCTAGAGGGAGGGGGCCACAACTGTAGCTTGGTTCTGTAGCAGCAAATGTCTTTACAAACGGTTTGGAAATGCAAATCCCGGTCACGAGTTACATATACGTCTTCAGAGTCTTTATTTCAATCATTACGCGAATCGAGATGTGCTTGATGTGAAGAGCGGTTGGCTCGGACTTGTACTCACTTCACAGCAGACTCAATGGAAACCAGGGAAGTTCTAAATTAGGGTTGATTTTGATTGACAACCAAAAGAAGAGATGGTGGGAGTATCAAGTATCTGTCAGTCGTACCAAAACACACAAAACATGTAAAAGCTCATCGTGCCCTTTTCGCGGCCAAGGTTGCCTAAAAATGTTACAGTAATTACACAAGTTGCTGTGCGAATCAAACGTTCCCAAAAGTATAACTCCCGTCTGTCTTTTCCCCCTGAGGACGAAACTCCTCAACTGCATTGCTCTCTTCTCTTTTCCCCCAAGTAGCCCAGCGAGACATGCTGCCCTTGATATTTTGCGAAGTCTGAAAGACCTCATTGATTACTTGGTCAAAAAGAAAGAGAAGAAGCCAAATCTCATGAACGTTCTCAAGCTAGATAGTCAAGAAATCGACAATGAAGTCTCTACAACTTGCTCCGTTTAGCTAGATGAGCCGTACGCTTCCGCAACTTCCTTCTTGTACTTGTTCAGAATGCCCTTTCTGTTCAGCTTCTGTGCTGCTGTGACAAGTTGCTATTCGACGAAAGTTAGCAAGGTTGCATATGCAAAAGGGCACGTTGGAGCAAATCGGCTTACGTTTTGTGGGGTCCACTCCTCGTCAGAGACTACAACACCTTCGATGATCTCAATGCCCGAGAGGCCACCAGAACGACCAGAAGCCTGCAGCTCCTTCAGCACAGCATTCTGTAGCTTCTTGTTGTGAACAAGCTCTTCGAGACTCTGCCCCTGAACCCCGACGGAGTCAGCAAGCTTCTTGAGAGCAGGCTCGGCAGGCACAATAATAGCGATAGGCTTGGCCTGTTGGGCATCGGCGTAAACGCAGATGTTTGCAACGACAGGTGCAGATCTGTAGACCGACTCTAGCTTCTCCAAGGCGATATACTCGCCATTGAGTGTCTTCACTAGGTTCTTCTTGCGGTCAATTATTTTGAGATGGCCGTTGTGGTCCCACTCGCCAATATCTCCTGTCTTGAACCAACCATCAGAAGTGATAGCCTCTGCAGTCTCCTTGTCATTCTCCCAGTAGCCATCTGTGACGCTGGGCCCACGGATCCAGATCTCACCCTGAGGGTTGGGCTTGTTGGTTGAGTAATAGCCGGCATCAGGGAAGTCGACAAGCTTGGTCTCAATAGATGCGGGCATGGCACCAATAGACTCTGAAGTCCACTCCATTGGGTTTTGGAGGCATCCCATAGCTGTTGTCTCTGTAAGACCATATCCAATGATCATTGGACAGATAGCCATCGAAATGAAGCGCTGAGTTTCCTTCGCGACTGGGCCACCTCCGTTCATACACAACCTCAGGCGCCCTCCTGTGGCCTCCTTGATCTTCTTGAACACAACGGCGTCCAGGGCACCGGATCCCGGGAGGCCTGCACCCATGAGGAAGTTCTTTGCCGCCAGAGCACCCCAGAAGAGGCTCCTCACAACAGGGCTGCCGGCATTTACCTTGGCAATGATGCCCTTCTTTACACTCTCCCATACCGCCGGAACACCCACCAAAACACTGGGCTTGAACTCGCGGATATCCCCAGCACAGTTGCGCACAGACGTGTCAGAAAGAGTCTTGGGGTTGCCGTAGCCCATAGTGGCGCCCCAGAAGAGGGAGGCATTCTCGAAAACGAATTCAAGAATATGCGCCAGGGGAAGATATGTAAGAAGACTATCACCAGGACCAATATAGGGCTGTACGACAACACTCACACCGGCGACTATAAAGCTTGTCAGTATACAGTCTCATAGCTTGTGGAGATGATGCGATGCTGAGCTTACCAGCAGCCACGACGGCCTTATGCTTCAGTGGCACTCCCTTCGGTGTACCTGTTGATCCAGATGTGTACATGATGCAAGCAAGATCTTCGGGTGCCGGTGGGACTGGGTCCACTGGGTTCTCCTCGCCGAGCTTGCGAAGCTCTTCAAAACTCTGGATGCTGACATGAGGGTAGGCGGCCTTCAGCTTCTCAACATGCTCCTTCTTGATCTGGTTTTGGTTGTTCCAGATGACGTGCTTGATCTCAGTCGCGTCCTTGAGGACATTGATCAGAGTCGGTAGCAGGTGGGGATCGAGGAAGACGGCCTTTGCCCTGGTCGCAACCATGGAGTGTCGGAGACCCTCTTCACCCAGAGTATCGTAGGCGGTGACAATGGGCATGGACTGCGATGCAGCACCGTGTGACAATGCCAGCCAGTTCTGGCTTGTGGCAGCAAAGATGTGAACTCTGTCCTCCTTCTCGAGACCAAGTTTTCGCAGACCGGCGCCGAGCTGCAGCACCTGCTTCTCGTACTCGACATAGGTGATGTACTCGTATCCGCTCAGCTCGAAAAAGGTCCAGTTCTTGTCTACCTCGCGCTCCTCGCCGTCGATCATCTTCTTCACCTTCTTTGTCTCCTGGTGGGTGCGCACCAGCTTGCGCGAGCCCAGGGCCTTTGCATTGCCAAACTTGGCGACGGACACGCGCACCAAGTCGTAGACGGTAGAGATGTTGGGGTCAGGCTTCACAATGAGGTCCTTGACAGCTTGAGGATGACGACGAATGGGTGTCTCGCCTTCGACTCGTTGTTGGCCGGGAACCTCAACGGAGTAGGGGGGCTTGGCGGACATCCGCGGGTTGAGCTGCACCGGCGACATGGTGGTGGATGATGGGGATGGGAATTTCGAGATATGTGTATGTGTTAAGGGAAGTCGCACGATCGAGCTTCTGCTTCGTTCGCGACGAGAAGTATCGTCGTCGAGGAGCTGTTGAGGCAGAAGTCGGGGTTAACGGGGCGGACAACAAAAAACAATCTTGCCCGGACCAGTGACGCAGTTGGTTGGGGGAGCTCGAATACGTCAAGCGTTAGTGGGAGGCAACACACGCACACTGCGGACCGGCAGGCCAGGCGAAGGAATGACGCAGACGAAGGGTATAAGACAGACAATTATCAGCAGAATAGGGGAGAGAGAGGTAACCAGCCCAGCGACTAGACAGATATTCGGACAGTCAGTACAATAGAGGGAGAATAGTGAAGAAAGAGAGAGAGAGAGAAGAGAGAAGGTTGCCTCGAACCGGACGGGATCTGGGGCAGAGGAGCGAGAGGTTGACTTTTGGAGGCACCAACACTGACAGAAAGAGCGACCGGCAAGAGAGAGCCAAGAAAATGGCAATAATGGAAATGGTACGCTGCAGCGCCCTGGACCTTGGGGCTTCAGTTTGGGTTTAGCGTCCAGCTTCAGGTGCATTTAGCGTTGAGTTGGTACTGGCAGTACTGTACCTCGATCCTTGTGCCGTAAGGTACTTCTGTCTGCCCTACCTCCCTACCTAGCCCTGCACGCTGTGGTGTCTCATCATCCATCGTACAGTACGCCCGCCTACCTATTTCACCCGTCATTAAACGATTTCTGCCCGCCTCTGGGGTATTCTGGGCCCACCCAACCGCCAACAAGCCCCCCAGCTGTCTCTGTCCGGCCCGAGCTCTGAGGTATCTTAGCCAATGTACGGTACCGGTACTTCAATCACCCATATGGTAGGGCATCCTGGATGAGAAGCCTTCTCATTGCGAACTACCTCACTACCTATTCACAAACTCTGATGAATTAAACCGTCTATTGATTAGCCTACCTTGTCTACCCTACACTACACTGAGTAGGTGACGAGCCTCCTTGAACACACATATCGGTAATGCAGACAGGGCTCGGACGGCTCTGAGGTGGCTCTTTTCCAGGGTTGCCACTTCCGCCCGCGCCGACGAGGAAAATCGTCTGGTGACTCCATTGCGACGCTGTTTTAGGCCTATTGCTAAAGTAGTGGTAGTCAAGAGAAAGTTGCTATTGTTTTGCCACACAGCGCCATGTGAGATCCCCAACAAACACATGAATGAACGTCGGCTAGAGAACAGGTGGTAGGCAGGCAGGAGGATGCCTAGGTAGCTTATGACGAGCAGCACGATGCACACTGTCACCACCACAGCCAACAGTGAGATATGCACGTATTGTACTGCCCCCCTGCGGCAGATCCTACGGGAGCTGGATGAGATACCTACAGTACCATACCAGAGCATCCCTAGTCCTGGGATGTCGGCAAGCAGTAAATCATCCCGCCTTTGTGATAGTGCGCGAGTTCACCTCCTGCTAACGTAAATGGTCCACGACCAGGAGACTTGCAGTCGGGCAGGATGAATAGGGGGCTTCGCTTGGCCTTCTTGGCCCCTTCCTTGCGCCCTATCGCGAGAGAGGTGACAGCACCTTATTCCTAGGAGAAAGATACATGAAAAGAGAGAGCACACGACGCCTCGCTCCATCTCCATCTAGTGGAAACTGGCGTAGACGTTCGACGTGGCTGTTCTTGACCAAGACTTTGCCAGGCTCGAATGCACTGGCTCGACTGGTCACACGGCGCGCCATCTCCTCTGGATCCTCTGGATCCTCTGGCAGCCATTCCCAGTCGAGCTATCGCCTGTCCATTCAGATTCATCTGTACATTACTCCACGTCGAAGAGCATCTCGAATCTGGGGCGCCTGGCCCCAACCCCTCAGTCCTCAGTCTTGGTCTGAGCGAGAGAGTGGCTTGGCTGCTTGGCACCTACGCCGCACTCCTCTCCCACAGGCTTGGTATCGGGTTTCTGGTTCTGCAAGTCAAAGAGGGGACTGCGTGAGAAGGACGGCGCTGCAAAGTGAAGAGTCCCCTTCTTGTTGCGGCGCCTGTGCAGCCCCGAATACTCGCGTCTCGCCAATCCTATCTCCCACCACCTTAATGATCCTGCTGCGATGGCCACGTACTAACTATGCCTTTATGTACTATACATGTTGTACTGTACTGTACTGTACTGTACCGTACTGTACATATCTCGCGGTGCCTGGAAGTGCTGTGCAGTGAATGCAGCATTATTACTCTAGCACTATACCATGAACTATACAACTGGCCGAGCAATTTGCATCTTGCTCGCAGTCCAGATGTCTACAAAGTAAGTCTTCAAAGACATCATGGAAACTCGTATGTACAGTAATCAGTAATCCTGCTCTCTCTCTGCTGGAGTGGCATGCATGCGCTTGCTTGAAGGCTGCAGTCCTTGATCTGTCAATGTCAAAGACATATTGATGTACATGGTTGGAGTCAATTTGTATCACCATCCTCGAGGTGACGCCCCGTCTTCGGCTTCAACGGAAAGCTCCCCCCTTATCAGCGGGAACTTCCTGGCTGCACGGTCCTTCCCAACAGCATCTCACAGCATATCAGTCTCACACAGCGTGCGCGCATCCATCCCAGTAAGACGGGACCGTCAGCCCGACCTAGGGCAATCCATTTCTAATCTTTCCATATATCCCTGACCTAGATTCCGTTTTGTTGGGTTCCGCCGCCATTACGGCGGGTGGTCGGGCGGTAGGACTGCTTGGCTGCTTGCTAGGATCCCAAAGACAGGACATCCATTCTCACAGGAGATAGAGGTATTTGCCAAACATGGCTCACAATGCGCGTAGAAGTACCATCTGACCCATATACTTACTCGAACTCATAGTCTTTACTGACCGGCGGCCAACCATGTCTCTCGAGACTCTGCGTGGCATCCTCGGGCCTGAGATCGAGGATCCCGAAGAAGGTACCCGTACCAATGCCAACCGGCGCTGTGCTGTACAGCACCACGGCACTCGCCCACAGGAAGGACATCCCAGACCTAATTATAGTCTTGCTTCTTTTTAGAGACCTTCCTTCTCTTCTCCCAGAATATCCCCTCGCAGAACCTGGGATTCGTCGACTCCACCGCCGCCCTCCTCGAGTTGACCGTTGCCGGCCGCGATCTCACCATCCACCAGTCGCCCGCCGTCCTCTCGTCCAACCGCCCCGGCGGCACCACAGGAGCAGGTGAGTCGATGGTGGATCTTCTTTTCGTCACCCTAATATTGCGTCTCATTTTTTTCTGGTTCTTCGCAATAAGCCCCCCCAAAAAGGAGAGGATGAGAACATCATTGCTGAGATAGCCTTTTCTGTTTTCCCCCGCCAACAGTGGTCTGGAAAATCACCCCCCTATTTGCAGGCTGGCTCGCGTCGCCCAGCAATGTCCTCTTCCGCGCCGGGATCCTCGCCGACTCGTCGGCGGTCCTCGAGCTGGGATGCGGCGTGTCAGCCATAGTGGGCCTGACCCTCGCGGCGCACGTGTCGAGATACGTCCTCACCGACCAGCCCTACGTGGCCAAGTTCGTAGGGCAGAACATCGAGGAGAACAGAGACGTCCTCCTCCTCCTCCACCACCACCACGCCGGCTCAGGGCCCGCCCGCCATGGCAAGGCTTCGGCAAAGAGCCGCAGCGCCGCCAGGGGCAGCAGACACCCAGCCGGCGGCGACCACTCCCACGCCGCCACAGGTCCCCGCGCGGCGCCGCCCCCGGCGGACAGGCTGCGCTTTGCGCCCCTGGACTGGGAGAAGGACGAGGTCACGGCGGCGTCGGCGCTGGCGCTGACGGGGTCTGCCGACACACGCAGCTTCGACGCCGTCGTGGCCTGCGACTGCATCTACAACGAGGCCCTGATCGAGCCCTTTGTGCGGACGTGCGTCGACGTCTGCAGGCTCCGAGGTCGCCGCGGCGAAGACGACGACGACGACGACGAGGCAAGACCCTGCGTCTGCATCGTGGCCCAGCAGCTGCGCGACCCCGACATCTTCGAGGCCTGGGCCAGGCGCTTCTGCCAGTCGTTTCACGCGCTGCGGGTGCCCGACGACCAGCTCCCCGAGGGCTTGCGCTCTGCAGCCGGGTTTGTAGTGCATGTAGGAATACTCAGACATTGACAGCAGCATGTGTCCAGATACCGCGACCTTGACTGACCGTGGTTGCCACTTCACGACGAGAAACATGTGTTGTATCAGTGCAGGGATATATATGCGCATAGCTCGTAATCCTCATTTATTACGCTGAATCACTTTTCAGAGAACGGCTAAGGTAGGTAGGTATGTAGGTAGGTAATAAGCCGGTAGCCTCACACAGGGGCACACCCGACACCGCATGCTACGGCAGAATTTGCCTGTAAACATGACAATACTCCATGAACACTCAAACGAAAAATCCAGAATGGCCCCCATTTTGTCTGCCTCCCTTTCCCTCTTGACTACCACTCAAGGGGCTCCTTCTTCTCCTCACCCCTATTCGTCTTCGGCACGGGCACCGCCTTGGCCTGAAGCTTGCCGCCCTGGCCTTTCCTCTTCAGGTACGCCTTGCCATCGAGCCACGGCGTCTCCTCAGTCATCTTCTTCTCGAACTCGGAAATCTTGTCCTCGAGCTGCATGGTCAGGCCAATATCGTCCAGGCCGTTGATCAGGCAGTGCTTGCGGAACTCCTCGACGTCGAAGCTGCAGATCGTGTTGCCGGCCTCGTCCTTGATCAGCTGGTTGGGCAGGTCGATTTCGACCTCCTTGCCGGCGCGGCCCTCGTTGGCGATGGTCTCAATGTCGGCCTGGTTCTTGATGGGGATCATCAGCATGCCGTTCTTAAACGAGTTGTTGAAGAAGATGTCGGCAAAAGACGGGGCGATGACGCTCCTGATGCCGAAGTCGTTCAGGGCCCAGGGCGCGTGCTCTCGGGAACTGCCGCATCCGAAGTTGGGCCCCGTGCAGACGAGGATGTTTGCCCTGCGGTAAGGCTCCTGGTTGAGCACAAAGTCGGGATTCTCGGACCCATCAGGGTTGTACCTCCAGTCGTTGAACAGAGCCTTGCCAAGGCCAGTCCGCTTGATGGTCTTCAGGAACTGCTTGGGAATAATAGCGTCCGTGTCGACATTTGACCTGTCCATTGGTGCAGTGATGCCCTTGAGAATAGTGAACTTCGGCAAGCCGGCGGCAGCGCCGTGTCCTGGTGCCAGGGTGTTGGTATGGGGAGCATTGTCCTCAGGGATGTCTGCAATGTGTTCCCTCTCGGTCTCGTCTTCCGAGATCCTCTCATCAACGTAAGGCTTGACAGAGTTCAGCTTATAAGCTGCGATATGTGGGCTGGCCGTGTATTCTGAGAGTTTCCTGACATCGGCCAGCTTACCAACAATCGCAGCCGCAGCCGCCATGACAGGAGACATCAGGTGAGTCCGACCAAGGGCGCCTTGACGACCCTCGAAGTTACGGTTGCTAGTACTGGCGCATCGCTCGCGAGGGGAGAGAATATCAGGGTTCATGCCAAGGCACATACTGCAGCCGGCCTCACGCCACTCGAATCCGGCTTCCTGGAAGATCTTGTCCAGGCCTTCCTCCTCGGCTTGATCTTTGACGAGACCAGAACCAGGAACAATCATAGCTCGCTTAATGTTGTCGGCAATCTTCTTGCCCTTGACGACTGCGGCAGCAGCTCGCAGATCCTCTATTCTAGAGTTTGTGCAGGAGCCAATGAATACCTTGTCAACGACAATGTCTTGCATCGGTGTGCCAGCGGTCAGGCCCATATATTCTAGCTTACGGATGGCAGCGGCCTTTTTGGCCGGATCCGCGAATGACTCGGGGTCGGGAACAGAGCCTGTGATGGGAACGACATCCTCCGGGCTAGTGCCCCAAGTAATGGTAGGGATGATGTCCTTGGCGTCGATAAACACATCGATATCATACTTAGCACCGGGATCGGATTGAAGGTTCTTCCAGTAGGTGGTGGCCTTGTGCCACTCGTCTGAGTCGTACTTGGGTGCCAAGGGTCTTCCCTTGAGATACTCGAAGGTAATCTCATCAGGAGCAACCATGCCGGCTCTCGCACCACCCTCAATGGACATATTGCAGATGGACATGCGAGCCTCCATACTGAGGCTACGGATGACGGAACCGCAGAACTCAATGACGGCTCCGGTACCGCCGGCAGTTCCAATTTTGCCAATGGCGTGGAGGACGACGTCCTTGGAGCTGACACCAGGGGCCAGCTCGCCATCGACCTGTATCCTCATGTTCTTGCTTCGCTTGGTGATCAAGCATTGTGTAGCCAGGACGTGTTCGACTTCACTGGTGCCGATGCCGAACGCAAGGGCTCCGAAGGCGCCGTGGGTCGAGGTGTGGCTGTCACCGCACACCACGGTGGTGCCGGGGAGGGTGAAACCCTGCTCGGGGCCGATGACATGGACAATACCCTGTCTCTTGTCGCTCAGGCCAAAGTATGTAACGCCAAACTCTTTAACATTCTCCTCGAGGGTGACACATTGTGTTCTGGAGTCGTCTTCTTTGATGAAGCTCCCGATGTCTTTCAGGGACTTTCTTGATGAGGTGGGGATGTTCTAGTCCAGGTTGTCAGCGCACAGGGAAGTGGGAATAGAGACGGGCAAGCGTCGGGTGCGTACATGATCAGTGGTTGCCAGAGTGCAGTCGGGTCTTCGGACCTTGCGACCAGCATTCTTGAGTCCCTCAAAAGCTTGCTACAGAGCTGGGTTAGCGGGATACTGCCGAGTTACACTACACGCAAGCCCTTGGCTGGGGTGTCGGTCTTACAGGTGAGGTGACCTCGTGGACGAGATGCCTGTCTGCATGCGACCGTTAGCAACAGCCATACAAGGCTGTAAGTGTGAGCGCACGTACCGATATATAACAAGATTGTGCCATCCAGCTTCTCATCTACGACATGGGCCTGGAGGACCTTGTCGTAGAGAGTCTGGGGTGTACCTTCAGCGCCGGGCATTTTTTGGCTGTGCTGTTCTGCTGGGACGATTTGCGTCTCGGGATGCCGGATCGTCAAATTCTGACGTATGACGCAACTGCAGCTAGCTCTTCAACCAGCAAAACGCAACAACGTAAGTCGTAAAGGATATAAAAACGTATGTAGAGGCAAATAGCACTCCAGAAGGGAATTGACAAGAGAGAAGGAATCGAATTGCCCCAGATCCAACCTCCAGATAGCGGTATATGGTGTCTTTGGCCTTTTGTAACCAAAAAAAGCTAAATCGCACAGGCCGAAGATAATGCAAAAGAGCTTCCAGATGCGCAGCAGCGGTGAGCCGATCATCGGAGGATTCTTACGGCCTCCGGTTCGCGGAACGCGGGGTAGCACCTAGATTTCAAATGGTGTCGCCGTATTGGCCGACTGGGCGCTGTAGAGGGCCACAGCGGGGATAGACAGTGGGGGCATGCATGGCACTGAATTGGCAACGGATGGCAAATCATCAGTAGAATTAGCGGCTCGTACTGCTTGTGTCGGTGCCGTTTCGCCTCTTGCTAACATAATTGCTCAAGGAGCCGGGTTAGTCTTACGCAAGATAGGGCCACTCGGGCAGGAAGAAAGCCCACAAGAGGCACAGACCAGACCAACAGCCACGGTTTTGACCGAGGACCTGCAGCACGGCGATCTTGGAATGGCCCGATGGATGGAGACGGGCGGTCTTACGGCAGAGAGAGCTGCGAAACTCTGGCAGGAGCCCCGGCATCGCAGGCTCGTCATCTGCCATGTGTCTTTCCCCTGAGCCCAAGAGATCTGATCTCAGTAGATATCATCCTGGTCGGGCAGGTCGCTTGTCACTAGACACGTCGACTTATCTGTCCTTAGTCACGTTATCGTCGCTCTTCTCATAGGTCGATGAGCTGGGTACATGAAGCAGCCAGTGCTTCGACCAACCAGAGCTATGCCCAGCTATCGCCGGAGGTTCTACATATGTCGTCAACGTAGCACCGAGGTTGTTGCTTCGCGATAGCGGAACCATCAATATTGTTTGAACGTTCTGGTATAGGTAGAGCTTGCCCTTTGCATAGGGGTAGCTACCAACTAGAGATGGTAGTAAGGCACGTGAGAAAAGCCAAAAACATATTCCTGCGGAATTGCCCTGGTATCGTTGTAGCTCCGGTGAAATCCGACAAGAGACCATGAGCTGTATTGTAATTGTAAAGGCATTTATTCATGTCACCACACGGCGTTATATCGGGGCCGCCACGGCAGACGGTTTCCTCATTCTCAACAATACCTAGTGTCTTTGGTATGAGATATACTTGTTAAGTAATACAATGTCGCTAGCCCCACCTGGCTCCTGTGCATCCGCGGTCTCGCCGTTGTCCAATCTGAGTGGAGACTAAATGGTGATATTCTGCGCACGAGGAGCCACGTCCTAGATCACACTCTTGTCTGATGTGGACGAAGTAATACCCTCTCATGCACATCTTGTCGGCGAGAACTCTGCCGTATAGGTAGTCGGTATGGCATGTACACGTGTATGTGAGTGGTGTTACTGCCGTCTTGTTCTTGCTGCTGGGCTGCCGGATTAACATAGTAGCGGTGATATGTGTTGTGGGATGCCGGCCGTACTTCAGCTAGCTGCTCAATATCAAACTCGCTTGGGAAGACAGCAAAGTTGTCTAGGTCCGCAGTACCTGCTTTTCGAATTTGACCTTCAACAGCCCCGATATCTGGCCCACTAAGTTTCCGCTCATGGTGCTGAGATCGCCTACATGATCGAAGTCTGGGCTCGTTAGGTGCAGATCGAATCCAGTAGTGATGGTGATGAGTGTGGACACAGGCCGGCCTCTTTGATTCCGGGTCGAAACCAGTGCCATTCTGCTCTGAATGAAGATGGCTACCGGCAGTGGCTGCATCAGAGACCAAAGAAGCTGGATTTTTCAAGTCCTGATGAGGCAGATGCACCTCCTTTTCGGAATCGAGTTCGGTACGATAACTGGTGCTTTGATCTTGGTGACTTGACTCTTTGGCCTGTCGGTTGGACTTATAAGCCTCAGGTTTTGGCCCGACTATTGGTGGGTGCGGACTCGTTTCAGGGAAGTCTTCCAGGTCAACTGGCATTATATCACTGTAATCAAGCTTGCCTGGCCGTCTCCTGGGTGTCGATTTGTCGGCAGGCAGTGAGCTCACGGGCTGCGATTGCTGTTCATCATCAAGGGATAGCGGATTGCGAATTGTCTGCCTTCTTGGGGTATGGATTATCGTCCCAGATGAGCTCTGACAAGCCTTTTCAAGCTGAGGTGAAAGGTTTCTTTGATCAGAGGAGCCTGAATGTAGGATTGAGGAATCTATTGAGGCTTGAATGGACCGTCGATGCGGTGATGGCTTCGGATCATCTGCGTTTGGTCAACTTCAACGACTTATCAGCAGTGATACATTGGGTACAGACCATGTTCTGGGGAGAGACTGCTTTGGGACTGTGTGATTGGACTCAGGTCAGGTGAGGCAGCGGACGACCATTGATCTATCCTCTTCCGCCAGCGGATCTTACGATGGGCTGCTTTCATTGCGTTTTCTTTCTCGGTCTTGCGAGTCTCCTCGCGATCTCCCTCGGCATGAGCTCGCGATTTGCCTCCATCTGTAATGGGGCTTGATTCGCGGGCAGAAGGAACCGAATCCCAGCGTCCAGTGGCAGGATTGAAGCCTTGCGGACCAAGCCAGTCGCCGCTGTCTTTGAGATTCCGACGCAGCTTCCGCAGCTCTCTCTTCTTCTCAAACAAATCTTGAGCCCCATTAGGTGCCCACCTCAAGGACGAAGCGCTGAACTCGGTCTGCGAATCATGGCCACTATCGATGGCGACCGCTTTGCGTGGGAAGCTGGCCGGAGCAGTTGGCCGACTTCTTGGAGACTTTCCTACCTCACAATGCCACTCGCGTTGCGGAAGCCCCGGTCGTTTGTCGTTCAGAGGTTGATCCTAGTAACCTCGATCTCGAAGCGTGCCCCCTCGTTCTGGACGCTGGCTGGGACGGAGTTTCGTCATGAAACTAGAGATGGAGGTAGACGGCGACATTTCTCGTCGCATAATGATGTTTCAGTTTCCTGTAGCCTCAAAAAAGGGTAGGTGTCGCATAGGTGAAGAGAGTACGAAGTCTCAAGAGAATAACAACTCAGATCGCGGCTTATCACAGCCTACCTTCTTGATTGGAGACACCTTTCCTAAAGGGCAGGTACGAGCGAATGGCTGTTGCCGACATTTCAAAAATATTTAGGTATGGACACTCGAAGACGACCCCGACTTCAGATTTGGTGAAATTGTCATTCCTTTGACTCACTGTGACTACGCAAAACCCCATTTGACACCATTGTTTAGCAAAAAGGCTCCATTGAATAATGCACTTATTGTCTAAGTCCAGCAATATATATCCCTCCTTAGCCGTACAACGCCAAGTATGCAATGCCAAAGGAGCTTCGTAATTATAGTTTAATTTTATGAGTTTTCTTTGACTCATTTCATATAAATGTGCTTACCAGCGAGACGGAAATCTCTCGTACCGCCCACGATGCCTCCCCATATTTGCAAATGGGTTTGGGCTCTGCGCTGGCTCAGGATCTGGGACCAAGGACGAGGTTGTGACGCGCCTATCTCCCTTCAGTGGGCTAGCGCGACGCTGCATCCTCTCTGCCAGGTCTCTCTGTTCTAGAGCAGCCATTTCTCGAGAGTTTCTCGGAGAAAAGGACCCTGAATGGTTCATATCGCTCATACTAGTTGCCTTCTTGAGCGGGGATCTCGCGTGAGTATATACACCAAGACTTCCACCAAAGTTTGTACCGTTATCACTTGAAGTCGTGGTCGATGTTGGCTGCATAGGTGTTTCTACCGGGAGCTCTGGTGTACTTGCTGGCAAGCTCTTTCTGAGCCCAGAAGGCCGAGAAGGACGTGAAGAGGTGAATACATCTGATTGTCTTGAGCTAGGCGCGGGAGTGAAGAGTCGAGGACTCATAGGAATGGGAGACCGAGGCTGTTCGACTCTACCGGCGCCAAGATGCTTCGCATAGTTTTGATTGGGATGGGTCTGGAAGCCATGACTGATCTGTGTAGCCGGAGTGCCCACAACGACAGATTCGTCTTCGTGTTCAGTATCGCCTATGCTGCACTGAACTCCAACTTCACGCACCACAGGGTGAAGACGTGGATGGACGAATTTGGTGTCATACTCCCGCATCACCCACTTCTGGATGATAGCAGCGTCCTTGTTCTGCTGCGTAAACCGTTCTACAAAAGCCACGAGGAGCCCTGATAAGGTCACCTGCTCGATCAGACATTTGAAGACTGTGACGCTCGGTTGTGGATCGAGAGGAGCCAGCGGAAGGCTCAGCATGTATATAAGCACATGCAATGGGCTGAACAAGCACACAAGCTGCAGAGAGGCTGGCAGAGGGTCCCATAGAGCCAACTCCCAGACATCTCGAGTCTTGTCAGGATGTGCTCGTGATTCTGCACTCTCTGCAGCTAGTAGATTTGTTAAGCGCTGTTGAGGTGAGGCTGAATCTGCTGGTTTGGCCTCCACACGAACTCGGTATGCTGAGGGTGTTCCTGGTGTTTGCTCGACATCGGCCTCAAAAAGTCGGTAGGATCGCGATCTCCAGAAAGTGTAACCGAGATTGAGAATCGAGAATACAACCATTGTCCATGATAGAAACCAGACCTAGAGCAACGTTAGAGGAGCAGAAACGGTGAACATCATAGGCAACTCACTAAGTAACTTAGCCAACCAGAACCTGAGGAATCGCCGAAAACATCGTCACCGCTCCGTGAAGATCCCGTATTTGCTCTTACAAGAAGAAAGATAAAGTTCAGGATCAGACCGGCTTGTGTGCCGACGCTCTTCGAGCCCAGATCACGCGTCTCAACCTCCTCGGAGAGCCATAAGAGGAAGTCGTAAGGATTCAAGGCAGCGAAGATCCGCTCAGACAGCGGCCGGCGCCGAACAAGGCGCGGCATCGTTGCAAAGTTTGTTCAGCAAACTTGCATTCCAGAGCCCTTCTGCCTCCAATATCGCACCCGGAATGGCTCAGGCGTGGCCGACGGGAAAGCTGTCGTGGGCCGACGAAAGTGCTTTGTCGGCTGCTAAGATCTTTGTTTACTTGAGCCGAGTTAAGGTGGGATTTATTTAGGGACATGGGTTTCTTGTTAGGACCTGGCTCGCTAGCGCCTATGTGCACTGGCCGACCTGCCCCGCAGGCAGCATAATGATGCTCCTACGGATCTGGGCATTGATAGTGGGGATGGAAATCCCCTAAGCTCTCCTAGCAGGCACCTATTGGGCGGTGAGAGCTCCAATTCGTCCCGCTGACCTCAGGTGTCTAAGGCCGCCGGACCTCCAGCTATTTGGCGCATTTCGAGAACGTCGCTTCTGTTGCGACGATTGCAACTATTCGAGAGCCACTACTTACTGGCCAGGAGACCATGTCGACTTCACAAGCAGACTACAAGGACCGACAGTTCCTTGCTGTCATTGGCGATGAGGTAACCAACACCACCTTGGGTTTCCTGCCGCAGCAATCGAGCACCATGCTGACAATGACGTCCAGGATTCCGTGACTGGCCTCCTCCTCGCTGGTATCGGCGTGAGTGATCACGCCTAAGTTGCTGAGAGAAGAGATGAACTGACATAGATGTGATGAAGCATGTGACGCCGGCGCCGGACTCGCAGAAGAACTTTCTGGTTGTGGATGGGAAGACCGATAACGCAGCCATCGAGTCTGCATTCGAACGATTCACAGAACGCAAAGATATTGGCATCGTATTAATCAACCAACATGTTAGTACATACAGGTACCAGGCTCCAGGACCACCGCTGACCCTGGAATAGCTTGCCGATAGAATACGGCACCGGATTGATACATACACAGCTGCTTTCCCCACCATCCTCGAGATTCCCAGCAAAGACCACCCATACGACCCAGAGAAAGACAGCGTCTTGAGACGGGTAAGACGCCTGTTTGGGGAGTAAGTCATGGCGATTCAGGCTAGGAGTAGAAACTGTTGGCTCCTGGGGCCACTTTGGTTGGACAACATATTTCAATAGTCATATCTGGAAGGTCAGAAAGCCGACATCTGGGCGCCGTCCCATGTGCTATGACAACTTCAGAGCTTACCGATACGAAGTGGCCTGGGTGTTGATCAGAAGCATTGGTTACATTGTACATAGCACACATAATGAAGCATTACCATTGCAAGAAAGAAGACAATTATAGGCCAATAATCACTGCCCCATTGTGTTCAGAATCGTATTTGAATGCTGCCCAGTGCCACTCATTCCCACAAAGACCAGCCATCAAAGCGTCAAGCCCCAGGTGTGTTGCTATGCATGAAGGAGAATAGGTGAAACGCAGAGAACTCCCCGCCATGAGCATCCTAATGAAAACATCGTGCCCCTCAACCAGTGTGTTCATCTCGTAGCATGGCAAGATAATGCCACGCCGTAATGCCAATAAATCATTCTATCTTGTGCTTTCAAAGGTCGAGAATACCACCGAGGGCACTCTTCTTTCCGAAAACAACGGTGGCCGTCAAGCATGTAATGGGCTCTCCGTCCTTGGTGTAGACGTCGGCGAAGACTGTGTACTTTCCCTAAAGAAGTGATTAGTCGACTAATTCATTGAAAGGATCACGGCGAGGGCGTCTTACGGGGGGAATCTCCTTAGGTAGTTCAACAGATTTGGTGATGGTAAGGACGCCTGGCTCGATGGGACATTCCATATCGACATTCTGAATTTGTTCGCAGAGACTAGCCTTGGTGCTGATGAGACGAATTAGGCCGTACTTGACCTGCAAAACGACGTATGCGCCATCTTCGATCGTCTCGTATACGGTGCCGACAGCCTTGATAACGAGGTCCTCTCCACTGCAGCAGTTAGTTAGCATTGTCCCCATGCTTCAACTCTGTAGCTGGAATGCGTACGCCTCTGGTGGGTTTGGTAGTAGATCTACGCTCTCGATGCTGACAATATCGTCGCCGTGGTCCTTATCGCAGAGCTCCAACGGCGAGTCGCCGGGGACCTTCAAATCGTCATTCTTCACGACTTCCTGGCTGCCTCCGAACAGGCCCCGAGCCGAGGTGAGATGTGTGGCGAGGAGCGAGATAAGGGCGACCGAGAACCTCATCGTGCTATTTGAAAATTGGAATAGCCCTCGTAGTTATCCTCTGTCAGAATAGTTGATGTGAAGGGATAGAGAGCAGATGTCAATAGCTCCGTTTGATTGTGAGGCAAAAGATGGGGTAGGGTGATGGACGGTTGGAAGCTGGTGCTACTGGGAGCGATAACAGGCGGCTACGACTGACGGTATGACTACCTAGAAAGGATTGGGGCACGTCATTTCTGGGTGTGTTGATGCTCTCTGATTGGTGGACCACCCGACCAGCCTCTTCCTCAACCACATGTGCAACCTCCCCACTCTGCCTGGGTGTCTCAGCTGACACGATATCGGAGGCGAGGGCCTACAGAACCGGCTATTAATCTTCACTTCGACGAAAGGTCCGTGAGAATTATAGAAATCCTGACTGCACAAGACAGCGTATTCGATCTACAAAAGAAGCCAGAGCGGTATCGATAAAGTAGGCGAGAGTAAGAAGGTGACAAGAGTTGAGAAACCGACAAAACTATGCACGCCCTGCCATCTGGCATCTCAGAGGGTTTCCACTTCCCTGGTTCTCAATACAGGCCTCATTTCGACCTGTCATTAGACATTTCCATGAGTTGATTCAAATATGGCCATCACTCAACATTGGAGAGATACGCAAAAATAAAATGCTACCTGCAGGGTTCGCATCTGCGAAACCTTCCGGTCAATAGCACTCGGCCAAGGTAGCCTAGTGAGAATTTTTCCGACTTTTGTCTCATGAATCTTCCTCGCTATACTGAGAATCGCCCTCAAGTCAAAATTGAACCTACCTTTCTTGAGAGTAGTTTTGATGCCTCATGACAATGCCATATCTGCTTCCAGGCTGTTCTCATTGTCTACCTATACTTGGGTATGTGCCGTATACGGTTTCCTACTGTAGTGCCTCCTTACTCATCAAGTCTTTAAGATTGTTGTACTATCAAGCAGGTACACTATACTTAATCCTGAACACACCTGTCTCAAGGGTATCTCGTCATTGGCATGGTTGATAGGCCGGGGGAGCTGCATGAGCTAAAGCAGCCTAGAAACGTCCAAGCTGTAGCACGAGAAGCAGTTTCGCAACGGTAATCAAGCTAAATGATGACATGACTGTCGCATCTTTCGACGGAGAATGTGGTGGTAGACTACAAAGTCGACAATTTCCCATCCTTGCATTTTGGTCATACCGAGTAGAAGCATTTTCAAGCGCTCCTGCCTCGAGGACGGCCTCGAGGTGCCTCGGGCAGCGCGTCTCTGATACCAAAACGGACAAGACCGATCGCGGTCGCGAGGGCACAGGATGCGGGCGAAGTTGCAATTGGAGGGTAGCAGTACATACATGCATTGGGTTATGTCACCTAGTAGGTACCTGGATAGCGTGCTGCCCCCAAGACGCGAGCCAACCGTAGTTAACCAGTCATCTCGACTGTTCAGAAAGCAGCTATCTATCAAGCCAAAGGCATCGCCTGGAGTTGTCGCGGGCTCGCCTACGTAAGCCCTGATGAGTTCCTATTGATGAGAGGCGAAGAAGTCCTGGGTACATCACCGAACATTGGCCACCACCAGGGGGCGATCGTGGATGGGTAATGGGGGAGCGGGCAGGCAAGGGAAGGAAAAATTCGAGCCGGTTTCTGTTACGCCGCCACAACATCTTACGCTTTATTACAGATTGCCTCTCCTCTCTTATTACGGTCTGTCCTGCAAGCCCGTCGTCCTGCCTTGGCCCCTTTCTGCAAGCTACCTGACCTGACCCTCCCTCCCTGCCTTGCCCTTCTTCTCTCTGCCTGCCTCACAGGACATGACCTAACCTTAGGTTAGGTAGCCGGCCTACTTCCCTTACTTCGCCTTAACTAAGGTTCACTCCCAGGCCTCCAGCCGAGTCTCACTCAACATTTCCTCTTGCGATTCCATGCTATACTCAAGCTCAGGTTTGTCCTTTCGCTGCACTCTCGGGTACTTCATTCCTTCATCATATTATCATCCCAAGAGATGTCGGTCTCATCGAGGTGACTTCTCTCCTCTCCCAACTCGTGTTGGATTGCTCTGTCTCTCAGTTGAGTGGCTTGCTATTCTTGTTATGTCTTAAGCTGTCGTCTTTTCTTTTTCTCCTTCTGTTATTCTACCCAGGTAGGTAGCGGAAGAGCTGTGGGCTGGTCCTCCCTTTGCCGCACAACGGCCTCCTCTCCTCTCTCCTCCTTGTCATGGATGGGATGGGATGGGCTGGGCTGGGATGGGGGGGATGCAATGGGTTGGCTCCCCCGCCCGACCGCTTTTTCTGCGTCCGTCGTGCAGGTTGATGCCTGAGTCATTACAGCAGGAGGCATGTACCTTGTACCGAGTGGTGAGGAAGTGCCTTGCCCGTTGATTGGCTGCTTTCCTCCGCTCTGTCCTTGCGCTTTCGAATGGACACTCCGCTGGGGCACTGGCACCTCTCTCACGCACACACTGACTGCTGCACTGGGCTACTGGCAGTGGCAGTGGCACCGGCACCAGTCCTTCTCTGCTCGCTCGCTCGCTCGTGTTGTCGGTCGGCCCCCTCTCTGAACTCTCTTCCCTCCTGCTCTACTCTGCAATTCTTTCCCTTCTCCTCGCCCCGTTCCAAACACTCTTCACGACCAACTTCCTCGTCACCGGCCGAGTCTTCCACGACTTCTCCTCGAAAGCATCTTCAATCGACTCGGCCGCTGCATCCGACTCGTTTGAATCCCTTTGTTCGTCGAGGCGCATCCACTTTCCGCCTCGTCTCGTCAATCTCGAATTTGTCGTGATCCATCGCCACGCCTTTTGCGAAAATAGACAAACACAACACCGACGCCCTCTCGACCACCACGACTGATTCCCACGTCGACTCTCGGTATCGCGTCTTCGCACATTGTCGCCCTTTACATGGTCGACTTTGTAGTTTTGAACTCCGAGTCTTCCACGACGTGTCCTACCGCCGACCAGAGCCCGCCCGCCGACCGTTCTCTAGCTGTCCATTCTACCTTGTACGATCCTCTTTGTTCGCGCACAACCGGCGAATGCCATCCCCATCTCTTGACGCGATAACACACTATTCTTCTCATACTCTTGTTGCTGCGTCACACCAGAGGTCGTCATGCCCCCCAGGCTGCGAACATAATCTCTCTGCTCAAAACCCTCCCGCTCCAATTCGCATCGCGAGGACTTTGTTAGATTATGACCGACAAGCTTCAGCCGCTGTCGACGCAGATCGCGACTCCTAGTCAGACAGTCTTCCCCACAAACAATACCGTCTCGAACCAAGATGTCCCACAGAAGGTTGAGACGGTAGAGGAAGAGCCGTACACCATCAAGTGTATCTGTAACTTCTCTGATGATGATGGAAACACGATTTACTGCGAGACATGCGATACCTGGCAGCACATCGAGTGCTTCTACCCGAATAATGTAGAAGACGCTTATCGCGAAGATTTCTCCCACTCTTGCGCCGAGTGCAAACCTCGACAGCTGGACAGACAACGCGCCATCGAGAGACAAAAAGCACGTCTTAGCACGGCTGTTGTTGAAGAGGAGACATCAGACAAGAAGCCTAAGCGCCCACCCTCTAAAAGCCACAAGAAAAAACCTAAGCCGAATGACCTCCAGCTGAACGGACACGCTCCCAGCGTCGAAGCGTCGAAGCATGGCAGTCCCAATGATCATTCACATCCTCCGAAAAAGACAAAGAGTTCTCACAAGTCGAACCAATCAATTAGTTCTCAGGCGGCAAAGAGGAGTCCGTCGTATAGCACGTCGCGCGCCAATCCGCACGGACATCCTCCGAGTCCTGCCAATACTCCGCCTGATCTTCCCAATGATTTCGAAATACACAACTACTCCGAAGGTTTCCTATCATTATATAACGAGCAAGACGTCCAGATTGTTCAAACAAACTCGTTCGCCAGCCTCGTGATCTCCAACGCGATGTCATTGTGGCTACGAGAACCTGAGCGTATGCGACAAGAGACTGGTCAAGAGTACAATGATGTGTTTCAAATACTGCCGTCGAATATCGAATCCTTAAAACGACCGTTACATGTCGAACACCACGACAAAAAATCACCGCCTAATTCCGACAAGATCCTACGTTGGCAGTATCTAACTACACCAGCCGCAATTGAGAAAGACGTGCCTTTGATGGAGTTGAACGGCCAAATTGGGTTCCAAAAAGACTATTGTGCCGATCCCGACAATCGTTGGGACGAGCTTACATCTCCGCTACCATTTGTCTTCTTCCACCCGATGCTTCCCTTATACATTGATACGAGAAGAGAAGGCTCGCGCGCTCGATATGTTCGGCGGTCATGCAAACCCAACGCTGTATTGGATACATTCCTTTCAGAAGGCTCCGAGTACCATTTCTGGCTCGTCAGCGATCGTGCTATTGCCGCCAATGAACAGATCACCCTACCTTGGGATTTTCGATTTCCAAAGAAAGACAAGGCTAGGATGCTCCGGCTCCTTGGGCTTGGGGATGATGAACCAACGGCACAAGATGAGGCAGATGTGGACCAATCGGAATATCACTCGATTGCCAGCTGGGTGTTTCTCATCCTATCCGAATACGGCGGTTGTGCGTGCGACCTCGACCAGGATTGCGCGTTCGCCCGCTTCCATAGAAACTACCTTGGAAAAGCCCACGCAAGATCCAACACAATAAGGAAGAAGTCCCGGAAGCCGAAAACACATACCATTTCACCGACTAGTACAGGCCATGCGACAAATAGTCGAGCTGCTAGTGAAGGCCATTTGGATGAAACACACGACCATGACGGTCGATCGGTGTCCGGCTCCTCTCGCAGCAAACCTCCGAGCAGAGACATGACACCAGCTCGTCAAGGCTCGTTTGATACCCTCGGGATACTGACTGAGCCTACCGATCGGGACAAGAGGAAAGTTGCGATGGTCGAGGACTCGTTTCGCAGGATGGAGCAGGCACAACCACCGCGAAAGAAAAAGCGTGTGTCCGATGGTACTGGGCCTTTGGGGACTGAAATTTCGAGCACTTCGAAGCCTAAAAACCGCAATTCAACAAGCAATGCTTCAAGTGGGCCAAATGGTACCTTAGAGCGAAACTATGTTGATGCGGCGACCTCAAGAAGCAAGTCTGGCTCGCCAGCGAGTGCAGTATTTCCTCCCTCAGGACATCAATTTAGGCATGCTGCATCACGACAGAGTTCCCGTCCAGCAGTATCGCGTCAGACGTCCCTTGCACCACACTCAAGTTACTGCGATGTTGGCGTGCAAACCGACCCAGTCGAGGGCGAATGGTACAGTGAGATTGGACATGCTCCCAAGACAAGGAGGAGGGTGGTCTCGCTATCCAAACGTCTACTTGAAAATCGCCATCGCTTCCGACTTGATGATGATGAGCGACAGAAACAACGGCATTCTCTCAAATTGGAACATTCGACAAGTGCTATGGATGTGGATTCTTCAATCGTTGACATGAAGGTTCCTTCGGGTTCACCATCGCTGTTGCACAGATCATTGCTGGCGTCTCCTGGACTTTCAACATCGGGTGACATTCCGATGCCTGATGCTTCCTCGACGTCGCCACCATCAGTCACGGCAGTGGCTGCTGACCTGACGAATATTGGACACATAGCAACTTCGAGTCCAACTTTGAACAAATCTCCTGACTTGCGCGTCCAAATGCCCCCAATCCCCACCTTCGGGAACTCGACTGTCCTCCCTACTGTCTCGACACCCTTGTCTGCGACTGGTTCGATCGTGCAGTCTCCGTTCTCTAGCAGCAATCTCCCCAGTCCCTTCGGGCCACCGTCGGTCAATGGCTTCGCGGCGAATCCAAGCCCTATTAAGAAGAAACTGAGCTTGAGTGACTACACGAAGAACAGGATGAACAAAACGGGCACGAAACCATCTCTGGGGACAAACAATTTGAGGCCATCAACATCGAATATTGACGAGCCGAAATCTGCTACGAGTGCCGACGAATCCATCGCGGTAGACTCGCCAACGACTGAGAAGCCTACTGACGGATTGCCAACACCCGGGACTAACGCCATGGCACCCGAGTTTTCGGTGAACGGCTCTTTGTAATATATACATTTTCAAAATGGACGAGTAGCACGCCGGCTCGTCTTGGGGAATTGCCTTCGATCAGACCACTCTCTCCTACATAGTTCTTTTGTTTCGATTATAGCGGCTAGGCGTCTGGCTTGCGCTTAACCCTTGTGGCATGTCATGTGTCGTCATGGTTGTCCTTTGCGATTTAAACCTCAAAATGGCGGCATGGGGTGGAATATCGGATTTCAATCGGCGTTGGGGTACAGAACAGGCTTGCTGGTTTTTCTTCTATTTTCAGAGGGGTTACAAGGCGAGGGCGATCGGAATCACCTACGGACTGGTTTTTTTTTGGTCATCGACCACGGTTGTTTTTGCGCGTGTGTGCTGACGATCCATGAGGGAGTTGCTTCTCTGCCGTACGATCAGGGTTGGATGATTTCGTACAGGAGGGGAGGCTGTTAGGCCTACTGGCGTCGTGTTTAGCATGATGATGACGGCGGAAGCGGCGGCGTTCACTCAGTCCGTCAGGCAACCAAATGTACGATGGGAGGGGAAAGGGAGAATATGGGGAGGTCTCGCGGCCCCTTGTTTTTGGGCTGCTTTTGGCCCGTGCTGTATTTATACACATTGTCCCGCCCATCTGGACGGCATCATCAGGCCCAGCCGCATAATGAGCAAAAATCATAGCACGCAACAAATTATTTAGTGTTGCCTTCGCATCTTCACCTTGCCTATCATGCTGGTTCTTTGTGAAAAAATGTCTTTTGAATTTCGTGAGACTCCTTGTACCTTTTTTCTCTAATCCTGACCTGCCAGTGTCCAGTGCGAATGCGACTTGCATGAGATTGAAGTATACACAACCCCCGACTGCCAGATGCAGTATATCTTTCATGATCATTGAGACCATAATCCTCTGATGTACATTCTACATTATATGTACAGCTTGCATCTTAGCTTCCTTTAGCCGTGGAAACAGAAGGCCCGATCTGGTCGGTAAACAGTGCTCCCTATCTAGAAAACCCATCATACCTCGGCCCATACGTGAGCCGAATTCATCGAGAGTTTCTCTTATGAAGGAAATCCCCAGTTATCTTCCTTGAACACCAGGAGCGCCAGCCGATGGCGGACAAATAGGCCTAGTAGGCCTAGGACGGTCTGCAAGGCGGTGATCTCGACGGCGAGGCGCTGCTCCTTCATGGGGCCGCGCCAGACGAGCCACAGGTTGAGGATGGTGAGGTTGCTCATCTCGACAAAGTTGCCGTGCTGGTCCTCCTTAAGGTACACGAGGCGGAGGCGGGCGAGCAGGCGCAGGACGCGGGCGACGTAGGGCTTGGGCTGGACGGCGTCCGGGGTCCAGCGGCACAGGCTGGGCTCGAGCAGGCCGGTGCGGGTGCTGAAGTGCGGCAGGCGGTGGCGCGGGCACTCGATGAAGTGGAAGAGCTGCGGCGCCGAGTAGACGAAGTTGAAGACCTGCGGGATGAGCAGCAGCGCCAGCGTCTTGCTGAAGTGGCCGAGGATGCTAACCACGACGAACACCATGCCGGCGAAGTAGCAGTATGTGTCGCCCACGAAGACCTTGGCCGGGTACCAGTTGTGGAGGAGCAGGGCGAAGGACACGCCGAGGAATGGCAAGAGGAAATAGAGCGAGAACAGATGTGAGTCCATCGCCGGGTGGGGGTACGGTGTCAGCAGGTACAGGCAGTCGTTGAGCACGAGGAGCATGGCGATGACGATTGACTGGGACACCTCGATGCCGTTGATTCCTGCGAGGATGTTGATGCTGTTGGGGCTGAAGATAGCAAACCCCGCCATATACAAGTAGTAGAGGAAGCCGACATCGAGCAGCTCGCCGAAATAGGGCTGCAGAGGTATGGGTATGACGATGGATGTGACGCCGAAGTCGATGAAGTAGACGATCAGAAGAGGAATCGCGGCAAAGGCAGGGATCGTAAACTTGTGTCGCCAGCGAATGTCGAAGAGATCGTCACCAATGCCAAGGATCGCGATGGATTGAAGGGCCATGATGGCAGACAGGAAAGAAGCCAGCTGTAGCCAAGGCCGATTAGTTTAGCTACACCTTGGTGGGCAACAGAGAGAACTCACCTTGCCGTGTGGGAAACGGTGCAGGAACCGGCCCTTCTGAATGTAGTCTCGCTGGACTACCACATCTCGATTTCCACCGCCACTAGTTGCGGCCACTATGTCTTTATAGAAGGCGAAGGGAATGAAGACGATGATAAGCAGTATGTAGACGACAGCGCAGATGGCGCCCATACACTCGGGAATCTCCTTGGGGTTGGTCTTGGACATGTCCTTGCCCTTGAGCCCAGCTTTGATGAAGGTCGGGCCCAGCCATCGGATCATGGCATAGGTGACGCTGAAGGCCACTCCGCTGATGGCGATGGAGGCAAAGAGCGGCTCACCCTCACCCTGGAGGATCTTGACCAGAATTGCGACACTGATGCCAAGGACAGCCCAGAGGCTGAGTGTCTCAGTGCGCGTAAGGGCAGTGGGCGAGTGATGAGCTGTCATGATGGTGGTGTTGAGTTGACTCCTGCCAATTTATCCATACTCCGGGCGTGATGCCTTGATCCCTTTCTCACGCATGGAAGGGTGAATGTGTGAGGGACGCGCGGAGGCTGTCGCAAGGCTGAGGAATTGTCGCACGCACGCACGGAGAGAATAAAAGACAGCGTAGCCTGTATGATGTAAGGTGACAGGTCTTCTGTCAATCTGACATGTGAAGCCAATCAACAGGCCTAATTGGACGCCACCAAAACACCCCTGGTCGCCCCTGTAGCCTCGTGGGTTGCAGTGAAGCTGGACCCTTAAATTGCCTAACTAAGCAACAATAGCCACCCCCTCATAGTGGCTTACACTTCATGGAGTGCTAGTCGCTTTCAAACACACGATACCTCTTTCCTAACTACGGCCTCGTTGGAGACTTTTGAATCATATAACAGGTAGCTGTCTGTCTCATTCTTCAAATGAAGCTCCCATGTAATCCATCCCCTGACACTTATGTAGAGGCTCATGAGATGGTGGCAGCGTAGATCGTAGATCGTGAATTCTTAACCCCCGACATACCTACCTAGGTACCTTGCGAAGAGCCGCAGAGCAGCGCCAATTCCAATTGCAATTCCAAGTCCAAGTCAAACTCTAACCTCTAGCTGGACCCATTTGGATTATACCTGTTTTTCTCTAAAGCTATGCCTAGGTAGTGTGCTGCAGCTATAGAAAGCGTCTATTCAAAGGACATCTAGTCGGGTGGTGGTGTGGCCTATGAGCCAACCGACCTGGCACCCCCACCTCTTTCTTGCCTCTGCAGCTGTCAGTAGCTCCGGAGGTCCTGCAGCTTTCAGCCAGAATTCATTAATCAATTGATCCTGCCACTCACTACCTGGGTATATCGTATCTACCACGCCACAACCCCGTAAGCATCAGACCGCAACTCCGGATTGCGACTGCAGCCCAATATAAGATCGGATACCCGACATTGCTTCTCAATTGCGGCGTACCGCACAGAAGCACGATGCCTCCTCTGCTCAGCGAGCCGCCTTTGGCAGAGCAGCGAAATCAATTCGAGCTCATCATGAAGCACGGCCACCAGGACCTTGTGCAGGCTGTCGCATTCAATAGCTACGGCGACCGCTGTGCCACCGGATCTGTTGATGGCAAGATCCGCGTCTTCAACCGCCATAGAGATGGCATCTGGCGTCTCTGTGACAACTGGACCGCCCATGGAGGCGAGATCCTCGAGGTATGACGGCCTCCCTACTCCCCTACGCTCGCCGCAATTCGGCGGCATCGCCGTCACCACTAAAGGCTTTACTGACAAGCCGCGCACACAAACAGCTTCAGTGGCTTCCGCCAACCGTCTATCCCAACCTTATAGCCTCTCTGGGCATCGAGGGGAGGTTCAAACTCTGGGCGGAGGATCCCTCTGCAGCCCCGGGGCGCCGCTTCAGCAACCGATACAAGGAGAACGCCAAGGCTGCATTTGAGCACCGTTCATCTCGCGCCCCGTATCGGTCGTTCTCGATGAAACACAACGAGGAGACCCGTCATACCTACCTTGCGCTGCTGTCTGCCGATGGCCGCCTGATCGTCTTCGAAAACGAAATGTCCGAGAATCTGTCCGACTACGTGAAACTAGATGAGTTCATTGTCTGTAACAAGCCGAGCCGCGGCGAGGAAACCTGCTTTAGAGTCCGTTTCGACCCGAATCCCGATCCGTGCTACACCGCTCTACGAGCCGGCGTCCCTACAGATGCACTGAGCCTAGTTGTGTCCGCGATGGATTCGGTCAAGGTCTACCGGACGAGGGATATCTTGACCACGTCGTACGGCGTGGGTTCTGTGGGCAAAGAGTTCTACGTCGCGGCAGAGATCACGGGTCATCGGGGCCTCGTGAGGGATGTTGCATGGGCGCCGGGCAATATCAGAGGCTACGACATCATTGCAACGGCTTGTCAAGACGGCTTTGTGCGTGTTATGCGCATCGACACACCATTTGACCCCCAAGACGGCAAGAGTTGGGCGGCCAGTGAGCTCGTGAAGAGCGACAAACACGCAGTGCCGGCAGAATCATCTAATGGAGCAGCTGGTGCTTCCAACCAGGCACGGCACTCGTCTGGCATCAGCCATGAGCTTTCCAGTCGCCGTGACATTGGCGATAGGAGTGCGGCTGGCCAGCCCGGTCATGTCAAACATACAGTGAAGGAACTAGCGAAGCTGGACAGTCATCGAACGCCGGTCTGGCGAGTTGGCTTTGACGACGACGGCCAAATTCTCGGCAGCGTTGGTGATGACGGGAAACTCATGTGCTACCGACAGGTCCCGGATGGCTCTTGGGTGAAAAGCTCCGAGCTTGGGATGATGAAAATGAGGATGGCCGTGCCGACTTGAACAGCCAATTTGACCAGACACGCCGTCATTCGCTTCCTCAGCTAAGACGGCTCTATTTACGCCTTCTCCCGAGCGGACAGTGTACTTCGGCACAGGCGAAGGTATTAGAGGCGGACCGAGACTTTTCTGATCGAGTATCATCGTCGTCGTGCCGTTATAATTCTTCCGTCCACGAAGGTTAGTCGGCAACGGCCGAGTTGCTGCCATTTGCGACACATCCGAGGTTTTCCCGCTGTGCGAGGTGTCACCTCGCCGACCATACTTTCCACACCGAATAGTCAAGAGCTAAGGGTATCGTCTAGATACTTAGTCGGGCGTCCCCTGGCCTATATAGGTCACGCAGGCAGTCTAGGCCTGCGGCAGCTCCACTTGGAGCTCAAGGAAGCTATTTTGTCTTGTGGCATTGGCATAGCAGCAGCCAGTCTGGTAGGAGGCGCTTATAGTTACCAGGCGCGGTTATCGCAATCGGTCGAACTGGATCCGAACGCCAGCAGCTGGCCTAGTCGGAGCTCGATGGTTGGAGCGGCTCCGCCGCCCCGCTTGGCTTAGGCTTGCGATTCAAGTGCAGACAAATCAAAGAGGCACAGAAGCTCTGGCGCAGGTTGATGCATCCACCATCGAAACGGGACCCCAAAAACGAAGGGCCCGCCAGGGGAAGGTCTAGGGAACCCCCCGATGTGCCCCTCCAAACGTCATGGGGCCAATGCGGGCAATGGGCGTGAAAATCGCGTCGCATTGAGGGTACAGAAAGGCTCAACTCCGGCGGGCGGGAAGCTCTGCGACTTGCCCAGTGCGGCAACTGCAACCCTTTAAATTCCCTTGCCTCCTCGAACTCTCTTTTCTTTCCTCTCTGGAAAGTTCAGCATGCTCCGAAACGCTCTTCGACAGTTCACGACATCCGCAAAAATGGCAAAGACACCAAGCCTCAAGCTCTCCTCCGGCCATGTAAGTATCTACCTTTGTTTCGCTGTATCGCGAGAGCGCCCTGCGATGAGAATTAAAAGTTGCTGAATTACCCCGCCCGCAGACTATGCCCCTCGTTGGGTTTGGTATCTGGAAGGTGCCCCGCGAGACTACGGCCGATGCCGTCTACAACGCCATCAAGCTCGGCTACCGCCATATTGATGGTGCTCACGACTACACTAATAGCGCTGAGGCCGGTGTTGGCGTTCGAAAAGCCATTGCGGACGGTCTGGTGAAGCGCGAGGAGCTGTTCATCACCTCCAAGCTGTGGAACAACTACCACGCCCGTGAGCATGCCATCGAGATGGCTCATGTCGAGAACGAGAACTGGGGTGTTGGCTACCTCGATCTCTTCCTCATCCACTTCCCAATTGCCCAGCGTCACATCCCCATGTCTGAGCTCAAGTGGCCCTGCTTCTGGAGCGACAAGGAGCAGACCAAGGTGACAGAGCAGGTCCCCGTCCCCATTGCCGAGACCTGGGCCGCTCTGGAGACTCTGGTCAAGACCGACAGCAACCCCAATGGCATTCTGCACTCCATTGGTGTTGCCAACTTCAACGCTCAGCTGGTCTACGACCTCCTGAGATCCGCCAAGATCCACCCTGCCGTCAACCAGATCGAGCATCATCCTTACCTGGTTCAGCCCCAGCTCATCACCATGCTTCAGGAGAACAACATTGTCGTGACTGCGTACTCCAGCTTCGGTCCCCAGTCCTTCGTCGAACTGAACAACAAGCGTGCTGTCGGTGCCCAGCCCCTATTTGAGCACTCTGCTGTCACCAAGGTGGCAGAGAAGTACGGCAAGACTCCCGCACAGGTCCTCCTTCGATGGGCGACCCAGCGCGACATCATCGTCATCCCAAAGTCGAACAGCAGCGAGCGTCTGGCGCAGAACTTGGCCAGCACAGACTTCGACCTGACTTCTGAGGAGCTGGAGTCGATCTCGGCGCTAGACAAGGGCCTTCGCTTCAACGACCCAGCTGATCTCAGCACCCCGATCCGAATCTTCGCATAGATATGCTAGAAAGGGGATTGCAATAGGTTTCTGGAAGAATTGGGCACATGTTGATAGCACTTTTCTCACATAAAAAGTAGTCACAGATAATTGATAGCGTTGAACACATATGCCGTGCAACCGAGCTGGAACGTACCAGTCGTGGTATTTGCTATATGCTATACTGCAAAATACTAGTGAAACGCCCTCTCATTACCTCCTCCTCTTGCCGCCTCCGCCGCCCTCGCCATCCTGTCTCCTCTTCTTGCCCTCGCGGCTCCAGAACTGCTTGCTCTCACGCTTCTCCCGCGCCTGCTTCTTCTCCTCCATCTCGTCGATCTTCTTGCGGTACTCGGCGCGCTTCTCCTCCTTCTTCAGGCGCCGCTTCTCGGCGACGTCCTTGCGGATCGTCGTCAGCTTCTGCATGAGGTCGCGCGCCTTGCGCTCCTCGCCGCCCAGCACCACCGCCCGCTTCTGCATGTACGTCTGCTTCTTCTGCGGCTTGGTCGCGACGATCTGCGACTTGAAGGGCAGCTCGGCGGCGAGGGCGCGCGGCACCTTGAGGGCGTTGAAGTGGCGCGTCGCGCGCTCGATCTTGCGGTACTGGCTGTTGCGCTGCTGCGGCGTGGCCACGCCCTCAGCGCGCCGCACCTCGCCCGTCAGCCGCATGCCCTGCCACCCGATCAGGTTCGTCACCGGGTTGTAGAAGCGGTGCGGCTTGATCGGGTACCAGGCGCGCAGGAAGACAATGTCGCTGAGCAGGATCTTGTCCTCGAACGTCGCGCGGAAGTGGCCCTCGGGCTTGGACAGCGCGCGCTTGATCTGGCCGCGGATGCCCGACACGGTCTTGATGGCTGCACCCTCGAACTTGGCAATCTCGAGAGAGGAGTTGAACATGTCCTTGATGAAGGCGGTGTTCTTGAAGATCTTGTACGGCGCGCCCGTGAGCTTGAGCTTCTTGACGATCTCGGTTGACTCGTCGACACTGAGCACTGTGCCGGTGGCGGCTATGCGGAACCCGGGGTTGGAAGAGGAGAAATGTTGGAAGCAGGCGAAGCCGGTGTTTGGTGCGATGAGAGGCCCGTAGAATGTACCGAAGCAGTGCATGTGCTCTGGGGTATACTTGAGCATTCTGTTTCGAGTTCGAGAATCAGATATGCTGTAGATAGGCATTGTCTGGAACCGTCTCCAGCCCAGAGAGAAGATCAGTGGATCGCCGGTCTTGAGGATTTTCTTGTGCCATCGATGCCTCTTGATGCGGACCTGGACGAATCCAAAGCGGTCCTCAGTGGCAGACAAGCCTCCAACCACAATGGGCATTCTCGTGTTGAAATGCTTGACAAACTCTGCCGGCACGCCCTCGATAACAATCTTGGCATATTTACCAGCTTTGTAACCCTCCACAGCTGTCCGTTGCCTTTCATCGAGGTTCTCGTACTCGGCCTTGTTGATGTCGAGCTGCTTCTGGATGAGAGCCTTCTGTGCATCGTACCAATCGTCCTCGCCGAACTCTTCGTCGTTGCCGCCTTCCCGCCGAGCGATAGCTTTGTCATTCTTAAAGCCTTCCCGATCCTCTTCCTCAAATCGGAGCTTGAGCTCTTCTTTCCTGCGGGCATTCTTTTCTCTCTCAGCCTCTAGACTCTCTGGTTCCACGGCTCCGTGTTGTTCGCCGGTTTCGAGATCTTCAAATACACCATCACCTTCGTCATTGTCATCGTCCTCATCGCCTCCTTCTGATCCGCCTGATCCTTCCTCGTCATCATCACCATCTTCGCCAAGGAGGTTTGACGTTGTGAACTTTTGCCTCAAAGCTTCAACGTTATCTTCGTCGTTCCAGTATGAGGCAAGCTCTTCGTAGTCGAACAGAGGCACAGAGCGGTCATCGGCGAAGTCGTCCTCTTTCTCCGTCTTGACCTTCTTGAAGAATGCATCATCATCTGAGTCCTCGATGTTTTCCTCCTCTTCCTCCTCATCTGCACTGTCATCCTCTCCCTTCCATTTCCGTAGCACATCATTGATGGGAATAGAAATGTCATATATCATCCTGGCCAGGTCGGCCGGCTGATATGGCTTTCGGCCGCCGTGCATCATCTTTGCCCGCTCTTTCATGTTCTCCTTCCACCTAATGGCAGCACCTTCTTCATCATCGTCAAAGTCTTCGCCGTCCAGGTCGGACTCCTCAGCATCCTCGTCCCCTGATATTGAGCCGAGATCGGAGTCGCTATCAGCGAAAGCAACATCGTCCTCTTCGCCATTCTTATCCGTGTCTTTTCGGAACATCTTGCCAAGCTTCTCTTCCTTGAATTCGGTCTCAACGTCGGAGTTCAGGTCTTCTTCTCCGTCGACAAACCCTTCATCCTCGAACTCTTCCTCCTCGTCCGAGTCGTTTCGCTCAGCGAATCGCGCTTGTCTTTGGCTCTTGCGGCCGGTATCCGCCTCCTCGGCTACCCTATTGACCTTCTCACCACCTTTGAAAAGCTGGACGCCATCTTCTGTCTGGCCAAGTAGTCGTCTCTCAGACTGCAAGCCAATGATGAGCTCTTCACCCTCTCCCCTCTCGACATCCTGGGCATCCTTATCGAAAGTGAAGCCCTTGTCACTGTAGATGTAGATTGCATCACCATCCACTTTCAGGCCGCTGCGGTCAGACATCGGAGCGTAGAGCTTCTTCTCCTTCTCGTCCAAGCGCCTCCGACCTGTCTTCCCGGACGCCTTGGCAAGTGCTTGCTCCATAGCCGGTGTCGGACAGGGATCCGGGAGAGCCTCCATGCTTGCAACCGTGAAGTCGCCAAGGCCAGGAACATGTATCCTCTGCCCTTGGGCGGAGAAGTTGGTGCCTCGTAGATAGCCAGATAATACTATGGATCGATCGCACTTCTCATCCTCCTCTATCTTCGTGGGGTGGGTGATGTCTCGGTAGCTGTCAATGATCGCGTAGGGGTGCGAGTTTCTCCAGACCAGCGGCCGCGGGTTCTTCATAACCGAAAGGAAGCGTGACAAGTTGTGAATCTCGCGGTCAGGGTACCGTCCATTGATGACTCCCGAGAGATAGAACAGATGGGCGCCTTGGTACAGTTCACTCCACAACCTGTGTTTAAGCCGCTTCTTCGCATCCTTCAAAGCCTGGGGTTTCCGGAACAGGTCAAGATGTGTCAGAATGCCAAAGACATTGCCAGGCATACCCGTAGCGGCCAGAATGTTGAGAAACTCCATAGTCTCCATCTCAAAGCCGTAGTTGCCGTCAATCATGAGCAGCACAATGTCTGCGACCTTGGCAATGTCCACCATGGCCTCGAGCTCATTGGGACACTCGATGAAGGTCAGCCGCTGCTTCTTGGAGGTGACGATTGTGATGGGCCCCTGGGGGTCGGTGATTGTTTCTTTTGCATAGCGCCGGATGAGGGACTTGAGCAGGGTCGTCTTGCCCACGCCGGGGGGTCCCACGATGGTGACGAGTCGCGGTGGGGGTTCGTCGGGGAGTCTGTCGACGAGAGGGACATGGAGACGCTTCTCTTTGATCTAGATTCAGGTTAGCTTAAGTTTGTAGATGTTTAGCAATTGATCATTGACGTACGTCATGCGACCTGGCAGCTTGTCTTTGGAGTTTTCCTGGGTTTGAGACGGCGAAAGCCTTGGGGTTCGGTCCTGGAAGGAAGTAAGGTTAGCTATGGTGCCTATTCCCAATTCAGATTCTTCATGATAACTCACCAGAGTGTTTCTTCTTCTCCTTCGGCTTTCGATGGGGTTTATGCGCCGAGTCGTCCATGGCTTTTGGAGAGCGCAGAATTTTATCTGCGACTGGCACAACTCAAACGCTTTCCACCGCCCTGGAGCATTTGAGAAACTATCTCTATGTTGGCGGCCAGTGTAAAAAGAATTTTTGCGGGAAACGGACTTATCGCCTTATCGCTATCGATAAGACGGATGCGCTAAGCAGCCAGGCTACCCCGCTAGAATCAGCACATCTTCCAGGGTGGCTCAGGCGGGGCTGGTCTACTGTACGCGATGGCGTTTTCTCTGCAAGATGATGTGCAGCACGCATGGAAGAAGAGATCGTACGCAATAGCTGGTGTCTGATGCCGCGTGTACAGCCGATAGTCAATAGAGTCATCGTGAACCCTGATGAATTTATTGTTCATACTGTCACATTGTGAAGAGAGCAGAAGTGCTCTGTCTACTCTTGACCCACTGACCACAAGATGGACCCAAGCACGGCAATTTCAGATGGCTGCACTTCGAATGATCATGATGCCTTCACTGTTCTTCAGTCCTTCCTAATAGAGAGATAGCCTCAGAAGTCATTCTACTGGTCGATTGGGCTGATTCAAGCGAACCGTCACGAGGATGATTTTACGCATTGCGCAAGGAATTAGAGTGAAGAGCCGTAATGGTTGCTGTCTCAGAAGGAGAAGATGGCCCCTAAGTTCCAATTCCTGGCGCTGCAAGTTTGGAATGACGTAACCCATTGCCTGGCTCATCCCATCCCACTGCACGAGGCCTCCTCCACTTTGTACTGGACGTTTGAGCTTAATAGGGACTCTCTACTGGCTGGCGCGTCACCTTAGGGAGGTTCTCGTCTGACATGCCCATTCGTATAAGAACAAGCTTAAAGCCACCCTTGCCCAGTTCCCGCCCTCTATCCAAGCAACCCCTCATCAACATCAACACCTCCACCACACCATCTCACACTTCACATTCAGCAAACATGCCTTCCTACATTGTGAGATGATGCTCTTCTACCGCCTTATTCTTCGGCATGGCCAGCTAACCGTGAACTGCCAGGTCACTTGCAAAGACGATGCCACCCCCGAGCAGGTCGAGGCGTAAGCGCAGCATCCATTGATTGACAATCCTCCGAACACAACAACGACGGCGAGCTGACTCTATCTCTCTTATCCAGTGCCAAGAAGCATGCCACCGACCAGGGCGGCAAGATCGGTCATGAATACTCCCTGATCAAGGGCTTCTCGTAAGGACCCCTTCTGCCACCTATCCAGGCTCCTCATCGGGTGTCATCGCATGCGCGAATGTTATCTGACTGGGATACAGCGTCTCTTTCCCCCAGGACTCCATCTCAACTCTCGAGAGCCACGAGCACGTCAAGGCTGTTGAGCTCGACCAAGAGGTCCGCACCCAATGAGTTAGACATCCATCGACCGATACCTCGGCTACCGACGGTGTTACTGTGAAGAGCGTGCGGGGGACGGCCGACGGGCATAGGAGAATGATGGCGATTCCGAGTTACGACGTCTTTTCAACTACATTTTAGAGATACCGTAGACTACGCTTCGAATCATACATTCAGAACTTCAATCATTGCCGCGTGAAGTGAATCTCATTACAGCAAGCATGTGGCCAGCTGCTGCTATAAACCTACTAAGGCTATCATTTTCCTAAGATGTAACATATCGAGACTACGGCACATCGTAGTGCTCACTAGAAAACTTCAATAAACAGCACCAACATGCCAAGAGATGCACATGTCTCCTCAGCCATTATATTATTGGCCTGCTTGAAGCATGATATGCCTGATGGAAGATATCCTCGATGAAACCGCGAAACACAGCCTACCCAGCGGGTTCGAGCTTCATCACACGACATCCCTCACTTCTGCTAACATTTTAGTGAGGGTTAACACCCATGCTTTGGTAGTGCAGATCTGACCGGAACGATTGTTGACTTTTGTAGCTCCTTTCCACGCTCCTCACCTATCTGTGTCCGATCTATAGTCTCTAGTCATGGTGGTGCGTTTTCTTATATTTATTTGGTTTTGCGTTTGTATCACAGTCTACCCTCTTCAGTCCCTTCCTATCTGGCTTCTCTTCACCTTCCTCTCGGTCGGACTGAATACCTTCGGCCTTGAGGTGGGAGATTGTCTACTGAAGGTAACATACGCTGCCAGCTCACCCATCAGACTTTGACACATTATTTTGGACAGGGGCATCGGGCTTTTTACTGTCGTTTCCGTGATCATTGTTGCTGCAGCAAGCTATCTATTCGCCATAGCAAACGACATGTTGTTGGTGTACGCACCTATTCTTATGGACCTCGGCATGATGCTCACTGCCATCATTGTTGCTCTAGGCGAGGACATTATTTACCGGCAAAGACTGCAGAGAGGTCTGGAAGTATTTGGATCTCTTTTATCCAGCATTATCTCAGGGATCCTTACACTCATGACCAACATCGCGTCTTGGTTAAGCAGACCCACCAATTAACAAGTAACAAGCTTGTCTACAGGTCAATAACTCCCTACGATGGATTTCAAACCACAGCCACCTCTGAAAAGGAGAGGCATAAGCCTCGGATACTCACAGGAGCATAGGTGAATGTGGTGGAGACATACATGATGAGTTGGCGTGCCACGCTGAGGATTAGTAGATGAGAGAGGGGGAAGGATGGTGTGCAATGAGTCTGGCGTTTCTGGATAAGAACAGAAAAGTCATTTATGCTTGCAGGAGTTCGAAGTCTGAAAAGATGGTATCTAGCATAAGCAATGGATTAGAGGTTAGTTTATGAGGATTCTAGAGAGTATCACAGAGTGCCCGTGTAAGTGAGGTGAGTAGCTCTTGAGGTTGACCAGTGAAAGGCCGTACTCCCCACCAATGCAAGGCCACAGATTGATCATCAGCGGACCTTGCCTCTGAGAAGGTGGGGGGTTTCAGTGAGATCATACGGCGTGGGCCGTGCCATGCCTGACAGCTTCCTGCATTACTCATAACTCTCTTCAAGTAGAGCCTTGTTCGTCCCAACTCTCTTCAACAACAACGCGGTCGTTGCAATTGAAAATGCCGAGATGAGATGCGTCTCAAGGCCACTGAGGTGCCTCCGCACTTCACGAGCCTCAATTCCACTTTTCACCGCCGCCAGAGCCTATTCTGCAGCTCACCATCCTCACAATAAGCATCATCCCACATCAACATCCTCCTCCCACTACCCACCGTTCTTCCACGACGACGATGTCCCACGCCTTGCAAAGCAGCCTCTGCACCCCCTGAGTCTAGCTGACCTAGTCAAGTAAGCTTAAATAGCCCTTTCAATGCTGCCAATGCAGCAACAGCAGGACAATCTCGATATTCGCGACTCGACTAACACACGCAGGCATGGCCGCCCACCGCTTTCTGCAGAGGCACTCCTCTCCTCTGCGCGCTTCACTCTATCTCTCCTGCCTATCCGACTTGCGCACCGCATTCAAGCTCTACGGAATTTGCCTTACATAGTTGTTTCGAACCCAAACATCAGCAGGATCTACAACAACTACCAGCACTCGCTGTCGACCCTGCTGCCCTGGAAGGAGCGCACCATCTCGAACCTCGAGGACGAGATCCGCTTCACCGAGGTGCTCGCTGAGCTGGTGGCGACGCACACGGACACGATCCCGATCCTGGCGCGCGGCTTCCTCGAGTGCCGCAAGTACATCTCGCCGGCGGAGGTGACGCGGTTCCTCGACGAGCACCTGCGGGCGCGCATCGGCACGCGGCTGATCGCCGAGCAGCACATTGCGCTGCACTTCAGCAGCCAGCCGCACTTTGACCCGCAGGCCTCGCCGACGCCCTGCCCGGACCACCCCTCGTACATCGGCGTCATCGACACGGCCCTGCGGCCGGCCGACATCATCAACAGCTGCGGCGGCTTCGTCGCGGACATCTGCGAGCTCAAGTACGGCGTGCGCCCGGACTGGCTCATCGACGGCGAGCCCGACACCACGTTCGCGTCCGTCCCCATGCACCTCGAGTACATCGTCACCGAGCTGCTCAAGAACGCCTTCCGCGCCACCGTCGAGAGCCGCATGAACAAGGAGACGGTCGTCGTCACCATCGCCCCCGAGCCCCCGAACCCCCTGCCGCAGCACCGCCACGACCAGGGCGGCTCGGGCTCGGTGCGGCTGGACCCGCCCAGGGAGGACCGCGGCGTGTTCAAGGCGGACGCGATCCGACCGCTGGACGACAACGCGCCGGGCGTGACGATCCGCATCAGGGACCGGGGCGGCGGCATCAGCCCGGAGGTGCTGCCCAACATCTGGTCGTATTCGTTCACGACCTTCTCCGAGGAGGACGACGTCCCGGGCGGCAGCATCGATGCGCTGAACGTGATCTCGAATGCAAACAATGGGCAAAGCTCCATCGCGGGCTTGGGGTACGGTCTGCCCCTGAGCAGGGCTTATGCCGAGTATTTTGGCGGGGGCATCGCCGTGCAGAGCCTGTACGGCTGGGGAACAGACGTCTACCTTAGACTCAAGGGCGTTGGTAAGATAGAGTGAGTCGCCCTTTTTCATAATCATCTTCAATTTGTCATCGGCTGGAGTGATATATGCTGAGGTTCATCATAGGCAGAACACAACCGCTCAAACTCAACAAGCACATAAGTAACGAGTCAGGAGACGTCAAAATTGAACATAGAATATACAATTGATTATCTGCGCCGAGGCCTGGTGATTACCCAAGTATGAATGTGACGATGACGATTGATCTTTCAATCGTTTGGAGCTCATGGCTTGACATCCTGAGCCGGCCCCAGCATGCAATTATTACCTCTCGGATACACCCGAGTAATATCTATAAACAAACAGACGTAAACGCCAGCACATATTTTGCTTGATCCTTTTTAAAACTTGTCCCGATAGAGAGACACCTCATCACACGTGATCGCCGCCTGCTTGCTTGCTGCTGTACATGGCCCTAAATAATGTACTGGAAGGAATGGATGATCAAACAAATAGATGACTTAACAACATTGCAAACAACGCCGTCTTTACATGTTGGCCAGCTCATTATCAATCTGTCGGTCCATGAACGTCCTCCTCTCGCCGACCAGCTCCGTCTGCAGCCTCTGCTCGACCAAGGCGCGCACCTGCTTCTTAGTCACGGTGTCGAGGTCGACCTCGCGGAGCACGGCCTGGATGGCATCGACGATGGCGAAGTCGTCAGGGCCGGCGTTGCCGCGCTGGAAGTCAAAGGAGAGGACGGACTGGTGAGCTGCCTCTGAGGCGCCCATAGGCGGGCGCGCACCGCCAGAGTACCCAAGGACAGTGGAAGCGCGGGGCGTGGCGCCAAGACCCGGCGATGTGTTGCTTACGGCGCGGAGGTTGGACATGCTAGGCCGTATGCCTTGGCTGGGGTAGTCCTGATAGGGAGACCGCTGAATGTCATGGATGCCAGTTCCCATTGACGCCACGGACTGACGGTGCATGGGATGGTCCGCAAACGGAGTGGTGAAGGTGGACTGGCGGCTCATGGCGCCGGGGCCTTGAAATGGTGCAGGGGATTGAGGTGGCATGTAGGCTCCAGCACCACGGCCGGGAAGGCCGGTGAGAATGGAGGCTTGGCGGACAGACGAGTAGACGGACTTCATATCGTCAAGCTCATATGACTCGTCGTAGATTTGGTCATGCATCTTCTCAGAGTGACCGCCTCGTCGGCCAGGGAGATTGTTCGAGATAGCATAGTCGTCCCACCGCTGGAGAGGGATGCTTCTCGGGTCAAAGCCTTCGTCATCCACGGCAACAATCTGCTTCTTGCCCTTCTCTCCAATGACGATACGCGTGTTACCCCAGGAGAAGTTGTCTTGGTTCCAGAAAGAGTAGATGGGGAGAATGAAAGAGTAGATAGGGAAGGCGAGGATGTAAATGATCATCCACCCTACATGCTGCCATTGTCTCTTCAAGATGAAGATGATAGCCTGGAGACCGTACACCGCTGCCAAGATAACGATGGAGAACATGGGGAATTGGCCTTGGTTGGTTGCAACGTTGTAGATGAGATAGCCAAGATAGACGGTGGTGGCAGGTAGAATGATGGTACCGGTGAGATCAATGAAGACGACGAATCTCATACTGAAACAGCAGAAGCCGCACATCTCCTTGAGCCACATCAGTTCGACAAGGTTGTGGATAGTAGAGTTGATCCATCGTCGACGTTGTGATAGCAGAACACTCCACTTCTCGGGTGCTGCTGTTTGACAATAGGCATCGGGGATAAACTTGTATGACATGTGAGGGAAGTTCTTGGTCATGAGAGTGGTCAGGAAACGATCTTCACCCAGGGATAACAAGTTCTTCTTGTGAAGAGTGTCAACTTGACAATCACTATACTCTCTGATAACATCGTCTGCGATGATGAGAGGCTTCCCTCTGTCAGCTGTTCTGAGACGATACATGGAGAAACTGTGCCAAGTCAGCATGTTGTGTCATGTTAATTAGAACAAAAACTTACCAGCCAGGCAAACACGTGACGCTACCGAAGAGGGACTCGAAAGCCTTCGCCATGTGATGAGAGATGAAGTATTCATAGACTTGAATCATGGTCCACCATGACCGTTCCTCGTTCTGCAAGCTGGTCTCGCCGCAGATACCCGCAATCTTAGCATCATTGGCGCAGGCAGCAACCAGTCTGTTGAGTGAATCTTCGCGAACGCAAGTATCCGCATCGACCATCAACATGTATTCGTACAGCTCAGGATCAACGCCAATGACGTTGTTGATCTGGTGGAACATCTCCAGCTCTAGGGGGTTCATAGGAGCGCGGTGGTGGACACGGTTAAGGAAGCTCATCAGCAGGATCTGCGAGTCACGCTTGCCACGATTGCCAGGCTTGCTCTTGGTGGCCTCAGATTCTTTGCCGACCTTTACAACCACGATGTATGGGACAACGTTGCCCTCATACTCGTAGAGACCCGAGTACACCTTTCCGTAGTTGAGTTGCTCGCTACCAGTTCCGACAGACTTGAAGGGCAGTGCAGGAGGGTCGACCTTAGGGTCCACGCCAAGGATATCCAAGACAATCTTGGGGGTTGGGCGGTCGTTTCCAGCACCGACGATGACACCATCACAGATGACGCAGATCAGCTTGCGCTTGTTGTCATACTGAAGAGCAGTAAGGGAGTCAAGAGCCTTCCTGAGCGAATCTTCTCCTTCAGTGTATGCAGGAACCTGGCAGATAACGAATTTGTCTTGAGGGGCCGGACGTCTCTTCGAACCAAATTGCAAGGCGGACAAGAATTTGACCAAGATGACAGTGCACAGGAGGATGGTGAAGGCCAGAAGAATGTAATTGTTAACCTGACATCTTGCTGAGTCCCGGAAATCGGGAATGCCGACATAAAAGGCGTTCTGGATGCAGTGAATGCTGTTTTGGATATTGGCAGTCTCTGTTGAATTGCCTGCAGCGTCTCTGAGGATCTTTGTCCACGACTCTGTAAGATCCAAGCCCGGATTCTTCTTGACAGCGTCCGTCAAATCAGTGTTCAAGAACTCGTACTTGGCAAGGTTGTTCATCAACTTCAACGTGTAGAAGTAATCAGTGAGGTCGTAGATGTGGCCATCATAGATGAACCATTCATGATTATTATCCTGCCCATCGGACTTAACATCCTTGGTCTTCCATACAAGGTCGCCCTTGTAATACTCCTTGATGGCTGGCTCAAAAACGTCCTTGTACCAGCTCTCTTGTCGCAGTGCCGTTGTGGTATCAGCCTGATAGTATCCTGAGGTATGGAGACCTTCCGGGTATTCTACGGTAGTATTCGCCTGGAGCTGCATCTCCTGCGTAATACCAAGACCTCGACAGGTAACGGTCAGAGGAGCGACAAAATACTCATCCAGATTCATACCAGCGAACGGCTGCATGTTATCTTTGGTAGTCTCGATATTGCTGTCACTGTGCTGCAGTTTCCAGAACTTCGAGATATCGTAGACCCGGCCGTGGATGCTGACCCAGAAGTCGTTATCACCCTGGTGCTTTGCGACCTCTTTCTGAGCCCAGGCCTTGTCGAAATTAGGGCAAAGCAAACGGCCGAATGCGACAATCCAGAAAACGATCAGGGCATTGATCAAGAGAATTAGAAAGCAGAGGACAACCTTTTCTCTCCAAGCCATCCTGACATCAGGACGCTTCATACGTCCAACATAACGTAGAAGAGGAGAGGGGATCCAGAATGTCATTGCCCAGACAAATGCAACCCAGATTCGTCGTGATGCAGTAATTGGCTGCTCTTCGATTGACTTGCCGTTGGCAAGCTCAGGGTCTAGACTGCCAACAAATTCACCTTCGCTGTTGAAGTATACTTGACCGCGGCGGTCGTCGCCTTTAGGACCAAGGCCATAGTCTCCTGCGCTGACGTTACGCATCGCCGATGGAGCGATTGAAGGTGCGGCACGTGTAGCTGGCCCAAGCAAAGTGCTCTGGCTTCGATTTCTTTGGTGGAACAGCTGCTCTCGACTGTCCGAGGGCGTCGGGTCTGCGAAAGGGGTTTGATTGAAATAGCCGCTTCCGTTGGCGGAATATCCTGACTCCAAGGCTGGGGCGAGCATCACGTTGCCCATGCCGGGTAGGTTATTAGCCTGGCTAGGCTTGAGATCAAGCATGCTCTCTGCCTCCCACCAGGCGTTTTCGTGCATCCAAACACGCTCGTGGCCAACAACGACCTCACCGTTGCTCCAACCACGTTCTAGAACCCAGCTTTCGATGCCATCTTTGCCGTCCTTGCAGCCAAGTACCTGATAACGCTGGGCCAATTCTTCAAGGTCGAAATCAGCTGTAAAGTCCAGGTTCTTGTTGCGTCTGTTCGCCCATTCTGGCAGACGCCAGGAGCGAAGTTGACGAGACACTGTGCCTGCGGACCACGCCGAGGTGACAGACGGCAAGGCAGCCAGACTAGCAGGCGACTCATCGGTCGGATGGATTGACAGGTGATACCAAACGCGGCTGCTGCTTAGGACAGATGCAAGATCTAATCTAGCATTTCGGCCGAGATTGATGCCTTGGCCTTCCACAGGGAACAAAAGCTTCTTGAGGAAGCCGTCCTCATCTCCACTGAAGGCAATCTTCTCTAACACCTCTTCTCGCTTCTCGAGGATGTGCTGCCTCTCCCGACCAGTTGGACCAGTCATGATTCCCAGTTCGGGTGCGACTTCAGAAACAGCATTCTGCATCTCACGGAGAACGGAGCTTCCCGCAGCGGGAACTTCAACTCCGTCCTGCTTCATCTCGGCATTGATGCCCAGGGTATCGTCGAAAATGCCACGCATAGCTACAGCCTTACCCAAAGTCGGATCAGGGATGTCAAGAATAGTGATACAAACAGTATCGCCAGTGTCCTCATTAGAGTTTGGCGTGCGCGCACCGCCGTCGCTTTCGTCTCCATCGCGGATCCGAAGCATTTGTGCGGAAATGGCATCGTTTGCCTTTGTGATGACCCAGTCGACCAAAGCCTCATATAGACCACCGATGAAAGTCTTCCTGTCGTCCGTGGTGCATTGTCTGGCAAGGACCTCGGGCTCCATGCCGAGCAAGCCACTAACATCCTCACAGATCTCGTCCAGAGCATCCTCGTCGAGCTCGTAGTCGAGAGTATTTCCAAGCTTAAGGAGGCCAGCAAGTGTCGATATGAAGTTTCGATGAGCCGAACCCTTGATGCCAATCTCCTTTAGGGCAGCCCGGAAGTCGTCAGCGGCGGCACCATCGTCTGCAGTAGGGAGATATGAGGGAGGATTGTAGGTGCCAGATCTCGCTAGCAATGCATAGCTTGAAGCAGATCGCAAACCGAGAAACTCTCGCTCCGCGGGAGTGGAGGCAGATGTGAGGAGATAATAGAAGACATCGAAAGCTCGGTATCCGGCCTCCGGTGGAATGTTGAGGAGGCCCCTGTCAGTGTCAATTCCTCCTTGCGCGAGAGCCAGGCTGGCTGCTTGTAGATTGCCAGCCAGATTAAGCGTCAATGTGACGCCTAGAGCAGTTTGACGAGGTGTCGAAGGGTTGTATGGCGTTACGCATCGAATAAACGGCTGGATAGCTTCGAGGGCTTTGAAGAGAGACGACGGAAGGGACATGGGGAGGGATGACAGGAACGGTGTCAAGACTGAGGGTGTAGATGTGTGCAGAGAGCTGGAATCAAGCTGTTAGACGATCTTCGAATCCTTACAGGACTTCACGTAGACTTACCCTAGTATAATGCAGCCATCTTCGGCTCGCCTTCGAGCATGTTCCCAAGCTCGAGCAGCGAGAGTTGGGTCAATTGTTCCACCTGCCTTGCCATCTGGACCGGCTTGGGCAGCCGTGAGCCAGGTATTCACAACCAGGCTGGTTCCGGCATCGAGACGGTAGGCTTGTGAAGAGAGGTAGGCATTGTGTGTCACATTCAACAGCGTTGTGGTCGAGACTTGGCTTGACTGCTGTCCGACACCTCGAGGTCCGCCCATAGACTCCGAGGCCACCGAGTACATTGACATGCGGTTCGCCATGTTGAAAGGTATATTCTCGTGACGCCCTTCAGGACGTATCACGGTGTTGAGAGAACCCGGGGCAAATGTTCGAGGTTGAGGATTGCACAGTTTGAGGTTTATGGTCACGACGGTTCCCGGGGAGACAACGAGTGGTCTGCCTATAATCGAACTAAAGATATAGAAGGATGATCGATAGCGAGCGAATGTCGGGTTGTTCGTGCAGCGTGGTGGCGTACGGGATCGAGGGGGGTGCGGGAAGGTCGCTGAGCAACGCGTGCTCGATTTGGCTGCTCCTTTTCCCCAAGCTGGAGGAGACTTGAAACTCGAAAAACCCAAACGAAGGACGAAACAAGATAGGAAGAAAACCCACCAGAGCGAGTGAGGGGGTTGAGAATGGTGGAGAGGAAGGGTACGAGAAGGAGAACGAAGGTCACCAAAGAAAACGACACTTCAGAATGCAGGGCAGAGCGAAGCAGAACGGACCAGTAAACCAAGGCAAGGAATGACAATCATGAAAAGACACTGGGACGACCCCGAGCCGAAATGTTCACCACTCCCGGCACACACAGTACAGTCCAGCAAACGCTGGGGGACACCCTGGTCTCGCACAAGTGCATGGTGAAGAGACAAGTACCATACGGCGGGCGATTGAGCTTCAAGTGCAGCCACGCTTGTGATGTTTTTCTGGAACTAGCCAACGGGGTCGCTCCCGACTAAAAGAGCCGTTCTGGTGGGTTGTCACTCCGGGGAACAGAGCTTAACAATAACGTTAACGAGATGAACTCGGGTCCGTGAATCTTCAGTCCGAAGGCACTGTACACTAGCAACAGCTCACCATGAATGCAGGCTACTGATGGAAACACGCACCGTGCATATTGCCGCCAAGCTTTCAGCAAAACACTGTCCCGCATTCTGACAGCTTCCCATCTGTTAAGGTTCTTTCGGGGTCAGCCGCAACCTTGAAGCTCAGCTAGCATTGTCCGTCAGCTAAAAATACAGAGCAAAGGCGGGTCGCAGGCAAGGAATACGAGCGATTCTCGAAGCACCTACACGCCCCACCATCCAACAAGTTTCTTGCCCGTACGAGGCCACCACCACCTTAACATTGCATAAGGTAGGTCCCTGGGGGTCCCTAAGGCGTGAGGCCAGCAAGTCCCTGAAAAGGGGATCGCTATGGCGGGCCACACTGTTGCTCTCAGCGCTTTTCGGTCTCGCTATTGTTCAACGCCTGGTGTCCTCAGAATTATGGCTTTTTCTTCCCATCATTTGACATTGTGTCTCACCAAATCGAACCTGATAAAGCTCCAGTATTCGTTCAATGGTGACGGGAGAGACGCAGGATAGAGAATCGGAATGGCGTCTTTTGGTGGGCGGGCAGTGCACCAGAGCACCGCATACGAAAGGGCAACCAACGCGAGCTGACAGGCGGACCTCAAACAAGCCAGCCAGCCAGCCAGGCCGCCCGCCAACTCACATGCCGACGGGCGCCAACAAAAACAAACACGCCAGTCCAGTGGCAAAAGATCGTACTCGCAGGTACCGTACCCTCAAGTCACTGCGGTGCTCAAGGAAAAGCTGTCATGCTACTGTGGATCAACACGTGCAGTCTCTCAAAAATGCGGGACACTGTGTGCATAAGGTTGAGCAGCCGGAGAAGTGCTGTGCCACCACAGGAGCAAGTTTTGTCTTCTTCCCCAGTTATTCAAAGTAGGTGATTGTTTTCTTTGTAATCGATTGGCTTCAATTCAACGCGACTCGCACGACATTCACGCAACAGAAAGACCTCTGGTGAATACCGATTATCTGTGTGCGAGTCTACAAGCTTTCCTTCTCCGGCGTGCGACCCGAGGAATTGGTGAATACGAGGTGAGGGAGGAATGCAGCGGCATCGTCATGTCTCAAAGCAAGGGTTGTCCTAAGACATGCCCTACCCTAATAACGGGCACTACAGGAAGATCCGGCAAATACTGCTAGTGCAGCCTGATCTAGTTCTCCAGAAGATGATATCAAGAGACAGAACCTTTCAATGATGGTCGAAGGACCTGGAAGATGTGCAAATGGCATGCATGGCTGCGAAGCCTAGGAGCTCGCTGTGAGAAGTTCGAACAGTCCTCGAAAAAATCCAACCAAAGGTGCAATTTCAGGGGTTCATGCAATGCTCCTGCAGCATCAGGCCCGCGAAGCGCCCGAAGAAGTGGAGGCATGTGCTATGCCTAAGACATTTCAGCAAAATCGTCCGACTGGTAATGGCGCCGTCAGTGTGCTAATAAATAGCAAGCTGGGGAACCCATCATGGCGAAGACAAGACGTCAGTCAATGTAGGAGAAGGGAGAAGGTGTTCACAGATCGATCTGAAGAGATCTATTCTCTCTCTTCACCTCCACTCACCTCTCAACTCCGCTCAACCCACAATCGAGAGTATGCCGAAGTGCAGAGTTACCGCAGACTACGGCACAGTGTGAAGAACATAACACGAGCTTTGAATGCCAATCCCACTCATCCATGCCAGGTAGCCAGCCCCTGCGGCGATGTTGTCATAAGTCGCGCCAATCGCCCGGGGAGGATGCAACCGTGCCGGCAGGCGAGCAGCGGAAAAAGATGTGCTTGTGGGGCAATTGCAACGCCAAATCGTCCCAATCTGCACCCACGGCCTGCTTTCGAGACGTCCAAACCAAGAATTGAGTCCTTCAAGAGCCTGGCTGCAGATGGGGCTCGTCTTGTGTATTCTTCGCCATGGTCGACTTGAAGGGGTCTCTTTGGCGGCTGTCATTCAATCACTAGCCTCGAAGGTAAGGAGAGGATAGCGACGCCGTCGTAGGCTACCCGGCCTTTCCATGGCATTCCTGGTAGAAGATGGCCTACCTGGCCCGTGATCATGAAATCTCACTGCAAATCAAATGCTAAGACTTCACTAAACCCAATGGCCTGGTGGCTAAATGTAGCACCGTACCCACTGGACTGTGCGATGGGAGGCTCGATGTGCCCCTGAATGCAGAGAGGGAAAAAAGGTACTTCGTATTAGTCCTGCACAAGCGGTTCGATTCGACCGCCGTAGGAGCCAGGAAACTCGCTCTACCGGGCTCCTCTGTCCATGTCAAGGAATCTCCTTGAAAAGTGGTTGTACGCTTAGCAACACCTCACAGGCCTCAAACAAGGCTGGTCTTTTGCATCTTTCTTCTCTCAATCCGCTTCCCTTGACGCTCGTTTGGTCTTTTGTATATCACATTCGTTTCGGGGTTGTGTACATTGTCTCGGTTCATTGGCGTTTCCTTGCTCAAGCCGCCCGCCAGCAACACTAACACAGGAGGACCTTCCGTTTGTTTGGAAAACGCCTTCAGAAACTACTTCCTTCTACCTTTCCCTGTGATCCCACGAAAACAACCGACTGTTCATCATCACCGTAGACGAATCTTGAGAGCCGGTTGACGCCGATAACTGGCTGTCTGGCCCATCATGGCTCTCAATCTCCCACCGATGGGTGGTGGTGGCGCCGGGGCTCAACCGTCGCTCCCGTCTCTACCTGTCAGTTCCATCAAGACATGACCCACGACGAATGACTCGTTTCTGACCAGCATATGTAGGCCCATCTTCAGAGTGACACCCATCTTACCTCACACCTCGCGAGTCGTTATCATTCGAGTCTACCCACAGCGCGTCTGAGCTCCCACGCTCTGATCTCCTTGAACACCTATACCACCTCTACAAAGGGGCTCGATGGCGGCAGAGAGGGCAGTGCCGCGGCCGGTGCTGAGGATATGGCCGATAGGGCCTTCCTCCGCCTCGGCCACCGGTCAGAGAACCAAGCTGTCTTGTTCTTGTACGTATACTTTATGGTTGGAAATCTGAGGTTGCAATCTTAACCTTGAATTACAGGGGAGAATCTGGCTCCGGCAAGACTACAGTCCGATCCCACCTCTTGACTGCGCTCCTCAATAAATCATCAACACCTTTGTCTAACAAGGTCTCCCTTGCTGCCTATGTGTTCGACACTCTCACCACCACAAAGACCGCTACGACCCCTACCGCATCGAAAGCCGGCTTGTTCTACGAGCTTCAGTACGATACTGCTTCGACAACAAACCCCATGCTGATTGGAGGCAAGCTTCTGGACCATCGTCTTGAAAGGAGCCGGATTGCAGATGTCCCCACTGGCGAACGGAACTTTCATGTCCTCTACTACCTTCTAGCCGGTACGAGCGGTGCCGAGAAAGCACATCTTGGATTTGAAGCGCCTGGAGGCACAGTGCAGAAGAGATGGAGATATCTTGGCCACCCGACGCAGCTGAAGGTTGGTATCAATGACGCCGAGGGCTTCCAAATGTTCAAGACCGCCCTGCGCAAGCTTGAATTCCCTCGAAGTGAAATTGCCGAAATCTGCCAGATCTTGGCCAGCATTCTGCACATAGGACAGCTAGAGTTCGAGACGGCAGCCGACACCAACGCCACAGGTGACGACAGTGGTGGGTTCTCCCACGAGGGTGCCCAAACGATCACTGCTGTCAAGAACAAGGATGTTCTTGGTATTGTTGCCGCCTTCCTCGGCGTCAGCGCTCAAGATCTGCAGACAACGATGGGATACAAGACTAAGATGATCCACAAGGAAAGAGTTACGGTCATGTTGGATCCCACCGGTGCTCGAGGCAATGCCAATGAACTAGCGAGAACTCTCTACTCGCTTCTTGTTGCCTATGTCATCGAGACTATCAACCAGAAGATCTGTGCACCCGAGGAGGCCATTGCAAATACTATCTCGATCATCGATTTCCCTGGCTTCTCTCAGCAGTCCTCCACTGGTTCAGCACTCGACCAGCTGTTGAACAATGCTGCCGCTGAATCTCTGTACAACTTGACTCTTCAGAACTTCTTCGATCGCAAGGCTGAAATGCTAGAGACCGAAGAAGTTGCAGTACCGGCAACTAGCTACTTTGACAATTCAGATGCTGTCAAGGGTCTTCTCAAATCTGGAAATGGTTTGTTGAGCATTTTGGATGACCAGACTCGCCGAAACCGCACGGATATGCAGCTTCTGGAGAGTTTCAGGAAGCGATTTGAAGGCAGAAACCCCGCCATCACAGTTGGCTCTGCGACTGCAAAGCTTCCCGGTAGCAATTTCTTTACCGAGAACACTGCCGCTACTTTCACTGTCAGGCATTTTGCAGGTGAAGTGGAGTATCCTATTAAGGGTCTCGTGGAGGAGAACGGCGAGGTGATCTCAGGCGACCTCCTGAATCTAATTAACTCTACGAAGAGCGACTTTGTTGCTCGTCTCTTCGGCCAGGAGGCACTGCAGACTGTGACCCATCCTCAGGAGCGCTCGACTGTGATGCAAGCCTCCGTCAGCTCAAAGCCTATGCGAGCTCCTAGTGTCATGTCAAGAAAGACGCGTTACCGTCCAGGCACGTCTCGGACGAAGAATGAGTCTATAGACCACCGTCCTGGCACTGCCCGGCGACAAGACTCGTTCGACAATCTAAGCGAGGCTGGAGAATCCAGACGCAACAACACTCGTCACTCCGAGCAAGGCGCTTCCGGACAATTCTTGTCCGCCCTTGACAACGTCACCAGATCCATCACTGCCCCTAACACCAACGCGTACTTTGTGTTCTGCCTCAAGCCCAACGATAGACGAATTGCGAACCAGTTCGACAGCAAATGCGTAAGGACACAAGTTCAGACATTCGGCATTGCCGAGATCAGCCAGAGATTGAGATCAGCAGACTTCAGCATGTTCTTGCCATTTGGTGAGTTCCTCGGTCTTGCCGACACAGAGACGATCCTCGTTGGCAGTGAGCGTGAGAAAGTCGAAAATGTCGTTGAAGAGAGACGTTGGCCAAGCAATGAAGTATTTATCGGCTCCACTGGTGTCTTCGTCAGCGAAAGAATATGGATGGAGATTTCCAATCTGAGTGATAGCGCCTCGGCGCGGTTTGGCCTTCCGTCTGATGCCAGTGATGGCCTCTCACCTCCTGACAATCCATTCCTTGCGTCCAAGGAGCGTCTTGCGTCTGGCAACAACACCCCCGGCCCCTTTTCAGACAAGATGAAGGCCGGCTACTTCGGCAGCAATGATGTAGACGCTCGGTCTGAGGCTGGTGTTTCTGCCTTCGGTGGCGGCGACATGTTCAAGAATCTAGACACCCGTGCGCAGATGGCCGAAAGGGGCAATGAGAAGGCCATGGTGGAAGTTGAAGAGTTCAAGGACAGCGGCAGCCGCAAGCGCTGGGTCTTCGTGGTATACCTCCTGACTTTCTTCATCCCCGAATTCATGATTCGGTGGATCGGACGCATGCCTCGAAAGGACGTCCGGATGGCATGGCGGGAGAAACTCGCTATCAACGTCATCATTTGGTTCAGCTGTTTGGTCGCGGCCTTCTTCATTGTGGTCTTCCCTATGGTCATCTGTCCCACTCAGCATGTCTACACTGCCTCAGAGCTTTCAAAATACAATGGCAAAACCGGTAGCAAAGGCGCGTATGTCTCTATCCGCGGACAGGTATTCGATGTTGGCTCATATGCTCCCCACCACTACCCCAGCTACTTGCCCACCAAGCAGCTTACTCAGTATGGCGGGCTGGATGTTACTTCCCTGTTTCCCATCCAAGTCTCTGCCCTATGCCGCGGCAAGGATAATGATCTCGATCCCGCTGTTACCTTGGATTACAAGTCTACCAACATTACCGGGTCGGCTTCCGTCATTAGTACTCAGGATCTCAATGCCCATTACCATGACTTCCGCTCTTTCACCAATGACAGTCGACCAGACTGGTTTACCGAGCAGATGAGAATGCTGAGAGCAAACTACAAGAAAGGAAACGTTGGCTACTCGTCACAATACATCAAGACCTTGGCGAACAAGCAGAATGCCATTGCTTCGATGAATGGCCGTGTATATGACCTCACCACGTACATTGCTGGCGGCCGTCACATGCAGGTCAAAGCTGGCGAGGAAGCTCCTACGGATCCAAGCAAGGTGGACTTCATGGACCAACTCGTCGTCGATCTTTTCCAGCAAAAGGCTGGAGGGGATGTTTCAAAGTATTGGGACGCACTCAGCTTGGACGCCGATGTGAAGGGACGCATGCAACTCTGTCTCGACAACCTCTTCTACGTCGGTGATGTCGATACGAGAAACTCAATCCGGTGCCAGTTCGCTGAGTACCTGGTTCTTGCCATCTCTATTCTTCTCTGCACGGTCATTGGTTTCAAGTTCTTCGCTGCTCTCCAGTTCGGTACCAAGAACATGCCTGAGAATCTCGACAAGTTCGTCATGTGTCAGATTCCAGCATATACGGAGGACGAAGATTCTCTCCGCCGTGCCATCGACTCCGCTGCCCGTATGCGCTACGATGATAAGCGCAAGCTGCTTGTTATCATTTGCGACGGTATGATTATTGGACAGGGCAACGATCGGCCTACTCCTAGAATTGTTCTCGACATTCTTGGTGTTTCTGAGACAGTTGATCCCGAACCACTCAGCTTTGAGTCCCTTGGTGAAGGTCTAAAGCAGCACAATATGGGCAAAGTCTATTCCGGTTTATATGAGGTCCAAGGCCACATCGTTCCCTTCCTGGTTGTCGTCAAGGTTGGCAAGCCTTCTGAGGTTTCCCGGCCTGGCAACCGTGGCAAGCGAGACTCCCAGATGATCATCATGCGCTTCCTCAACCGCGTTCACTACAACCTGGCCATGAGTCCTCTAGAACTTGAGATGTATCATCAAATCCGGAACATCATTGGCGTGAACCCCACCTTCTACGAGTTCATGCTGCAGATCGACGCCGATACGGTTGTGGCTCCCGACTCGGCAACACGCATGGTCTCTGCATTCCTAGACGACACTCGTCTTATCGCTGTTTGCGGTGAGACGGCCTTGACTAACGCCAAGGCTTCTTTCATTACTATGATTCAAGTTTACGAGTACTATATCTCACACAACTTGTCGAAGGCGTTTGAAAGCTTGTTTGGCTCTGTCACTTGTCTTCCCGGTTGTTTCTCCATGTACCGAATCCGCGCTGCTGAGACTGGCAAGCCTCTATTTGTTAGCCGCGACGTTGTGGACAACTACGCCACTATCCGTGTCGATACTCTGCACATGAAAAATCTTCTACATCTTGGTGAGGATCGTTATTTGACGACCCTATTGCTTAAGTTCCATTCTAAGTACAAGACCAAGTACATCATGAGGGCTCACGCCTGGACCATTGCCCCTGATTCCTGGAAGGTCTTCCTCTCTCAGAGACGTCGTTGGATCAACTCGACCGTGCACAACTTGATGGAACTTATTCCTATGCAACAACTTTGCGGTTTCTGCTGCTTCAGCATGCGCTTCATTGTGTTCGTTGACTTGTTGTCCACCGTTGTTCAACCAGTCACTCTTGCCTACATTGTCTACCTCATTGTCCTCGTGGTGCGGAATCCATCAGTCGTGCCTGTCACAGCATTCATTATGCTTGGCGCCATCTACGGTCTACAAGCCATTATCTTCATCCTGCGTCGCAAGTGGGAGATGATTGGATGGATGATCCTGTACATGCTTGCTCTCCCAGTGTTCTCGTTTGGTCTTCCCCTCTATGCCTTCTGGCACATGGACGACTTCAACTGGGGCAATACTCGTGTTGTCGCCGGCGAGAAGGGCAAGAAAGTCGTCATCACCGACGAGGGCAAGTTCGATCCGGCCTCCATCCCACGCAAGAAGTGGGAGGAGTACCAGGCCGAGCTCTGGGATGCTCAAACCATCAAGGACGACGCCCGCTCTGAGGTCTCTGGCTTCAGCTACGCAACGAAGCCCAACGTCGCGGTGTCCGAATATGGCTGGCCGCCTTCCCGTCCTGGCTCCACCACTGGTTATCCCATGGGTGGCTACAGCGACATGAAGCAACCGCCCATGCCCAACATCCCGCACTCAACGAGCCGCATGTCTCTTGCCGCCTCCGAGATGCAAGGCAACCGCATGAGTCAGTTTGGCGGCTCGCAATTCTTCGGCAACAGCCAGCAGGAGCTCGAGATGGCGAATCTGGCAGGTCTGCCCAGCGACGACGCGCTACTGGCGGAAATCCGCGAGATCCTCCGCACGGCAGATCTGATGACTGTCACCAAGAAGGGCGTCAAGCAGGAGCTGGAGAGACGCTTCGGTGTGCCTCTTGACGCGCGCAGGGCATATATCAACAGTGGTATGTATCATCCTATTTCACACTTTCTCGATTATCAGTTGCTAACTCTTGTCGTTTAGCAACCGAGGCTTTGCTCTCTGGTCAGTTGTAGAAGCATCAAATCTGCATTGGGGCGTTTCTAACCCCCATCATCTAATAATATAATGCATTTTGTGAGGACAATCAAAATTATTGAAGGGCTGCGGACATCATACGGTAGCATAATACTGGATTTGGCTAAAACGGCTACGGCTACGGCTACGCTCTTAGGAGAATTGGGGATGAGAGCGTGTTATTTGTGCTAGTAAATTGGATGAAGCCTTTGGGTACGGCCAGGTCTATAGGAGTTAGAATTTTGTTTCGAAATGCTTTCTAGTATATAAAGCAAATGCATTTTGTGTCTCAGCTACTGGGTTCATAATAATCCTACATCTCATTGTGAAATACCCATTGCTATCAAACTTCCAAAGACCTAAATCATACCCGCCGTCACTTAAGCACTGGTGTCTCACAGCCTGCCGGCGGCCTTCACTGCAGCCACCTCCTCGTCCAGCGGCAGGATGTCAGGGAGCGGCCCCACCGGCGTGATGGAGTGCGGGTTGATCTGCGTGTGGCTCTTGGTGTAGTGGTTCTTGATGTGCAGCCAGTTCGTCGTGTCCTTGAAGGCCGGGACGTTCCAGTACAGGTTGCGCACCCACTTGTGCAGGTGCGGGTAGCCGGAGCGGATGTCGCGAATGTTGCACTTGAAGTGCTGCACGTACACAGGCTATGTATGGTACAGTCAAGTCAGTTCACTGTGCGGAGTGGCGAATGACAATTAGGGCAGGAAGGGCGAAACTTACATCGAACCGGTTGATAGTCACGTAACTAGAGAAGATGGGTTGTCAGCAGTGGTTCAGTCCGAGGGTTATCCCGCGCAACATCACTGCACGGGCGAAGGATTGCCGTGCAGATGCAGTCAGACGCTTAGGAAAAACTTTCTGGAGCCGCTTACAGTCTGATATCAACCTCTGTGATGTCCTTGCCAAACCAGTACGGGCCCTCGTTCTCGGCCAGGTGCTTCTCAGCTCTGTCAAGAGCCTCGAAAAGCGCGACGACGTTGCGCTCATAGGCCTCCTGGGTCGTGGCGAAGCCCGACTTATACACGCCATTGTTGATCTTGTCGTATACCCACTCGTGTGTCTCCTCGATCTGTTTCTGAAGAGCCTCGGGGTATAGTGAGATCTTCTGGTACTTCTCCTCGATGATGTCGTCAAACTGAACGGCGGTTAGTTTCTTCAATCCCGGGTTTGCACGGCTTTTGAGATATGACAAACTTCTGTTCCGAACATGCGGAGGATCTCACTGCTCTCGTTGCTCACGATTCTCTTTTGGATCTTGTCATAGAGCACCGGTACAGTGAAGCGCCCCTGATAGTCAGGGTTAGACTCGAAGTAGATCTGGCGCAGATGGGTGAAGTCGGGATGAACGGGGTCGGGAATGACATTCTCGCCCTCTGCGTCCTTGTCCTCTGGGGTCGCAAATCGCCAGCCTAGAAGCACAAGCATGTGAGATACTGCCGCTTTACAAGACTTTCATAATTATTTTTTTTCTCCACAGCACATACCATTCTGGCCTAGGTGCCAGTGCACTGAAGAGAAGGTGACGATGTCCTCCAGGCCCTTCAACTTGCGCGCAATCAAAGTTCTGGTTGCCTGCTTTCTGTCAGATACGATTGCAAGGGCCATCACAGCGGACAGATATCACGACTTACCCATGGGCACGCATAGCTAACGTACAGGTGATACCGGCCCTTCTCTGCTGGGAACTGAGAGCCAGGCTTCTTGGACACCCAGTCCCGGAAGGAGCTCTGCTGGCGCTTGAACTCGCCAGACTTGTCACTGGGAAGAACCCAGTCAGTGACTTTTCCGCTGGCCTATGGTATTACATCAATTCGTCAGCGCTATGTTCTCGGACAATCTGCAATCACATCCCCCTTCTCTTTCTCTTTCAGGGATACTGAAGTCACTGGCTATTGCGGGGTTTTGATCCAGCAGAAGCAAACTCACCATTCTGGTTTGAGTATGTGTCACAAAAGGCTGTGTTGGAACCTTTACGTCGTTAAGTCTCGAGGGGGAGTATGCGCTGTATGCAAGTCCTCGTGCTTGGGATGGGATCGGGATAGAAACACTATGGGCGCGGGAAAGGTGTCGAATTATATTCTGCGTCGCTGGGCGAGACAAATAAGAAGGCTTGGATATCATGAGCAAGAGCAGGACTACTCAATCCAGGAGATGAGGCAATAGCACGTGTGAGTGAGTGCAAGGTCTTTATACTTCTAGCTCAAGCAACATTAAGCAAGCTCCCGCTCAGCTGGTCAATCAATGTCATCGACTACTGCCGCCGCCCACGATGCCAAATAGCGTTTTACAGCTTGATTATGTAGGGATGTGTAAGTCCCCGCAGGCGAATTGCAAGCCTCTTCCCCACCCCTCCATGCTGGCCTCGACTGCCTCAGTCAAGACCGTCGGCGCTGGTATGAGAGAAGTATCTCGTCTGCCAATTTGTGTGTGACACTACCCCACCCAGTCCATGCCGCTGTCTGCTCACAAATGGTGATGTAAGAGACGCTAAGCAATGGGCAATGGGTCGCGGATTACTTAAGCTCCCATTACGCAGCATTATGCCTTTCAAGGAATGACTGGCTACGGGGATTGCTCAGAAAAGCAGAACATAAACAATGTAATTCTAAACTGGTGAAAAGAGTCTTCGCGTCTATTTTGATTTCACACATGTCAACGAGAAAGTAATTATAGTATATCTTCGCCATCTTGGATGACGGATCATGCCAAGATACACACATACATGGTTCAAGTACCAGCTATGCAATGGCGCTGACTAACAACCACAACATCACAGTCTCATCCAAATGAACGGTGCCCAGGCAGCTGCCAGGGCAACAAGACAAGTGAAGAGAGTGTTCATGGGATGGTTTCATTTCCATAAGTTTCATGTGACATACAGACTAGCTAGAGTAATTCAGACGCGAAGTTGTCTACCTCCTACAATGACCATCCGAGTCTACCCATCCCGAGTGAGAAGGTGGAAATCTACCTTAGGGTCTTCCATCATGCATTCATTCCTATCATTTTGTCCATTTTCAACGAATAGCGACTCACTGACACTCTCATTTACCTGATCTTGACTTTGATGTAGGGCACCTCAACGTCCTCGCCATCAGCATCCTCCGTCACCACCTCAAATATAACTTCCTTCTGGTGAGCTGGGATTGGCTTCTTCGAGATCGTCTCCACCAGCTGGCTCAGTTTCATCCCGTATCTCTCCTTGAGCTTTGCAGGTGGGAAGAAAGAGGCGTATAGAAGACTGACTCCTGAGCTCAGCATGGAGATACTGAGGCCACGCTTCTCAAAGTCGTCAATGAGCTCCTGCAATGTGATGTCGTTGATCTCGAAGCGGTCCCATATCTTGTCGAGAGTGACCTTTCCGTTCGGTCCCTTGTACTCGACCTTCGGGCTAGCAATAGGTTCACTGAAGCCGAAGAAGGGCAACGCCAAGTTGATGAAGCCGTTCTTGTATTGCTCGATATCCGTCTTGCCGTCAACGATCTTGTATAGCTCCAGGACTACCAGCCCAGTGACGAGTGCCGTCGTTGTGGCAATCGCCGGAATGATCTTTCCAGCAATGAACTTAGTCTTGTGGCGATCTGCCTGTTCAATCTTGTAATTCTCAGCTCGTAGATTGCTAGCAGCAGTAATGAAGTCAATATGATGATTTGTGTCGTCGTCTTTCTCAAACTCAACCGGCGTCAGTTTGAAGCCTGCCAAGGAGCTTGGTGCAGGAATAGCGCTCATGATCTTCTGGAGCTCAGCAGTATCATCGAACGCACTCCCACCTGCCGCATTCGGGTCCTGTAAAGGTCAGTCACCATTTCAAACGATATGATCTCGGGTTCAACTTACTGGATCCTTGTCATCGGCCTGGATCTTCACATTTGAATCGGGCGAGAAGTCAGGGATTATCATGGAGTCCAATGCTGCGAGATAGGCAGCCTTGTCCTTGTCTTTAACGTTGATGTTGTAGTTGAAGGCATGTAAGTTGGTAGCAGCAACCAAGAAGCCAAAATGAGTAGGATTCTCGGTATCAAACTTCAGCGGGTCAGGTGCTCGTTTGGGTCCAGACCAGAACGGAGTGCCGCTGGAGGACACAGCGTCCTTAGGGAAGTTGTAGAGGAGCTGTTGAATCGCATTGTTGTACTGTTTCTCAAAGAGCATTCGAGCCCAGCTGACACAGTCTTCGAAAGTCAGAGCCCGCTCATCCTTGAGATAGTCTCGGAGCATCTCGAGGGTGGCCTTCTCATTCCCGCCTTGCTTGAGGGTGGATTCGAGATAGTTCGTCTGGGTCAAGTAGAGATTGACAGTTTCCGCAGGCTTTACAAATGACGTCTCGAAAAGCTCTCGCGCCCAGGCAATAGTGTGCTCGATCTTGTTGGGGAAGCTCCTGAGAGTGCACATAGGGAAAGACTGCTCAGGCGGGTCCTGGGATGAAGAGTAGGACTCTGTTAGGTTAGGAAGCACCACTTGCGTGTTACCCTTCGTTCCTAGCGTACCACTTTCCAGGAGAGGCTTGTGGAAGAAAACACATCGTCGGTCGACATAAGTTCTCGCCTCAACATTGTCTAAGGCGTTGGTGACACCATCTAGTGCCTCCCAGAACTCCTCATTGAAGATATGCTCCGTTTCAGGGCTGACGCGGTCCTTCAAGCACACAATGTGCCCAACCAAGTCGGGATTCATCGCCTGGACTGCCCTGGCTGCGCAATCGCTCTTCATTTGGCCAACATCCTTGGCTCGGAACAAAAACTGACGGTTAAGATTGCTCTTCTCAATGGAGTCCATATCAGTGATCGTAATTTGGCCGTTAGGACCAGTACCAAGCCCGATCATGGCCCAGTTCTTGAGCATTTCGCAACCAATGGCGCCAGCGCCGACAAGGAATTGTTTGATGTTTGCGATTTTATCCTGATACTCCTTGCCGAAAACTGCAATCTGGCCGTCGTAGCGAGAACCAATTGGTGTGCAAAGCTCCTCAGACCGCTTTGTACTCGTAGGAAGAGACTCCAACGAGTCAAAGTACAGCCATTGCTTGATAGGATGGAACTTGCCCGACACAGCCTTGAGAACCTCTTGCGCTGCCAGTCCACCGAAGAGAGCCGCCATGGGGTTAAGATCTCCCATAGCCTGATAACTCAACTCCGTGAGCACTTTCTCATCCACCTCAACATCCAGACCTTCAGATTTGATGAATGCCTGTGCAGATGCGATGACCACCGTGGCGTCCTCGGCATTGAAGGGTCTCGGATAGCGCCCGTGAGTCTGGACAAATGCATGCAAAGCTTGGAATCCCACATGCAACTGTTGAGGACGGTCGAACTTGGCGAAATCGGATATGACGAATTCTGGATCTTTCATGGAAGCGGATATGCTCTTAAAATCGAGGAACTTCGGCATCTTGACCTGCTGGTACAGTCCACCTCGCTTATACTGGCCCAGACCGGACACATCCCCGATGGAGAATGTATACGGTCCCTTAACTGTGATCTTCCTCGGCTCGCAGCCGTTTAGAGCCTCCATGCCCTCAACCTCTGTGAATGTAACATAGTCGCCATCCTCCAGCCCATGACGAGTCTCATCGAGAGCGGACACCAGCCCCTCTTCATCGATTCCTGCTACGATGCCGTTGACGGGATTCTCGCCGGTGGCATCAATAACTGTGAACTTCTCGCCGAAGTCGCAGAAAATGGAGGCAAACAGGCCGAAAGTGTCGGCGACAACGACATAAATGCCCTTCTGGTGACAGTATTCACCAACAGCTATCTGGGCCTTGAGCGGTGTGTTTGTGAGGACAACGACTTGATACTTGTCGAGTTCGGACAGATTCTCGGCGATGCTATTGCGTTCAAATAGATTAGCATCAGGGCTATCAATGTGCCACGAAGTGAGTAAGAAATGGCAAGGGATACATACTTGGAGGACTCGTGGATGCGTACGGGGGTGTAGGCGTTGAGTTCGGCAACTCTAGGCGCTGTAACCTGGTCTCGAGGCTTTCCCACATCATCTGGGTGAAGGAAGAACTGAGAAGAGAGGTCGCCGATGGCAACGGGTGCGGGATCGTAAAGTGTCAGGCTCTTGACGCCGGCCAAGGCGATATTCTTCGCGATCTCGACACCGAGACCCTTGAGACCAACAATGAGAACATTTGAAGCGCCCATGCGCTTCATAGCCTCGTGGCCCAAGACATAGAGCTGTCGACTGTAGAGGGATTCGTCGATCTCGGTATTGCCCACAACAGAATCGTCGACCTGCATCCTGGTGACGAGGTCGACCTCGGGAAGCCGCTCGCCCTGATGAAGAAGGTAGGCATTAGTACATTTTCAAGCTTCCAAAACTGTGCACGAGGAGGGAGCTGCAGCCCTCGGGGCGAAGACGCCGCTGTCTAGGCCGGCAACACAATATTTGAAGGGCGCTGATGAATCAGCCCCGGGGAGGAGCTGGCGGGGGAGGCTTACAGTCATGATCTTCTTCTGGGAAATAGGCGTGTCCCCGTTGGACAGTTTGCGCTTCCCCAGCTTGACGGTGTGTGAGAGAGAGGAGTCCGCGATATTTCGTGCGCGAAGCCCAGGAAGACAAGGTAGGTGGTTGATTGTAGGTTGAAGAGGTGTGAGGGAGTCAAAGGGAATGGAAAGCTCGACCCCACCAAAGGACGACGAGCAAGCTGGCTCTACGCTGCTGCGGGGTGGATGAACGTTAAGTTAAGTCAACAGGTTATGACGCCAAGCTCGCCAGGAAAAGGTCGCTGCGATGTGTTCAAAGATCACTGGAGGACTTTCTCTACTCAGTCCAATATATCACTGCTTTAGTTCTATTCAGACGACGCAGGAAACGTTTGGAAGGCGAGGCAAAAGAGAGAATGGATTTGATGGTTTGGGATTTCTAACCAGCGGGATAAGACGACGTCAATGCAGGCCTGCCCAGAGAAGGCAGTGCAGCGCAGGCAATGCAGGCACACACTTACGCCGAAACTGTCCCACCCGCCGGCGTGAGCCAGCCTGACAAAGCAGCCTCGCCAGTGGCCAGGCAGGTAGGCAGCCCGGAGCCCGGCCAACTCAGGTCAGGTAACAGTGGGGCCAGAGACCCACGAAACACTTCAGCAACAAACGCCACAGTGATCTAGAGGTGGGTGCAGTGCCGCCCGGTTTGTCAGGTGCGTTCGAACATGTACTATACGCCAACACCAGCATCAATATCGACATCCACGATCAAGCCGCAAAAGGGAATTGCCCGCCAGCGATTGCCTGAGACAAGCGATTCCCATTCTATTTATGAGACCTTCCCAAAAAGTGCTACTCGCTGTCCAAAACTCTCTCGATGCAAGAATGTGACCATGAGGATGCATTTGTTCACGGTATCTGTTGTCTTATATATTGAGTATTCGGAACTTTCTACGGCTGCAGAATGCCATCCTATGAAATTGACAACCTTTCAAGCTGTAGCGTGAGAGAGATAGAGGTAGACTGAGAAACAACATGCCTACAGAAATAGCCAGATCAAGATAACGTTGCTAAGCATAATGATGGGAGCCATGGTGCTTGTCTTGATCAGATGTCTCTTGTAGTTGAATTACTAAACATGTCAGTTGGCATCTCGGTGATTTTCACATGATTTAGTATCCACCAAAGTCTTCCCGTAGCCGGAGCTGTTTTTTTGGTCTCTCATATCGCCACTTGAGAGATTCTTTTCAGTCATCTCCATGAATTACTGCAACATGTGGTCCTCCGACTCCAAGCAATGGTCGAACCTTCAAATTTGGCAAATCAGGCGTATCAGAGCACAGACTGATCACATCATCATTGAGAAATCTTTGCACACTGTGCCGGCTCTGAAGCCCCCCGTCTTGCGTAAAGGACTGTCTTCTGAGTGTTGTCCAGTTTGGCCGTCCAAGTATAGGTGATGTTGAAGTTGACTAATACTCCTGGGCTAGCTACAACGTGGGATATTGCAGCTTGTATAGTTCGTGTAGACAATTGATATTGGTCTTCAGACATGCCTAAGCGAGCCTCCCATCAAAATGGCAAGCCGGGCTCCATCCAGAGACTATGACATCCAGATGACCACGTTCTCTCCCTTGGACAGTGTATAAGGCCATCATCAGGCTTGCGGGTGCCTGCATCCACGGCCGTAGAGAGTATGACTCACCATCTCAGTTGTATCATAATCGCCTGGCAACTATTATAGTGCAACATAGCATCGTGGAGATCGGTCGGTGGTGCTATTGATGAGCCAGGATATATACGAGCCGACAACTCGTCGTGCTGTGCGTGTTAGAGTGAACCAGGAGAATCCTCCTGTCTACGACTGACACAGTCGTGGGCCGGCAGTCAGCAGTAGTTCGATTCCAGTTTGGTTGAAGCTCATATATCCTGGCCTTTCAATCGGTCGCCGGTATGTATCACAGAGATTGTCTTCTACCTTGTGGGACCTTTCATGGAGGACGATCGAACTTGCTCAAGCGACTAGCCGAATGGGTATCTCACAAGATCATGCAACGTTCCGATGGGTGCGAAGGGTACTGCACCATTTTTCTGACAATTGTCTATTATGCTAGTTTGAACGGCTCAGACATTACTTAAGTTGTTCGTTTCTCATCTCAGAGTCGTTGGGGCTCCAAACCTTCTGCTGAATCGATACTCTCCCGGACGTGGAGACTATATCTAAGACTAGGTCTGTGCATGAGAAGGTCACTCCCATCATCTCGCTAAGGACAGTTGACGCGGCTCTGTACAGCCAAACAACAGCAAGCCGTGGGCTCATACAGGAATTGGAGCTTGACATAGTGATACAAATCTTGTAGAACATCAAACAAGACATAATTTTTGGTAGATCATAAAGTTCTCACGCGACGTTCCACACTTATTGTGAGGAGGAAGATTGCCGAAATCGTGGTCACATGGCAAGGGGTCAACTGGAGTCAGGATCACAGCAGTAGTGATTGTTAAGTCTGTGGATCTATCGACGGTCAAGTGCCGTTCTAGTAGACTACCTCTCCAGTCCCCGAGGGCTCATATCAGGATATGATCCATACCGTCGCATCCTTTGAACACTAGGTGTTTATTTGACGGCCTTCAGGTGCACATCGCTGTATCACAAAATTAGTCCCTCGAAGTCCGGGGCCACCGTAGCAAGATAAACTCACAAGATAAGGTCAGCGTTGGGAGGGATGTGACCGGTGAAACCACTACAACCATAGTTAGTACCGTTGTGGCAAGTTTGTGACGTGCTTTTCCGCAAATTCGGCAGAAACGTCTCATCGATATCGATGGATAAGCTCACCTTGCGCCATAGCCATAGTCGCTTGATGATGTATTAGCTTATGAAAACAATTTTCTCTTGACCCGCCTGATTCTTAGGAAACATACCTGGAAATGTCCAGAGTGGCCTTCTCGCCAACCTTCATCTGCAACACACCCTCATCCCAGCCTGCCAATTAGGTTAGATTCCTGGTTCGACATGTAGCATGGTGCGTGAGCGGGGATCTCCTACCTTTGATGACCTGGCCAACGCCAATTCTGGTCTGGAAGTCACCTCGTCCAGGTTGGGTCGAGCTGTCGAAGCTAGAGGCGGTCAGTGCTTGATCCGAAGGGACCGCCTGGAAAGACCGCGCCACAAAACTTACACTTTACCCTTGTTGTCCGGAGCGCTGGTGTCTTTGAGCCAGCCAGTGTACTCAATGGTGACGGTCTGGCCAACCTTGGGGCTGGCGCCGCTGCCTTCGAAGATGATGGTCTTGGTGACGCCCATTTTTGATGTCTTTGGGGATGAGTTTTGGGATGCTTGAAAGTTGTTAATGGTGTGTAAGAAGGTGGAAGCTTGTGGGTTAGATGATTTGTAGCTCTAGGGGTCAAAAATAGACCTACTATGACGTGATGTTGGGATTTAGGGGACTTTTAGTTTGCCTCTGAGGCGCCTTTCACACACAGAAGAACGGGGAAGGTGGATTTCACGGACTCCAACCTATTGAGTATAGGAAGCTAAAACAGGAAAGAAGAAACGGGGGAAGGCATTGACCAGGACCTGGGGAGGGGATGGCGAGTATTTGAATGAGTGAGCGAGTGAGTGGCCAAGGGGTCCATTGCACTGTGACTTCCGCCTTTTCGAAATCGTCTGGCGTCGGGTGGGAAGGAAGGTACGGTAAGGGCTGTACCTCCCCATGTGGTACATGTACCGGTCATATAGCATGTACCTGCTTCTGCCCTTAGATGCATTTACCTTACTTCGTGGTGTGGTGCGATGTCGCTACAAGTACCGAGGTACCTCGACTGAGTCCAACTCAGAAGCTCTATACGTATGCTGGTACCTACCGTAGGTACGTAGTTAGGTTTATGTATTGTACTCTAAGCATCGCACCAAAACATCAAATTGACAGATCTTGCAGAGCATTTGCCTGTCTTTGCAACGTTTGTCAAGGATTGCCTTTGACTCCCAGCCGCAAATAGGCCAGGACTTTGAGCTCTAACTTTAGCTCTCATTGACTGCGAGGCTGCGATTTGGAGCTTTGTGTTGATCTCGTGCGGGGTCATCCGTGGGGTCCCTCGACCTCACTTCCAAACAGTGCCCCTGATAGCTTCGCTCTAAGCCAGCCAGGAAGATATCTCCCATCCTCTCCTCCCTTACGTGAGATACTACTGGAGTCTCCAAGGCGCCTTACAGATGGACTCCAAGTCGCATACTTGTCTCTGGAACAGAACCTGCCCACCGGGCGACATACAGGCTGCATTAGACACTGAGATTGACTGATGTGCCCAACTGCGAGCTGCACATCTCGTCGCAGCGCTAATCCTCTTCTTCCAGTGTCCTGTCTGCTGTCACAGTAGGATGTGTGGCCCCAAGCTGCAGTGAAACGACAATATAGAAGACTCAAATTATTACCTATCAGATGTAATTGTTGCAACATGGCCCGATCTCCAAAATCGACCCCCGATTCAGTTGAGCCCCGCCTCTCTCGACCGACGATCTCCTCCGCGTATCTGATGCCCCACGAAGTCGCCGAATGGTGGCCCCTCCTATGTGGAGGGATTCAAGATGAGATTTCTGAAGGTCCCAGTATATCTCACGGAACTATTTCTATTAAATAGTGGTCTCATGGGCTGACGGCCGTTATTGCCAGGCTGACCAAGTCAATATAGGTACAGCCTGAGTCTGCAATAGAGCAATTGGGCTGTTACCGGGTCATGCTTCGCTAATCTACAGTAGGTCACATTTTATGGCTGCTTACCGCACTCGAAAATCTTAGACTGCCACGGTCTCTTGAGACAATGGCTATACTGATGTCCACGCTTTGGCTCGAAAGAAATCATGTCTTGGGTACTGCCAGGTTATGTTACAATTCAACTATCTAAACAAGAGGAGCTGTTGCCGCATACTGGCGAACTTGTCTGGAATCTGCTTAGTGAGAATCATGGTCGCCATATCCGTGCGGCTATGGCCGAGCTGTTATCTCAGATATCTCACTTATCATAGCTGTGTGCAATGTCCCCAACAGCATTGTATCCGCTTCTTCAGACCGTTTTCGTGCGATTGTCTGACAATGACGATGTCGGGTCTCGTCCGAGGGATCTAGCGAAAAGCCCCGCAGATGTACTGCAAGTCTGAGGAGGCATGGTAAGTTGGCGGTCACAGGTTGTCTGAGAGGCGCGCGACGAGATCAAAGTCCGCAGATTGACAGACAGACAATCACCCATCCTGCATAGATTCGATCTGCGCTTGATGCAGGCGAGTCTCGAATCAGTGACCAGAGGCGTCACTTGTTATGCACAAGAAAAAGGCGAACAGGGGCAATCTGCCACTTGCAATCACACCTCTGCCAGCCTCCTCGCATAGCTCCCTTAGATCTCTTTCGCTAGCCAGGACTTGGAAGCCCGGCTCAATGATGATTCGCTCGCGTCCCCGATGCGGCAGAAACCGCATATGACGGGCATCCCAGCCTTCGGCAATGGGGCTGCCGCATCATAGACTCACGAAGGAGGCTCATTGCTTCTTCAGGGCAGCCATGCAGATGAGCCAGATTCTTGGTCGATGAAGAACTAAAATTCAGATAAGAAGCATGATTTCTTATAAGTGGTCTGCGATGTAGCATCATGGAGTGATGGGTGGACCTCGGTTATCAACTCCCGAAGCGCATCGTCTGATATAACTCTGAATTTGAACATCCAGACTTAGGCCTAGATCATTTCCACGTGGTGATCTTCAACTGGATATCTGCGTGAGCGGGGAAAAGGCCGAGAGATCGCCCATCGCGCATATTGACGGCGGGTCTATAAGCCATCCGCTGTTGGCCGTCTATTTTCTCAGCTCTCATGCAGAGAGATCGACAATCTCGCCCGACCTGCATTGCCAACGGAGCTTTCCCTCGTATCAGACCCGGCTGGCCATACGGCATGCCGAAGACTTTCGGATATCTTTTCACTTGTTCCGTTGCTAATGCGGGCAATGGGAGAGCCTCAGCTTCCTGCGTGCGGAACGCGATAGTGTCTGGTTATGATCAGACGGAAGCTAGCAATTCGACACACAGCGGGCATTGTTATGTGGCTTCCAAGAACCAGATTAACACTTTTGCCACGTCTTTCCAAGCTGTCATCCTCCTAACCTGGTTGCAGGTCAACAGGTGGGTTGTGCCAAAGCTGTAACCTTGGTGTGTACTAAAGCGAGCACATTGGAAAGTTCCATCCAGCGTCGTCACTCGACGACGCGGATTTGGGCACCTTTGGCACCAAAACCATTCGTGGTCTCGATACCATAGGTCCAGAGGATGCGGAGAAGATGAATCCTTTCAAAAGCCCACCGAATAACCCTGCCTCAATGCCATTTGTCCACGGAGACTAGTTTCCAAGCTATCCGTTGATTCGACACCATGGGTGAGCTTGACCATGCTCAAACCATAGGGCAACATTTAACAGAAAGGGGAGAGTGTCCATAACGTTCTAGCTGCTGGGAGATACAGACGGCAGCGCAGGCGTGTACCATCTATCTGTCATGGGGTTCGACTCAAGTATCTCCATTGCCACTAGGCAAACGTTTCTTTCAATCCACCCAGGAAATCTCATGGCACCCCGGACGCATACGCATTGGACCCTCCAAGTTCGTCACAGCCTAATCTCAAGCACCAAAAAGGAGGATATAGCCTCATCTGTAGAGGAGTGGATATCAGGCCAAAGTGGGTACTACTATTCAGGTGAAGTCTCCGTCAATATCATCCTCCTGATGAACTAGACGGCTCCTTCAGGGATGAGAAGACACTGTCTTCTGTCGCGGTATCCAGATTAATATCGCCCTGGTATCTTATCTCCCGGTATCAAGTGGACTGGGAATAATTTCAGCGTATGAAGTACAGTCAGATTGACATGTTCCCTCGATGCGGGCCCAGACAATACACGACCCTACACGGAGGAGGACTGACAAGTACAGCCGTGTGTGGTCATTGAGGTCCAGGTTTGAGCCGCTGAGTGAATGCGAGATACCCCTTGTTCATCACGTCCACACCGAACCTACACTCAGGGGTCATACGTTCAGCTGAAAGCGCCTAGCGCTTTGCGCCATCGCGAAACCGACGATCCTTATAAGTCGGAAGATGCGATATATCCGCAACTATGCAAACAGCCTTGTTTGAACGGGAGTTCGAAGGACAAGAAAGACGCAGATGTCGGCGAAATATACGACTTCCAGGAAGGAGGGGCGAGCAGCGCGATTGTGAAAGTCTTCGTGATGATTTGCTGCATGATTCCCCGGATGATCTCTTGGGTATCACCATGACGCAAAGTCTCAACTTGCATCGATTTGGAGCGGTATCACAGCCATCATATGACGCTTGAGGAGTAGGCCATTCAACGGAGGTGGAGGCTTATCAACGTGCCTAAAGTTTTCTGATGGTTCGCAAGGTCACACTTTACCCATAGTCCGCGACGACGAGTTACACAGATGCCACAATACGAGGCTGGTGTCTGCTGGCGACAAACGTTGAAACACGACTGGAATCTAGCTGGTGGGTACACAGCCAGTTTGGTATGGCAGCAGTGGCCTTCTTGCAGTCTTTGAGGCTTGTCTTGACACATAGCCGATACGGAAACACAAAGCTCGACTTCATTTCGAATCATTCAGTTTCGTGACAAGACCGCAGTAGTTCTTCCCGCGGTGCCGAGATGAATGAATTGGATATCTTACAGGCTCCATGAGGTCACAGAATGAGCAATTTAGACAAGAGCCGTTGTGGAGTCAAGCGCCATGGCCTAACCCAGTGGCCTGGTGTTGCGTGTCAAGGCCAATACAGTGTACCCATCATGTACATGTGCCGCAAATTGCAGAGGAGCACTCTATTCACGTCATCATTCCTGCGGTCATTCAGGGTACCATTATTATGAAAGAGGCGGTTCCAGAAACAAACAATAACGTGTGCGCCAGAGACACGGCGCCAGGAGGACGTGAACAATGTGCATTTATCCTCGAAGCACGGGAGAAGGCACCGCGAAGGCCCGACTTGCACAAGATCTGCGGGGACTCCCTGGAATGGAGTCTTGCGTTCGCGTCTTCTTCTGTCTGCCCTCGATATTAAAGGGCTGAGCCCGTCACTGCTCTTGAGACAAGCTAACGCAGGTGTGGCTGGCGAAAGCGCGACGCTGGGGCACGGGGTGGCTCCGGGTGGATCGCCCAGTGGCTCGCCTAAGTGGGAAAATTGTGGGGCTGCGAAACGGCCTCGGGCAGAGCAGCAGCAGCGAGCAGTGATTGAGGAAGGGGAAATAACGCTCAGAAACCCAAAAAACACTCGAAACAATGGCAAGAGGGGACCCAAACGCCCATTCCAGCGACACGACAGATACCCTTCAAAACAAGACATTTTGAGTGAAACAGCCTGTAGCGGAGTTGTACACGCCCTCATTCCTGGCCACACCAAGCAAGACAGCTGACGTTCCCTCACCCGTAAGAATACGTTGCGGCGGCCGTCCTGCAGGCAGGAAACGGACAGCACAAAACGGTTTCGTTAGGAGAAGGAAGAATAGCTGGGGGGCGAGAAAGCAAGAGGCATAGTACCGCAACTAATAGAGCAGAGAACAAACCTGATAAGCGCACAGATATAGGTGTTGTCTGCACTGTGTGCTGTGCCAATTTACCCCTGCCGTCTTACTCTACTCGTACTGCCCTTCGCTCGATCGGCCACGCCTCACACCACAGTCTGGCGATGTGCTGGTGATTTCTTTCGATATCTGTTGGAGTCATCATCCATCGCGCAATGTTGTTCTGATCCTTTCTGCCAGAAGAGGATGCTCGAGCCCGTGCAGAAAAACTACTCATTGGAAATTCTGCAATGTCAGCGTTCTCCAGGTTGCGAAATGCCGTGAAGATGCCGCTCATCGCAGGGGTCGGCGCAACGAGACCGATAGTTGCATCCGCCGTGATGGATTTGACAGGGTCACCAGCCTAGTGCTGTTAGTAGATTGGCATGTAGAGTAGGGACGTGGCTAACAGAAGGCTTGATACTCGAAACAGATCTTTCCTTCTTTCGGGGAAGGTCGATTAAAATGAAAATGCCCGTAGCGGCCACCGCGTGGTCTGGCTTGTGTTCCCGCCAATAACACCATGGATTCGTTTCTCGCTACTTGATGGCGACTTTGATCCTAGAGAAGTGATAATTGCACGGTTTTCGTGGTGCAAACTCGAGTCTTTTAGCATTTTTTGGTACTTCAATATAAGGAAATCTGTTAGTAAACCCTCCGGCTTTTAGAGCTGGTTTCCGACGAAGAAGGTCTCTCCGGACGTCTATTGAATAATGAGGTACTCGTCAGCACCCTCTCCAAGCCTTTCTTCAATTCTGAGGGAGACAATTTCAGTGCTTTGATGCCCGCGCAGGTTGTCTTTGAGGGTGAAATTACCCATAGGACCGTTCAAAGAGCAGCGAGTGGATACTACTTCCCAATCCATGTACTTGAAAGGTGTCTTTCACCCTGCCCGTATTCATCGCTGGTCCTGGTGCAGCGCCACCGGTTTTTACCCCTTTGGAGGGCAGCTCATCAAAATCCCTGTCATCTCCTCACCCTCCATCACGAGGCAAAGCGTGGACTCCGGACATTGAATGGGTGCCTTCTGCTTCCCCCTTGTCCGCATCTTGCACCGTAAAGGAAACGACCGTCAGGCCCAGCCTAGGCCGGACAGGTCAGGGTTCCCCCCCGAGGCGTCTTTTCCCCTTGTTTGTATGCATTCCCGCACCCAATCGTCGGCGCTGGGGCTTTCCACTTCTCCCGTTGGAACACATTGCAATCTCTCAGAGCGCTGTGCCCATTGTCCCATAATGTGCCTCACTGGGTCGTACTGTGCCGTAACCCAAGGACACAAGCGCTTGCGAGAGCAGGGCCATCTAATATTAACAGAAATTTCGCGGTTCCTTGCCGGTTGCTGCACGTTTGCCATGTGCCGTTGCCCTTCCGCGATACCTACCTACCACCGGGTAGGCGACTTGGCGGGCCTTGTCATGGACAATAATGAAACTTAAACGCTTGGGATATTGCTCAAGACGAAGCCCTTGTTTCTTCGAGGAGGTCCCGCGGCGCGATACGGTCCAGCGAAATGAAGGATACAGTGCTGGTCCCCTGGCTTCATTGTTTCTGCCGTAATTGCTGCGAGGTGCACCGTATTGCACAACAAAGGCAGTTTTAGTCTGACGGGACGGCGCCATCGCCTCCCTTCCATTCACTATTCAACGTGCAACGCTTATTTTCAGTAGTCCGAGGGCGCCCTGCGTCCAGGTGCTGCAGCAAGAGAACGAAAAGAAAACGCTAGAGGCGCTAGGCCTCTCAGGGAAGTCTAGGGATGTCAAGAGGTACTTAGCGCAGTGTGGCCAACGCACCGTACCGTAGCGTACCGTAAAAACGTAAAATAGAAATGCGTACCTGGCCTAAGGTCAGGTCAGGCAAGGTGCCGCTGCAAGCCTGCAAGGTGGTGGTAGGTAACGTTATTAGCATTAGCACCTGCCCAGAGCCCGCCCACTGTAGGAAAGTGGGCAGGAAGGAAGGAAGGTACCTACCCTGCCCCGGTCATTCCCCTCGCTCGCTCGCTCTTGGTGGTTCCTTCAGTACTGACCCTACCTTTCCTAGCAATACAGTACCGTACTGTGGAGAGCCCTTCTTAGTGGGTGTGTGTCTGTGTTTCCCTCGCTCCTTCCGTTTTCTCGACGCAGCCCTCTGTCCCGGTCCAATCCCACTACATCTCCCTCCTCCACCTTTCTTCGTCCTCTCCTCTCCCCTTTCCCCCTTCCCTCCGCCGGCCGTCCTCAACCTCAAAGCGACAATTCCTCATCCTTCGGCGACGTCGTCCTTTTCAACGCCCATCACGACACGTCGAGGCCACCGCCTTTGATCTTGCGTTGCCTTTCCTTTCCTTTTGCATTTCGTATCATTTCGATCTGGAAAAGGACCTCCGGAGGTCTCTCGCTGACGCCTGACGCTCGAACGCCCTGATCTCTTTTTCTGTCATGCCTTCGACGCGAACCACGAGAACGATCAACCCCGTCAAGGACGCATAGCCATTTCCTGTTCACGCATATCCCGACGAGTCTCTCGTCAAGTCACTCTTTTACCAACAATCAATCAACCACAAATATCCAGCTACTTGAACGCTTGAGTGTTCATTAACTGTGAGTTTCTGCCTCCCCAATTTACGCATGAATTTGCCGGGCGCGGCCGGTGGAGCAGTACAGTGGGCGTGGCCAGGTTGCTTCGCCGGTGTTCGAGTCGATCACTTGGAGATCCTTCATGCACATCACCTTCGGGAACCTGTCAATCGGCTGACTCCTGTCGTGTCTAGATTACGCTCGTTGACATATCATTGTCAAGTACATTCGTTATTACAACTACCCTGACAAGTGAGTATCTCGTCATCCTTGCTATCGCCTTCCGTGGCGCTGACTGTGGGAAAGAGAATACCTCCTCACCCGCAAACTTCTCATCTCGACCGACACTTGAAAATATCTGAACGGCCGATCCGAATGAGAATCTGATACAGCTGAGGGAATGCACAGCACGTCTCTGCTCGTCACAGCGCTGGTGGCGGCTGCATCGCTCGCCAGCGCTGACCCGGCGGCCAAGACAGCAACAAGGCCCAAGATCTACTTCCCGCGGCATGTCAAGAGACAATTTATCAATGCCACGATAACCAGCACAGAATCTTCGAGCTCAAGCACGCAGTTGAGCGAGACGAAGGCCGGCACGACCAAGAAGGACTTGAGCGATTTGTTCTCGGATTTATTCCCAAGACCAAGCGGCACGAGCTCCTCATCGTCCACTGCTGATTCAGACCCCAACGTGACGACCATCGTTCGGCACAGCACGATTTATGTCACTCCGACTGAAGCGGCATCTTCTGATGCGTCCGAGGCGACGAGTTCGAGCACCGCTGATTCGACGTCGTCGCCCGATTCGACCTCAGATGGTAGCGCCTCTACATCTGGGCTGCCCCCAATTATCATCTTGCCAACCCCCAGCAGCTCCGCGTCCGAGTCTGACACGACTACTTCGATTGCATCCTCAACTGCGTCTTCCGACGAAACGAATTCCACAGCGACGAGCGACTCGGTTTCGTCCGATGTGCCCACATCAACGGTTGCGGCTACCACGTCTGGGATTCTCCTTGCTCCAACTGGCGTAGTCACGCCCACATCGTCTTCTGCTGGAATCCTCGACCCACTGAGCACTCTAATCAGTGGTATATTCTCCGATGTCTCTACCATCCTCGACCCATCGCCGACGAACGCTACGGATCCTGCTACTACCACCGCACCTATTTCTGAGACCTTCACACTTCCAGGCACTGGAGTGACCCCGACCACGACACCCGATCCGACGTCTTCTGACCCATGGATCAGCTTGACATTGAGCACCGGAGGAACGGCGCCACCACCCACTTCTACTCTGGAGCCACCACCACCACCGGTGTCGAGCAACACAACCACTCCTTCGGATCCGACCCCGACCCCGATTCCGACTGGCGAGCCCACCAACAATGGTACAGTAACGGAGCTACCACCGACTGTGACCTCTGAGCCTCCGGTTGGTCCAACAGTTACTCCGAACAATACCTTGACAGATGAGCCTGTGCCTCAGACCTCTACGTCATCTTTGCCTACAGTCATACCAATTCCTGTTAACAGTACCGATATTCCTACTGTAGTTCCAACACCAGCACCTACGACTGTTAGTGCCTCCGCCACAACAGCATCTGGTCTTACCAGCCTTCCTGCGATCTCGACGATCACGAACTCTGATCCCTGGCTTGCGCCCACCATCATTGTTCAACCTTCGACTAGCACTCTCAGTGGAGGTGGCCTCGCTCCAACTACGACAGGCGGACTTCCAACCGGTATTCCGAGGGCAATCACTCCAAACTCTGGTCTAGACCCTATTCCGGACGGTAGCGTTGAGATCCAGATCGGTTTCAAATATGGCCTGAACTACCAATTCGTTGCGGAAAACCCGAAGGCAGCGGCTCAGGTCCTTTGGAGTGTGCCCGAATTGTTGTCGCATGCGGGTAGCTTTGACAAGAGCAAAGCGCAGATGAGAAGGCTCATTCCTCTGGACACATCAGCGAACTATGGCTTTGTTACCACACTTGCCATTGCTACCTATCCCAAGACTCTGGTGGACCAGCTTCGTCTTGATATCCATGCTCCGAACTCTCGGGTCTACAATAACCCTAATCAACTTGTCTACAACGTTAGCGAGTTGATTAACCCTGCTATTGACATCATTGTCGGCTCTGGTGTTGATGGTGGCGCAACAGGCACTGGGGGCGGCTCTTCATCAACTTCAACATCAAATCCTAATGGTGATGTCTTCAATGACAATGGCTCAGACCAGTCCTCGGGTAAGCGGGGTGAAACCGTGGGTATTGCTATGGGCGCCATTGTTATTTCTGTCGCTTATGGAACTGCCATGTTCATTGTCGCCCGCCGGTACAAGAGAAAGAAGCAAGGACATCGTCGCGCCAGCTCCATCAGCACCCCTGCTACTTCTATGCGGCAAACACCCAGTCCTGTGATGGGCGGTGCTTTGTTAAGCAGAGACTTCTCATCATATGGCGGTGTTGCTGGTGGGCGGGACTCTCACGGCAGCGGCAGGAGTAACATGAATAACTCTGGCCGCACTGCCTTCATCTCGGCACCAGTTGCTGCGGAGAACTCGCTGGGCTGGAATTGATGATATAACATGCCATATTTCGCATCTCACGTTCGCATTTTGCACTTCGATACCCATCTGGGAGGCCGCCTTTACATTGCTTGAAAGCATGGCATCTTCTTGGTCGTAACATTTTTTGGCCCGATAGAGGAAAAGCTGCGTCTCGAGGTTTTACCTCGTCATCCCTTATTTCCTACTATGTCACCTACACTTCTTACGGTGAAAATCCTTGCGGATAGCATCGTGTCATATTTACAAGCCTTTTCGTCCACGAGGTCTTGGCCCACCTTTTGCGGCCTCGATCTGACATCAAGGTATTTATTTAATGTTATTTGTGGTTATAGATGGTTGGAGTAGCACGGAAGGACTGCAGGCTGCGGATGGAGGGGGAGAAGAAGGCTTCGCTAGCTGTCTGTTTGAATCAGTGCAGCCTGCGCCGCCGGTGACTGTACATTTGTATATTACAACAGTTGATCAAAGGTCCTCACATGGACTCTGCATCCCCAGGATATTTGGGCCATTGTGGGCCTGGCTTCACCTTATCCTGTTGTTCTATAAAAACAAAAACATTTTTGACAATGGAAACGCCATCAAATTATCTTAAATAAACATGCTGTTCTGCTGTCAATTGTTCATAGGAATATGTGGTGCATCAGTGCATGGGGTTAAATTGAGCTATTGACCACTAAGGTCAGCCCGAATCGATGATCAATTTCGGGACCCTGTTCCGGCATCATCGTTCGGTTATCCCCATGAGCGAACGTACTAAGGAGCAAGGATTTGTTGACCGTCGAAGCCCCCTTGGCTGAATTGCGTCTCAACAACAATCATGTTATAAATGTAGACCCTTCTTAGGTCTCATCTCTTTGATTTTGACCATTGTTTGAGCCGGAGCCATGCCAAAGGTCGACATCCAGTCTCCTCTCGCAATGAGCTCGCACCATCCACCCCGCCCAACACCATCGTCCTCCGATACGAGCGCGCGCCTGACTCCGAACAGCGACGATAGCGACTCCAATGATGACCACGAGATCTTTGTAGAGGACGGAGCCGGACCGCTAAGCCGCGGCCGCGGCGGTAGCAGCGACAATGGCTACGAGATGACGGAGATGGATTGGGATGGCGAGAAGCGACACCAGCGCCGGGACGGCAGATTAGACAAGGCGACAGAGGATGAGGGCTTCCGGGCTCGGCAACAAAGAAAGAGTGGCCCGCGGAAGGATTACTACACGACGGAGGAGGAGCAGGCCGTTGTCAGGAAGTTCGACCGCAGATTGGTCGTCTTCGTGGCGCTCCTATACATGCTGAGCTTCCTGGACCGCTCGAGTGCGCACCCTCTGCTCGGCCCAGAGCATATGCTCAGCGAAATACTTGTTGGCTAATCTTCAGCCTTGCAGACATTGGAAATGCTCGGATCGCCGGTATGGACGACGACTTGCAGTCTATCCCCCGACGGGAGGAGTGGTATGAGTGGGCTTTGACGGCTTTCTACATATCGTACATTGTGTTTGAGTGGATGTCGCTACTGTGGAAGCTCATTCCAGCGCACATCTATGTGTCAATGCTAGTTCTCTCCTGGGGCGTTGTCGCTTCGTTACAGGCAGTGACTGTAAACTACCCGATGCTGATATTCCTACGAACGCTGTTGGGCATCGGGGAGGCTGGCTTCACGGGCATACCATTCTACCTATCATTTTTCTTCAAGCGGCATGAGCTGGCGTTTCGGACTGCCATCTTCATATCAGGTAAGCATGGCCCGTCCATGCAGCCATTGGGAATATGGAAGAACGGCTGACGTTAACCATCATCAGCTGCGCCACTAGCCACGTCGTTCGCATCTTCGCTAGCTTGGCTAATCATCAAGGTCGGGGAGGCAGGCCCCATCGCTCCATGGAGGCTGCTGTTCCTAATTGAAGGATTTCCCTCTGTGCTGATCGCAGTCATTGCCTGGAACGTCATCCCTGATACGCCGCAGACTGCATCCTATCTGACACAACGTGAGAAGAAAGTCGCGAGGCTCCGGCTGGGTAATGAGAGACCGAGACGGAAAGGCGGGGAGAAAGGCTCAGGAGCCTCAGCAGACCGTCTGAAGACGCGGGACGTGCTCGCCGTTTTTCGGGACCCCGTCGCGTGGATCACAGCATCCATGTTCTTCCTGACGAATATGGCGTATAGCTCGCTGCCAGTATTCCTGCCTACGATCCTGAAAGAGATGGGCCACGACGTGCTCACGGCTCAGGCCCTTGCGGCGCCGCCGTATCTAGCAGCCTTCGTTATCGTGCTGGCGACCGCACACCTGTCTGATATGCTGCGTGCCCGCACGCCGCTGATCGTCTTCCATGCGCTTGCATCTGCCGGTGGCTACGGCGTCCTGGCGCTGAGTCGGTCGCTCGGTCTCGAGGCAGGCAGTATGATTCGGTATTTGGCCGTGTACCCGGCAGCCATTGGTTTCTTCAACGTCGTAGTCCTCACCATCGCGTGGAGCATCAATAACCAGGAGGGCGCGAGCCGGCAAGGCGGCGGCTTCGCGTTGCTTCAGGTCGTTGGCCAGTGTGGACCGCTCGTAGGCACGCATCTGTATCCGGACCGCGATCGGCCGTTCTATGAGAGCGGGATGCGTGCGTGTGCGGTTGCCATGCTAATCGTGGCATGTCTAGCACTCGTGCTGAGGTTCTACCTGGTACGGTCGAACCGGAAGCTCGACGCTGCTGTGGAGGTAGATGGCGAGGAACGCGCTGAGCAGGAAGGACTTGTCGCTGGATCTGGAACAGCGCCAAGACATACGGGCGAGAGTTTCAGGTTCATGTTATAGCATAGCTGGACATCTATAAGCAAACGAATAAAAGGCGGCAAATGCTTTTGATTTTAGGGTTTGTAAGGTCTATGGTTGACGTGAGTAGCTACAACATCCCATAATAGCCTCCCTTCGTCCGGCTGCAGGTACTACGAGATCCAAGCTCCGAATTCAGTCTGTGACAGATTCTTTAGGAAAGAAACCATTTTGAGCACTTGGCGCTTGATTGTGGCCTTGACGTGACGGCGAATAGCCCCTTGGGGTAACTCCTACTCGACCGCTTCAGGGGTCGCAGTGTGCCCAGAGAGCACCTCACAACCTCCTCCCTGAGCTGCAATGCCCGCACGTACGCGAGATCGTAGTGTGGACCAATTCAGACTCTGCGTTTCGCGCAGGATATCATAGTCGGAGGTATGTGTCCACGTGCGGCTCCGAATGTGTTCTTGAGCCACGTCCCAGGGGTAAGGACTGGCTCGAGGCGCATTGAAGGACTCATCATTCTCGTTGGCGGAATCCTCTACCGCATGGTCTGCCCAACCAATGTGCTGTGGCAACCCAGTATCGTCCATCGTCCAGAGATCTGCGAGGCGTGAAGGCGGAGTCAGGAAAGGGTGTTGTAGTGTCCCGTCATGGCCACGTTCTGTTGTAGGACTGGTTCCTGGTGCTTTTGGATTCTGCGACGTCTGCCTATTCGTGCTCTCGGTGAGGTGTCGTTCAAGGTTGTCGGCTATGTTCAAGGGTTGCTGCCTAGGCAACTTGTTATCGGCATCAGAGTGGCACGGCGGCGGTGAGGTTGGCGGCGGCGAAGACGCATCGATCACGACCAGGTCTTGCTGACGACAAGATCTTCTCTTAACGGAGTGATGAACATTCTCGTCGCCTGGGTCGTATTTGGATGCTCGCAGAAAGCCGTCCGTATTGTCCCAGGTATGCTTGCCATGATGTGGTTGCCCTGGTTCGCTTCTGTGCTATAGGCGGGCGAAGGCGGGCGGGACACTAAGAACACGTCTTCCATTGATGTCTTCTATCGATGGCCGCGATGCAGCAAGGGCTGAATCTGGCCGGAGAACTGCTAGATTGATCAAGCTGTCGGCGGATAGCTGGCCGAGAGACATGCTGTCGGCTGTGCTTAGGTTAAGTATATAGTATGTAGTCCTATACCGTATATATCTCGTTGTGTCCGATCCTTGAATATTCGTCAAGTAATACAACCCATGGAAGATACTATCGCTGTGGTCAGAGCTCTAGAACAGCAAGAGGTTGTTCTTGCCATTTCCAAGATCCCGGCGGGCGGCGGCAGTCTTGTAGCAACTGTGGTCGTTGACTCCTTCCCGAAGCTCTTCACTTTCGTATCTTAGCAGTGACAGAACACACGTTACTCCAGAAACATGGTGACATGGAAGGCACGATGATTGCAAACAGCCGTGTAAAGATACCTATGCACTCTAGAACGCCATAATGGTAGTTCTTATATCTATTTGTAAATGCGGACATTCATGCATTACCTATTCTCTAGCTCAACACCTTCGTCCTCTGCCAGCTCTTCAGTGCCGTCCAAGATCGGGTCAGTCCGATTCGGCCCATCTCGGCCATCAAAAGAGTCACGAAGTCGTATTCGACCCCCGGACACGCTGTGCACCTTGTCTGATACCCAGCCAGCAGCCCGTGCCATGAAACCCCACAACCTCTCTTGTGTCTCCAGGAGGTGGCGTTCATCACGCGGATTCTCTGCTGCCTCAGCCTTGAACTGATATTTCAAGCAGTCCTTGACTGTGACCAGTCCAGTGAGCTCCCCATGATATTCAATTAGGATAACGCGGGGGCCGATCTTGCGGAATAGCTCCATCACAGTCTCTAGCGGTAGACGCGGGTGTACGGTGACCGGAGTATTGTCGACATAGCGACTAAAGTCTATAGTAGTAGATGACATCGGATCAACATTGACGCTGACCATAGGTGTCATTGGTGTCTGCGCATTCTGAGATGAGGCAGAGAATATACACTGCGCTAGAGGGCTCAACGACCTCTCTCGCTTGACCCGATCAACAGCATATCGTAACTCCGTACGGCCAATGTAGCCCAGCAGAATCTTATTGTGCTCGTTTTCGACAATGGGAAATCCTTGATATTTGTCATTTGACAGCAGCTGTTCCACGGTCTTAAGCGTGAGGCCCTTAGCAGGAATAGATTCAACATCGGTAGTCATAGCTGTTGAGACAGGGACACCAAAATTGTGCTCTTCCTTGTTGTCCAAAAATGGGAAACCACTGAACCAGATCATGCGGTCAGCGATACCTCCTTTTCCAAACATCTCGCTGACCACCTTTGTGGCACCAACGACTACCATTGTTGGTAGAATGTATGTCAAGGCGCCAGTGATCTCGAACATGATGACAACAACCGAGACATAGATATGCATGATGCCACTGAGCGCTGCAGCAGCACCGAGGAAGGCATATGTGCCTGGAGTGATGCAAGGAACATCAGGCTCGCAGGCGGCGAAGAAAGCGCTCTGCGGATAAGCATCATGTATAGCCTGTACAATGGTGCCCACCATTCGTCCGAAGGCTGCTCCAATAGCCATGGATGGAACGAAGATACCAGCTGGTACCTTGCAACCATATGAGATAATGACTAGGAATATTCTGAGGAAAGTCGCTATGAAGAGAGACACGATATTCCAAAATCGGTGCTGTGCTTCACAGAGACCATGATAATCTTCTGCTCCCTCACACTCAAGGAACAGAATTTCCATGCTCTCAGTCATGTCGATCCTGAGGAACGCATTTGGGTAGCATACGACAGCCGTTGCCGTAGCTAGGAGAGTGGCTTCCAGGACCGGATATTTTGATAGGTACTTCTTCCGGAACGCTTGATACCTGAGGTTCCATTTGATGACAAAGGCGCCATAGAGACCTCCGAAAACACCTAGGATGAGGTAAAAGACAGTCTCGAAGAAGTGCCATGACCGATCATATGAGACCTGAAACATGACCAACTGTCCGGTCCTGAAAGGGTTCATGGCAGATAATACGGCTGTTGCGACTAAGGCACAGAAATAGCTCCGCCACATTGTCTTCAAGGGGAAGTAATTCGACATTTCCTCGAGCGAAAACAAGACACCACCGATAGGGCTACCGAAGGCGACTGCGACACCAGCAGCAGCACAGGCGCTCAATATCTCCCGCGTCTTGGAAGCATTGCGCTTATATTTGTCAAACAACCTCGAAATGACATTCCCGGTGCAGACGGCATAATGAACGCTCGGCCCCTCTTTTCCAACAGATAGACCTGACGCGATAGCAAGTGGTAGCGCAACAGACTTGATAATAAGAGTCCAAAACCCGAGGAATCCTTTCATGACAAATCCCGCGATGATGCATTTGATTTCGGATATACCAGACCCAGCGGCATACGGAGCGAAACACTTGACAAGCGTGGCTGATGTGAATGCGAAGATTGTAGCAAATATGATGTAGAGTAGGTAGTTCACGGGCTCGAGACCGGTCCAGCGGTGCCAGTCCTTGCAGCCATTATCTTCTCCCCAGCAGCAGAAGCTCTCGTTGAGGTAGAAAGCGGTTGTGCAGTAACCGAGCTTGATGTCTGAAAGCCACTCTGTTATTATGTTCAGAAAAGCGGCGTTGAGACCAATAGCAGCACCGATGATGGTGACAACTATCCAGCCTTGAGCAGCCTCATATGCCTCCCAGACTCTGTATCTCCAGCCGACCTGGCCATTGTCTCTAAGTCCAGCATTCCTCTTACGACGCGCCTTGCGCCGCAGGTTCTCCCGAGCAGCATCTTGCACCCAGTCTATTGTGGTAAAGTCCTCGTATCTCTTAATCTCTGCGATCTCCTCCTCAATCTGCTGCTCCGCAGCGACAGCCGGCGCATCCTGCGCCTCGCCCCGCTCGGCATTGGATACGGCGAAGGAGAATCTCGAGGATACTGAAGGTCGGCGGCGTGCTTGCGTTGTAGTTATAGTTGAGCTAGATGACGTTCGACGATTCATGGCGCTGGCCTTGCGACCATGATACCCCGTCCGTGGTTCGTCGCAGTTACTTGTAATCGCATTCGCTACAGTGCGCTGTAGGAGCTTCGCGTGGTCGACCTCGCTAGATGCTTATCGAGACCTTGAGAGGGTTCAAATTGACGTCGACTGTCTCAAAGTATTGTTTGGTGGTGCTCACGAAGGGAGGTTTGAGTAATGGATTGGTATGAATAAGGTAGCCAGTCGGCTTATGACGGAAGCATTGATGTCGTCAAAGGTGTAGGATTAAGCTCTGGAGGCGGCTGTCTTACAGGTGGTCAGGGGGCCGCTCCTAAGGTAGACTGGGTGGAGCGGGCTTTGCAATGTCCCCCACCAATCACTGCTCCAGTCGCGCCTACTCACGCCGAGCGCGTCGCCCATTAAAACTCGAAGGACGATATCTCGGTCTAGTCATCGACTTCCTGAAGACACCGAACATCACCAGAGACGTGCGACGTGGGAACAACCCACAAATCAATCTATTGTTTCCTTACTTGAGACCACCTTGATTCATTGCAAGGCATTCAGTGAGGTCCGATCAAGCGCTAAGCCCAAGGGTATCACGTCTTAAGCTGAGCTACCACTTCACGGTTGTCCCTAGTCGTTACTTGGGAGTTCGAAGCCCGACGTCTACTATCTCAATCGAAAGGTGTAGATAAAGCTTGGTAACCAAATCTGGGTTGGCATATCTGTTTGGCCATATCGCGATGCCTTATAACACCACCGCTATACCTCCTCGAAGGGAGGTCACGGGTCAGACCCAGTTACCTTGTAAGCGTCGATATGTTGGTTTCCTTCACGGTGCGGCATTTACTGATACTGGCTTAGTGTCAAGAGTGAAGAAGATCATTGCAGTCGATCCCGATGTCAACATCTGTTCTAACAATGCAGCCTTTGCCATTACTTTGGCTACGGTCAGTCACCCACTCATAGTCAAGTCTGTGGCTTTCACATACCCGCTCATACTCATGTGACAGGAACTATTTCTTCAATATCTTGCCGAGCAAGGACAGAACATGGCGAAGCTAGAGCGGAAGCCTCGACGGAACATCCAATACAAGGATCTCGGTGAGTATTGAACTTGTCTGACCACCTATATGACATAATCTTCCAAATGATATTAATACATTGCAGCGAATGCCGTTCACGCCCAGGACAACCTGGAATTCCTCGAGGATGTCATTCCCAAGACGGCACCATACAAGGCAATCAAGGCCCAGGCTGCCGCCGCACGAGCGCAGCTGAATGGCGAGAAACAGGCAGAGAACGGCCAGCTTCCCAATGGCAAGAAGCAGAAGTCAATTGTCAACGGAAACGGCAACCTCAACGGTTTCGCTCCAAGAGTGCTTTCTGAGGAGGACCCTAATGCTCAACTCGAGCTGGAAATGAGGCAAGCCGCCCAGGCTCATGACGGGGATGTCAGCATGACTGGATGAATGACATGACGAAATTATGGGACTACGGGCTGTCTACTGCGGCTACGGCTGCGGTCATTACCAAGACGACATGCTCATCGTAGCATTTGTTTATAGCTACGGCGTTAGGATACGTTCTAGTCTGCGTATATGGTCTTGCATTTCAGCCTCAAACGTTCACCTACAATGGTCGCACGAGGCTCTCGAAGAAACCCCAACAGGAGAGCATCCCTGTGAATAGGCTTGCAGATCCTGCAGAGCACGAGACAAGGCTCGGAGTTTGGCTTCGCAACCAATACAATATGATTGGCCCCAGATCCCCTTCCCCTCGCTTTGGTTACTTTCAATGTGATGAGTTTGCTTGCATGCATTTCGGCTAGAAAAGATTATTTAGTCAACTGACTTCCCAACGATTTATATACCATCGTGCTTGAAAGTGCAACAACAGATGCTGGGGACACTATAGTATTCACATATCCTCCCGCTCGCGACGGTGACGATCTAGACCACTCTCAACCTCTTCTTATCTTCGAGCTGAGGCACCAATAAGATACGAGATTCTATACCGAAGCTTCCTGCTGACGAATTTTTGACCAGATGGCGAAGCCCACCTTGAGTCACAATGTCGATGTGTGCGGCTCACTTTTGGGGCTCTGCTCTGTTGCAGCGTGGGGTTAGAGTTATGGTGGGGTTCGTGAGCAGTTCTTGACCCCATATTGTGGCTGGAGTGGTGGATGACGCAGCTTCTCTTCTACCTAGGTTTGTCTCACTTCCAGACCAGGTTGCCTCCCTAAGCAAACAAAAGCTGAACATACATATTAGGAAGCGGAAGCTATTGGCAACCCGTTTGATTAAACGTCAATCGCTTCCAAGCAGACCAACAAGATGCTGCTCTTGTTTATCAACTGAGGCATAATTGCAGCCTTGCACGATAAATGGGTGGCGTCTGCAACTAGTCTAATCCATATGGTCGAGATCTGGACGCAGACCCTCCTACCATGAAAAGTAAGATGACCTGCATATTAGTTTCAACCCGGACACCTTCTCATACGACAGCCTTATCCTATGGGTACGTATAGCCTTCTTTGAAAAAAAGTTCCAGCGTTTCTAGAAGTATCTGAAGAGCCGCAAAACTCATTGGGGGATTGAGGAAACGGCTGCTTGCTTTTGATGCAGCCATTGTTTCGACAACAAAGCTTGCCAGCAAACAGCTGTACATGCATGCTTTCAACTCTCTGCCCTATTATAGACAGCCAGGTTGAATGTGCTGCTTTTCTTGCGTACGTGTTAACGCTCACGGCTACTTATTTCATCAAAGCTACTGTGTTTGTCATAACTAGTTTGCGAGAGGGGGTAGCTGGGCGGCAGGTGCTCGGCTTCCCACGTATTTCAGCAATTGTTCGAAAACAGCAGTTTGTCTTCAATATAGGTATTCAGTCATATTTGACTATAAAGTCTGTCGCCTGCCACCCCAGTCATGCATTAGAGGATGGCTCTGCTAGAGCTTGACTCACTCTGCACTACGCACTAGGCTGCTAGAGGTGTGTGGATTGCGTAGGCAGATATTCGTCGTAAACGAGTTCGCCACTGTAGTTCCCCGGAGGCCTGAGGACTTAGATATTATCATTGTCAAACACAACTAGTCTGCCTGCTTTTTGCATATTGACAATATTTTTATTATTTTTGACTCTTTGCTGTAGTTCCACAATTGTTCCACTGGACTTGTGGCATTTTATTCTTCTACGTCAGAACCTCTACAAAAGTGTACCTTGAGCTTACCGCTTAAACATACTCAACTTCAACGCTCATAAGCATCGAGATGGACTTCAAATCCATTATTGGAGGATCTCTACCCTCATTTGGATCCAACGCGACTCTGGCGGGGAACGTTAGTGGAAAGCATCTGCCTGACGGCATAATGGAGTCACTCATTCCACTGCTTGGAGCGCGAAATCCTGTTGTGCAGGTGTTTATGGTCTTATACAAGCTGATCGGGAGCCGAACGGCTTTTGACCCTACAATAATATTGACTCTTCTGGGCTTCATCTGGGCGGGGAACAAACTCTGGAGACAAGTCTACCATGGCTTGTATGGGCTGGTTTCCGAGTATCTTATGGCAAACGTCCATATCAGCAGTGGTGACGACATTTATCTGCACATGATGAAGTGGATGGCTGCGCAGCCAAAGATGGTCAACTCGCGCTCGCTGACGGCGAAAACCCTTTCAAAAACGGCATGGGAAGATGAAGACGTCTCTGACGTGCTGACAACTCGCATCTCTGCGGATGGCTCAGGGGTCTGGCTGAATTTCTCGAACCAAGAAGCGAAAGCTGTAGGTCTATGTCGTTTGTTTTTTCAGGAAGCTTTACACTGACACACTATAGCCCCCGCGTTTCGTGCCTGCGTTGGGTATCCATAGCTTCTGGCATGAGAGAACCTACTTCAGGTTACACAGAAAACAAGAGTCTTTCCTCGAGGATGGCGCGAATGGCTTGCAGACATTCAAGGACAAGGAGGACCTTGTTATCTCATGCTTCGGCCGGTCCCCTGGTAAGTGAATCCACCTTGCCAAACGTCAATTCCTGCAACTTATATATAATAGATCCTATCAAGAAACTTGTTCAGCACGCAAAGGAAGCATATTTCAATGATCATTACGCCAGGACCATTGTCAAGCGACCGAGCCCACAAGGTATGCGTCGGTATGGTGGTCGCCACACTTGGCTGCAAGTCGCAAACCGCCCGGTACGTCCCATGAAGACAGTAGTCCTCGATGCGAAGCAGAAGATCCAAGTTCTAGCCGATATCAACGAGTATCTCCATCCGGCAACCCCTCGCTGGTACGCAAACCGAGGCATTCCCCTACGCCGTGGATATCTTTTCCACGGCCCGCCCGGGACAGGAAAGACTTCACTGTCTTTCGCCCTTGCTGGAGTCTTTGGCCTCGACATCTACGTCATCAGTCTTTTGGAGCCTACTTTGACAGAAGAGGATCTGTCAGCATTATTCAACTCCCTGCCTCGACGATGCGTTGTGCTCCTTGAAGACATTGACACAGCGGGTCTAAGCCGTGGTCCCGATGGTGGGCCAGATGCTGTGGATGGAAAGGCAGACGGTGGTGCACGTAATGACTGGAAGGTTTCTGATCTGGCTCGAGAGCTGAGAAAGCAGGGCAACGACGCCAGCGACAAGAAGGGAATTTCCCTATCGGGCCTGCTTAATGCTATTGATGGTGTCGCTAGTCATGAAGGCCGCGTTTTGATCATGACCACCAACAAACCCGAAACCTTAGATGAGGCACTGATCCGCCCTGGACGGGTAGACCTGCAGGTCGGATTCACCAACGCCACACAGGAACAGGCTCGAGAATTGTTCGAACGAATGTATGAAGCCGAGTCGCACCGGAGGGCGCATACAAAGGAGTCTCAGACAAATGGCTTCGCAAAGGGAACTGAGCAGACGAATGGTAACGCCAACCAGTACAAAGACGAGAAAAGAGACGGCGAATCCGAGTCTGAAGTGGAAACCGAAACAATGGCCGAGGCACTCGCCGATGAGACTCTGAATCTGGCACCTGGAGAACTGAAGGAGATTGCGAAGGAGTTCGCAGAGAAGATCCCAGACAAACAATTCTCGCCTGCTGAGATCCAGGGTTTCCTGCTAAAGCGCAAGAAGAACCCACGAGGAGCAGTTGAAGAGGCTGATAGCTGGGTTGAGGCGATGGTGCAGCTGAAGGCCAGCAGGACAAAGGTCTTGCAGGTACAATAAGCTTATACGTTCCATGAACTAGGTTCATACATGAGCGTGTTCTTTATTTTAATTACACAAAAGTCTTGCTTGGTTGGTTCTGTGTTAAGGCTGTCATCGAGGCTATTTGGGATGGAGAAACATACGAGAAGGCGAGGCCCAGGGGTTAAGAGAACATGGCTGCATGATCATACAAAAGTGGAAAACATATTCAAGATTGGAAATGAACAGGTATCAGTTACTTCGTAATACCAGCATGAAACAGGATTTACAATGAGTTCACAACAGAAATGTTGGTGCCTTTATTCTAACAGCCTTGTGACAAAGCTATTTGACTCTCTATAAGCATGTTACAGGCTTGAAATTATACCATTTGACAAGCGATCATCTATCAACCGTATGGAAACTGGAGGATTCAACAAAGAAAGCGAGTATATCAAAAAGTTTCTTGGTAATTGCCATGCGTTCTGTCATTATTGTCTTTTGAACATATGTAAGGGTTAGGGTTAGGGTTATGCCGCCTGGACAAGGACCCAAAGAAAGCCACCATGTATTTAGCTTCAGCGCCAGTTCCAGTGGGGTGGGATTACCCCACTGCCCAGCGCTAGCTTCCCCACCTGTAGCTTAAGAGCTTGCAGGAGCTTCAAAGCTTTAACAAAGAAATTTCAGTGATCAGCATGTGCAGCTCAAAATTTTGAATGCTGCTACTTCTGCGTTTGTTTTCTTACCATCAACATCGTACCAACCCTTCCTCAATTCAGTCCATAAGGCCAATTCAGCTTCTGCAATCATGACTGCTCCTCTGGAAGATACCCCTGTCACCTACGAGGACCTGAATGACCTCAATGCTGAATTCGATGAGGTCGATACTGAACTGCGTAAGCAAGTCCGCGCATGCTTTTGCACAACCCTCCAAGCTCACAGCACTGACACAAATCATAGTGCGACAAGAAGTTCAGCTAAAGAACGCTCTATATGAGAAGCGACAGAAGGTTGTGTCCCAGATCCCCAACTTCTGGCCCCTCGTTCTCGAGCAAGCTCCGCCAGATATCGACGAGTACATCCAGCCATCGGACTCGGCCCTGCTCCTCTCTTCACTGACCGCGCTCTCCGTGTCTCATTTTGAGGTTGAGAATGGCGGCAAGGGCGACCCTAGGAGCTTGTCAATCAAGTTTGAATTCAACGAGAACGAGTACTTTGAGGACCGTGTCCTTGAGAAGAAGTTCTGGTACAGGAGATCTAGCGACGGCTGGACTGGACTGGTTAGCGAGCCTGTCGATATCAAGTGGAAGAAGGGAAAGGACCTGACTAGCGGCCTGTTGGGTATGGTGAAGAAGGTGTGGGAGGCAGAGCAGAGCAAAGCCAAAGAGGGCAACGGAGCTTCCAAGAAGGCCAAGATCTTGACAGGGGACCAAAAAGCTCTCAAGAAGAATATGGAAAACACCGGACTCGGTGGGCTGAGCTTCTTCACATGGTTCGGCTACATTGGCAAGTACATCACGGCAGAGGAGAGCAAATTGGCGAACGAGAAGGCCAGGAAATTGCGGGAGGCGAGACAGGCCGGCAAGGCCGAAGAGAATGGAGAGGAGGAGGACGATGACGATGAGGATGATGATGATGATGAACTCGAGCTCTTCCCGGAGGGCGAGAACCTGGCCGTTGCTATTGCCGAGGACCTCTGGCCTGGTGCTATCAAGTACTTCAGTAAGTTCGCGTCTCACGTCGATTGTCGTACATGTTTTTAACAACTTCTAGTCCAAGCGCAGGAGCAAGACGGCATTAGCGATGTCGACTTTGAATCCGACGAAGAGGAGATGGAAGAGTTTGATGACGACGAAGAACCTCCTTCTAAGAAGCGCAAAGCTTGAATGTCAGATCCCCATCGATGTACGATTTGCTTGTAATACTTTTACGGACGAGCTGCTGACAAGGAGGCAGTATGGAGGAATTCATTAGATACCTTAGACCCATTTGCCAACTAGTGGTATGATGACTGGCTTCACGCCAATAAAACTGCAATTGAAGTATCAGTGGACACCGGTGCATTCTTACCATGACCTTCCGGTATCACAATAATGGAGAATGTCGATTCATTGAGAGTTTCTGCTAATGTTATGACGCTACGTGCCCGACGGGTTATGATCTACGAGAAACGATTTACCATTTGCAGAAGCCCGTTTCTAATCCACCCTAGATGTTAACTTACAGCCTTCACATCCTTGTGTGATCAAGAATCAGGCTCGTTGTATAACTCAAGAAAGCATGGCAAATCCCTTGTAAAGTTTATATCAATTAACGTTAGCCTCCGGTATCACAATGCGCAGCATAGATAACGTTAGCCCGGCAGCCGGGGTGGCTGAATCAGGGGTCGCGTTAGTCAACTGCCCTGCAGCCATCCAAAACACCGTGCTCAGATCTGTTAATAGCCCCCACATCAACAAGTTCTGAATCATACCTGACCCTTGGTATGAAAATCGTGCTGTCGAGATTCGGAATCCGGGCTCTTCATAGCCAAGATTGCTAAGGCGTCTTCCCCATCTTTTCCGCATTGATGGCCAGAACGCGAGCAAACCGCTCGCAGCTCTGCAGGGGCCAACGGGGTTCTTTGAGACGAGGTGGCTCAAGATCGAACTGTTCGTGTTTCACCTCTCCACATCCATCCCTGAGCACAGCCGCACCCAACACGAGTGCGCACCGAGCACTTGGTGTGAGTGGGCAATGCTCAAGAAAATTGAAGGGTCCGACCAGTGTCGGCCCAGCTTGAGACTGCACCGGCAAGTGTTGGCAGCATTTGTCGAGATCGGTTGTCGATTCCGTTTCCTCTTTCCTTTCCTTCTTCCTCAGGGCCTCTTTTGCACCGTGAAGCCTTCGCTGCCTTTCTTTTCTGACGGTCTGGACGACTTGAGCCTGTGGCTTCTATTCTTTCATTCAATTCTACAATTTCGTTTCTTTGCTCCGGGTCGAGTAGCCTTTTATGTCCGATCGAGTGTCCTGGAGACTGTAGTTCTTTTGGTACATTCTGTATACGGACGGCAGTGCCCCATTTTCTTGGTGATATCTTCGCTCTCGACTCTTCGATTTCATTCGCAGACCAACGGGATATCACTTTCGTCGATCGAGATTCCCTTGCTTTTGATGTGCATGCTGTGAACCACCTGGACAAGGCCTCATTGTGCACCAATCCGGTTCGACGACTTCCACAGCCTCAGCAAGATGAAGGGCTTCTTCCGTGCAACGGGTGCAATTGCACTCCTCTCCCAGACAGCTCAAGCTTTGCAGCTCACTATAGGCGATGATGGTCTGCCACCCTTCCAATGCTGTTTGAAGTCACACTGACGGTTGTAGCATCCATAAAATCTGCCGCGAGTGAGGTTGCGTTTGGGTTGATGAAGTATTATACTGGAAACAACACAGGAGATGTGCCCGGAAACTTGCCTGATCCGTATTTTTGGTGGGAAGCGGGAGCCATGTTTGGAACACTGGTCGACTACTGGTTTCTGACGGGAGATACAACATATAACGATGTCGTGATGCAGGCCATGCTGCACCAAGTGGGGGACGACAAGGACTTCATGCCGGCCAACCAGACCCGTACAGAGGGAAACGATGACCAGGGGTTCTGGGCCATGGCGGCAATGTCTGCAGCAGAGAACAAGTTCCCCGACCCTCCAGAGGACCAGCCGCAATGGCTTGCTCTGGCACAGGCCGTTTTCAACGAGTATGCGATGCGATGGGACGAGGCAACCTGCGGAGGAGGACTTCGATGGCAAATCTTCACGTTCAACAATGGTTTCAACTACAAGAACTCGATCTCGAACGGCTGCTTTTTCAACATTGCGGCCAGACTAGCTCGCTTCACAGGAAATCAGACATATGCCGATTGGGCTCAGAAGATCTTCGACTGGGAAATGAGCGTTGATCTGATCACTCCAGATATGAAAGTCTACGATGGTGCAAGCGTCAACGATGGAGCAAACTGCGCCGGCCACGACCTCATCCAATGGAGCTACAATGCGGGCATTTTCTTGCACGGATCGGCCGTCATGTACAACATCACGTCGGGGACGGATCAGCAGACATGGAAGACCAGAGTGGACGGTCTTCTACAGGAGACTACGGGTCTCTTCTTCAACAACAGCATCATGATTGAGCAGGCATGCGAGACTGTCAACCTTTGCGACATCGACCAGCAGAGTTTCAAGGGCTACCTCACGCGATGGATGGCGGGGACAACCCAGATGGTGCCTGACACGTTCGACACGATCATGCCGCTGCTCCAGAATGACGCCCAAGCGGCGGCCGCGGCATGCTCCGGATCACCAGCTTCGGGCTTCAACGGGCGGCCGGGCACGGCGTGCGGCTTCAAGTGGACGGGGAACAGCTTCGACGGCCTGGTCGGCGTCGGCCAGCAGATGAACGCACTCTCCGCAATGATGTACACCCTTGTCAACAAGCAGGGCAGCGCGGCACCTGTGACGGCAGCCACGGGCGGTACCTCGAAGGGTAACGCGAATGCTGGCATGGAGGCAGAGTACGGGCCGCCCAAGCTGGCCGAGATCACGACAGGAGACAGAGTCGCCGCAGGGTTCCTGACCACAGCGATTGTGTTCAGTGTCATTGGCGGGGGTATTTTTGTCGTGAAATGAGTGAAAAGCAGCCCATTTGAGCCGATGCTGTCATATAAAGCATGGTGAGGGATCAATCTCAATTCGGGTCTCGACCAGTGGGGACAAGGTAGAGTTGGGGGTTATTATTACATGGAAATTCATTCCGACTGTCTATTATTCATACCTACTCGTTTTATGTTGGGTGCAACAAATTCTCCAGGCGTTCAGGCAGGGGAGCGGCATTGTGAACAGCTTTGACAGCTGGATATCATAATGATACGAACCAGCAACAGCTGATCGGCAGCCATATGTGGATATCTCCTCCAGCGCTCGAACGTTGTTGGAGATCTCCAAGGCGGGGTAAAGCTGGATACCCCAACGGGCCTCATATATAACGGCCGAAACGGTCGAGATGGACCGCTCCCGGAGGTTTAAAGAACGGAAGATTCAGACATGATATGCATTGCCATAGAAGCAAGAAATGAAACCAATCCAGGAAAGACAACTGGGCGGTGCATGCTGTTTTATTCCCCCCTTGTGCTACAGTGGCTAGGTGCTTAACATTTCCCGACTGAGCAATTAGCTCCCCCTAGATAGTAGACAGACCTGCACAGGTCCCAAGAGCTAAGCGCCAGTCACACACGCAGGTCGATATCATCCACCTCCGGTCCCCGCTGCTGGAGCCCCGCTCCAAACAGTCCAGAAGCTCAGCCTAACCACCTAGTTCACCCCCCACCTTCATAGCTTGGAATTACTGTAGAGTACGTGATCGAGCCATTCCCATTGTGCCCAAGACCATAGGACTTTTTTCCCTGACTCTGGGGGTGTTTCTGATTTAAAAGACTCACGATAGTTCCAGTTCGAAAGTTTCCCACCATTCTTACTTGCGTTTTGGACCTTGAACGAGTGCTTGGTGTGCAACCTGCGTCCTTATCTAGGAACAGCCCACCTTGGAGCTCAGCACACCCGTCTAAGTCTACATACCCCGAAACACCGGCACCGGCAACATGTCTGCCAAACACTTCATTAACGATGCCACGCATCTGGTCAACTCGGCCTTGCACAGCATCACCCTCACAAACCCCTCCGTCGCCCTCGACAAGGATAACAAAATCGTCTATCGCCGACCCGCGGCCCCGCGAGATGGCCAGCCCCGCCAGCAGGTCTCCATCGTCAGCGGTGGCGGCGCCGGCCACGAGCCCAGCTTCGCCGCCATGGTCGGCCCCGGCCTGCTGAGCGCCGCCGTGTCAGGCACCATCTTCGCCAGCCCTAGCGCCGAGCAGGTGCGTGCGGCTATCATGAGCCGCGTCGACAATGCCGAGCATAACGCCGCGGGCAAGGAGGCAGGTGTCTTGGTCACTGTCATGAACTACACTGGCGATATCCTCAACTTTGGCATGGCCGTCGAGAAGGCGCGCGCCGCGGGCATCAATGCCGAGATGGTGGTCGTTGGCGACGACGTCGGCGTGGGCCGCGCCAAGGCTGGTAAGGTTGGGCGAAGAGGCATCGCTGGCACGGTGCTGGTGCATAAGATTAGCGGCGCCCTGGCAGCGCAGGGAGCCAGCCTCGAGCAGGTTGTTAAGGTGGCGCGGCTGACAGCAGAAAACCTCGTGAGCGTGGGCGCTAGCCTGGAGCACGTCCACGTCCCGGGACGGGCGGCCCCGGATCCGAACTCCAAGGAAGCGCTGCAGGTTGGGGAGGTAGAGATCGGCATGGGCATCCACAACGAGGCGGGCAGCGGACGCGACAAGGTCGAGCTGCCGGAGCTGGTGGGTAAGATGCTCACGCAGCTGCTAGACCAGAGCGACAAGGACCGCGCGTTCCTCAACGTCAACTCGAACGAGGTCGTGCTCCTGGTCAACAACCTGGGAGGCGTCAGCGTCCTGGAGATGGGCGGCATCACCGCCGAGGTCGTTGCGCAACTGGAGAAAGACTACGGCATCCACCCGGTGCGCATTCTGAGCGGCACGTATATGACGAGTTTGAACGGGCTCGGCTTCAGCATTTCCCTGCTGAATGTTGTCAACACTGATATTGGCGGCCCCAGCATGATCCAGCTGCTTGACTACCCCTGTGAGGCAACAGGCTGGACATCACCGATCTCTAAGATCACCTGGGAGGAGAAGAATACGGCAACGAGGGAAGGAGAATCCGGAGTGGGACAAGAAGTCAAGAGCAGTGGATTGAAATATGATGCTGCTGCCGCGACAAAATACTTGACAGAGGGCCTGCAGAGCGTCATTGCTGCAGAGCCCGATGTCACCCGCTACGATACCGTAGTCGGTGATGGTGATTGCGGCATTGGCCTGAAGAGAGGTGCCGAAGGTAAGCACAAACCTGAAATTTGATGGGGTCGTAATGTGTTTACTAACATGATCTTGTTCTAGCCATATTGAAGCACATTTCAGAACAGCCCCTGAGCGGAGATGCCGTAGTTGATGTGGCCAGTATTGTTCCTGTCGTCGAGAAAAACATGGACGGCACCTCGGGCGCTCTGTATGCCATCTTCCTAAATTCTCTCGTGCATTCATTGAGAGTGTTGGCCCCCGGGGAGGCAGACGCCAAGCTATGGTCTGGGGCACTAAAGCAGAGCTCTGATGCGCTGTCCAAGTACACCCCAGCTAGACCAGGCGACAGAACCCTGGTCGATGCGCTGTACCCATTTGTAGAAATCCTTGGAAAGACTGGCAGCGTGCAGAAAGCCGCCGAGGCATCCAAAAATGCTGCTGAAGGCACTAAGGGTATGCAGGCAAGCTTGGGTCGCTCCGTCTATGTCGGTGGCTCTGGATATGAAGAGGTGCCTGATCCCGGTGCCTGGGGTTTGGCCTGCTTTTTCCTCGGATTGGCGGGACTGAAGCAAGGAGAGGAGGGATGGGAGACGGTGTAGAGAGCCTTCAGAGCAGGCAGTAATTCTCCTATATGTAAGAGTAATCGCGAGCAACAAGGAATCTTGGGAGGACGTTCCTTAGACCGTTTGGACACATTCAGCCTTGGTAGTTAAATAGCGCATTTCGGAGGATAGCGAAGTGAAATGAGAAAAAGTTTTTTTGATTGATATGGCCCCCGAAGAAAAGATATTTCCGATGTCAACGCCTGTGCCCTGGTGTAAATGACCCTTTGCCTCCTGTTACAGCACCGTAACATCCTCCCCTCATCACACGACGGGTATTGCATCATGCCACAGCTATGGCAATCTAGCTCAGGAGGACTAAAATCACGGAGTCGCCTCGTAGAAACCTATAAGATGTCAGCATCAAGGTGAGACAGGAAGCTAGAGAGATACTGTGGTATCCAGCCTAGTCGACAAGATCTCTCTCCATAGGCTTGAAATTACTGACATCTTGCTAATGAACCGATCCTTGTTGATGGGCCGTCCCTTCTTGCCGTTAGCAAGCTTGGGAGTTTCCGTCCACATCTCCTTCACGTTCTCTAGAACCATGTTGCAATGGCGATCGAAAGCCTTTACTCGGGCTAGAAGCTTGCGGTTGTTACGAATAGAGATGAGGACCTGGGTGTGACTCCTGACAGCGGTCTGCAGGATAGAAAGAGGACCGGCGCTGAACTCGTGCTCTTCTAATTGCGATATCTCGTACTCTCTGTGACTGAGTTAGCAATGCACACCCCTTGTTGATTTGGCGGTGGTGGGGGAAGCCATACGTGAGCTCGTTTCGCGGCTTGGTGAGCAGTTCCCTAGACGCATGGTCATTAGCTTGAATATGTCTCGAATATAGCAGATTGAGACTCACTGGATCTTGGGGTCGGCCATCTTGATATCTGGTACGGTGACGGTGAGAAGGCGCGAGGATAGGGCAGGCTGCAGAAGTTGCTTTCGAAGGCGATCGCGATACCAGTTCAAAATTCAGAGCTTTGGTAGCAATGCTCAAACATGATTGGCCAGTTCCCCCAAACTCCCCACCATCCCCAATCACAAAGCCGGCAAACGGCTCCATTAATGATCCGGCGCCTGATTTTCGACTTTTCGGCAATGCGACCTGCCCTCGGCCGGCGAAAGCTTGGATTCGCAGCAGCTGCAGGCCGGATGGAAAAGCATTTCCCGGCAACAACACATGCATAGGTAACCGAGTATCATTCGAACTGCTGCAAGGTTTCGATGAATACGCAACCTCAACCCAACATCGCCTTGGGAGTTGAAGACAATTAGATGTTCTCCAAGGCTTTTGTAGTTCGCGCTGGGCCAGCAGCATCAGCTGCCTCTCGCAGATGCAGAGGCAGCCTCATCATGCCTTTGAGAGCAAAGATTCTCCAGCCACAACTGGCTGCTAGAGCTCAGGTACGACTGCCCCACTATCTACGATTGGCTCTCACATTTGTACTTACTTGTAATGGCATTCAAGATGTCTACCTCTGCATCGACCTCTGAGCTATTCAAACCCCTTCCCGACGACGAGCCCGAAGATGTTCTATTCAACAGTCTATACGGTCTGCGGACCATTGAGCTTAACCGGCCGAAGAAGTTGAACTCACTCAATGCATCGATGATTCGAAAGATTGCACCACGCCTTCTAGAATTTGAGAAGTCCGATATGGCGAACGTTGTCGTCATGAAGGGTGCAGGCGAGAAGGCTTTCTGTGCCGGCGGAGACGTCGCAGCACTGGCCGAAGCTAATAAGAAGGGACCAGAGGGACAGCAGTGGTCTTCGGATTACTTTGCACTCGAATACAAGCTGGACCACTTGATTGCGACCTACAAGAAGCCATACATTGCATTCATGGACGGTATCACCATGGGCGGCGGCGTTGGACTAAGCATACATGCCCCCTTCAGAATAGCGACGGAAAGAACAGTCTTTGCCATGCCAGAGACGACGATTGGCTTCTTCCCTGATGTGGGAGCATCATTCTTCCTACCTCGAATGGATGGTGCGGTGGGCACATATTTAGCGCTCACCAGCGACCGGCTGACTGGGGCCAATGTCTTCTACTCAGGAGTCGCCACACATTATCTTCATTCCACTAGTCTACCGCACCTTGAATCCCGTCTCGCGGAGCTGCGTTTCAAGGACTTCGACAGTATGGAGAAGCGGCTGAAAATCATCAGCTCTACTATTGAAGAATACACAACTGGTCTTCCGCATGACCAGCCAATCCTCCTGGGCGGCGAACTCCGCAAAGCTATTGATCGATGCTTCAGCAAGGACACTGTGGCAGACATCATCAGTGCCCTGAGGGAGGAAGAGGGACCAACGCAGGAGTGGGCACAGAAGACGCTCGAGACGTTGCACCAAAGGTCACCGACGTCGGTTCACGTGAGCTTAAGGCAGATGCAGATCGGTGGCAAGTGGAGCATCGCAGAGACTTTTGTTCGAGAACACCAGATTGCCGCCAAATTCATGAAGCACCCCGACTTCACGGAAGGCGTATCTGCTCGCCTGATGAGCAAGCCGGCAAGGAAGCCCGAGTGGCAGCCGGCCACGCTCGAGGACATCAAACCCAGCGACAACATTTCGGAGTCATTCTTCCAGGCTGCTGAAGACATCCAGCCGCTGCAGCTTCTGAGTGATCGGGACTACCAGGAGTACCCTTACAAGGAGTTCGGCGTGCCCACAGAGCAGGATGTGAAAGCTCTCGTACAGGAGGGCATTCACAGCCAGCGGGATGTTGTGAACAGACTCGTGGGCAAGAAGCAGGGCAAGCAGGGTGTCAAGGAGGTTGTGGAGGAAATTGTAGCCCGAAAAACCAAGAAGAACGAGGAGGGCAAGGCCGAGTGGATATAAGGTTCTGGCGCATGCTCAGGTGTACTATATAGAGACGGAGAACATCTATCGATGATACTTCACAAACTGACAGATAGAGCGCAGCTATTTTGTATGATACAAGGAATGTCGGAATGGCGTCAAAAAAAGTCGAAATTTTGCGACCGCGGTTGACCCTACCAAAAAGGGTGTAATGTGATTGGCCTGCAATCCAAAGGGAGGTTGTAGTGGTTGCAGCGCCCTGTGTGGGGATCTGGATGGCCCTGTGGCATTTGGGTTGGATCTTATTATTGGTTGTGGCAGGTGAATGTTGACTCATATCACGGCATTGTTAGCGTCCGAGATGCTGGAGGGGCTTCTCCCGGAGTATAAATAGGAGCTCCGTGTCCCCTCTTGCGAAATCCCCTCAGAAAGCCGTCCAGTTTTGTGTTGATTGCCGGTGGTGCATTGCTGCCTTTTCCGACGGCTCCGGAGTTGTCAGAAACTCAGCGCTAAAATCCGACCGTGTGTGCGTGCGCCTGATAGTTGGTGTGTGTGTGTGTGGCTCGCCATCCGTCGCCCCGCCTGCATCCATCAGCCATCCCGTCCTCCTAACCACTGGAAGCAATCCTCCAGAAGGGACCCACACTGAGACGGACGGTTTTCCAGGGCGCACCTTACCTGTGCTTAGCGTGCTTAGCGTGCCCAGCGTGGGGTGCTCCGTGCACGTGTAGGCGTGAAAACCGCGCTAAAGCAACAGCACGTCACGCCAACACCAACACGCGCTGTGAACTGCCTGTCGTGGGTTTTGTACCCTTCAACCTCCAACTCTACTTCACAATACAACAAACCTTTCTCTTGTTGAAAGCCTCAATCTCCACCAATCCCGACAAAACCTGCATTGATAGCATTGCACGCTGTTTGGATTGCTTTGAGGCATACATTTCATTACCAAATCTCCCTTTGAAAATCTATAGGTAGTCCACATTCTCGGCGCTCGCTGTGGAACCCGGGCGGCCAATTTCACAGTGGCAGCTCCACCCCGAGACGCGGTCCGGACGCGCCATGACCAGCCTCCCAATTCGTCCCTGACAACCGCTTAAAGATTCAATTGCACCCTATATTGTCTTCCTCCACTCTTTTTCCACCATTAAACACTGCACCTTGTTCATCCATCTATAAAGCTGCCCTCTGGTGGGTGTCGCCCGCTGTGAATCTCATCTCACCAAGAGTAGAGCAGAGAAGTATGGCCTCTCCGCTCACCATGGGCTCACACGGCACCGGCTGGATGGGAGGCCCTCCCCAACAACCGCAGGCACCCACTCCAGCTCCTCCTGGGCAGGTGCCTGCAGAAGCCGACGAGTATGGTATCCAGGTCCGGCCGATGGGATGTAAGCATCATTTTGGGCTACTTCCCGTTTCCTCAGTTTGCTGACGGTGATATTCCACCTCACAGTGAAGGTGCACTATACCTTCGATAAGGACAGCCAGGTGAACTGCCTGGCACGTCTGCCACAGATTCTGCAGATTCAAACGATACCACTGGACGACAGGAATAGAATTGGAGTGGTGGATCTGAGATTATGTTTACAAGCTGTTGCCGAATGCAGCCCCGAGATCATTGGCCAGCAGGAGAGCGACTACACAATCTACGCGTATGATTACTCGGAACAGGATACGCCTCTGGTGGGGCAGGGATTGATGTCGTGGGCATTGGATGCTCCAACGCCAAATGCAGAGCCCAAAATGGTCACCGGCCGAGTGACTAAGAACTTACTTGCTATGTTTGGGAATGGCATCAGGGAAACCCTCGAGGTCAAGCTGAGAATGACGGCGGTGCCGCGAATGCAGCGCGCCGACTCATCAAATACCTCAGACTTCCTCCAGAAGAGCGCTCCAACTCCGACCGACACCACTGGAGAGTGGAATTCTTTCATCCAGTCCAATCCCGGTCTGGGACGGTCGGCAAATGTATCTTCAGTCCACACTACACCAGTTCTTTCAGCTGCCCGGCTTGATAACCCTCCCACTGCACCAGTAATGATGCCAAGGAATGAGTCGGTCTCCTCTGGTCAATTCCCTGTTCTGAGGCCCGCTGGTTCCTCTGCCCCATCACCTCGAAACCCGACTGAGGAGCCTGCCGCCGGCCCTCCAGCTCCTGTTGTCTCAGCAGAACCAGAACCAAAGAAACCGAAGAGACCGTCTTCAAGAGCGTCAAGAGCTACTGGAAGACCGAGAGGACGGCCTCGAAAGAATCCCCTACCTGATGGGAACACCTCGGCTATCGAAGACGCTACTGACGCCGATGAAGGACCGAAGAAGAAGAGAGCCAAGACGACCAAAGCTGACTACCCTGAGAAGGCACCGTTGGATGCTGCCCCAGAGTCCCTACGAGTGGCTGCCAGTATCTCTGGCTCTTTGCGCCAGATGCGTCCCATAGCAGCAGGAGGTGAGGGACCAGCTGCCGCAAGCCACCTGCAAGAGGGCCCGAGAGCACCTACTCCAGTGCCAGGCCCGAGAGCGATAGCTCCTCAAAGCCGAAAACCTTCGACAAGTGGTGCTTCGCGAAGGCAGTCAGTGGCTGCTTTTGACAGCACTTCAGACTTTCCGCAATATGATCAAAACATGCTTGTACCTCAAAGTCAGGATGCTCGCTCTCCCACAGATTCGATCTCGCAATCGCCTTTCCCAGCTTACACTCCCGAAGATAGCCCGGGCGATATTGGGTCCTCTCCCCCGGTCCCAAGATCGACTCAGTATATGCAGTCAAGTCCCATGGCCTCCAGCCCGATTCTTCCACCGATGCCGATGCCCCAGCAAGACTCGGGTTTTATGAGTGGGGGAATTGATGACCTATTTGAGGAAGACGAGTTCCCTTTAATTCTGCCTCCTCACCCTACGACAGAAGGCGTGGTGGCTGAAGTACAACGGCCTACGAAGTCGAACAAGCGACAAGCTCAGAAGGACGTGAATCCTGGTAATGGTTTGTCCTTTCAGCACGTAAATCCCGGACCCCCGGAGTTGTTGCCTTCGACAAGCATTTTCAAGCCAGCTGGAAAGACTAAGGCGTTAAATAAGCATGTCACATCAAACAAGGCACCGGCTCAATTAAAAAGAGCAAATACAGAGCCGAAGCCTAATAGACCAGAACAGCAGGAAGAAATGCGAGGCATACAGACAGCCCAGCAAGCGTCTTCTCAAGTGAACGCTTCTCAGGTCAATATGCAAGGCACAACGAACACCAATGTCTCAACACCTGCCGTGCAGGAAACGATTGTCGAGGACAATGGAGAGGAACCGATGCTTCAACCTATGAGTCAGCAGGCAGAAAAAGAGGCAGGAGCTCAGGAACTGCCAGCAATGCCAGCACCAAAAGCACCGGGCCCTCGACAGTTGTCCAGAGCCGTCTCGATGAGCTCTGCGCCGATGCCAATGGTCCCCGCAAGCGATCCGGTGGGAGCTCCAGCAATGCCCTTGGCTCCGACATCTTTCTCGGAGGCACCTTGTCCTATGAGCGATAACTTTCAGTCTTCTCGGTCTAACAAGAACCAGGTGAAGAAACAATCCATCAAGGAGAAGCTACAAAAGGCGATCGAGAGCGGAGCAATGCCACCTTTCTGCAACAATTGCGGTGCTATTGAAACCCCTACTTGGCGAAAGATGTGGACACAGGACAAAGATGGCGTGCCAGAGTTTTATGAGTTTTCTGAGAAGCCGGGCCAAGTTACCGCCATTGATATTCTAGAACGCGATCCTGAGAACAAGCCTCTCAAGTATCGGCTTGTGAAGAAGACCTTGGGCATGGCCGAGGACAAGAGAATGTGGAATGAAATGCTCTTGTGCAATCGTAAGTAAGATCTTTGCGTTTTGTAAACGGCCCACTGACTGATTATATAGCTTGCGGCATCTGGCTCTCGAAGTTCAAGACTCACCGCCCACCTGACAGGTGGGACAAGGACGCTCAGCGCTTGAATCAGTCTCGAAGAAAGAGGGAACCGAAGGGTAACAACTCTCGCTCGAAGAAACCACGTACACAGAGTGAGCCTCAGAGCACTACTGGTTTTGATGGCTACATGGCCACCGATCCTTTAGGCCCTGGCGATCAAGGTTCATCTCCAGCAGAGCCAGAAGGCCTGGAGAATGGACAACCAGAAGACACGAATTCAATGAGTCAGGCAGCTACTCAACCAACCCAGCCTGGAAGCAACGGATCCGGTAATTCTCCTAAGGCTCCTGGCATGGGATCAACCCATTCACGAGCGAGTGGCACAGCTAAGAGCCCTATCGCCGTTGAGGATGATCTTGGAACAACTCGACGCCTGCTTTTCCCGTCACCTCGCAAAGACGGGGTGCCAAAGGTTCTTGGTGAGATGGCAGTTAACATCGTCAAAACAGCACCAGACTTTCCGGGGAGCAAGAATTCAGACACTGGCAAGGAGAATATGGAGGCAGTGCCGAACCGCCCAGTGACACCAGAGCCAGGCCATGACGACGATGAGATGGTGGATCTCTTTGGCACACCACCTGCCCGCCCCTGCACACCACCACCAAACGACAAGTCCGCAAACAGCGGACCCTTCAAAACGCCAACGCGGCCTACACCAAGTCATCGCCCTATTACTAGGAGTATATCGAAGTCCATTAGATCTGCACGCTCGATACCGAAATCTCCCGGTCAGGCACTCCTCCAGTTGCAGCAGACCCCAACCAAAACACCTCGCTCAGCAGCCGCCGTAAACGCTCTGCTTGCTAGCGCGAGGCGACGAACACCTCGAAACCAGCATCTTCACGCTCATTTTGCTTTGGATGACGACATGCACAACATGCACAACATGACGGCGCACTTCGACACGCCGTTCACCGCTACGCTGAACCAGCTGCTCTCTGAGGCTAATGACTTCACTGCCGGCTCGCCGGCACACGGGCTCGTGGACATCGACCTCAGCAGCCTCCCGAACCTGGACAGCGATGGCCTTCATAGTCAGCTCGCCCACGGCGCTCTGGATTTTGGTAATTTTCTGAGCACCGACATGGTGATGCCTAGCTCGCCGCCCCTTCTCGGCGGCAGACATATGCCTCAACAGGTCACGTTCGGCGGCTCGCTTGCGGCTTACGAGGCGACCAACATGGAGCTGTGGACACAGTTCTCCGAGACAGTTGGCCATGATGATGATGGCGAGCTTCTCGAGGAGGCACACTAAGTAACGACCGTTCATGAATGTTAAGAGAGACACTTGTTTTTATTTTGCTGTGTCTGGAAGGGAGTTTTTTCTGCATATAGCGCTGCATTGTTATGGAGTATAGTAGGGAGCACATCTTCTCACCGAGTGAGGGGCTGACATTGTTGGATTACTGTTTGGTCTGCTTCAAAACAAGGACAGATCCGTGCTATTGGAAGCGCAAAAGCCTTCATTTTGTTGTTATGGCTCATTGGGGCACTTCAAGTCGTGGTAGCGGCCATGAGTCCTGGCTCTAGTTATGTACATAGGGGTCTCAAATATGCATGTACAATATAACTTATCTTGATACAGACAAACTTTAGCTATTTGATCTCCTGGTATAAGACATGTGAACGATAAGTGTCATGCTATCTTACTGGATAAGATAGAGATTCATATCGAAGAGGCTACACGGCAGACAATCTTGACTCGGAATACTTAGAATGTGGTAATGGACCTAGCAGACAAAACATGGAGGTGGGTTGGCCCTTGAAGAGTGAGGAGGGAGCAAATTCACGCGTTTCTTAAGTACGAAGACGAAAAATTGATCTGGCCAGCTTCTCCCGTAACTGTGATTGGTCGAGCTGACCTGGAAGGCCGTCCGATACTGTCTTGTTTGACTAACTAGAGTCAGTGAGTCAAGAGGCGGTGCCAAATGCAAGCAGACGGGCGATGTCGAGGTGTTTCGACATTGAAAAGAGTTGGGAAGATCGAGGGGAATCTTCTGGATCGAGGCCTACCCCCGTAAACTCCACAGGAGACGAGCTTGTGCTGACCATGCAGGACAAATCACACACAATTCAAGGGAACATGCTGAAAATCAACCTCATAGTGAATAGTCTTACGGTGGTGCTCTTGAATAAATCAGCTGGCGACCCCAGCTCGTCCGCAAGCCTTGCTCAAGTTCGTCAAAGCTTTTTCGTTGGGCTGTTCTAAGCTTCTCTTCACACCTATTCTTCTCCTAATTTCTCCTTCAATCTTCTTATGGTTTGTGTATGTAATCCCTTCTTTCACAAACTAGCGATATCATCTCTTCTCTCTTCCTGATTTTACGTTTCACTCGTCATATCTCTATTTCCCGAGAGGTGCTCGTTAATCCCCTACCTCGGGAAAGCAGACTCATCACACGACCAGAATAGAGGTTGCAGTGCGTTCATTGTGACCTCGACTTTCATCATTACTATCGAGGACTTTGTCGCCATACAGTAAGTCTCGTCACTACGGATTACCAACCCCTGACGCCGAAGATATTACCTCCACCTCAATATGAGAGGTTGTATCCTCCGAATCCGTGAGGGACCGAGAGAAATCGGCTGGCAATTCCTACCCGAAGAGCGAGACATGCCTCAGAGATGAGCATGATTGCACGACTACCTTATGGCAGCCATCACTGGCCGGAGGCAGCGTCTGCAAACAGCTCTTTATATTGATGAGACACCTCGACGACGGTCTGATACAGTGGGATATCTAAGGCTCCAATCAGCAATGGCCCTGCCGTGTGAACTGCTTTGCCCTCATAGCCCGCGACGGCGGTCAACTAGGCCATACGGAGGAAGGACCGAGCGAGGGAACAAAGGCCCAGAGGCGAACATCGACAAGCAAGGGAAGGCTACACTCACCGACTCCGCTGCCGAGGTCCAAAGAGCTAAGTGCCTTAATGGAGAGATCCGGGTTCACCTTGCCGATGATCTGGGCCGCATTGCCGGTCGCCAGATGCGCTTCCTGTGATTTTGGTCAGGTGTCTGCAGAATAAAGTGTAGAGGGAATCCCTGACGTACAGGATTCAAAAGGGCAGTGACATTGCCGTCCGCATCAAGAGTGGCCGAGTCGCCCCTCAGCTGGGTGACCTTGCCGACCAGCATGACGTTGCGGCCGACGTACGAGTCGAGATAGGGGCATGTGATGCGAGGAGTGGCCATGGTGAGCGAATGCGTGGGATTGAGTTGAGTCGGTGCTTGTCTGGGTATTTTCTCTTCCACACGATGGGTTCTTGTGAAGCTGTAGACTGTCTTACTTCATAGGGTGTTGGTGGGGTTCTAGGAATGGAACTTTCAAGCTGTTGATGCGCGTCTCGACGCGTGCGATAAGACCATTGATAGATACCCGTGTCGCGCCTGCCTTGCCAGTCTAGTGTACGGAGACGGTGCCGTGCATGCATTAGCGCTGTAGTAACTACGATCTCAGACAGGCCCCTTCACTTACCAAGTTTCTAATACACCTATTGCAGAGGAAGATTGAAGAGATTGTTGATTAATAGGTAATGGAAAAAAGAAATGATTTTATTTTTATTTTTTAGAAACCCATCAGAATACCTACAGACTACTAATGCCGCCTCAAGTATATCAATAATAGAATTAGTACGTCTTTTTCCGGTGTAAGCCAATAGCCGACTTTGGTTTGATGAGCACTTCCAGGTTGTTAGTAGTTATCAGGACGCAAATCTAAAGGATAGACTGCAGCCATAATCAGATCCTACCTATAGCCGACGGACATTTCGAAGAATACCTAGGTAAAACCTCTACACTGCTAAACCACGTCGATGTTATGGCGCGCATTCGGGCTCAGGACTGGGCCAGCCACTGTATCAGTTCTTAGTTAAGGCTTGGGTCTGCCTGTGTAACCTGATTTGTTTTTGCTATAAGAAAACATTTGTCACTCTTTTTGACCATGCAGGGCGTCATCATCGCCACCAGAGAGTGTCTTCGGCTTCTTCCAAATTTACTTCGTGAGCTGATTTTCGTACAAGAATAAGTCCCAGAATATTGGATGCGTCACAATGCTGTAGTGACTTGCAATGCCTCTTGACAATTTTGTATAGATCGCTCAGTCTTATCTGTTAGCACGAGAAATGAGCATTTTCATCCAAGATCCTGGCTGCTTGGTCTATGCTGCAACATAAAATCAAAAAGGGAACAGAGGCGTATTTGGGTTGTTGAAACCAGAATGGAGGGCGGGGAAGGAGGTTGAATGGAGCTCCTGACGTAATGCATGGGCGGGGCTCACGGTCGCAAAGGTTAGCAATGGAGCCGCATCCGAGTGTGACTGGACTCCGGGTGGCAAAGCCCACGCAAATCTATGAAGAGTGGTCGGCAAATGCCACTCTTATATCGAGTGTAGGGGGTGGGTGACAAACGGGAGCGGTTTCACGGCTTTTTCCCTTATCTGTTTGCTGATTGTCAAGAAGGCGCTTCATGAGACTTCAAGGGTTCTTGATAGAGAATACACGGCCTATAGAGCCTCGTTGGCCCTCATTGTTGGTGTCGGTGTTGTAACTGCACATCAATGTCTTTCGAACGAGTCGAGCACCGGTACTTCAATATGCCAGACTTGATAATAGTTACATAAGATTGCTGGCTTGCCATGTACCTACCTAAGTTTATCCCACTCGCAAATTTCCCATGTACACAAACATTCTAGAAATGGCAAATATGTCCTGCTTCTGAGACAGTCAAGTTTGAGTTTGTTATACAGGGCCATACGAGATAGAAGGGAAAATATTTATGTAATGGTTGCCGACAGTATCGGGATGCCGGTATGTATTGTACGAGTTCAGCAGGTGAGATAGCTAGATAACTACTCAGTGTTAACCCCAACATGGCTGGCTAGACTCTGGTAGCTGTTAGTAGACGAACCCATGGCTGTGTAGTTACAACACAAGAAGATGAAGCCACTGTGACAGATCTAAGCCATTCCGCAACGCACGATGATTTAATGTATAAATTGTGCCCATGGGATACTTTCTTTTTCTTCCCTTCCTGTCAGGCTTTGACGAGACCTGTCCTTTCCGTTCAGGCTACAGGTGGCTTCGCCTCTCCCACCTTCAGCTCATTACCTGGTACTACCTACCTAGGTAGAGACGGTACCTAGTAGTTTAGTAGGTACAGTACGTAGTGAATGCGTAATCGACGAATTGCCCGACCAATGGCGTGACCAGTAACCATCGGGACTCACCTCCGTCCCCACCTCCCACCTCTTTCGTCATTCACTCCCCTGCCCTTGTGCGCGCCGCCTTTGGTCCCATATCGCACCCGGGGCACGCATAGAACTTACACTACGCTGGACTGCGATCTTGACATGACAGGCCTGCTGGTCCGACCAAAATTAGGTAGACTATCACATCTTCAGTGGCTTTGCTGGCATCCTCGCTGGGCAGATTCTGATTTGGTTTTGGCAGTTGTTAGACGACGGAGGCGGATTGGTCTTACTAAATAACGACATCAGCCCGTAACCGCCAGCCCGTAACCGCCACCCGCCAGTCGAGAATCGGCCTCAAGCAGTAACACGTACCTATCTTAGGTAGTACAGTATCAACAAAGCCAAAGCCAACCCAGGGCTAACTCAACCCAACTAGACTACTCGGCCAAGCGTCGCTCACGTCCAGGGCAAACCCCACGCGGAGACTTCCTTCCCTCTACAGGAGTGGATCGCGCCTTCCTCACAGGAGACTCGAAGCATAATTACGTATACGCATCTAGAAGGTTACGCAGCAGGGATCTCTAGGTAGGCAGGAGCAAGCCAGGCCAATTGAAATGCACCTCACCATGTCTCCCTAGACATCTGCCGTACCTATTTGAGAATTTCTGGGGTCCGCACCTGTTCTGTGTTGGCGATCCGGCCCATCAAACATACCTAGGTATCGCAACAGACCGGGCTCCCTAAGCTTCAGGTAGGTACTACTAGCCTTACCCAACCCTACCGAGCTTACCTAACTTCCCTCCTGCTTCCTCGCATCCACTTCCCCATCCACTATCCCATCCCATACATCTCATACATCCCATACATCCCATAACCAGACCAGCAAAGGAAGTATCGACCAGCTGGTCCCAAATCGTAGCTCCAAGGGACCACAGGGTGCTCGTTGCCGTTCTATCATCGCGACATGCCCGACAAGCAGAGATAGCTAACCTTGCCTGCATCGTCAGTCGTTCTGTCGATCATCGGCCTCCAGGTCGATTCCCCTAGGCCAACAGCCCGTGAATGCTGAACAGTGCCTCCGTCGAGGACACACGGATTCTGATCACCTGCAGCGCCTTGCTCCTTGGGGAATCAGTACGTCTGTCCAACGGCATTGTATTGTCTCTGTCAATTCCTCACCCCTCAAACCCCCCCCTTTTATTCGCTAGATAGAGGATGCTCCGACCCACCAACACCAATGCTGGTAACAGGCCAGTGCCACGCCAGCTGGAGGACCTTGGACAGGAGGGCGGCATAGACGGCCCAGCCCAATTTTTCAGCGACCCGTTCGATATGGGGGATACCTCGTTCTCATACACAAGTCACTTCGAAGTCCCCAGCGGTCCTATCCCCCCTGGAAGTAGCCCTGGGTATCCCAACACCAACAATGAAATCCCCTTCGTAACGTCGGCATCGTCCGCCTCCTTTGTGGCAACTCAAAACGCGTTCGGTTTATGTGAGGACCCCGACATTACCATCCAGGACGGCAGTGACTATGACTTCGCTGGTGTTAACAACGACCCGAGCGCCTATTACGATTCAGCTCTGCCAGGTGATGACAAGATCAGGGCGCTAGCAGCACCTCTCAGCATCACTGCCTCGAAGTCCAACACTCGATCATCGCACTCAAGGTCCACGGATAGCTTCCCGTCGCCAAGCAACCCAAGATTTGCGAACACATTTTCTAGTTTCTCAATGCCCGCCCAGCCCCCGAAGAAGCGTAGAGGCCGCAAGCCCAAAGTCGTCACCGACAAGGAAGCAGAACACGACAAGAGAAACAGGTTGCTCGAAAAGAATCGGGTCGCAGCAAGTAAATGTCGCCAAAGGAAGAAAGAATATGTCTCCGACCTGGAAGAGACGAAATCTGGGTTGGAGAACCAGAACTTCCGCCTGCAACTGGAATACCATGGGCTGCTGGGAGAGGTAACTCAAATGAAGAGTCAACTTATGTCTCATGCGAGCTGCCAAGACCCCATTATCGACAAATGGATACAGAATGAGGCGAGGAGAATCGTTGACGGGCAGGGGAATCAAGTCAGCCAAAACGCTTCTGTTGACGGCAATGCTCATACGCGAAGACTCAGCACAACGCCTGGGGTACCGTTGATAGGAATGCAAAGACACAGACGATATGCCTCCATGTCATCTCAACGGGACAGTCTCGCCTGCTCAGACGGTAAGCTCGGTCTCTCATGTGCTTAGCCACCCTTTGCGCGTTCTGACCACTAACGTGACTTCAGCATCCTCACTTCAAGCCTCCCCTACCACTACAGGTAGTACTTTCAGTCAACTGCCAGCAAGCCAGGTGAAGGTTGAACCAGATCCGGCGACTACCGATATGCCTGATGACACGTTTGCCTAGCCAGGTGTGGGCTTGCAACACGGGGGGATAACTGATATACTTGTGCTGTAGTGATGACGGATTATGACAGCTCTTCCAGTCATGAGCCCCTCCATCTTTTGTTTTACCCATCCTTGTCGATTTTCTTTGAACTCGTGAATGACACGTCCTTCTTTTTCGGATACTAACATAATTTGACGACTTCGATGCTTTGATGATACGCAATGACATTCTCTCTTCTCGTGCCGTGTGCGGCACACGTTGATACAGCCGCGTACATCGGATGGGCTTTGGAGGTCTATCATCTGGCGAGATATTGTGGCCTGACTTTACTCGGAGCATTAGGACCTAGACAATGCCCTTTGCCTCGGGTTCCGGATTTTGATTGGCCGGTTATTCTCTTTTGAACTTACATCAGCCAAGAGGAGGGACTGTCGTGGTCTTGCTGAAGCGTATGGAGAAAATCGGGATAGTGCCTGGGGAACACACGGTCTCGAGATTGGGTGAAATGGAGTCCGTGTCTAGGAAGGGGCCTCACTCGAGCAAACAGCTGATTTCGGAACCTTTATTGTCAACCTGTGTGGCAATACGGGTTACGAGAAAGAACCTCATATATAGTTCTCTCTCAGAATTTGTCGTTGTGCTTACTGACGTGCCATGGTCGAAGCGATACTGCACATTTGACATGGAGCGTCGTCATCGCCACAACTGTCGAGAATCGCTGAGTGCGCATGGTTGCGGGGTCCCTACACAATGTCAGCTGTGTGGAGCCTCGGTCCATGCAAGTCAGGTCTACTCTACGACTCGAGCCGCCCAGCAGGACGTCATGTCATCCTTTCCAATTCCCAATCAGCTCTGAGTTCCAAGGGATCTCCAACATCATTGAAAGTGCTGGACCATACAGTGCATGCCGTTGTTGGCATGTCGTCGATTGGAGCAGGGTGATAGGGTGCTCTTGGACGGCATAGGAAGTCTGGTTGTCTCCTGTAGCCCCGGCCGGAGCCTAAAGGGACAACTCAGGAGAGCGCAATCATGCTAACTGCCTGAGCTGCCTGTCTAGGGAAGCACATTCATGCCCTGATTGATGGTCGGTCGTGGATGCGGAGGATGAATGAGATGGACTGCTGAGCGTTGATAAACCTCGATATTGGAATATAAGCAGAACCAAGTGACAGATCAAGGTGACAGATCAGGGACGAAAGCGAAAATCGAGGCCGGGAGATGCTTGAGAGCAAAGCTCGATTCTTGTTGGTCCGCTCAATCTGGCAGGCGGTCTGATGCTAGGTCGCCATTCGTATGCCCCCGACACTCGATAGAGGATTGTGTTAACATCCATATGAAATGCCTCTGCTGCACGACACTTGAAACGGTAGGCAATTGTTCTGCTTCATCTCAGTGGTTTTGAGGTCAAAATAGCTTGGGGTCGATTTAATGGACGCGTGGGATCTTTCTCTCGATCCTAGTAGCTGGCCCTTCTGAGCTAGCTTGTGCCATTCTCTACCTGCCCTATCTCCATACTTTGGGGGGGGGGGGGGGGGGGGGACAACAGTACTATCTTCTCTGATGTCCTAGAGGGTTGCACCAGTATTCTAGGGGGAGCCTGGCATTATAGTAGTCTCTAGCTCTTGGTGAGCCTACAGATTATCACTGAATTCAAAGCTTCTCCTGAACAGCAAGGCGTCTCAGGTGCTCTGTCGCGAACATAATACCCCAAGTTGATACCGACGGGGCCTCCAAACGATGGGCAAGTCATGCCTCATCCATTTGACTTCATAATCGGTACTTTCTATGGGAGTTAATTCGATGGAATCAATCAGTTACCCTTTATCCGTACCATCCACGCGGCTTACGATGAGCGACATAGAGGAGAGTACACGATCAACTGCTTTTTTTTTCCTCCAGCATATGCAGTATTGATGTTAGAATAGACTCAATCCTTTAAAAACAAAATAAAACAAAATTAAAAAAAAGCATACATGTTTGGCCAGATTGATGTCGCAAGGATGATTTTGTGACTGTCTGGCCAAACGATTTGCAACACATACAGGTGGCGATATCGTGCCGATTGTCAATATTCAATGAAATACCTTTTACAATATAATCAGATTCTTCTTAACGAGGCAGGGTAAGGCAACCCTAATTGTATTGTACAGGTTACAGTTAGCTATACAGGAGTCGCTTCCTCGAACTCGAACCCTACTCTACTCTATTCTACAAGTGTCTCGCCGATAGCCGGGCCGGGACGTCGAACACCATGGATAAACACACGACTAATGAGGTCGCTTTGATGCCTCTCGATCATCTCCTTTAATGCACTCCGCTCTACAACCACCCGGCCCGTCTCGAGCAGGTCCTTGACATCCACATCATCGACCTCGAGAGCCCGCGCCTCTTCTCCGGCGACTTCTAAGCTCGTAAAAAGGTTTGGCCGCCTATCCCCCGTAACAAAGAGTGTCCGGCCGTTTGCTTTGCCCCACTCCAGTGAATGGAGCATCTGCTTGACATACTTGCTGACATACCCGTCTTCCAGCTCTCGGCCGAGCTTGTCAGCCTGCGCGAGTGCGAGAAAGTCGTCTGGCAGCGGCAGCTCCATCCCGTCCTGGCACACGGTCAGCTCGCCCCGGCGGTACCGGTATGACAGAGCCGTGCGCCACGCCAGGTCGTACACCTTGCGGTTGAGGCTCGTCGAGAAGTCCCTCGGCTTGGGGCCGAACGACTTGCCACCGCCCCTGCGCAGAGGACTCTGCTTGTCGCCAACACGCGCCCGGCCCGAGCCCTTCTGCGGCCGCAGTTTCTTGTGCGACCCGTGCACCTCCCATCGGTTCTTGGAGGAGGCGGTGCCTTGCCGCGTCATGTCGCCCTCGTAGACGACTGCCAGGTGGAGGATATCCCGTCGCAGTGGAAGATAGAGGTGTTTTGTGGACCAGGACTCAAGAGAGCGCGGCTCCATGGTAGGGAAATTGTAGATGGTGACGGGGACGGTAAGGAGGGGGTTGTATCCTGCAGCTGTTGAGGCTTGGTCGACGGATGTTATCAAGTTAGAGGATGTCGCGGCTGTTGCCATAGAGCGACGGGATGAGGACGTAGTCAACCGTATCTACACACACATTGTTAATTGGAACTCATGGCCAGATCCGTGATTAGGTGAAGCTTACTGGTAGAGCATTTCGGCAGGTCCTAGATGAAAGACTTAACGCCTTCATGGCCTCTGTAAGGCCGCCGGCGCCTTTGCCAGCCATATCGCCAAACGTTCTCAGAGCAGGCTAACACTCCAAACCACAGGCGATTGGACTTGACAAGTAATCAGGCCGGGATTTGCAGCGGATTGGGAAGCTCCAGGATAGTTTTGGTCGTGAATCCCGAGTGTAATGGTCGAAAAAAATACATGGTACGATTAGGAGAAACCAATCACGCGCACGGACGCTTTTGCGGCTCCTCCTAACAACTTAGTGCAAGGGTCCCGAATTTTTCTGAGAGCTCCTAACATCGCGTGTATCCAACCAAGACACTTCCCAATTCAAGACCTGCAGCACCGACACAGGGCATCACAACTTACCGAGATGTCACGGTGTCAGCAGGTTGGCCAGCCCATTGCTCGCTGCCTAAGGCAAGGCATTGCAGCGCAATCGACGCCGGCGCCTCTTCTTGCGATCCGGTCCTTCTCGAACTCGGCCAGCCGACAGGATGCTGAGCCGACGACAACGAGTGGCTCGTCCGGGTCGGCACAGGCTGCACAGGATGCCGCTCACGCCAGCTTCAGACAACAATTGCTGGATCCGACTACCACAACCCTCCACTGGGCAGAGAAGACGCTCATGAAGAAGGGCATTAAGCCCATCGGATCTCGCAGAAAAAGAATGGCAATCCGCACGACACCGAATATCCCCTTCGAGCAGCTACCGTATCAATGCTTCCAGGAAGCACGGAAGGTGCTGCAGGCGGACCGAGAAGAGAAGCTCGAACAGATACGTGTCGAGGTCGAGAAGATCAAGAAGCTCGAGGCTACGGACGCGAGCAAGTTCCGAGACGGAGAATACATGAAGCAAAAGAGGCTTGATAGTCTGCGCAGCTACGTAGAAGAGCTAAAGATCTTGGCTGATATCAACGACCCATTGGTGAAGAGAAAGTTCGAGGACGGTCTAGGTGAGTCCTTGTTGTCTTGGCAATAGATTTGAACCGCGATTGACTGACAGTCCGCTAGGTGACATGAACAAGCCTATCTACCGACATCTTGCCGAACAGAAGTGGCGAGGGATGCCCTATAGAATCATAAAACAGCGTATCGAGCAATTCAACATCGTGCCAGATGTCCTGCCCAAATTCGAGCCCACGGCGGATGTGCAGCTATCCTTCCGCAAGATCCGCGTTGCCCCTGGAGAGATTGTGGACAGCATCGTGTCTGAGGTTGCCCCCCACCTCCGCGTCCAGGTATTCAACAAGGGCGAGCGTCTCATGTCCATCGTTGTCATGGACAGCGACGTACCTATCCCCGAAGAGGACGGCTTCGCACGACGCTGCCACTATCTGGCAGCCAACATCCCCGTCAGCCCAACCATCAACTCCTTTCCTTTAGCCAAGTTTGATCCGGCAGACCAGCTTGCGGTCCCCTGGCTGCCAGCTTTCAGCCAGAAGGGTGCACCATATCACCGTCTGTCCATATTTCTACTAGAGCAGGAGCCTGGGCAGAAGTTGGATGTTGGAAAGCTCAAAGAGCTCTATTCTAGCCGGGATGGATTCAGTCTGAAGAGCTTCAAGGACAAATTTGGCCTGAAGCCGTTCGGATTCAACCTGTTCCGTACGGTATGGGACGAGGGCACTGCCGCCGTTATGGAGAGGAACGGCATCCCAGGTGCGGACGTCGAGTTCAGGAGACAGCGGATCGAGTCTCTTAAGGGGCCCAAGAAGGCAAGAGGTTGGGAAGCGAAGAGACAGGGACCGAAGTACAGGCAGTTGTGGAAGTATACAAAGAACATCCGCTAAGGTGGCTATTGTCGCTGTGGATGGTGGATGGTAATGCGAAAGCTTTGTGTATCATATTGTATCCAATATTGCCGCATTGGCGTGTTAGATTATGTGCAAATGGCATAGAGCCCATATATATACATATTCCAGCTCATACCCCAAAACATGTCTTACGGGCACAGCTTGTTTATCCGCATGCGGATGGCCTAAATTCTGAACTCTCAGAGGTTGTAATTCATGTGATGAGAGACAAGCTCAGAGTTTTGAATGGACTTCGCAAGCTTTACGATCACATTGTAATGTTATCAAAGCGATGTCTTTGACAATCAGTTTAAGGATGGAATCTACGTATCCGGGGGCCGACTCAATCTGCCGACAGCACTTCATTTTGGGACCGGACGGCGGCCGGCGACATCATTGGATTGAAAATTTCGCGGATACGGAGCGGCCCACTTTTGGCAAGGCCAGCCGTCCGATACACTGCCGATTTACCCCAGAATAAAAGTGGTTCACAGTGTCTCTTTACCTTTTTCAGAGATGGCGGGAAAATCGACATTGGCACTCTCCCGCTGGTGGCGGCCTCCATTCTACAAGGCTCCCGACTTATCTATGTCATCGATCACCCATCAGCAGGACGCCCAAAGATCTGCCTCCTTTACTTTTTATCGTCGTCTCTATCTTCGACTTGTGTAAGCCAATTGGCAGAGGGCAAGCCGTACAAGCTCGAAATGCTGTATAGTCTCTAGTCTCTTTGCATTGGTCTCCTGTGTTGTTCCTCATTCCTCAATTCCTGATCTCCGTCCACAATGGCAAGTGGAGCGACCTCATCGGCCAGAGAGACGTTGTCTCTACCCACAGCCTCGCACCCGGGCGGATCCAGCTCCGGTTCAAATGTTCTGGATCGCGTCTCCTCACTTGCTGGAGGACTCAAGAAGAGGATGTCACGCAGCTCTGCCGCCCTGAGCCATCAGCACACCCCGGAATGGTGGAAGATCCGTATCTTTCAGGGCATGATCCACGACATCCGCCGTCGAGCTCCGTTTTATTGGAGTGATTGGGTAGATGCTTGGGATTATCGAGTTGTGCCTGCTACTGTGTACATGTACTTTGCCAAGTATGAATCCCCGTGTGAATGGCCCCGTTGAACTTCCTTTGGTTCTCGAATCTGGACAGCTTGGCCCTGATGTTAATTTGTTCCTTATCTTGTCATTTGCATCGTGTCATGACTTGTGTCATCGATCTTGATGTAGACATCTCTAAGAAGACGATTGTATCACTAACAATTTGATTAGTATCCTACCTGCCTTGGCTTTCTCCCTCGACATGTTCACGAAGACTCACATGCAGTATGGTGTCAACGAGGTACTTCTCGCCTCTGTACTTGGCTCAGTTGTCTTCTCGTTTCTGGCTTGCCAGCCACTTGTGATTGTTGGAGTCACGGGTCCCATCACTGTGTTCAATTAGTAGGTACTCTCACTGTGCCTCTTAGACAATAGACGCTCACATTTGCTCGCAGCACTGTTTTCGATATCATGAATCCTACTGGGACAAACTACTTGGCTTTTATGTGCTGGATTGGCCTATGGTCTCTGGTTTTGCACTGGATTCTCGCCATAACAAACTCTTGCAACTGGCTGCGATACGTCACGCGGTTTCCGTGTGATATCTTTGGGTTCTACGTTGCCTTTATCTATCTCCAGAAAGGCATTCAAGTTCTGACTAGGCTTGGCTCCGAAGAGCCATTCTACCTGTCTATCATGATCTCTCTTCTGGTCTTCATGGTGGCGTACATCTGCGGAGAACTGGGCAAGAGCAGTCTTTTCCATCACCATGTCCGGGTTTTCCTAAAGGACTACGGTACTCCCCTCACCGTCGTGTTCTTCTCCGGTTTCGTTCATATTGGAAGAATGAGCAACGTTCCCCTGGAGAATCTCCCAACAAGCACGTCTTTCTTCCCCACCGCAGATAGGGGCTGGTTCATCCATTTCTGGGATATTAGAGTGTCTGACATCTTTCTTGCTATTCCCTTTGCGATACTGCTCACTATCCTGTTCTGGTTCGACCACAACGGTAAGTTGACATAATTACTCACAGGAGAATGCCGACGGTTGCTGACAATCGTCTAGTATCGTCATTAATAGCACAGGGAACTGAGTTTCCTTTGAAGAAGCCCGCAGGCTTTCACTGGGATCTCTTCCTTCTCGGCCTTACAACCGGAGTGGCGGGCCTTTTGGGTCTGCCCTTCCCTAACGGACTCATCCCTCAAGCTCCGTTTCACACTGAATCGCTCTGCGTGACCAAGGTTGTCCTCGACGCGGACGAAGGTGGAGAGAACAAGGGCCACTACGAGTTCAAGGCGACCCATGTCGTGGAGCAGCGCGTGTCCAATTTGGCCCAAGGGCTTCTCACTCTTGGCACCATGTCTGGACCGCTCCTGGTTGTCCTCCATCTCATCCCTCAGGGCGTTCTGGCAGGACTCTTCTTCATCATGGGCTTCCAAGCCCTTGAGGCCAACGGCATAACAGCGAAGATCCTCTTCTTGCTGCGAGATGTGTCACTCACGCCTGGTGGCCACCCGCTCAAACAAATACCTCGGCGCCCAGCGGTCTGGCTCTTTGTTGGCGTGGAGCTAATAGGTTTCGGCGCCACGTTTGCAATTACGCAGACCGTCGCAGCCGTTGGCTTTCCCATCTTCATTTTGCTTCTCATACCCGTGCGGGCAATGCTGCTTCCGCGTTGGTTCACGCCGCAAGAGCTGTCAATTCTCGACGGACCTACCGCCAGCCCCTTTACTATGGAGAGTGTTGGTGGGACGTATGGTGGCGAAGACGTGTTGGATGCAAATGACAATTCACCCGAGGACACAGACAACGGTAAGGGCGGTGTGGAGAGCAGCGGGGGTCTGTTTCGAAGCGGCGAGAACACGGCGATGGGTAGCGAGGCACCCTCGGTCAGGGGTGATCAGTACGGTAGGAGGAGCGAAGAGGACCTGGCGGAGCTCGGTGAGAACCGAGGAACAACATCGACATCGGGTGGGACGAGGAGGAGGAATAGTGCGGTTGGTCGAGATAGAAGGGATGATGATGGTGAGGCGATAGAGATGAATAGACTACCGGTCAATAGACGAGGTCAGTCGGGGAGGAGCGGTCATCGACATAGAGCTTAGAGTTTAGAGGTAAATTGTAGAAGTTGCGAAAATGCATAATCATTCGATCGAGATGATGAGAAATGTACGACATCTGTGGGAGATGCTTCGTTAAATTGTTGGTCAACACCTGCAAGCCTTGCGTTCACGATCTTGCCCTTTAGAAGGCGAACGGCGATCTCCTAGACAGTCAACGTTCGACTACTAGGCCACCGACAGATATTGTCTGTCTGCTATATACAATCGGGTTAAACAGATCAGTAGTCGAGGCTTAAGAGCCCAGAGGCATAAGTTGAGGGTCATATATTTGTCGAGGATTTGGTCTCGATCTGTTCGCAACCATCGGTGTGATCTTACAATGAATATAGTTCTGAATTGGTCCCATAAGTAATAGAAGAAGCAAAGGGTATGATAATATTAAGTTCTCGATTCCGTGCTCGTGCAGCCCATGATGGAGCATGTTTTGGTGTGGTTGGAAGATCGTCTGTTGTCTGTCTTGGAGAACTATCTCAGCCGGGGGCATCGCGATTCTGAATCAACCACTCGCAAATTCAATGAAAGTCAAAGCAAGATTGAGACTAATTGTTATTATTGTATTGAAGGGCTCATCTCCATGCATTTTTGTCGTGGACCTCCCTTTGTGGGCGTGAAACTGCGCTTTCAAGCCATTTTCAGGGGTAACAGTATCTATCACAGGTCATAGAGACACGGCGATGAAATTTGACGATAGAAAATCACAGATAATTTTCTCCTGAAGCATCAGAGAAGATAAAGCCTGGAATTCATGCTGTAGAGAGTCTTTCTCATTGCAATAGTTCGTAGATTTGCTCGAGGTTTTACCCCTATCTTTGCCTGTGTGCCTTCCCAACAAAACGGCTTCTCCTCCTTTATCCATACAACCTGTTTCTGACACAGCCTTAATTTGCCCTAGTAATATCACTTGATTAATTCGATCCATTTTCTTCAATACATAATAAATTCACTGTAGATGAGCCCAATTCATCTGCGTTCTCTAGGCGAAGCTGCGTCTCAGCCTGGCAGATATGAAGCCAAAGAGACTGCATCAGAGAGTCTGCGATTGAGTGTGTATAAAGGGGTTCAGATATCCACGCTCGAATAGATAGTTGTAGGAGGGAAGTTTGCTCAGCTCTGGCGCGGCTGTCCCTACTCCGGAGCGCTAGCGCCGGTTCCTCGTCCACCTGCCACCTACTTCACGATGACATTTCGCTGGCTGGCTTCGGCATTGAGGTCCCCCGCCTGGAGGCTGGCCAGCCGAGCGGAAGAGAACCTCGATCGTCCGACGAGCGCCTGGTCAATGTCGCGGCTTCTCCGGGATCTGGGGCCTGATCATTTACTCGACATAGACTCCTGGGGTGCCAGTATCGTGGTCCACAAGCTTCCCTGTCTTCTCCGCCTTTCGGCTCTTCTTGCCGCTACACTTCGAGTTGTGTAGCCAGCGACGCGATGGCTCGAGATTTAGAGTGAAGCAGGATAATCGAACAGGGAGAACGTAAAACTGCCAGCCATCTCGAGATCCGCAATACCCCATCCACGAGGCCGGTGGCGTGGAGGCCATGGGTGGGGGCAGCGGCACAACATATCGCCCTGGGTCCCAGTTAATCTGTCAGCCACTGGATGTTGGTGATCTGCTATCTCTCACAGCCGGAATGCTGGACCCTGCCACTTCCCCAACAGACCCTGGACTTTCATAGATTATGCACTCGGCTGTTGTAAGCTGTGGCCTCTTCACTGTGCGGTCAACGGGGCAGGTCCCAGCGTCAGACTGCCTGAGATCGGAATGGCCAGACTTCGCGATACTTTTCCAACCCTCGAGCCGCTGAGTCTCAATCCATCTTTGCTCGAGAAGCATATAGCAGGGATGAAAGGCCCGAGATATGCAGAACGGCCGAACGGAAAATATTGACCTGCAGTGACATATGGCGTGAGCGTCAACAGCGGCACATAGCAACTAGAACAATCAGGCAAGCGCTGACAGTATGGAGTCGACTTCATTAACTCCCGCGCCGTGCTAACGGGTCATCTGCTCCTGGAGTGCCGCCGTACACTGTATAAAGCACATGGATACTGCGTCCAGAACGGGGGCTCGATATTGCTCTGCATCGAACAATCATGTACGCGCTATCAGAGCACGAGGGACGTACCTCGTCTGCCACGGCTTCGATTAATGAGCAGATTGATTGAGGTTCGCCATCGTTGGGAAGGAGTGTGCATGATTTGTATAGCCTCTCCCTCTCGTAGTATCCGATGCGATGCTTGTCTTCCCCCAAGCCGCATCCCGTCCTGGAAACCCGTGCTGTCAAAGGACCAAGTGCAGGACCCTTGTACTCTCGTCACACGGCCATGGCCTTCACGGGAGTTGGATGGAAGATAGATTGAGTGACCTCATGCCAGGCTATCAATGGCAACCGAACGAAGTCCAAGAGACCTGGCTCAGACCGAACAACACGGTTCAGCACCCAGCCAAAACGAGCGGGCCAGTCATGAAAGGGCAACGCAAGGCCCAGGGGTTGCTCGGAGGCAAGAGGCAGCTCGCCTTCCTCCGACAGGCACAGGATCATTTAGGCAGAAGTGAGTAATCCAGAACAGGGCAGTAGACTCGAAAGCCCGGTCGCACGCAGAAGCGAATAAGAGAAATGCAATGTATAGACAAAGAAACAGAAAACGGACCCATCGGTTCATGGCCGGGGCTCCAGTCTTTTCTCGGCACTTTGCTTAGCTTGCCTCAGCCAAAGAGATCTCCTCGTGGAAAGTGTTGCCTCAAGTGACAGTGGCAGGGATACAAGATGCTTAGTCCACTCGAAGCACGTAGGGTTCCCATGGATGGTTTGCTGCGATGGTTTTGACTTGACCGGAGGTTTTTGCTGGCGGAAATGAAGGTTCCTTAAGTCGTGGCTCTTATAGCCGTTGGGAATCCTCTTATACCTACATGGCTTAACTCCACCGACGACTACGACCTCGTTCACGTGAGGCTACCAGAAAGCAGAAAGAAAGGGCGGATGGACAGAGATACATGAGACCGGACTACCTTCCGAACTGAACATTGGAGGAAAGGCGACTCAGGATTTCTTGCGTGGGCAGCGTCACAGCGAGATCTTCGAAGGGGTCGTATTGGAGGGCGTTGAGGATGATAGGACGGATGCTGCTACTAACAGATATGGGAGCAAAACACATGTAAAGGTGCTAGGCGACTTACACGAGCCTGGCAGCTACAGACACGGCACAGAGATGGAGGTGGCCAGTGCACAGGGGTAATAATACGGATAGATGGCTCTTTAACCTGAATTTCCTGGATTTTTGCCCATGGCAATTTCGGCGGTACTCTACCCAGCCACTTCACTTTTGACTTCACTTGCTCAGCTCGGCCGTAGTTGGCTATCGACAGCTATCATTGAGTGATGATGACTCTTGCTGTAGTAATAGCTATGATCACATATGATGACTGTTCCTGAGTTGCCTCGAGCCGCACCGCGTCACTCTCTTAACTCGTGACGATGACATGGGTTGACCTGCGCCACCTGAATAAGTATTGGTTGTGTCTGCGCAGTTGTCGCAACCAAGTCGGATGTACCTGAGACTCTTCTGCTCATATCGCACAAGAACCAGCAGCCTTGTCCTTTCTTGGTAGAGACACAAGAAGCGTGAAGTGTCTCTCCGCTTTCTGCTCCGAAGTACCCGCCCTGGTTCTATGCAGGACTGTGCTGCATGGTATTGTGTTGTACGTACTGGCGTCTGTTTCTTGGCTAAGCTCGCAGACTTGCGCTCCAGGCTCTTCGGCCCTTGCGGGCTCTTGCATAGCACTCAACCAAACTTTGTTTCATCTGGCTCAGGGCATTTGCCTGCCCGAGACCGCACTTACACACGCTACTGTACCCTGGTCTGCCGTCGTCTTCTCGCTCCCCGTCCGGGTTTGTATGGCTGTTTTCTCTGGTATCCAAGTCATCGTCTCTCTTGTCTCTGCTCGATACGTCTATGATCGACAATGGACCGACCGGGTGGGGTGAAGAACCACTAGTACACACCGCAATGGCACCGTGGTACTCTCCGCACGGCTTCGGCTTATCCAACCGTCAGGGCTGGCCAGCAACGCTGATGGAACCCCAGCTATTGCGTCTGTTGTACTGCGTGCTGGTTTCTCCTGCTGCGTGTGTTACCCGCTCCACTATCGTCTCCTGCTGTTGCTCTGCGACCCATCAGCCAGACAACAGTCTCTCTCAGGTGTGACGACGGTTCCGGTATGGAGTCGTTTGTGCCCCCCTCATGCCGCCCCTTAGACTAGTACCACGCCGCTAAGACCACACTGCACGCACGATGCGGTTGTATCGTCATGCTGTACTGGGCTTCGCGCATGGGTCCATGCCAGAATCGGGGTGTTGTTGAGAGCCGGGTCTCATATTCTCCAAGACAGCCGGGCCAACAATCTCTCCTTAGCTGCGTGTAAGTTAGTGGCATTCATTCGAGACTGCGGAAGTGATCCTCTCTCCTGGAGTGGCTCTGATCGTCACCGTAGTGTGTCCATGTGCGTTGAATCTGAAAGGGATGACTTCCCGTCTTTCCTTTCTGCCTTCCCCATGTGTTCGTGCGTCATGTAGGTCCCTCGGCTCACTCATGCGCGTCTACTTTGCCCTTCATCTCCCATTCTATCGGCCTGCTTCTTCAGTGTTATACAGAGCATTGTGGCATATAGCTGCAAATACAATGCAGCTACTCGCGCTAACACCTTATCTACCTGATCGGAAATCCGAGGTGATTGATCTGCTTTGTGTCCTAGCTGAGCATACCCTAGCCTCCCTAGTCGGAATGACCATCGGTAGAGCCAGTCTGGTCTGGCCTCTCTGGGCTGTTGATATCGCTCTCTTTCACTCTCTTCCTGGGTACCCTGGGTGTGTTAGAGTTACCCGGGGGTCGTAGTGCATCTGTCAACTCCATTTACGCTCACGATAGGAGTGTTGTACTATCAGTCCATCCAGGCTCGACCTGCATTTGTGGCTTTTCCTTTGCTCAGGGGTGAAGCGATGGTAATCGTCGTAGCCGTCATTATCAAAATGTTAAGTCTTGTCTTGCCCACTTCCTTGGTGCAGACTCCTTGGCCAGTCATTCTGAGCCTTAGCCCTGTCCGTATTGGAGGTGGCTGCCCTTTTGCCGCCTGGTTGTAGGCGTACAGCATCAAGCTTAAATCTAGCCTTCTTGTGCTCAAGTTTGTGTAGCGAACAAAGTAGGCCGGCTGTCTTTGGACCAAGTCACTCATACAACTCGA